CATTTCGATAGCCGTAGAGGTTGCTTCAACACCCCTGCCTGCCCTGTGCGCGCGGAGCCGGAGCGAGCAGAAAGACGAGCGTGTGGAGGCTACTGGTGGTTCGAGGGCTTGCGATGAGAGGATATTGGGGGGGATGGGATGTTGGGAGGTTGGGCGGTGACGTGGGACTATCGCGGCTTAGCTTCGTGTGGGCAAAACGGCGGGAGGGGGGAGGCTGGTGCGGATCGGGGTTCGGTTTGAGTTTGAGGGGGTTTTGCGGTGCGGGTTGGCGTGCTTGCGGGGGAGGCGCGAGGTTAGGGAGGTTGGGGGGGTCCAAGAGGGGTGAGTTTTTCTGGTGTGGAAATTGAGGGGCGCGGGGTGAACGTGTGTGTGTGTTGGAGGAGGAGTGGTGGGGGGCCAAAGGGGATGGAGTTTTATGTCTGATTTGAAGTCAACTTTTGTTGTGTTTTTTGGGCCAGGGACTCCAAATTGGGAACATGAAAAGCTAGGCAGTTGCGTGGTTCTAGGAAGGACTGAGATAAGTTACCTCGATTCGTTGTGAGGATTTGCAAAACCTTGCCAGAGCAAAGCCTGATTTGCGATGTGCTTCATACCTCTCGATGAATTCGGGATGGGTCTAGGCATCCTTTTGCCTTGCATCGTATATCAAACCTAAAACAAACGTAGCGTGCACTTGTCCACCACTGCTTGAAGTCACCTAACATGCCCATACGGATCTGGGTGCGATGTAAGAAGCTCAAGGGTGTATATCAGCACGTATTAGGCCAAAAATCATAAATATCAAGTGAGTGTATCGATTTTAATCATAGGGCATAGGTAGCCTTTCTAACAAAGTTCTCAGGCCTTTTTCGAGGAAGTGAAGCATCACAATAACCCGATTCGCCAGAGGATGCCAAAAGTCATCCGCCCGAGAGCCATTACCACAAAGTCGCAACAGAACAGTCATTAGGATCATTGAGATCAAGCCGAAAGGAGGGTGACAAGAAGAATGAGGAAAAAGCACACGCAATTCTATGAGCAATCTGGCAGTAGGTTCATTACCTGCGAGATTGCTCGATGCCGGGGTATCAATAGGCAATGAGCCTTCTAAGATGAGAGCTCTTTTCTAGTCGAGGCCCAAAGCCTCGGTGGCCCTGACAAATGTGTCGTAAGTAGTCATGGCGCCCAGCGCACGCTTCATGTGGTTGTTCATGAGGGACAGTCCGTAGATGTAGCTGGCGTTGACCCAGCCGAACCTGGTGATTTAAATTAGCTACTGCTCCAAGGATATAGATATATGTAGATGATCTGCGGAAGCGAGAAACATACCCTTCACGGGGAACCCCTTTGAAATCACTACCCTGGTTCCCGTATTCTGCCTCGACTTTGTGAGGATCGATTTGGCGGGTGACATCATACTTCTCAACCACAACGCCGTTGAAGTCGACGAAAGCTTTTGTGACCATGTAAAGCCATCGGTAGGCCAAGCGCTGAGCTTCAACCTCATATCCGTAGCGCTGGAGTCCGACCCAAGCAAGCAGCTGCTGAGGAGCCCACCCAAATGGGTAGTCCCATTGTCGGTTAGGACGGTCAAGCCCTACGCGACCACGGGATTCCTCTGTACCGGAAACAAGTCCTCCAAAGACTTCAAATTTCGGCAGCGCTTGATCGACGAGCACTGCTGCTTGTCGGGGCGTGGCGAGACCGGACCACATCGGCCAGAAAGTTGTGGCACTCTCATACCCTGTTTGCTCTTTCTTGACCGTGTTATAGTCGAAGTACATTCCTTTCTCCTCGTTCCATAGATACTTATCGACAGCTAGACGTCGCTTCCTCGCGCGGCGGTCCCAAGCTGCAGAAGTCTCGACGTAATTCGCAGCCATGCCTTTGGCACAGAACTCAGCAGGCATGACCATCTTGTCGTCGAAATGGGCGCGGAGAATTCGAGAGATATCGGTTTCATACTTATAGAGAAGTGCATTCAGATCCACAGTCGCAAGATGAGCCGCCACTTTCTCCAGACGGTAGGATGTGTCATGTCCGGATTCTCTCACAGCGCGGTCATGCAAAAAGTACTCATCGAGCGCCGGCTCGAGCACAGTTCGATGATTGTACGCGTTGACGAACTCGGTGAACGTCATGCCATGTTTCTTTGCATATGGCTCTAGGAGATGCTCGAAATGAGAAGCTTCTGTCTCTGGCGGCACGCCAATACCACCAGCACAGTACTTCGACAGGCCTGTAGCCGGGTCAAGTCGCGGATGGGCCATCCAGACGCTGTGATACTCTTTGATGGCGGCAAGCACAGCTTCTCGAAGGAAATCCAGTGAGCCAGGCTCGTGCTTGATTCGCTCAAACACACGGAGGGCCATGTCGGTAAGGAAAGGCGGCTGGGAGCGGCATAGATAGTATGTCCGATTGGCATTGAGGATTTTTCCGTAATGTTTGATGCAGAAACAGAAATGAGTGACCATAGACTTGACGAGATGCACTTTGTCGTTAATCAATAAGCCCAGAGATTCCATATAACTATCCCAGCCGTACAACTCGTTGAATCGTCCACCAGGGACGACGAAAGGGAGACCGCGAAGGTCAGTTTTTCCCGTCTTTGGGTCTTCATATTCCTCCATGGCAATAGCGAGTAATCCGGGTGCATCATTCAGATCCCTGACGTAATCATCAGCATCGCAGTCCTCTGCAAGCCATTGCACATCAAGCCGCATGTCAGGATGCTCCTCGGCAACCCTAGTATAGTATTCGTATTGCTCAGGGGCGCCTCTCGGGACATAGACTCTGGGGCGGGGGTCGGGTGTCCAGTCCTTTGGGTCCTGGCCTACTTTGGCGATGTTTGAGCCGTCAATTCGACGTGTCAAACCGTCCCAGAAAACGGTGGATATCAGGCGGGACAGGCGGTTGACTGGATTCTCGTTCAGACGCGCCTCGTCCAAAACGATGGTCTTTCGGCCATAGTCTTGCGCCAAGGTAAGCTCCTGGAGGAGATTGGCGAGCATGTAGGCACCACGGATGTCGAATTTGTTGAAGCCGTTGGACCTGGACGACCCAACCGAGAACACCTGCCCGAAGTTAGCTCCGGACTGCGATCCACGGGTGCGATACAACATGCCTTTGGCCCTTGGTCGTCAATTGTAATCTGCATATTGCCGTCGGTGTCCTCCTGTGCTAACAGCAAGGCGAGGGTTGCTGCTACGTCGACGACAAACTTTCGGGGCTGGATGGAGACCTCATCTGTGGCACACCAAATGTCAGTTCGCAGTCAATGGTAGGATGTAGTGTGGCGCTGACCGTGGCTGATTCTCCGTGAGGGAAGCTGCTGGCTGCGGCTCTGCTTGTCTAGGATCTAAGAGGGCTTCAGCGAGTATCTGTAGCTGTGTTCGAGCTGGCTTACGGCAGAATAGGTGCGGGTCCTGTCGCCCCGCTTGTGGGACTGGCCATAGTAGATATGGGGGGCGGAGAGCGGATCGGGTCCGATAGACGAGGTGCGGCGGAGGTTGGAGGATTGCGAGCTCATGCTATGTCTGCTGGATACTGTAGGGTGGTTTCAGGTCGGACAGCGGTTGAGAGCAGGTTGTGAGGAGTTCGTGGAGGGATTGAGCCGAGTTTTATGCTGGCGGTGTAGGGAGTTTCGGAGTTGAGTGGGGGACGAACAGCGGAACGGTGAGGGCGCCCAGCGCGAAAGACCAAGGGGTCACACGACGGCGGCCAGTCGGGATTATTGGGTAGGAGAGGCAGCGGCAAGTGAAAACAGCCTTCAACGGGGTCACGATGGCAGGCGACAGTGTGGCAAGTGGACGAAGCAAGAGGCATCTGGCACTGCGGCGCGCTGGCCAGCAGTGAAAGAGCGGCGCGCTGCCAGCAATGAAAGAGCGGCTGGGCTGTGTGGTGGATCGCCAGATGGCGCACGGCACCGTCTTCTGGAACCCGGGGAGCCGTGGAAGGCACGATAAGAGCCGTGGTTGGATTCACGATGGCCGTCGCCGCGGGCCAGGGGGCCTCTTTGTCTGCTGCGACACCCTCTGTGCTGCCCGCTCCCCGACGGCTGGGCACAAAGCAACGACAAAGACAGCGGCAGTGCGGCCAATTGCCCACGCAGCGACAATGGCCAGCACGCCGCGCACGCGAACAGGCCGTGGGTGCCCACGATGCAGCTTTCGCAGCTCCGTCCGCTCCTTCGCCGCTCCTTCGCCGCTCCTTCGCCGCTCCTTCGCCGCTCCTTCGCCGCTTGTGGTCCTTGGTCCCTGGCTGCCGGGTTGGCGTGGGCCCTGAAAAATCGCCCTTGGCCGGTTCGCCCGCTTGGTCGTGTTGCGTCAACCGGCAGCAGCCTCCCAATCCTCTCGCCTGCATCCATCCCTCGCAGACCGGTCTCGGGCTTCTGGGCCCCGTCGTCCAGGCAGTGAATGACGCGAAGATGAGAGGGCAAACGTCCTTTGCACCGCACACTTTGGACACCGTGGCGACTGCCAGTGAGTTAATGCGACTGCAAATCTGCTGCCGCTGGCTGCACTGCAGGCATGGTGTACGATTAACTAATTAACTAGTTAAATGAGACACCTGCTTACCTAACCGAGCCTTCACAACAAGAATTTTCCCACGCCACAACATTACTCAAATTTTTTGAAAATGGTTAGAGCTATAGAAGTGTATTCCACGAGTACATACTAAATTTTTGAAGTCGTGCAGTCTTTGTTGTGGCTTTAGAAGTCTTCAAAAGCGTCGTGCTCCCACCAGTTTTGGAGTCTCTCATTTAATCGTATACCATGCCTGACTGCCTGTGCTGCCTATCCATACTAGCAAGACGAACTAGAAAACCCGAAACTTCTGATATCCACCGCATCTGTAGGTACATACATCTTTCCTCGTCTCGACACCATTTGCCGGCAGCTTGAGCCCATAGAGCCGCCTGCAGGTGGTGTGGTGTACCGCCTCTAGCCTGTTCTACTCGGGGGTATTCCCTGAATCCTGCGCATCTCTAGAAGTATGCGCCCGATGTCTCTTTATCAATTTTCGGACTCGCGGGTTCTCTTTAGATCCCCTTTCCTGCTTCTCTTTCACCACCCGCATCGCTTGCGCATTCGACAGAGTGGGCGATGAAGGACACAGGCTGCCCTCTGTCTCATCTCCATTCTCGTCAGGAACTATGACCTGCCCTGCCAGCCTTCTCAACTCGAGGCTGTCTAGGTCGCCGCAGCCTATTCCGCTGTCTTCAAGCATCCCTCGTGCCAGCCATGGCTGGGCGTCATGAGCCGTGCTTGGAAACATGAAGCGACGCATCGGAGTCTCGGACGAGGGCGTTGCGCTGTATATGTTCATGTTATTGGCGGATGGCGGCGACGGCGGCGGCATGCTTCTCTTGTCGGGCCCAGGCACGAATCCGTCGTGCAATGCTACGACTTTTTTGCCGTAGTGCAGATGATACATTTCCTCTTCGTAAGCCAGCGCCCCCTCCTGGCGAATGGCGGACTTTCCGAAGGCTTCATTCGTCTACGACTTGCTCAGTGTCTGTATATCGTCAAGTTTCCATTAGGGCTCTTACCTTTCGATAGCACTTGTTATGTCTTTCAAGGGTGTCTTCGGATAGCACTAGAAGCTTTCTTTTCTCTCCTCTACCCTGAGCATGAAGCGTCCTTTCGGCATGCGGGTCTATGTCACTTCGTTCCAGGGGCTGCATCTTGACGCGTTTCGGGGTGCTGCGAGAGCGCTGAAGAGGAGCAGCTTAAGTGTGCGAACAAGCAAGCCTAGCAAGAGATTTCGAGTGACGACGTGGACAGACTAACGCGCAGATAGAGTCTACCAATTCAATCAGTAACGTTTGGGATGGACAAGTCATCCTTCATCGATGCACTCACGATTGATCGAAGCTCCTTGTGTTGAACGACAGGTACGATGTCACGTCGAGTAGGATTAAGTTCATTGACTTGGACGCTGTTTTTGGAAGGGCGGTGCGGTTACAACGGTTCTATCGACTCTCCGGTCTGGTGGAAGGTATGAGGGAGGTGTGGGCCTCGCAAGTGGGAGTAGCGTGGTTATAAGCAGTCTCGCGTGGCCTCTTAGAGGTGCTGCTGCTACGAGTACCAGACAGATATCTAGGGCGACATGGGTCCTTAGCTTGCACATGTAGCAGGTTGCTAGGAATCATGGTTAGTTCCCCAAGAACTTACGGGCAAAGAGGGCGAAGTTGCCCGGCCACGTAGAAAAGGGCGACAAGCAGATATTGAAGGCGCCAATTAAACTAGGTAAGCGTTGATACGAGTTGCAGGGAGGGAACGAGGGCTACGAAAGGGCAAAAAAGACGGTGTGGACTCCGATGATTTGCATCTCGCTCGAAAGAGAACGATTCGGGGCAGGCTCCTTAAAAGCATCAATGCTTTGCTCGCTTTCTGCCTCCTCTAAAGGGATCGCACGGATGCCATCCACCTCAAAATCGAGGCACGGCCTACCCTGCCTGTACGACAGTAACTCAGCCAGCCGTCTCACGTTGCGGATCAGCTCTCTCATGCCACGGCTCGGCGAGCCTCTCCACCACGGCTGACCCTGAACGGGGCGCGGAACACCCCCACGGCCACGACTAAGGCTGCAAGGATGCCGTCGGGGCGCTTGTCGATCGTGCCGCTCACCTATCACAAGCCCGCCGCTCTGCGCCATCTGGCCAGTGCCACCCTCGATGCCACGTGGGAAATTAGAGTCGCCGGGAGCGAGGGGTAGAGACGAGATGCAGATGCTGTCCCCGCACGGCCCTCACCTCCTCAGCGCCCTCACCAATCATCACGGCTTCACTGCATACCGAGAGACGCCCGCCGACGCCATTGTTGGGAGCCCAGAGCCAGGATCCGACTCTTCTCGTCTCAACGAACCGGGCAGCACGCGTGTCGACTGCAGCCCAGCGCCGCAGGTAGAAACTGCATGGCACAACATTCACCATATGATCATCTGCTCCGGTTCCACTTCCCCAGAGGCATGAATCATGGCACTCACCGATCAATCGTCTCACGAATGCTACTACGTTTGTTTCCTGAACCTGGCAGCGGCGCTTACCTCACCACCTTCCATCTCCTCCCCTCACGCTGCAGAGAAAAGGGGGCCCCCGCCCCAGGGCCTCGCAACGTCGCCGGCGGAAGATGCCTAGCCGTTCGGAGACGTCGGTTTCCAGGAACGCCTGGTAAACTCTGTTACGCAGGCTGCGACCACGGGCATCCAACCGCGAGTTGTCCAATGAGAAACCAGATGGAAAACGAGTGTGTCTAGCGCTCCGATGCACTGTCTCCACCGCAGCGTCTTCAGCAGCCGAGGCCACACGATGCGTGGGGCAGTCGGGTCTCGGGTCTGGGCCCACAGCAAAGTTGTGTGCATGAAGAAGCAGCAGCTTTGTCAGGCACGTCAGGCTCGCCAGGCTGAAGGGAACTTCCAACTCTTTTCTCCCAGCACGTCCTCAGCCTTGCACGCTCCTGCCTCTTTCGTGCAGTATGCCGGCAGTTCAAACGGCTGAAGACGTGCGACGCGGAGGCTGAGTCCCAGAGACACACAGGCTGCGGGGCACAGATCAAGCGATTCCCCGGTAGTGCTGGTGGATGCGGCGGCAACCTGATAATTCTTTCTTTCGGGCCCCCAGATTTTCGTGCGGGCACCATGCGGGAGTCAGGAGCCCATCGCTCGGCGCACCGACACCTCGCATCGCTAGCACCTGCAAGGCTGAAGCGCTCGTCTCAACTTCCGGCCGCTGACTCCGTCTGGATGCAAAATTACGGGCCGTGTCTTCAGCGAGTCCAACTCCAGTCCGACTAATAGCCAGCCCGGTGCAACGGCTCTTGGGTTCCTCTAAATTTCGCTTCCAGCCAGCCGGGCTCTTGACGGATTGGAACCCGCGATCCCCACCCAGCCAGAGCCTGCCATCCGGCCCTTCTACTACATCCGCTGCCACCTTTCGCGAGGAAACTGATCCAGGCAGATCTTTTCTGCACATCGCACCACCAGTCCTCTCACCGGCCTCTCCCCTCCGCCGATCCACGCCTAAATGCCTCATTTCCACATCATCGATGCCACACCTGCGACCGTGCTTCTTGCATTTTGCCCTGCTCCCCGTTACGCCATTTACTGATTGCGTGTGCAGCGGCTCGCGCGCCATCAAAACTGTCTCACCTGCAGGTCAGTCCTTCAGATTTCCCCAATTCTGGCCGTCTCCCCTATCATGCCTGGCATTCCTGCACGTCGTCTTCGCAGTCACATCCATTTCTTGTGTAAGTCCCGGCCTTTTACCACCGTCAAGTATGCTTCGTACTCAGAACTGGGCCATTGTATTTCTGCAATGGAACATTTGCGCGCCCACCCAAGGCCGCTCTGTCACACCTGTCATGCAATCATCATGTCGCACAACCTCTACTGCTGCGGTGTGATATCGGGACGGTACGACACATCCCCGGCTGCAGAGCCCTGCGCCTAGCTTGCGGTTTCTCTCTTGCAACGAGCACGCAAGGCACCACTCGCTCGGGCTCGGTTCCAGAGATGCCGCTCTCCGGCCATGCACTGTTATCTTGCACACAGAAGGTCCAATCATTTCGTCCCACTCCGAGAGCACGATGGCGTCCCCCCGACCCAGCGACCACTCCGTCGGGCAACCCGGTGGCTCGGATGCTCTACGAGCCGCCCCGTTCGATGAGTCGAGGGCTGCTTGCCGTCTGTGGATGCAATTTGGGAGTTCCGTTATGCAGCGTTGCATCGGAAGCACCCCCGAGGCATTAGTTCCATCCTGCTGCGTTGCTTGTGCATCGTGAGCGCTCGGCTGGACATTATCACTCTCTGCGTTCGACCTACTCACCTGTCACGGTGTGACAAAACAACGGTTCACAAACGCAATATTCGAAGCTGCAGAATGCGTCAGGAACGTGTTACTTTTTGCAAGAGGAACCCTGGTGCCGAGTTTACGGAGCTAGAACAGCTCTTCTCCGCCTTATACTCTGATTCAAGTAATGGTTGCCTTATACCCTTTCCATGCGTTGTCATGAGCGCCTCCACCCTTTGGTTTTGTAGTGCATCACGCATCGCATGCCTCTCGGGATCCGTCATTCGGTTAAACCCAGGTCACTGAACATGGAGCTTTCGACTAGTCTTTCGTATCGAACGTAGCTGCCCATTCCGTAAAAGAAGGTTGAGAATTTGATCTTCTAAACGCTGCTTACCATTACTGATACTGTTAACATCACGCCTCCAGTCTTCTTCCATTGTTTACTCCTTTTTTTTTTACCTTACCGTCCCCATTATTTTAGGTGTCAGAGTCAGCAATTCTGGCCCAATCCGCCTCTACCTTGCTACACTCTCCATCAGCTTTCTTGACCAAACGTTGCTCCGACTCTTACCTAAAACGAAATAATGTGGTGATCATATGAGTGGGAGGATGGCTTGTTAGTCATACTCCTGCCGATACAAGCCAGTTGACATACGACAGAACTCTTCGTATGCGACTCGGTTGATCATTAGTGATGATCTGTATGCACAAACCACGGCTCCGGAGCCGCAATGTGGTATCCCGGTTCTTCTTCGAGCTTCGTTCAATTCATACCTCAGTTTATTGGAGATGGTAGGGGGACTGTGAATTGGGCGAGTAGAAGATTGACTCAAGCACAGAGTATAAGCACCCAGTACACACCTTTACGCAATAACAGTCCAAACGCTTGTGATGGTCCTTGTCCCATTAAACACAAGTGCCGTCACGTGCTGTTCGCTCAGGTCATGTGACGGTTTGAGCACTTCATAAATATATTGAGCAGTGATTGGTCGCGGTAGAGATATACGAGATAGTTTAGTGACATCAATGAAACAAAGACTGCATTTACTGGGATTCTTAGTTCTTGGTATCAAAACCCACGACTACCTCCACCTCCACCTTCGCCCAGCTTTTCCGCAGCGAACAGCGATGGTTTCGGCTGGCAAAGGCGCAGCTATTGGGCATCAGTCCTGCGCCCGGCGGCTAAGCGTCCCGTATCCGCTGGCCAGCCGTCGTGACTCGTGAGCAGAGCGCCGCCCACCTGGCGCCCCAAGCTGATTCCTCCCACCCGCCTGGGAAGATCTGCCTGAGCGGACTGCAACCGCCTGCTGCTCCAGTCCTCCCAAAGATGCGATGCCAGAATTAACATTTATATTCGGTCCTAACAATACCTTCTTCTTCGACTCCCCCAAATCATGGAAGTTGTGAGTGCCGTGATGTGTGCATCTAGCAAAAGCAGACCGCATCGGCTGACGATGGGCGCCTAGTCACAACATTCCACCCACCCTCCGTCAGCTTTTTAATGCGTCAATGAATCCGGGATGGCGGGTGCAGCAGCCATATTGCGTTGCGCTCGCCCCGCAGAGCGGAAACCATGAGTCTATCTGGTACATCGGGTGCCGGGTGTGCGATGGGACTGACAAGCTGTGTATGTGATCTCAGCCTCTGCGAGCTGCATGTCGCACCACTGCCTCAAAGTACAAATGCTGATAACCCATTCTTGGGACTAGTCTACACCCAGAACCACTTCGACTACACCTACCCAGACCTCGCGCGGTGGGTCAGGACGATTCCGAACGCCCCCGCGGCTGTGTACATCACCTTCGGGCCCAAGACGAGCTACTTCGCCTGTGCCCCAGGGCTTGGGTCGATATGGAGTGGCATTGCGACCGATCTGAGGGACAAGGTGCATAAAGCGTTTGACACGCCGTGTCAGGTTGCGCTAGGGGTGAAGGACGCCTGGTTCGTCATGTGGCCGGACGGCTACTTTGCGTGGAAGTTTTATGGCGGCTATGGCAATTTGGACAAGATCCTTGATGCTGCGGAGCCGCGAACTGTTGCTGTAAGTTGTGTTATTCCTCAACACGTTTCAATGGAGAATGATTGAAACATCCTTCGGATCTCCTTGTACCAGCAATATCAAGTATGAAGCAATTACTAATCTCAGACCTCAGTACCTCGCCCTCTCTCCCTACTCCAAAGACCAATACTTTGTCGCCTTCAAAGACCGTACTGTCAAGTACTCCCTCTCCCCAGAATGGATGCCGCAAATGCAAGAAGTGTTTCTGGAATGGCAAACCGAAATCATGCGCGCTTCTGGCATGACCCCGTACCAGCAACAACCGCAAAACTACCCGCCTGGTCAATACCCACCAGGCCAATACCCACCGCACCATACGCCTCAAATGGCCCACACACAGACCATCTACGAAGCTCCACCAGGCCTGCCACGTCAGGGGTACCCGCCTACACCCCAGCAGTCACCGGGATACTACCCAGCTACACCGCAGTCACCAGCGTCGCCATACCAGTATCCTTATGGCCCGCAGACGCCGCAGACGCCATATGCCACTCCTTATCAGCAGTCCACCCAGATGATGAACGGGCAGATGGTCGCACCTCAACCGGGGTTGGCACCCCAGACATCACGTGACGTAAGTCTATCATATGGAATCCCCGCATTTCGACCTTCCTTCCCTTCACTATGCAATTATAGACTCACGCTAACATTTTAAATCTAGACTAAGGACACCATGAGCATCAGAAGTGGACGAAGCGGCCGCTCGTCCATCAGCTCATCCCTAGGGTTCAAACGAGCATCGATATCCTTGAGCAGCAGCAAGAGCGCTGTGAATGTCGGGAGCCAGACCTGCGTGGTGATGTAGATACGACCCTCTTTTGTTTTCCTTTTTCTTTTTGGCTTTTGCATCTCAAAACGGCCGGCTTTTGGGTAATTTTCTGACATTTACATAACACTTGATTCGCGATTTTAGCATGGGCCAGAAGCTACGCAATTTTTCGCCAAGTCGCTGCTAGCATTCATTTGTTTTGGATACCCATTTCACCGGCTTTGTTAATTTCTGATGGTAATCTAAATTGGTCTTGGAGTATATTTCGTTTGTTCGTGGTGACGTGAGATGGGTGATGATGAGATCAGGATTTGTGGTGTCGAATATCTGACGCTTCCCAAGCGGCTCTCTCCCAACTATGCGCCAATCCGAGTCTCCAAACGCCAGAAAGCAGAAATTGGGTATCATGCTCATCGCCAGCCGTCATATACTCCCCCAGCAATCCTCTACCTCAAAAGCTCCACCGAGAACGAGAGAAAATATAAAAAGAGATGAACCAAAAATAAACTAGATTCCAAATGTCTCCCAACCACCACCCACCCCCTCAATACGGATCCCCCGTAAACACAGTATCAAACTCGCTCTCCGCCGGCGCACTCGGCATGCTAATCCGACTCGACCGATCCCGCGGCATACTCCCAAACCCCAGATTATGCGTACTCAGCACCGTCGACGTCGGCGCCACAGACCCCCTATACGCACGCGGCTCACCACCTCCTCCCGCCGCCGCCGCGCGCCGCGCTTCGGTCGCCGGCCTCGCGGCCTCCCCAACGTGGGGAAAATCGCCCCGCACGGGCGACGGCATGCTCGGCGCGCTCGACGGCCGCCGCGAGCGGTCGTAGTCCGTGTACACCGAGCTCCCCGGCGCATGCTGCGCTGTGGGGCCTGACGGCCGCCCAGGGACGTCGTCGCTGTCGTCCAGGCGATCTCGGTACCCGTCGCCGTGGTCGTGGATGCTGCCCCACTCGCTGCGGCGGCGGTAGTCCAGCCCCCGGGCCCCCGGCAGCGAGATGAGGACGGACTGCGGCTCGCGCGCCAGCCGCATGCGCACGCGTTCGCTGGGCTGGCGAGAGGGGGGCTGGTGCCAGGGTGAGAGGGGGATGGAGGAGCGTGGGTCGGCTGCTGCTGCTGCTGGGGGTCGGGTTTGAGGGGGGGAGAGCGGGTAGGCGGGTGGTGGGGAGGGTTGCGTGGGGCGGTTCTGGAGGGTGTAGCCGATGATTGTGATGCCGAGCAGGGCGAGGAAGAAGAGGGCGAAGATGATGAGGCCGGGTGGGAAGGCGGGGGTGGCGGCCCAGTGGGGTGGGATCCCGGCGGCGGCGGGCAGGGGAGTGAGGGTGATGGTTGCGGCGGGCAGGTAGACGGTTACCCAGGCTGTTGAGGTGGGCATGGCTGCTTGGTCCTCTGGGAGCTGGAGGAGGTTTCGTGGGGTTGGGCAGGATGAGGATTGCATGGGAGCAAGGGATCTGGGGAGGTTGGGGTTAGTATCAAAGCGTTGTTTCAGTGGGAGATTGGTATATGGAGAAGTCCGAGATGGCAGAGGAACCCTCACAGTGATGGGAGAGCGGGCGCAAAGGCCCCCACAAGCGGAGTGCCGACTGAGTACCTTCGTGTTGCGGTATGTAGAGGGTAGAGAGTTGACGACATAGATTAAGGTTGGGATTAGAAAATGCGGCACGTGGCAAGGTCAATGCTGCTGTGAGCGTAAGCGTCGGGCCGCAGACTTAAGGGTCAGAAGGCACTTCTTTCACAGTGTGACTTGGGTATGCTTTGCTTTAGACCTGGAACCTCCACATTGGAATGTGTAATGGAGTTTTGTGGCAACTCCACATTCAGTTGCGAGGTAAAATCTTAACGTAAATGCGAGATGGACACGTAGTTTCATGAGCGAGGTTGGCAGCGCTTACAGTAGGCGTAAGGGCGGTGTGACAACACATAGGTGACTTCCATCGGTAGGTAGGACGGGCAGTAGGTAGAGGGGAACAGAGAATAATTTCCATGTGTTACGTGGGAATGGAAGACAGGAGTTTGAAATCAGCTGCTAGGAGACGTTGTATACATCATTGGATACTCATGTCTTTATAACACCATGTCAGGCAATGCGGGTTGATATAAAGAGCAATTCTGGCAAAGAAGTAGAAATATGGAGACTAGTTTTGGAATAATGGGCGCTTCTCCGCCAAATCAATACTAAGGTATCTGGCGAAAGCATAAACTCCGATGCATGCTGGCAAATGAGTCCAGAAAGCCTTTTACAGAACACCTTAACAAAAGAGTGAATGCTGCCCCCAAGACGCCAGCATACCCAGATTATGGCAGCTGATTTTTCTCCGACCCCGAGCTGGTAGGCTTCTTCTTCAACTCAGCCATTGATAAGGGCGGTGGCTCCATATGGTCTTGAGATTTAGAGTTCCTCATCTTCCTCATCTCCCGTTCGAGGGTCCCCAATAGCTTCTCCAAAAGCCACTGCGCTTCAGACTTGTTGCCCATGAGCGGACTCCGGGTACCAAGCCAGCTCCAAGCCACCCTCTCGCCCCTCTTGTCGTTGCCATTCCCTATCCCATTTACCCGAGACTTGTCCTCTTTGACAGGTGCTCTCCTGTGCCGTGATGCATCAGTCTCATCTTGACCAAGGAGTCGAAGATAGTAAGCCCATTCCTGGTAAGAGTATTGCCGAGGCGGGGAAGCGTCGACGTCTTTCATGACCTGCTGAAGCTCCTTCGCAAGAATGAAGTGGTAGAAGTGAATGTCTCGTTCAAGGGTATCGCCCTCGTTTTCTGCCTGCTCGGCCTCCTCCAACTCCTCGTCCTCGATGTACTTTGCTAGTCGATCGAGTCCTTTATCAGAGAATTTACTGTCTTTGCCATCCTCGTCTGTAGGCAGAAGACCTGGCGGCTTCTCAAACCTGACGCGTTGATTGCGGAAACGACGATCCTGCAGCTTCGTTGAAGCAGACTTCAGATTCGCCATGGTGCTATTCTCGCCTGGAAGAACAGTCAAGGAGCCGATCCAGAGGGTGAAGTCACTGAATGCCTTAATAATAGTGTCGCCCATGTTGCTGATCAAGATGGTGAGCGTTGGAACGGCCAGCATAGTCCAGAAAACGAAGAATGGCTTGGAAGCATTGGACGAAAGTGTCAAATCTCCGTAGCCGATGGTGAGCAGCGAAGTATATGCAAAATACAACGAGACAAAGTAGCTCCAGCCCTGAGGCTTCTCGGAGTATGTGAATACGAGCGCACCTAAAAACCAGAGGAGGAGAGCGGCCATCGTAGACATAGCCAGGGAGGTCCATCGTCGACGCTGCTCAGCACTCTTTTGGACGTGTCGCATTATGTTGAATTCTCGCTCTCGTCTTTGCAGTTCGCTGAGTCCTTTCTGGGAAAAGTTGATTTTCTTGAATGGCCCAATCTTGATAGTACGCTCATCGGGGTCAACGGAGGCCAGGACTCTCTGTCGTTTCTTTTCCATGAACCGGGCAGCCATCTTGTGCTTGCCTCGTTCGAGGGCTAACGATCTAACCGAACCAATGACCAAACCGACTATTAGAATACCTCCAATGGCAAACGGGAATAGCAAGGATCGTCCAAGGTGAGTCGCCGGAACATATTCACCTCCGATACCAATTGTCAGCAATGTAAAATTAGCCCAGTACACTGCGTCAAGGAACCGCCATCCTTCAATTTTTGTATACACTAAAGCCCCAAGAAGGAGATAGACCATAAAGCTGATCGTTTGTAGCATGAGCGTCCGTTGGCTGGACGTGAGTTGAAATTCCCTCGGATAATGGTTACGATAGGCCCCATACACCGTTACTATCATCAGAGACGAGACCACACAATAAAGTGCGGCCGCGATGATTGCATAGTAGAAGGCTTGTGAGAGTGCATGGCTTTCGGCTGGCTGGTTTCGGAACAGCGATGATGAGGCGACGCAGACAAGGGCGATGAGGAGCACGGAGGAGATGAACCACCCCACGATAGTTACTGACTGAGCAATGGCAAACGATAGTCGACGGGCCATATTGAGTAGGAGGGCCATATTCGCAATCAAGGCGAAAACTAGCGAGACGGAGTTGATTGCGATGAGCCTGGAAAAAAAATCAGCCCACTAGTCACAATGTGGCGATCTGAGGTAGAAACAGGCATCATACCATTGAGGATCCTTGATATCTTTGCCATGTCCTTCATCGACACCTGGAGGGATGTATACCCTCCAGTTCTGCACGAGTGCGCAAATGCTAAAGGCATTGGCCATAGGCCCAAAAGTACCTGCGATCAAAGGACACGCCGTAGAAGCAAACCACCAACGACTTGTCTGAGTTAGCTAATACTTCCAAATACGGGACGTATGCCTACGTGGGATCGAGGAAATTCTCCTCTTCCTCTTCCTCCTCCTTCTCCTCGGCCTCATGGGGGTCTCGTTCGATGTCGGCTGCAGCTTCGTGAAGCGCATGGTCGACGCCTGGATCGTTCATAGTGGAAGTTGGGTGCTGTAAGTAAAAATGAGTACAGGAAGATGGAGGAGCATGGTGAGCGTCCTGGGATACCTATGCTTGTTTGGACACGGGAGAACAAGGTCACAGGCGAACCAAAGAATCGTGACGGGATGACGCAGTGGCTGCACTAGGGTGTGTGGGGAGTGGCTGGGGAATGTAAGCTAACAGCTGCTTTGGGTATGGCGCGTGTCAGTATCCCGGCCAAAAGGCAACGAGCCGCGAACTTTGGAACGCCGGCGGTTAAAGCCGAGCGACGATGGCTTGGCTGTATGTCTTGTCTTGACTTCATGTTGTTATAATATAAGTGATCTGGATGATCAGGCTGACATTCTGATATTACTCTTATAGACTCGGACCCTGTTCTTTTCGACGAAAATTCAATCTCTTCCTGCCGAAGTCATCCTTTTCTCTAGCAATGTGGATATGTAGTTGTTCGAGATGGCAGCTAATTTCAAGATCATGCACTAGCACGGTTAGAATCTGATGACCTGGCTTTAGTGAGATGACGGTGAATCCATGTGATGCATATCTTCGGTATGTTTGAAGACGAACGCAATTGCCACGTGATCGTATCTCTGAAGAGCCCTGTGAGGTACAAGCTCGACAGATGTTGCTCTCCAGAAATAGAGAGTCCGTCAAATGTGGAAAGCGTTCACCTTGACATGCTTGCAAACAGACGTAGAGAAGTGTCTCGAGGTAAATTCCTCGAGAGTTTGACTTGCAGCATGGCTTGGAGAATCGGAACAGCCCAAGCAGTACTTGGAGGCTTAGCGTAAGTGCAACCAACGCTTTGACAGATGTTGTTTCAATGATACCGAGTCTCGTTTGCGCTTTTGATGCTCTGTAAGTGCGGAGGATTTGAGAAATTGGCGGTTTGATGCCATCGAGTCTCTGAAGAGCCCCTGTCTGTAAAGAAGAGTTGAGCGATTGAAGGCTCGGTTCTGTAGAAAGTTCCTAGTTAGCTGACCTCTCATTCCCGATCCGCAAGAGCGGAGTGAATAGCCGCATCAAGGCCCTTAAAGCGTTGACATATGTGACCTCGTCGTGCGTTCCGGAACCCCTTTCACTACATGAGGTTGCTTGGTGGCCCGGCTGCTGTGCTTCACATTGGAGGCTGAGACAGCATGCCCTATCTCGCCCTACGTCTTACATTCCCTCTTGAAATCCGGCATCCCTAACTGACCATCGCCTTTGCTGTAGTTGGTGAGACGCCTACAGTAAGTTCTTTGATGGAGACGCAGGCCCATGATGCAACTCGGTGGTGCCGTGCCGCAAGTTTCTTCGACAAGAAGGGCCATCGTTTAGGAAGTCCGCCGCGCTTGTCTTGAAGCATCTCCGCACTTACAGCATAACACCACCCGATGACAGCCCTCCCCGATCGAGACAACGCTCAAGACATACGCGTGTCTAACCGGTAGGATCCTCGGAGCTCCAGACGGCAGTGCGTTGTTCGAAATCTCTGGCTCAAGCTCCCACGACATCTCAAACTCCGCAACCCATACCTTGCTGTCCTCCCTAAACAACCCAGCGAATAAATGGAAGCTAGAGAGGTGGGCAACATACCAGAGGGAATACGGACGGAGCACTATAGTTCCGTCCATCGGGCCTTCGAGTCAAGCCATGCCACCTGGGCAGCAATTCGAGACTGGCTTCCAATGCATCTCCATCATCGCCACCCACTACATCATCATCAACTCCATTGATACGAAAGACGCGACTGAGGAGTCGAAAGTGTCCTCGCGTACATAGAACACACCCATGGACAAACCAACGTCGTGGAGTGGCCGTCCAGCGGCGCTGGAGTTGGCTACGAGACCTCCACTCCGCCCGCCTACGATTCCCAGCACCCGAACGCCAACGTTTCACCTGCGAGACCTATGAGCGTCATACAATTAATACCGTTGATGAACGTAGGTGATAGACTCTTCCTTGTTTTCCTCATCAACGACTAACGTATAGATGCTAGGGGTACCATGTCCACGTTAAATCCCCTGCACCACCGGTCTCCGCGATGTTTCCCCAACAACCACACACTGGTCTGCAGACCCTGAGCAGTGCATGTTCTAGGGTCCAAGGAGGGTACAACGGGCGGTTGATAAAAAGTTGATGACGGCTTCCAGATTCATGGCATGAAGGTCGAGATGTACAACACACACAGCGCTTGCCCACTCTAAGCATAATATTCGAGTAATTCGAAAGCTACAACATAGAGCAAGGTATTCGTGCAAGAATGCACGGAGCTGCTGATTCGATCTTGGCGTATGGATCCGTCGATTCTATTATCTGAAGGCTTAGAGGCTCCGCAGGATATGACCTGGAGTGGATGTCCTACACTGGATAGATCCTTGTCTGAAGGAATGCTAGCTTCGAGGGAACGGAAGAAGAATCATGCACCATTTCCCATCTAGACGGGTAGCTCTGAGGCCAAATACCGAAAGGCGAACCTCCAATATCATGTCGAATCCGAGGCATTGTATGGCGATCTCGAGGCTTTTGCTTTTATTCCACGCTTCTTCAAGGACATCCACATATTTCTTTCGGGTCATTATTGCAGTCATATCGTTCTTCTGCAGATTTCTTCTTCTAGCCCCCCAGACTCATACGTTCAAGCATGCCGTCCATCATTTATGAACTCTTTCTGGTTCTCTTTTAACTCTGAAGAGTCTTCGACTTTCTTACTGTCGACCCATTCTTCATATTGCTTGTGGCAGTCTCTCTTACACACAGTCAGTCCTTCTCTTTCTCTTGGTGCATTTTTCCAAACATTGAATGTTGGAAGCAACATTCCAGCTTGTGCCCTGGCTCCAGGAGGTTTCAATGTTGGCTTACGGATACGAACTTGAGCACAGAGCTAACTGTCACCGAAAAAGGATAGAGGAAGACATGTCTTGTTGATATGTTGTTGAGAAGAACCCGTCCGGCGTGTTCCGTCGTAGATTGGACAGTGGTAATATGACCCAAATTTCATGTCTCCTTAGACCTGTTTATGGACCTCGAACTGGTATGCTGGTCATTATACTACCTCGATCTGTTGGATCCCAGTGGCCAAAAGTGAAGAGATACGTACGGAATGCTTCGAGCTCAGGAACGCTGTTGTTTCGCGGCAGAACATCTTCCCCAGGAAGAATGAGATTCACGGACACGTTGCCAATGTTTATCATCCCACCAATCATCTTCTCAAGAAAGGGAATGATCGTATGAGATGCAAGAGCTGAGTACAAGCTTCGCTCGGTACCATATGACGCGGCCCAACGATCCATGTGTTGTAATTACCCAGGAAAAACAGCCGTGAGTTGTCACAGCCATGTATTGTTTTCCGCTCTTGCTGTCCTAAGAACATGGTGGTTGTATGGCTGATTGGCAGAGTTCTCCCGTTCAGGAGATGTTGAATTTCACAAGCCTTGACCTAGTTCAGGGGTTATGAAAGGCGGACGATCCTGCGTTTCTGGCGATATGACCGAGATGATTCTGAACAGCGAGAGATCTGAGTTACTACTCCGGGAGATTGTTGTACCACCTCCCTCAGTATGGTACGCTATCCCATCGAGGACGCCAGTTTGCTCGGGAGATCCGGGTTCGTCTAGGATACGAATATGTTATGCCGCCGGCGCCGTTACTCCCACCAGGATATCGGCTCGTTCCGTCCAAGTTTCAAGGGTCCACAAGATTGACAAAGCCGCAGCAAGGAGAATGGTCGTGCTACGAGCCTGTGTGCATGGTGAAATATGCGCGCCGGTGGTCTTTCAGTCGGCCTTTGAGCAACGGTCTCAACGCGCTTCGCGCGCGACGACGGCTTAGGAACCTGTTCCTGAGCAATGAGATCAGTTCTGGTCAAGGCCCTCAAGTTCTGGAAAACACAATACCTGTGGACTAGGCGGTCTTGGCCTAAACCCGTAATGTAAATGCTCCGAGCAGGGTCGCTGGATGAACGTGCGGGTAGGCATTCGTCGCCACCCCGCCCAGATACCCAAACCGTTGTAGAGCGATTCTCCGGTAAATTCGGGGAGCTTGAGGCCCCAAAGAATGCTCCAGGCACGCGCAGACAATGATGTATGCCCTGGATCTGATTGTAATTTGTGTCCGGCTCGTCGGCGCCTCCCGTGGAGGCGCGATGGATCAGAGACGCGGGCGGCGCTCGTCACCAAAATGCCGTGTCAAAGACCCAAGAGGGCATGTGGACTTCAAAAATGATAGTGGATCGTCCGTAATAGCCCTGAAAAGCAGCCCGATGCCGGTGCTGAGAAGGCGCTCAGTTCGCAGTGCGTGTTTCGCGGTAGAGGGCCGGAAAGAGGAGTCGCGATGCTGCCGATGCCTCGAGAACTGCTTTGCGAACACCACGGAGCCACGTATCGTTGTGTTCTGGAGTCGGCACAGATGTCGCATGTCGCTATTGTCGGTACTGTCGGCGTCGTAAGAGGATTACTTCCTGCAGCGGCTGCGTCGCGGATGAGGGCGCTCCCACAAAGTGATTGCTCCGCTGATAGGAAATGTTTGCGCCGCGTCGTCCCCGTCTCGCCAGCCTGTAAAACATTGTCAACGACTCAATAATAAGAAGTTACTGGCTTTACTCCTGATTCTGGGAAGGTGTCAAGATCCAGGTCGGGCTTGCAAAGAGCCACGTAGCTCCACCGAGCGGTCCAGTGCGCGGTACTTGCTCCCTAACTATACACACCGGCGCACTTTGCGCATCGGCCGCGTTGTCTATGGTGTGGAAATCACGTCGAGACACAAAGCGACCAGTATTGTGGGTTTGGGTGCACGATGTAGCGGTTTTCGTGCGCCCCTGGCCGCCAAACCCCTAAGATGGCGAGCACAGCACTAAACCCAAAGGCGAAATGCACGTTTAAGTCTACGATGTTTTCGAGCTAGCAATGGTACACAAAGCGCAGGAGCGGTATTTTCAGCTTTGCACCAGTAAATATATGAAACCCTTCCTCTACCTGGCTGGAAATGCTGGAAAAGGGCCATTACAGAGGGCATCGAGTCTATGGAATTGCCAAAGGTTAGCTGTAACGACAATACCACGACCTACCGGTTTTCTGTATGACAGATGCCCTAAGCTGGCTGCTTCAACGTAAGGGCGGCTCCCTGCATCTTGTAGCAGCCTCTGGAGATAGCAAAAGCTCTGCAAAGAGGAGCTGCTAGACGAACAGTCCTGTATGTTCTAAGCGAATATCGTAACGACTGTCCATCGTCTCGAGTATGTATAGGCGGGGTTTGGGGCGACGAAGGGTACTGGTAGCTTGCGAGGGAGGCACGAAGGGGCAGGCCTATACAGACGGCAAGAAGTCAGTTGAGGCTGCTCAGAGTGTCATCTCAAGATGCTCTTACCACAACGAGGCGCTGGGTCTGCGCGCCTTCCGTTCGTGATGGGTGCAGGACCCAAGATCGGGGCCCAACGCGTGGTGTTTCACAACTCGGTGTTCTCCACGCGGGGCATATGCACCCATTGGCGCAGCACCCCTGGCACGCTTTCAGGGGGCTGAAGCGGCGGCCCCTTGGCGAGATCTCTATCTTCACCGCAAGCTTCCGTCCCATCTCTGTCGTGGTGTTGAGCCTCCTCAGTGCCACCATCAAGTTCCATCTCTAGCTGTGTCCTCAGGCGCGTCTCAAAGGCTATGTGCTCGAGTAGGTCATGGGGTGTCTTGCCGGCAGTAGCAAGTATACAGAGGAGTAGTAATACGTTTTCGAATCAGAGCATGTGTGCTCTACGAAGCCATGAAGTACGCGAATGAGTAGCCTAAGGCAAATGAGCTCAGTTCACAAGTTGAAAATGGTGCATGATTGTAGTGTAGGAAGTTTACCATTCTCCTATATCAAGTTTCCTGTGTCGTTGAATGATCTTGTTGCCCTCGACAGCATTGTTCCGAGTCCAGGCCGCTTTTCGTAGCGTTCTAAATTCTATTCCATTGTTATCTGTTCTTCGTTCCACAGTAGTATCGCTGACTTGTGACGAATAGTCTTATCCTGTACCCGTGTTCTACCGCTGTTGCTGTAGTATGTGCTTCCCTCCTGGCACACCCAGGAGTGTGTCAACCAGCTCGCCTCGTAGTCCAATCGCCGTTCGACTGACCGCGATTTCCCTTCTCCTGTCTTGTTGCTTTCAAATTCCTCTGTGTGTATGCCCGGATTCGGTTGCGAGCGGAGGCAGGCATCGACCGAGGCCTAAGAAGCTGGAGCTTTGATGTAGTTGTCGCCGTTTCGAAGGTTACTCGACCGTATCTTCTATTGGTGTTCAGCTTATACTCCAGCTTGCAAGTGGGAGGCTGTTGAAACACCCTACTGGAGACTTGCTACAACAGCAGAGCTTCCTCTAGTGGTCTTGTTTATTAGTGCATCCTTTAGCAGCGGTTACATACTATTATAGCCGTGTGAGGCGGCTTCGGCGTCATGATGCAGCAAGCCATGGCCAACATAGAAGCGGCTGAACTGGTCTATTGGCGGCGTTGTTGTTGTGATAGCTTCATGAATAGGGGGCCCATCGCTGCTCGCGTGCCTGGGCTCAGATATCAGGTGATTATGGTGCTGAAAGTGCTGCTAGGCGTGCGAAGGCAGGTGAAGGCAAGAAAAGCTAGGTGATGTACGGTATGCTGGGATGGGGATGGGGGGACTTGGCGGCCGGGTGTTTTTCTATCGCATTTTCGACTCTCCGTAACCTTCTTCTCTTTAACATCTCCACATGGCTGACCGCCATCCGCTCCCCCCTCGCCCCAAAACACCCGTGTAAGTAATTCCTTTTGTATATTGTTTCCGCTCGTCAGATCGCCATGTTGCGATCGGAGCTTGCGAAGGAGCCTTGTGGATCATCGGACAATTTCGACAAGACGACTTCAAGGGCCCAGATCGTGGGCCCTCAGCAGGCCACGCCAGCGTACTAACCTTTAGTTCCTCTCTCCGCTGGATTTGGATTGGAGCCTCTTTGGATACCATCTCGATCAGTGCCTTCAAACGCGCTCACTGCCCGCAGCTGGCTGTCATCGGACTGCGTGGCTTTAGGCGCCTTGGACGCGTCTCAGCTACTCCAGACATCGTAAGCTACCTGCATCTTATCTACCTCGTGTAACTTCGCACTAACAATCATAGCTCGATCAGCTTGTCTGTGGTCCTGTGTGATGCGTGACCTCATACCACACAGCTGAACTGCTCAGACCTCCAGCCAATTGTGCGCCCAACGGAGGAACATGAAGGGGCCCTACCTGCGCCTCCATAAGCGAGTCATCACTCGAGTTGAAAAGGCTAAGCGGTGGCCATCTATTCCACTGCGATAATCCCAAACATCCGGTACACAATTCGGACTTGGGCTCAAAACAAGCCTACACGCACATACTTTAGCATGTTGCTACAGAGTCCCGAGGCACCTCTCAAGCCTATAGCGGTACATCGACTGCATGTCCCTTTCCTTGCGACACAATCTCGGCTTTGTCTTGCTTGGCAATGAAGACATGCACCAGAGCATGAAGCACCCCTCGAAGCCGTTCAAAGTCTGTAGCTAGACGCATGCAGCAAGCCTCGGGCCTCAAGCTACAACTACTTGCGCTGCATATCTGAGCCCTTCTCCTTAAAGTCTGCTCTCATTCAATGTCTAGCACGGCACCTTAGAAAAAGATCCAGAGCTCATTCAGAAGATGCATCATCATGGACAGTCCATATCAAGTAACTTGCTATTCGATATTTCAAGAGCTTGCCACTGTCGTTTCTTCTCCTGGCCAAAGCTTCGACTTCGTGGAACTCAAGTCATTTCATCGGCGCTCCATCCTAGCTTCGTCCTCTTGATCATCACATCCAGTGTCCTCGGCATCACACCTTATTTCCAACCCGCTTCTCGTCTTGATTGAGGACGCTGGTGTCCTGCTGTGTGCTCTCTGGCCTATCTACGACTTCCTGGAGCACGGTCTACGTGCCGCTACGTTGCAACTCTGACCCCCTTCTCTGTGGTCCATGGACTTCCACCTTGACCTCCTTCGACTGTCCATGACTCTATCGGGAACGATTTTGGCTCAAGTACACCCAAAATCTGCTCCTCTTTTCGTCCCGACTGTGCCGTCTGGGCTTCTTCTGTTCCTCTCCAGGCCTATTTCCAACTTCGAGGGGCATGATGTATACTCTGCAGTGTTGTAGATCTGGTCCACTGTTCCAGCGTTCCTGAAGTCATGTTGTTGATCCATTGGTCTATTTATGAAGCACTGGGGCACATCGCACACTCCATCGCGTTGTGTACGTGATCCTCAACTCGTCTCTTCTGGAGTATCAGGAGTCTGACTGCAACCCCTCTGGCCTATCTACAACCCGCTGGAGCATGATGTACATTCCTCCGTGCTGTATAATTGGTTTCATCTTCTCAGATATCCGGAATCCTGCCGTATGCAGATGGCTTCGGAAATAGGCTCCTTATTTGGACACGGCTGCAGCATTTGGAATCACTCTATGACCCTCTTAGCCCTTTCACAATTTCCTAAAGCATGATGTTCATTCATCTGTGCCCTAAATCTGACCTCTCATCTCGGGTGCCTGGCACCCTACAGCAACCATACGGCTGTGGATATCCGTTCCTCCTTCGGTTTCGTCTGCAGGATCTGGTATCTTGCGGTGCCCCCCCTCAGGCTCTCTTGAGTAGAAAGTGGCAATCTAAGAATCTGGGATCCAATTTCAACCTTCCTATACTTCAAACGTACACCCACTCAAGGTTTCTGTACACTTGTCTAGCACCGCTTGAGATCTCCCGATAGGTTCTTCGGAGCTGCAAAACGACACTGTTGACAAGCCTGATAGCTGTCCGGGCCACCTGAGACGGAGTCAGAACAGACTACCGCATCATGTTCAACAAAGCGTGCCCCTGGGCTATTCACGACTTTCTGTAGGCATGATGTACTTTCCACCGAGTTGTATATCTAGCCCTCGCTTCTAGGCTCCCTGAAATACTGCCACAACCTGTCGCATTGTATATGCGCTCCTTCTTTGGATACGACTGCAGCATATGAAGCCGTTCTCTACCCCCTCTGGCCTATTCGCGCCTTTGTAGAGCTTGACGTAACATACGTCGAGCTGTATATCTCGCTCTCGCTTTTGGACTACTCGCTATCCCGCCACAAACTCTGGCGCCATATATTTGCTCTTCATCTGGACACGACTGCAGCACTTGGAATCATGTTGTGCACCCCCTGGCCTATTCAAGGCTTTCAGGAGCACGATGTAAAAACCGTCGATTTCCGTATCTGGCCCTAGCTTTCAGGGCATCTGGACGCTCCTGGACTACCTACAACGATGTGTCAATGTCCACAAGGCTCTCTAAAACAAGCTCTGATCTTAACTGTATTTTAGAATGTAATGCTAATTAGACTGTGAATTAGACTATGCACGAAATGCGGCTGGCGCCGTTGCGCCAGTGGGAACTTGTTCCGTGTGGGAGAATGGGAACAGGGGCCCCTTTGCTCCTTTTGTTGGGGCTATTTAAAGATGATGTACTCGGAGTAAGTTAGATTACGTTTTCGTTGTAATTGTTCATGCTAATGTATACGCTTTTGTTCTATTTAATCACGTTTACGTGTACGCTTTTGTTTTGTTTATTCACGTTTACGTATACGCCTTGATCTGTTTATTGACGTTTGTGTCTTAACTTCTGCTCTTTACATTCATGTTCTCTTCCTTTGCGAATGCTCTTTCAAGACTCCCTTGCTTTCCTACGCGTTACAATCGTAAGGCTGCCTTCAACTTGCTTTCAAGGGTCTAGATGAGATGTCACGTTTCGGAGCCTGTATTTTTCTCCTCTGTTTTCCTAGCATAGCGCACCTTTCGGACAGGCCTCAACTAACTTCTGTGATTAGCCATGGTTGGACCTGGGAGGAGGTAGTGAAGCCTCCCCTGGAGAGCCCTCCTCCGTCGTAAGTGATTTAGCCTATCTTGGACTAGCGCCTTGGCGACAACCCATATATCAGTGTCTCCCCACAACATCGCTGCACCCCACCTTCATCCTCACAACCTCCTCACAACCTTCTCATAAACATTGCACTTATATCTCACTAGTCCCCCTTCATCTCCTCCACCACCGCCACCCGCTCCAGTTCTCCAGCCATGGCCACCGAATCCGTTCCAACAGTGGGCGCTCTCGAATCCGACAATAAAGTGGCCGCACTGGAGCGCGCCAAACAGCATGGCTGGGCCGAGCCAATCCCATACAACTACAGCACCGCAGAGCAATCCATCGGCAACGCAGGCCCCGAACCAGTTTGGCTCTCAGACTCAGCCAAATACGAGTGGACCGACGAGTTCGGCGATGTCGGCCCCGCCAATGCCTCCCTGGAAGCGGAACTCTACCACGGAGAATTCATCATGAAGGAGGGCATCAATGTCCAAGCGTACAAGTTCGACGTGGATGTCAACGGTCCCCAGAAGATCCACCCTGTGCGCGATGTACGTGCCTCCTCCGCCCTCGCTTAACTCAGCCGCTGACCTGCCCTCCAGTTCGACGACGCTGGTCTCCATCCTGTGATGCGCGAGAACGTTCGTCTCTGTCAATACAATACTCCTACTCCAATTCAGTGCTACTGCATTCCTGCTGTTCTTCAAGGCTATGATGTCGTCGGCTGCGCCCAGACCGGTAAGTACCCACTCTCCCATCTCTGAAATGACCTGCTAACGCAATTTGCTAGGATCCGGAAAGACTGCTGCTTATCTGATTCCGATCCTTTCCAAGCTCATGGGCAAAGCGCGACAGCTTGCTGCTCCTCGTCCCAACCCTACTACCTACAACCCACTCACCGATCGCGTTCGTGCTGAGCCCTTGGTCCTGATCGTCTGCCCCACTCGCGAGCTGGCCTGTCAAATCTTCGATGAAGCTCGTCGTCTGTGCTATCGCACTATGTTGCGTCCCTGCGTTGCTTACGGTGGTGCGCCATCTAAGAACCAGCGAGAGGAGCTTGAGAAGGGCTGCGACGTCCTGGTCGCTACCCCAGGCCGCCTTTGCGACTTCATGAAGCAAAACAAACTCCTTTCTCTAGCTCGCTTGAAGTAAGTTGCTACCCATCTGCTTTCAGCACAGCAAACCGCTCACAATCCTCATAGGTTCACTGTTATCGATGAAGCCGACGAGATGCTTCAGGACGACTGGGAGGAGAACATGAGCTTGATCCTCGGTGGTGGTAAGTTTTACGGACCAGTCTGCTTATCGCAAGCGCTAACCAGCCTGCAGACTCTAACGAAGACGCGGACCACATGTACTTGCTGTTCTCTGCTACGTTCCCGAAGCAAGCCCGTGAGCTCGCCAAGAATTATATGTCCGACGAATACGTTCGCATCAAGGTCGGCCGCGTTGGCAGCACGCACACCAACATCAAGCAGAACGTTGTTTTCGTTGAAGACGCCGCCAAGAAGCAAGCTCTTCATGACCTGGTCTACTCTATGCCTCCTGGCCGTACCCTGATTTTTGTCAACAACAAGCGCGAGGCGGACTTGCTCGACGACTACTTGTACAACATGGGTCTCCCGTCCACCTCGATTCACTCGGATCGCACCCAGCGCGAGCGTGAGGATGCATTGTAAGTTCTTCGATTCTGGTATAAGGCTCGGTTCACTAACTGTCTTAGGCGCGCCTTCAAGATCGGCACTGCTCCAATCCTTGTGGCTACAGGTGTCACGGCTCGTGGGCTTGACGTCAGCCATGTGAAGCACGTCATCAACTACGACCTCCCTAGCTCTACCCATGGCGGAATCCACGAGTACATCCATCGCATCGGCCGCACCGCTCGCATTGGCCACGAGGGTATCGCTACATCCTTCTACAACTCTCGCAACGAGGACATTGGCCCAGATCTCGTCAAGATTCTCATCGAGTCCAAGCAGGAGGTCCCCGACTTTCTACAGGAGTACGTCCCCGAGACGGTCACCTGGGAGGAGGACGACTCCGAGGAAGAGAATGCAGGTTCTGATGGCGGTGCCGGCACTACTCCAGTTGCCGAAGAGACGGGATTCAATGCTGATGAACCTGCTGGCGAGGCCACGGAGCCCTCTGGTGGCTGGTAGATCTCTGACAACGAGCTGACCAGGTCGATCGGACACTCCCCACACACACCCCACATCACACTTCCCCATGCACACCTCTCCATGCACTCCCCCCACTTACACTTTTCTTTATGCTTCCTCACGATCGCATGAACGGGTGGATGACTACTTTCTTTTGTTACTGGGACTTTGGTTGTGTATACGACGAGCTGGAATATCTGGTCATTGATCAGTTGGACGGAAAGGGCTGCCTTCTGGTGGTGCTTACCTTGCCCGACCATGCTCTGTTGTTTCACGGCTTTCTTTCTTTACCTTTGATTGTTTCATGGATTTTCTCGAGATGGATCAGGATCTCAGCGCCTTCGGGATGCAGAACGATGCCTTTTCCTTACTTCTCTTGCTCCATGTAAATAGTCTCTTTTGCTCGGCTCTTCTTGCGATCTGGGGATTGGACGGTCATGCCATCGATTGTAAGCCCGGGTTCCGTACGGCATTCGAGGTCACTTTTCATAAATAAAAATAAGAACGACAGCTTTTCTGGTTCTTGAAAACAGTCCAATGATGGTGATTTGATTGTTTTGACTACGGCTCTTTCCGCTCATTCTAGCTTATGAGATCGTCTCCAGGGATCTACTTTTGATAGAAGCAGTTTGCTATCCTAAGATATCCCAAAATCACCAGCAGCCTCTTCCTCTCACTACCCCGCCATCCCCATTCAAGGAACGCGATGACATCACCCAAACGCGAAACTGACGCGCCAAGATTTCGGTCTGGCTTTCTCTCGGGTTCCGGCAAATGCTCGGATAGCGCGCCCGCCGGTAAGTTGGAAGGCACACACAGGGGTGACAGGCAAACACCATCAAGCTTCCAAGCGCAGAAATCGGAAAGGGGACTTTCATCGTTTCTTCTATCCGCAACACATTATGGACAGTCATCCAATCCGATGCAATCCACTCCATGCCGTACATATATCCGTAGGGCAGAGCTGTGCTCCATGCCATCCATTGCCATACCATGCCGTGACCCATAACCGTGACCCATAAGCCATACCATAATGTCTAAACTCATATTTGCTCGCTCGCTCGCGCGCTCGCTGAAATGCATGATTCGAACAACAGAAAAAGAAAAACAGAAACAAAGCACCACTCTCAGAAGCCTACTCCTCAAAGCTCCCTCCTCTGCTCCTCATAAAGCACCATCTCGCGCCCGTGCTGGCCGCCCCTCTTCACGCGGTCGATGCCTAGATGCTCGAGCCCATCGCGGCCGACGTGGATGCCGAAGCCGTACCTGATCGCGCCGGGATCTAGGAGGCTCATGCGCTTTCCGCCCGCCTCCTCTTCATCCCCCATGGGGGCTTTGCCCTTACCCCTCTTCTCAGCGACAGGAAGCGCAGATGGACCCGCCTCGTCCTCCTGGAGATTGCGGCGGGATGGTGTCGTCAGAGCCGTGAGGCTGCGCGCTGCCCATCCCTTCTCCATGTAGGCGGCGCCCATGAGTTTTGTGACGAGGTCGGCCTTGGTGTATGGCCTTGCGAAGGCGCGGTCGGTCAGGATTTGACTTTGGTAGAGCCAGCTGATGATCTCTGCGAGGGTGCTAGCGCGATGCGGGAGTGCGGCACGTCTGCGGTCGGGCAGTAGCGCGAAGAGGCTGATTGCGTAGAGGGCGAGAAAGAAGCACAGAGCGTAGTAGGCGGGGAGATGGGCTGCGACGCGAACTTGAGTGCTGTTGGGGTAGAATTGTGTCCAGAAGCAGCCGCCAGCGAGGACGGGGAGGGTTGCCGCTGTAAGAGAGACAAGGGAAACGAAGGCCGTGCGGAAGTGGCGGTTGGCGATTGCGGAGACGGTGACGGAGAGGGGAAGTCGGCAGGGGTAGTCGGCGAGGAGGGATGCCTCAGCCGTGGCGCCACCGGGAGCGGAGAGAGAGGCGTAAGGCTGGAGAGCTCGAAGAGAATAGTCGAGGGAGAGGAAGGCAAGGAAGAGGAAGTGGGCAATCACAGCGGGGACGAATGAAAAGAGGAAATTGGAGGCGGAGAATCCAGCTGATACGGAGTTAGTGTATGCTCAAAAGTACTCGGATAGGAACAACTTACCAGAATTGGCCCTTGCTGGAACCTGCGGTAGGAAGCCATACCTCGTCTTGCTGTTGACGAAGCTGACAACAAAGAATGCCAGGAGAAGGACAATTGCGATGACAATCCACATGATGACAAATGTGTCTTTCAGATACCAAGGAAGGTATCTCAAGCGCACACCTGCCGAGCGAATATCCATGCGGATGGAGAAGTCTCCGCGTTGAGCTTCGACATCTCCGGGTGCGGGATATTGCCGTTCAGGGGCCTTCTCCCGAATCCTGCCTTGCTCGATGGAGTACCGCCTCGTCGCTCCGCCCTCCTCTCCAATTCCGTAAAAGATGTCGTTAGTTCGTTTTGAAGTATGCCAGTAACCAATGCGATCTGTTCGGTTGCCCAGGCGTTGGCGAAACTCGTCTTCAACAAACGTCTCGGAGCCGCTGTAGTCGTTCATAATGTTCGATCGTTCGAGAAGTGCAATGATATCGGCAATAGACCGCGGATCCCACTTCAATCCGGTCGTCTTGCGGGTAATGTATGCTCCGAGGGCAGTTAGCGCAAGTATTAGTAGTATGTAGAGGACGGCGGTAGTCCAGATAACGCCCTGTACGGCAATCCATCTCCAACTCCCGGATGCTGTATGGTATCGAACGTTGAAAGAAGAGGCAAGAAGGGGTATAGTCCAGGAAAAGAGCCAGAAAATTACATAGCATACTCCGATAACTGGCTGGCCAGCCCGGAAATGCTCAAGTTTTGGAAGGAGGAATTGCATGGGATACAGTTCGAGGAAGACGGCTTCGGATCGCTGTTTTTGTGATTCCGATGCCATGGCGATGAAAGGTGCGGTTCTTTGTAGGGCGATTTGGATTTGGAAGAGCCATATTAGGATTATGATGCCAAAAAGGGTGGGCAAGTATTCAAAAACGAAGTATCGGTTGTCGCCAAAAGATATGTATTCCCAAAGACCTTGGTTCTGGTTCGAATAAACAGCGCAGAAGATGAGGCCGGCGAGCATCAGGAGGCAGAGGAACAGATAGAGTCCTAGCCAGACGGGTCTAAGGATGCCGGGCATGAAGTTGAGAGGAGGGTACTGAAAAGAGTTTGGCGATGGCTGGTAAGGAACGAAGATGTCTCGCTGAATTGGTGGATCGGGTTTCCTGGTAGCAGTATGCTGAGGATGCCGGGGTGGTAGTCCGCGAGATATTCTCCGTTGCCTGTCCCGTTCTTGAGCTCCGTATCCCAGGCCTTCGTCCGAGACTATTCGATCCACAGGATAGTCCTCATCTTCAGCCGTAGTGTATTGTCTGGACCCTCTCACTTCCTCGTCCCTTGTGAGCTGGTCGATGGCAAAGCGAATGTAGGGAGTATCGTCCATGCCGGGCGTCGTAGAGAGGGATTCGGAATCCATCGGATGTTGTATTTGGGAGAACTTGCTGTCCCTCAGCTCGGCGTCCTGGCCGTCGGAGGGTGAAGTCGGGACGGGCTTTCGAGCAATAGATTTCTCGCTGAATGTGGGTGATGTTGGAGATAGGTGGGCAGTCTGAGTCTGCGGGGGCAGTCTCTTCTTGCCAATGTTCACCGTAGGGAGGGTAGTCTCAGAGTGCACACGCTCATGGCTCTGTTGTGGGGTCCTGAAGCGTGAGGGTGGGGTCTGGAATCGGATATTTGTGAGCTTCGAGGGATCATCGCTCTCGCTCGAGTTGGGATCGGAGAGGGAGTAGAAGTCTTCGGAGGCGGTGATGCTCTGCTTGGAATCGGAGTGTAGTAATTGGGGACGACTGACTATATGCGACATAGCATTAGCATTCAGTTGGGGGCTTGGGAGACTGGATGGGCTGACCGTTGGTGTGCTTCAGAGAGAAGGGCGGCTCAAGGCTCATGACGCTTGCGCAGAATGTACAGGAAAGAGTGCAGTGGTGGAGGACGTTAACATGACAGCGGTATAGGGCGAGGAATTTGCTCTTGTATGCGGGGGGGCTGGTGGTGGGCTCTGTGCTTCACCAAATGCGAGTGGTTGGGACGAAAGATGAGGCTGGGGAATAGCCACATCACGCATCACCACGCAAACACGGCCACGCCTGAAACACCGACTAGCGAACACGACAGCGCCCTTTATTTGTCCGTCCCAATTTCATGTTTGCCCGTGGTGCTACACGCTTGCCGCTGTCACATCTCGGAGAATTGTCTCGCGATGCACAATGTTCATGGTCGCGAGGCTGGGGTCCGCTAAAGTGGCCGCTCGCTAGACTGCGACCGAGCGCCAATCAGCCCCCAGCAAAACTCAACACCAAACGACTATCGCGACTCCACATTTGGTATTGACAGCGAGTCCTGCGTGCCATTCGATTTGAAACTTTTCAAATACATACAACGAAACACCATGCCCCTCCTTTTGTCCATCCGCTCCTTCTTAGTGCACCGCATCACACCGTCAGCGTATAATTGGCATTGTTCCCCTCCACTCGCGGATACGCCTCAATTGAGAACGTAGTGCTCTTTCCCGACGGAGTAACATCCGCTACCGCCGATGCTGTGATGATGACGTGCGACGAGTCCCAGTTCCACTGGTTGGCGTATGTCTGCGAGCACATGAGCATACGTTCATCTTAATTGCTCTGTTGTCTTCAAGGCCTTCCTGGGAACAGGATAAAACAAGCCTTACCGTTCGGGCCTGTTGCAATGGCCCTAAATACACTGTCCATGAGTCTTGCAGGTACGTGCTGCCGCAGATTTCAAAATGCCCTTCCAAGTGATTGGAATGGCGAGGTCAGCTCCAGACACGGCCTTCGAGGTTGTAGAACCAAGCACTGGAACATCCCATTGGACGACCGTCACCACGAGGCTTGCGCCCGCGGAGAACGTAAGTGTGAAGTTGGTAACAGTGCCCGAAGCGGTGGAGCTAGAAATGAAAGATGAAAGCAGCGATGCTTTAAAGGTAATGTTTGACCCTACAACAACATAATCAGTCGAAGCAGCAACTTTTTTCAAAGAGCTATAACCGGATTCCAATGTGTTGCCATTGAGAAGGAATGGGAGGCTCTGCTCCGTTACGGGCGTGCTAGCTTTATGGTAGATGTAAGCTGAGCTCTATTGGCTGGTCGCTGCGCCGTCTGTAGTGCTATCCGAAAGGGAATTTGCCACGCCAGCAGTCGCATTGGTGAGAATATCAATAGCAACCTGGTCTCGCCATTTGTGCGAATTGCGGTCGAGGAAGTCAGTCCCGTTGTCTCAGAGCAGCGTTGCTGTATCGTATTTCTTTGCCATTCTGATGAGGTAGTCAGAGTACTTCCAGCAGCCGATGGTCTCGGTGGCAACAGGTGAGGCAGCCCACTCGCCGATCAGAAGCGGGACTTCAGTGGAGTTGCCCCTGATGTTGGCGATATCTGCTTCGAGGGTGGCCTTGTCGGAGTCGGAGCCCCAGGTTGTCTTGCCCCATGCGGAGAAGATGAAGTCATCTAGAGGATCCATTAGACATTTAAATAAGCAGAACGCTAGATCATACATACACGGAGAGTAGTAGTAGTGATACTGAATGGGCCACGGATTCGTGAATGATGAGTTTGGAGGTTCAAACCAAGTTGAAGACTTTACGCTGTCTTCTCCGAGCCCAACGAGAGTCACTACACGCTTTAGGTTGAAACCGCCCGCATCATTGATAGCTTTAATGAAGATATTGTTGAGCTTATTCAACTCCGCGGCATGTTCGGCGGTAGTTCCTGGTGGTTCGTTGATAGGCTCGAATGCAAGCAGCTATGACTTGCACGCTAACTTCGTTCCAATCTGGTACCATAAGTGATAGAACCGCTCCTCAATCATTGTTAAGTTAGCTCCAGACGCAGAGACATCAGCCCAGGTCCAAGAGTCGTGGTGAACGTTGACAATGGTATGCAATCCTCGAGAGGTTACCACGTTAACAACGTCTGATACTCGCTGCAACCAAGTCGGATCTACCGTCCAGTCCGGGGAGCTTCCCGTGAAATGATAGGCCTATGTTACTATCATGAGTTAGAAGCATGGTCTATCTTTGAGAAGTGGAGCTGACCTGGAAGCCTGACAATCTTGAATCCGGCAGCTTTCACGTCATCAAACGTGGCTTCGAGGACTGGTGGGTTGTTCCAATCGCCCTCAGTCCCGGTGGCATCCAACGTGTGTCCAAGACTCCATCCAGGGTTCAAAGCAGCCACGAATGCGGAGGCAGTGACCGGAGTAAACGTTTCGGTACAGGCCTGTGCTACTACGTTTCTCCAGCAGAGAGCGAGAGTTCTTAATAACAAGCTGTTCTTCATAGCAACGACGATCTTGGTTCGAGTTTAGCAAAGAAGATAATAGCAAAGAGAAAGAAAGATGCAGATGATAGACATCTCATGATGAAACTATATAACAAAATGCCATGACTGTAGCTTAATACACTACCACCGGGAGAAATATTGTCCTAGTGAAATTCCAAGGCCTTGTTTCGGAAGCGATCTCATGTCCCCGCAAACCCGCTCCGGAGAAACAAAACGAGATTGCTGTTGTCACTGCAAGCGCCAGACGTGGTATGCATTTTTCGAGACTGTAAGGATGATCGTAGCCAATTTTGATCAGTTTCAAAAACGCAATAAGGTCAAGCCGAGACTGCGTTTAATGTGGAGAAGGACAAGAAGAAAAACTTTCTAGAATAATTAAAGAACCCCTTTCAATTGGGCAGATGCAAAGCGCGTGTCATATATAACGGGCATGGTGGCTCTTTTAATTAAGCTCATCCCGGGTATGTCAATCTGCAGCTCCCGGCGGGCCGTTGCATCCAGATAGCCTACAATGATTCAGTCCGCCTTTGATGCCTTATTTTTCCGCCAAGTACCGCGGAGCTTGGGATCTCATGATCTGGTACTTTACTAAAGTAATGAGCGGATGTCGGAAGAGTTCGGAGGCGTGATGTTGATGGACGAAGGCGAATGAAGCAAGGTCGTCGCTCAGGGATATCTCGTGTCGTCCGTGCGTCTCAGGGCTTTGCGTGTGATTAGACGGCGCCTTGAAACGTGAGAGGAGACGTATTGGATATCGTTCAGCTAATATAACGCTTGACAACAGGACTTCGAAACATAACCTCGCCCTCCAAAGGAATCCCTCCATCCATACAATTGCCATATTTGACTCGTTAATCTTGCATCATTCTCATCCTCCCATTAACATTCATTGATTCTCAGTACTTCCCCCCTTCAGTTCCACGGATCTTGTCAAAAACCTCCTGAGTATGCGCCCAAACAGTCTTTCCCAATGCTTGCGCCCGATACCCCTTCAAGCGCTCATTTTCCATCCTCTCTCCATTCCAGCTTAACCAATACGCACCGCTGCCCTTGACCCCATCACTCCCAAGCGCTGCGCCCTCACCAGCCTTCGCCTTCGGTGGATATGTCTGGCTTGTAGCGGCGTACAAATGCCGCTCTCCGCTTTCTGGAAGCGGCACCATGAACGGCTTCAGGACAGTCATCAAAATGCCAACGCCTACTCTCAGTACAGGTCCAAATGTTCTCGCAAGTCCAGTATTAACGAGTCCTGGGAACGCATGCACAAACGCTGTGTTCGGGTTTGCAGCAGCCATCGTCTCCACTGCAAAGTCGTTGAAGGCACAAGCATGTGCTGCGCAGTTGCCAAGAGTGAAATGCGTCTTCAAACTCAGATCGTCGAGGACCAAGCCAGTTCGGATATTGGGATCGAGAACAGAGACGACTCGGGAAAGAGGGGTAGAGGTCCCCGCAGCAGTAAGTTGAGGTAGGAGATTTTGTGCGAACCGCCAGCGTGCGTAGTAATGCAAGCTGAATTTCCGATCAAGGCCTTCAGCGGTTTCTTCGCGTCCTTTCGTAGTGAAGTAGCCCGCGGTCATGAAAAGGAGGTTGACCTTGGGCTCCCTGGCTTGGATCTCGCTGCACGCTTTGTCGACATTACGGAGGAGGGAGAGGTCTGCTTTGACGAAGGTGGTTTTGCTCTCGGGATTGATTTTATCGAACTCCTGCGTTATTTTGGTTGCTTCTTCCTGATTGCGGCCGACGAGATAGACCCGCGGGGCGGTCGTGTTTTTGACGAATGCTCTTGCTGTGGAGAGACCAATCCCGCTGGTGCCGCCTACAAAGACGGCGACGAGGCCGGGTCCTAGATCTTTAAGAGCGGCGTTGTTCGACCGAACCGTTTGAATAGTGACCATGTTCGGAGCGCTTCGATTTTCTTGTTTTGAACTAGATGTTTGAAAAAAATATTAGAATGGTAACAGCAATTTGATAACGGTGAAGAACGGGCTGGAGCAAGCTATGTATAGGTAACGGCTCGTGCGGGTTTCGTCCGCGGCACGACGCGTAATTTCTTGATGCCTGCGTTGAAGCCAAGCTTATGCGCCGTAAATCATATCGCCGCAAGTTATGGTCGGCGAAACCCTATGAAGAAGCCGATGGATTTGGAGACTTCGTACCTCTGCCGCAGTGTCCCTAGAAGAGTAATATCAGGAGATATGCTCCAAGTGCAGACCCTCGCGGTGGCTGTGTCAAAAAGTCTAGAACAGTATGGCCAAGTTAAATAGCTAACAACGTCGAGAAAGACCCGTCAAATCGATGAAGATGCGATGAAGAACGTGATGGCATGATGGGACTTCGGGATGTTGTCGGTCATAAGTAATACTTTGTCCCGCAAGACTAATCTCTTTTCGGCACGATGCGGCTTTTGAAAATGTGCATGCATAAGGAACCATTCCAAGCCAGGGTCTTCAGAACGATTACTTTCTTAGTTTGTGTTAGAAAATCCTCTTATGTGCTCTCATATCTCAGTCTGAAATAAACGTATTCTCAATTGATCAAGAAATTAAATCACGTTTCATATATCCCTCCTGACGAGTTTCCTGGTTTTCGCTCCTCTGTTAAGAGGAAAGAGCTTGACAAAATAGATTTTCAGAGCTGGCCAACTCCTGCCTATATATGGTGCCACGTTGAGTGCTTCTAAGAGCTTCCATACTTCCTCACCAGCCCCTTCATGATACTAACAGCACCCGACCTGTACCCACCCCCAAATAGCGCGTAATGATTAAGGTGGTGATACCTGCTCAACCGTCAGCTTCCTCTTTCACGTACACAGATAAAAAGAGACACTTACAATTCATACAACGCTACCCGATCCTCATACTCCTCGACCGGCTCCGTCTTTGGTACCAACCCGTGATACTCCTTCAAGAAACTGCCCCCAAACCCCCCAAACATCTTCATAATCCCAAGCTCGAACTCGCTATGCGCATAACACGCACTGGAATCGTAGACTACCTCTTCTGCCTCTCCCTTCCCTGCATCCGTGCCAAATACTCCAACCCCCGCATTCCCACTCCACAAATCCCCATGCACGACTACTGGCACCACTCCCTTGCCTCCATTCAGATGGTCGTCTCCGAGCAGCCGCGGGACCACCTTCGAAGCTGATTTCTCCACTAAATCGTGCAGTTCCCCATCCTTTCCATTCGCAGCCTCCGCGCGACGTAGGATGAAGCGCAACCGGTTCTGGGCGTAGAATTCCGCCCATGAACTCTTGAAAGAGTTGTCTTGAGGCGTGTCGCCGCAGCAAGTCGTGGCGGGAAAGCCGAACTGAGGCTTATCGTAGCCATCCGGGATGGGCGCAGGGGTGGTGTGGAGACTTGCGAGTTTAGAGGCTAGAGAGGCGGTGCTGGAGGTGGATGAGCGGCGGGATGTGAGAGTGAGGAAGTCTGTTACTAGAAAAGAGGTCCCTGCAGATGAGGTGAAGGAACCCCAGCCGAAGGATTGGGGACACAGGGTTGGCACGGCGGTGTGGATTGCGTTGAGGGAGGCGTGTTCGCCTGGGGAGGGATTAGTGGTTGGACCTGATGGGAACGGGTTGAGGAATGTATAGCATTGAAGTTTGAAAGGAGAAAGAGAGGTGAGCAAAGAGTGTGTGGGAGGTGGAATATGGGCTCTAATGTGAAATCCGATGTTTTCATTTTCAAGACCGCGTTGGAGATGTGTTAAAAGTGATATGTAAGAGCCAAACGAAACGCACAAACCTTCAAACATAACCTTTGCCTCCTTCCCACTACCCGTCTTCATAAAGAAACACCTCTCCTTCCCATCGCTACCTTTTTCTGTGATCTTTGACGTAGACGCCGACGAACAACCCCCTCCACCGGCTGAGGAAACGGTGGTGTGTTCCGGGTCCAGAGAGAGCAGTTTGACCACGGCGGGATCGAGCTTCATGACGGACTGTCCTAATCGGATTGACCCTTTGCGTAGGGATGAGAGCATGTACTTTCGGTCATGAAGATGTTAGCGACACAGGTGGGATGGTGGGATGATGTTGAGACCCCTTGTGTGATATGACGTTGAAGGCTCCGGTGGTCGGTTAGACTTGCCGTTTTCATCGTTCACCCAAAAGATTTGAAGCCCACTCTGTCAGCTCTCTAGGCGCACAACTAACACACGCAGGGCAACGCATTTAGAGTATCGCACACGTCTATTACCCTCGCCACCATTATGCACCTATAATACAATAGTCGCCATTCCATGCGCGCCAAATTCTGATCTCCATTTTCCCACCAGGTGGGTAGAAGAAAAGAGATATCCTGCAACCCAGCACTCCGTTAACCTCGCACCAACGCACGCCCTTTTTCCAAAGCTAAGGCAAGAAGAGATCCAGACGTCTCAGCTCGCAGTCAATTCGCTTGAACAAAGACAGGAATGCACAGAAGAGGAAAACAAAGAAGAGACACGAAGCTTTCGGGGGTATAAAAGCAGTTTCCCACACGCTGTCGCTGCCGCTGCCGCTACCGCTGCCGCTGCCGCTGCCTCTACCGCTGCCGCTACATCGCAAGACAAAAAAAAGGAGGGCGGTATGTGAGCACATCCCGCAAGGCAAATCAAGAGAAAGCAAGAAAGGGAAGATTTTTGTAGGTCCAGCGCCGTCTGCCCTTCTTCGTCTATCCGCAAAGCCTATTTTATCTTTTCCGTCTTCACCAATTGACCCAACTAAATCTTAATTGGTAGAGTGAGCAAGGGCCAGAAAAGATTTGTAGATTTTGGAGGATGAGGAAGAGCTTACCGCCACGCAAAAGTGGACTAGAATATGATACGGAAAACCATGCTGATAGAAGTATGTTACAGGCTGACGACCCGTGCCGTCAACTTCCCCTCAAATTAGCCCTAAAAAGCCCGGAAGGAAAATCCAAATATGTAAAGCAGTCTCTGCACGCCGACGACCAAGGGGTGGATCTGGTGTAGATGGGCCATCATGTTGTCATAAGAAATATATCCCAGTGTGGTCGTCAGATGGCGATGGTGTCGTCCGTCGATGTAATGGATTGCCTCAATTGAGTTCAGCGACGCCGACTTTGCTGTCGATGTGCAGTGTCTCTTGTGCAGACATCTTTGATACGAAATTTTCATGTCGATGGCTTCAATAGAGTCTTCAGTACATTCCCCGGCTGGTCTGACTGGCCCGACTCGGAGAAGTCCTGCTACGTTCGTCTTCTTCTAGAACGTCGCTCAAGCGAGTTGGATGATGGTGGCGCATAGCAGCCCACTCGGTTCCATAGCCAGAGCCGCTGTAATCAACGGGTCCAGCAGTCTGGTAGCCAGCCTGGCCTGGAGCAGGAGGATACGCAGGTCCAGCGGTGCTGGTAGCCGCACCATAACCACCCGATGCTGTGCCATAGCGGTTTAGGTGTTCAATCTCTCGCTGTCGATCTGCTTGTACGTCAAATTCATCCGACTCGGATTGGCGAAGTCGGTGCTCCCGGTATGTGACTCGATGGCCTGATTCGTCAAGAACGAAATTTCCTGATCCGTCGATTACATATTCTTCATCGCCTTCCGAGGTCACGTCACCTTGAGATTCGACATATGATCGCTCGTCCTCGGGGATGTTAGCAGCGGTGTCTTCATGCAGGTAAGTTCCTGGCTGCTGGTAGAATGCTTCGGGCTGGGATGTGGTTGGCTGGACTGCAGGCTGTTGAGCGGTCGTGCGGTGAGGTTGTAACGGAGCTGGCGCTTGAGATTGACTCTGTGCCGGTGGAATAGCAGTGCGTGCAGTTGAACTCGATGTTCCGCCTTCGCTGCTGGTCGGGTAGCCTCCATATGTACCACGACCAAGGGCGGGGACATCCGGCTCGTGGCGAAGACCTGATGTTTGTTGTCGTGCAGATTCGCCATATGGATCGGTATCGGTGGGCGAAGCAGCTTCTTCATAGGAGTACTGGGGTTGCAGACCTTGCGTACCACCCGACTGGGCGCCCTGGGGCAAGCTGCTGTAACCTTCATCTCTTGTTGAAGGTCGCTGGGATACGCTTCCGTGCCTGCTAGCCATGCCCGCTCCCATGGGCACCACTTGAACGCCGCCGACTAATGTAGGCTGGCCATCTCGAAGTGATTCAGTGCGAGCTCGCTCTTCTGCTTCACGACGGCCTAGCTCCTCCCATGCTCTACGTGCTTCCTCTTTCGAGATCTGAAGCTCACGTCGCATCTCAGCTACCATCCTGTCAGCATTGTTCTTCTCCCTCAGCAAACGATCCGCATTGGCGGCGCCGTCAGCACGGGCTTGGCGTTCAACCTGCAATTCAAGCTCCAGCCCCGCTTGCATCTCTTGTGATCGCTCTTGGTCCTGTCTGTGCTCGAAGAACCAGCGCTGGAACTTGCGCTCTGAAGAGGCTCGAAGTCGTTGAAGCTCAACAACGGCGTGGAAGAGATTAGCCCCAGCTGCGGACAGATCAGTGATCTGCCGCGACATTTGCTGCGCTAATGGCTCTCGCCGGACTTCTTCAGTGTTCTGTTCCAGTCGTCGAATCCAATACGACGTGAGGCCCTCCCAATGAGATGACAGAGTCTCCCATCGTTCAAATGCATGAGGGAATGAAGACACATTTGTCGTGTTCCGTGAGTGGCCTCCTACCGAGGATGGACCACCTTGAGTTTGCTGTGGGGGGACCCCGATGGGACCTTGACGGGCTTGCGCAGCAGCTGTCGGAGCTGACGGCTGGCGCGCATGAGCTGATGAACCTTGTGGTCGTCGCGTAGTGTCAGGCATGCCTGTGGCGGGTGCTGGAGGATTTGTGGGTCGCGGCTGCTGTTGTGATTGTGATGTTGCCCGAACCCGGCCATATTGCGCGCCTGCAGTTGTGTCCGGAGCTTGCGATGGAGCGAGAGGGTTGACGGGTCCTCCAGATGCAGGAACGCGCTCGGCCTCTCGTGGCAGACCTCCTCCGCCCGTGTTCTGTCGAGTCCCGTATCCACTGTCGTCAGTTGGATTTCTGAGAGGGGTGTTCTGTGGTGGTTGTCTCTGGCTGGCTGTGCCAGCAACGCCAGCAGCTTGTGCTCTTCGTTCCGCGCTCTTCCTTCGCTCGTCCTCCTGTGCCCGCCGTTGCTGCTCCTCGGCAGCTCTCGCTGCGTGTGCCTCGGCAGCGCGTCGTTCCTCGCGCTCTCGACGTGCGGTCATGATCTCTCGTGGTGTCATGATGCCGGGTCGTTGGTCTTGCGCTGCGGTATTGCCTTGCGACACAGGGACGGGCCCTGCGGTTGTGCGCGCGCCGCCATTCGCAGCGCGACCATTGCCGGTCGACCCCCCCGCCAGCTCTGACATGGAAGCGTTCTCCTCAGCAAGGTCGGGAGTGAAAGGGTATGGGTGTTGCAGAGCTTCTTGGAGAGTGAACTGGATGGCAGCTGCAGTGCGTCTGGAGATGCGGAGGGCAGGGTGAGGAGTGAAGGGGTCTTGTGGGGCAGTAGGTGAAGCTACGCGAGGACGGGTGAACCGAGTAGTGGTCGCTGGGTCGCTGTCGTCGGCGAACCTTACGGTTGGGGGCGGTCTAGCTTGGTTCGAGTCGAAGGACGAAGCTCTGGGACGGGCACGCGGCTCTTCGAAGTTCGGGGTGCGCCGGAGGGTGTACGGGCTGCTACCGGAGGAACTCGAGACGCGTGAAAGGTTCTGTTGGCGGTAGTATTCCTGAGCTTGCTGCTGGCGTTGCTGCAGAGAGGTTGTGTAGGGTTCGTTAACGTTGCGGTCGTGGGGATCGTCAGATGGTTGCTGGGTTGGCAACACGGTGACGGGTGAAGGCGGGCCCGGGGCACTCAATGCGACTCTGGTCTCAGGCCCGGCGACGTCTGGCGGGTGGGCAGTCGCAGCCGCCGATGGCGAGGCTCGCGGGCGAGGGAGCGCGCGTGGTGGTGAGGATGGACGGCGGACGGACGAGCGCGATCCTAGGCGGCGGGCTCAGAAAATGGGGGATTGCCTGGTATGGGCGAAGTCAGTATGAGGAATTGCAAGGGAGCAGCAGTCATTGTCACTCGAACGGGCGTGGTGAAGCGGGTGGCTGGGGAGGGTGAATAAATCGAGGAGGTTGGGCGATAGATGGCTGGGAGTCTAAGCTTCACTCACGCCAAGCGAAGTGTGCTCACAGGACGAGCCAGTCGCCGCACCAGCCGTGGCGTCTGCTGCTGTCTCGTCGCTGGAGCGCCGTGGGCCTGCGCAATTCGCCGCCGGCGACCGACTCGACGTGCTGGCGGTGTGTCCAAAGCAGGGCGGGCGAGGTTGTATGCACGATGCGATGATGGCCGCGATGCCACCCTTCGTCACCGTTGCCTCCGGGCTCCAGCCACAGCGGGCGGTGCTGGCGACGGCAGACTGCGATGGCGACGGGCAGGAGACGGCAGCGAAGGCAATTGACGGCGTGGAGAGGACATGCTACCGCGCGCGCGCGTGTCGTGAGGGTTGCGCTCCAGTCGAGGGGTCGAGGGCAGCGCGGTCGAGGGCGGCTCTTCGGGGCTGGCAGCGCACAACGGGTCGAAAATGGAGTGTGCGGAGACCAGATGCATCGGCGACAGAGCGGCAAGGCGGCGACAATGGAGTCCAGTGGGCGACTGCAGCGCCATCAGAGACAGGGCGATGCGTCCAGAGCCTCCCCTCACGGCGGCCTCACGCCTTCGCGATGAGTGCCAACGCATCCTGCATGCCCTCGCGTGCCTCGTCATCTTTAGCCGATCCAGGCCAGGGCCCGCGCCGGCATGCATCGACGGCCAAGCTCGCAAGTAAGCAGGACGGCCCCATGATGCACGAGGGCGCGGCTCCGAGGCGTGCGCGGGAGGCTGAGGCGTGAAGATATCGAGGCACTTGCGTGTGTGTATGGACAGGCACGAGCAGTCGATGCCGTGAACTGGCCACGGCCTGCTCCTTATCGGTCCTCCCCCATCCGCTCCCCTCGGAATGCGGCGTCATCGGCCAACAGCGCGCGTGGCCAATCATGCCGCGAACCGCTCCTCTGCCCTCTCGCGGTCTAGCTGGGATCCTGTGCGGCTGCTACAGTCCCAAGAGCTGCACCGCGACTCGTGGCTGGAGAGACCCTGAATCGCTTTCCACGGGCCCTTTAGATGCGTCCCATGAGTCCTAAGGTCCGGATCCAAGTCGGCAGGGCGTTGCGTCTGAAGGATGCGGAGCCGAGACCATCGAAAACGGTGCATCTCGAACGAGATCGACGTGGTGTTGTGGCCTCAGGCTTCATATGACAGGGCAGCATCAGGTAACGCGTGGGAGCCAATTGCTCCAGCTTTGATATCGTAACTTCAGGTAGCACAGAGCAAGCAGTAAAGATAATATATAACTGAGTTATATTCCAATAGATGAACTGGTTCTACGAACTACAAGTGAAACTGCCCTCGTTGCGTGACCAAAGGCCCCTCAAGGAGTTGCCATAGATCAGTCAACTCCACCCGAAGCTTGCTCACTTGACTGGAAGCCCCGTGGCTTGCCCGTCCCACTTCGTTCCTTTTACAACACTAGAGAGACTCGCTGAAGTGCTCTTTGAAACAAAAATCCCGCTATGCTGCTAACCTTACAATGCGAAGAAACCCGCAACCACCACAGCCACGAGACTCATGCCGACGCCAGATCGGCTCGCCGCACCCTCAAAGGCCAACGGCGTAGTCGAAGCGTAGGGTAGCCCCGTGCCTGAAGTGTACGGCACACTACCACTCCCACTCGCGCTCCAGACACCTGTGGGTGCAACATATCCTCCAATCACGCTCGATACACCCGTAGGAGCAACAGAGCCTACACTCGGCCCACCAGTCTCGCTAACCTCCTTATACGGCACCGGGGACACCTCCATTGTCACAACCTTCGTGACATAGCTCTCGCCGCTTGGAGACAAAGAAGCAGCCGCCGCCGCCGCCGTTGGCACCGAGGGCGCTGGTGGAAGCGTGCCCGGGTAGACGGTAACGTACGCGGTCTGAACGCGAGTCGACAAGATTGTCGTAAGGGAGGTGTAGGCCGCCGCTGTCTCGCTGACGGCGTATGGAGTTGGCTTCGCCTCAACCTCGGTGGTAGCGTACGCAATTGGCTTCGTGAGCGTGACGGTCGTGGGTGCCGGGCCGCAGTTCTCACAGACAGTCACGGTAGTGTACCAGCCAGCGGGAATGCCCGTGGTGGCAGTGGCTTCAGGGCAGACTGTGGTGGTGATTGTGGTCACGATTGTTGTGAAGCCGGTTGGGCAAATGTCAACGTAGGAAGCTAGGGAAAATTAGCTCGCGTTGAATGGAGGAAGTCAAGTGGCTTACTGATAATAACGGTTGTTGTGACTTCGGACGTTGAGCTAGATGACGAGTAGGCAGCCAGGGATGTGATTGAGCTCTCTGGGACACCGGTAGGGTACACGAATGTCGATGGCAACACACCGGTGTTGGAGCTACTCGGGACGTAATGAATGTAGGAGTACACCGAGCTTGGGGTCTCGTACGGAGTCACGAACTCGGTATAGCTGGAAGTTGTCGACTCAGCGGTAGGGTAGACCACTGACGAAGGATAAACCACTGACGAAGGATAGACTTCGGACGAAGGATAAACTGCAGATGATCCAGGGGTGCTAGAGGGGTAGCTCGCGGTAGAAGATTCCGTCTCGGTACAGCTAGACGTCGGGCTTTCAGAGCCACTTTCAGGGTGGACTGCTGACGACTGGGAAGTGGTGCCAGGATAGACTACGCTTGAACCAGAGGTGGTACCGGGGTAGATCGCGGTCGAAGATTCGCTGCTCTCGCTACAGCTTGTACTTGTGGATTCGGTCGCAGTGCTTCCAGAGTAGAACACGCTGGACGCGGTCGTGGTGCCTCCAGGGTAGATCACGCTGGACTCAATGCTTCCAGAGTAGCTTGCAGTGGACGCGGTTGCGACAGATGAAAGGGAATTAGATTCAGTTGTCGTTGGGTAGGCGGCAGAGGTGGACGAGGAAAGCTCGCTGGATGAAGCCACTGATGACCCTGATTCAGTGGTTGGCGCAGGCGAACTGCTAGACACAGTTGATAAGACAGAGCTGCTCAGACTGCTTGACGTAACTGTGCCAGATAGATACACTGCGGAGGACGAGGAAGAGCTGCTTGACGCAGGTATGCTTGAGGCCGAGCTGCTTGACGCATTTGACGAGACGGAGCTGCTCAGGCTGCTTGATCCAGCTGTATTAGTCGGATACACCACGGTGGACGACGACAGGCTGCTTGATACAATTGTGCCGGAAAGCGAAGGCGAGCTGCTGGACGCAATTGATGAGGCAGAGCTACTTAGGTTGCTCGACGTAATGGTATTAGTTGGATACACCGCGGTGGATGACGATGAGCTGCTTGACACAGGGGTGCTGGAAGGGTAGACCGCGGCGGACGACGAGGAACTGCTTGATACGGGTGTGCTAGATGGAGACACCACCAAGGACGAGGAGGAGCTGCTTGACGCGGGTGTGCTAGAAGGGTAGACCGCGGCAGACGACGACGAGCTGCTTGACACAGGGGTACTAGAAGGGTAGACCGCGGCGGATGACGATGTCAACGAGGAAAGCGAAAGACTGGGGGTCTCCGCCACAGAGATTGAAACGCTACTGGAAAAGGTTGCCTGGGAAGAAATTGGAGAAGGCGATGATGACGAGGACGAGGATGAGGTGATTTTGCTCGAACTGGGGCTCGGGGATGGCGTCGTTGAAGTTTTCGTGGACGATGGAGCCGAAACCGCGTTGGACTAATAGCGAAAATCACACTTAGTAAACGTTCACCAGCGAGGAGAATGGAATAGATACTAGGTCCCCCAATATTTGAAAGTTTTCCAAAATACCACTTGGGTGGGATTATAACACACGTTTAAGTGGGTATCTAGACGCGACTTATGTGGTTTTATGCACACGATTCGAGTAGTACTTTAGGAGAGCCGACAAAAGAGAACCTAGTATAAATGCCCGGACCTTAACGTACGCTGCTCGTCTTTACACTGGATGAACTCGTCTTTACTGAGCTGGTTGACACCGGTTTAGCGGTGCTCGAAGACTTGAGAGTCGTCAGGGTTGTCGAGATCTTAGTGCTGGACTAAAGGTCGAGAAGAATTAGTAATATTCATCAAAGGATATGATTTGGCGTGGAAATGGATCCCAAGTATACGTACAGAAATCTTGGTGGGAGAGGACAACGGCTTCGTGGAAGATGATGAGGTCTTGGTCTAAGCGTAAAGTGGAGTTAGCAAAGGTACACATGGGACGGATTGAGGTTGACACTGCCTCAAATGCGATTCTATGAAACCAGCACGTGAGGATCGGATGTGTGGCAAGAGTACGTACCGAGCTTGATGAGGCCTTTGTGGACGTGGACAGCTTCGTAGACGTGGATGATGCCTTGGTCTGAAGTGGGCACAGTCAGCAAGGGTGTATTAATGGGGCATATAGGGATAACTGGGAGATCCTCCTAGTAGGTCCGTTCATTTTCAAGTCCACATGAGTGGCACTTCCGGAAACTCGACAACGGAAGATCCTAATCACAGCATGTTCACTCACCGAAGTTGATGAAACCTTAGTAGATGTCGACGAGGCCTTGGTAGACGTTGAAGATGCCTTGGTGGAGGAGCTTGAGGTTTTGATCTGACGCGAGAGCATATTTAGCAGAAGTTTCAAAAGGAGTGAGAAAGGGACAGATCCCAGATCCTCCTAGCACGCAACAGCTTAGAAGTACCACACGATTTAGCGTGAGACACGATTTACGTGAGCATTCATGTCAGTCGAAAAAAGCTATTCTAGATGCTTTGTGCCGGAGAATCTGACATGTGCCTCAATGCGACTTACCGAAGAACTTAAAGTCTTGACAGATGAGCTACTCGCCTTTGTAGATGTGCTGCTCGCCTTCGTGGACGTGCTGCTTGCCTTCGTGGACGTGCTGCTTGCCTTCGCGGACGTGCTGCTTGCCTTCGTGGATGAGCTGCTCGCCTTTGTGGATGAGCTGCTCGCTTTTGTGGACGTGCTGCTCGCCTTCGTGGACGTGCTGCTTGCCTTTGTGGACGTGCTGCTCGCTTTTGTGGACGTGCTGCTCGCTTTTGTGGACGTGCTGCTCGCCTTTGTGGATGAGCTGCTCGCCTTCGTGGATGAGCTGCTCGCCTTCGTGGATGAGCTGCTTGCCTTTGTGGACGTGCTGCTTGCCTTTGTGGACGAGCTGCTGGCCTTTGTGGAGGAGCTGCTGGCCTTGGTTGACAGAGTGCTGGTCTTGGTCGAGGTGGCCAGAGTGCTGGTCTTAATGGACGAAGTGCTTGCTTTCGCGCTGCTCGTCGTGGAGGTCTTTGTGGTTGAAGCGGATCCGCAAGTTCCGAATGCGGGCAGGCAGCCTGTTCCGCAGTAGTCAGAGGTAGAACCGCAGTACCCATATTCGCTACAGCAATTGCCAAAACCAGATCCTTGGCAAGTGTATCCGTAGTTTGACGGGCCACAAAGACCATTCGGAGACACACCACCGGTAGGGGTAGGTGTAGCAGTTGATGTAGTAGTGGGGCATTTGTCGGTGTAGGCAGTCCCTGAATAGGCGCTGTTCAGACTCTTCTTGATCCAGTAGGCGTAATCCTGAGAGCATTGTATGTTCAAGCTGTCGACGGTCGCCTCCCAGAGCATAACACCACCAAACGTGGACGGATATTTCTTTAGGTACTCGGATATCACAGTGTTGGCCTCCGTGGTATTAAGATAAGACGCGGTATCGTATGGGGCACCATCCGTCCCGGCGGGCTGTCACATAATGTTAGTGACTGATTAGGACAAGGACTGTGGTAAAAACTTACGATGCCCAGGTAAACCTTGGCATTCTTGTTCGCCGACAGGGTGGTAACACGGGAGACCCAGCTGTCAAATGTGAAAGTGCTCAGACCGTTGTATGCAGCACGAGCAGAACACGAAGGGGTGTTGTAGAATTGCACGTAGAGGAAATCAAAAGGAGCATTTAGCATCGCATCGTCAAGGTGAGAGTCCGGAGTAATGCACTGGGGTGCACCGGAGATGTAGTAAGTTCCAGCTGCAGTCGGGTAGAGAACGTTCTTGAAATGGTTAATCATATCCGCATAACCTCGAGACTTGTAGTCTGAGAATGGGGGAGACGCCATATCACTCTCAATGTCGAAGTCAAAACCGTCGACAACAGCACTGCCAAACGGTCTTGGGCTTCCAGCGGCGACCCATGATGCAGGTGGAGAGGTGATCGGTCCAAAAGCTCCCCATAGGAATTCAGCGAAGTAGTTGGAAATCGCTGTGGTGGGCAGAGTGTAGTTTGTCGGGTAGGCGCCGCCGAGAGAAAGAATAACCTTCTTCCCATACGTAGTCTGGCACGATGTGATAGCGGGACCTATATCCGGGCAATGGGATTTGAGATGGGTAATGGTGCCATCGGGGGCAGTGAATGTTTCGTCGCCACAAGCATTTGCTAGATCAGTTAGCACACACTTCACCCACATACCAACCATATGCGACATACCAAAATTCGATCCAGGATATCCGCCGACTTTGGTAGGAAACTCATTGATGAAACCCAACACAACAACATCGACACTTGGGTTCTGACACACTTCCAAGAGTGGAATTTGATTGCTGCCTTGGCCCTAATTCGTCCAACATCAGTCAAGTCAAGCAACGAGGTCACAATTTGGCTATGTACTAACCCAGTACATAACTACATTAGTAGACGCAGCGGCATCGAACGCTGCTGAGACAGAGGTAGCGAGAGCGCTTGCCAAAGCAGCGGCGCGGGCAAAAGTCGTTGAACGCATTGTGGAATTAAGAACTCAAATTATGAACTAAAGGTAGAATAGCGAGTGGATTGAGAGGCTGAAGCCAGTAAAGATCGTGGTGACAGTAATGTCAAAAGAAAGGACGCAGACGAAAGTCCACAAGAATTGCAGCAGCGCAACCTCTGAAAGAGTGACTGAAGTCCAAGCCGCTCGAGAGTGTGTGGGAGAAGAAGAAGAAGGGAAGGAAACGCCATCATCTACCTAGGAGATGGCCATCTCCGGGAGAGGCTGACACGCTGGCGTCCAGTCGGCGTCCTGCCTTGGCTCCGGTGGCATGAAGCCATCTGCCTAGAAGACCAAGCCATCACAAGGGCTACAGGCGCGGAATGGAACGGACATGAGCTCGAATGAGGATGCTGGGCCTAATTAGGAAATACAGTAACCTGTTCCTGCCACGCAGCGTGTTTTTCTCGGGGGTCGTGCACGACTAGAATACGCCACCGCGACATGGTGGGAAAGAGCATTATTAAGGAATCGTCACCCGCTTCTCATGCTTCGTTCCGCCCATCTACACGCGGCCAGGCGCATCTGCCGCTCGCCAACGGCGTCGTATAGGACTCGTATGCTTCAAGCAAAGCCACACACGCTGTTTGAAGAAGGAGCATGAAGCGAAAGCGAAGGCAGCGCCGGAGAAGAAACGGCAAAGAAGACGTGGGTAGCAACCCTACGCGCTGGATACGCAAAATCGCTTGCATGCGAGGTCGCAGCGAGAGTCAAGGCGGGTGGAGACCAAGGTTAAACCCAACCCTGCCAGCGTCAAGTCGTCAGGGGCCGCTTTCACCGTGCACGCCACTTTCCAGAACGTGGTCGCTGAGTGGCCGGAAGGGCGGCATTCAAGGGGCCCGTCTGGGCCGTAATCGATAGCGCCAGTGTTGGGCGGATGTGCAGTAGAGGTCCAGTATTTTTGGCCCGCAGACCGGATCAGCCTTACCGCGCGTGGGTGTTTTTTGCGCATGCCATCATCGTGCCCCTGACTAGGGACGCCGCGTTCCTTGGTGAAGAGGGGATCGTGGGCGCGAACGACAGCGGGGAGAGGAAGCGTGAGGTTTGAAGAGATTTCCCCACCGAACCGGGGCCCCTGGAAGCACTGCCTGTCTGCAACCTCAACCAGGTATCTCGCGTGTTGGTCTCCCGTCTGGGCTTCTCACCGGTATGAGGCCTGGGCTTCATCTGCGCAGGGAGGGTTTGAGGTTGTAAAGTGGGGTTTCCATCAATCAGAACGCGACGCCTGAGCCGAGGAGTGCTCCCAGCGCGGTCACTCCTTGGCAGGGGAATTTCCGGCGTGTGGGTTTCTATTCTCGACCACTCTATGCAGTCATTCTTATATCACAAGTACGAGCAGGCGGGAAACTCCCACGCGCATATGCATTGCGGCACAGCTTTCAATCTCATCTTCGCTCTCATGCTATTGGAGCCTTTTTGTACAGGCCGAATTCCCTTGGACAAACCAACACGTGGATCTCCCATGGCTCGAATTGCTTGGCGGAGCTGCCATGGGTCTCACAATCTCATTAGAACCTGGTATTCGGTCTACGAGGCTGTTCAACTGATCAACATCCCTAGAGCCACCCGGGGGAGCAACAAGCCTCTTTCTAATACCCTGAACCGTACCGCGTAATCTCGTGCCAGCACCGAAGCCGGAATCCACTTGCAAAAATAGCACTTGCGAGGCTTCTTTTCACCACAGCTCGTCGGCTATGTCGTATTCCGCCAGGCAGCCGTCAGACGCAAGCCGAGATGCGAGGTTGGCGTCGCGAAGTTGGTGCCTCTGACTTATTTAGAAAGGTCTCTGTTCATTCAGTCTTACCGATATTAGAGGAAGAAAACCTCGGCTCCCTCCAATGCGAACAGAACAACCGCATATGCTGTCTTCTACAGCATCAAGGCGCATCTGGTGAACTAGCGCATATTTGAAGCCACGGGTGGAATAGGTGGGATTAGAGCGGAGGAATCCCTTTTCTGGATACATTCTTACTGAGGCTGAGCTGAATCTGCTAAAGCACGGTACCGCGAGGCGTTACTTTCGAGATTAACTATCCCTCTTTTGCAGTTGACTTTTGTGGCTTGATATCCGTACTAGTTCATCCGATGCGCCTTGACGCTGTAGTTTCAAGTACGAGATATTGTTCGCTTCCGATGCGAAGTGAGCGTAAAACCAGTCGGATAAGGAACCAACAGCGCACAAATGAGCTATCGGGGTGAACTTTCTGATACCTAGTGGCCAGCGCAGTTACAAAGGTATTACCAAACGCAGACTCCAAAATATTTAAAGCCCTGATTTACAGTACAAAGGGCAGCAAGAATCACCACCCAAGCGGCTACGCGAGGCGAGGAAAATCAAAATCGCCTCAACTCGACACCTCTCAAGAGCTGCATCTCCACAACAAGAACAAAGCAAAGAAATCTGAATAGATCAATATTCTCGTGGAGGGCTCCCGAAAACGTCCCACGAAGAAAGTAACTTTATTCAGCGACGTGGCGTGTTGCGCAGCCTTTTGCCCGATTTTGGTGGGAATGTGATTCTTCACTCGGCCGCACCCTTTGTATGTACGGAGGTATGCCAATTGGTACCTAATTGGATCATCAATTGTCACGTGGCATGCTTCATACTTTACCCAGGTAGTTCACAGCCCCTCAAAGGTCAGCATGGTGTTCGTATGAGTGAACCGCCTAAGCCTAGGACTGCAGCCTTTCCACCACGCGGAGAACTTTGTTCGGTCCATCTGACCGAAATGTACAGAAATTCGTCCGTTTGTATTCTTCGGGATAACATCCTTATTGCTCCCTAGAAAAATAGTAGCGCGCCCCGTGTCGTCGTTGAACATGACAACACTGGAGGGCCGGTGAGACGAGGCTCGAGGTTGCTGGACCCTGAATGCGTTGAGACGACAAAGGATCGACGTAGTTGGGCAGCCTCTACTAGTTTCCGCGCTAATACTGTGAAGAGGTCTTTATAGTTCTACACCCAGGCGTCTTCACACCTTTAGTCGGAATTTCCCTGGACTCGGCCATTGTTGAAATACTAAACATCGAGCAGACCCCGTGGGAAAAGGATAGAACAAGCCCCATGCAACCCACACGCAGTCAGATGGACAAGCAATACCCCGGGGTAGGTGCCATGGCGTTGCAGCACGTGGACATGGTAGCGGGGCGGATGAGCTGTGCTATCGCGGCGGTGAAGGCGGGCGGCAGACGCGTGAAGACGGAAAACAGCTATCTTGGGCAGAAGCGCATGGATATTGGCGATCGTGTGTCTTTTGAGAGCTCAACCCGGACAGGATGGCGAAGATGTTCGTGATAGCAAGACGCACCCCAGTCCGCGATCCATGATGGACCTTCAAATTGATGTCATCGGCGGTCAAAGCGCACATCCGCCGCAATCCATAGATCCTTACCTCAGGCATCACAGGATGACTCTCCACATAATCACTAGCTCTTCGAGATATCACCCGTGGCCTCAAGTCACCTGCGCTATGGCACAGTATTTTCTGCGCAGCAACCACTTACTGTTAAATAGATGACCTTGCCCCTACCTTCGCCGCTTTCGCAACTGTCATCACGCTCCAGATTGCTAAACGCCACAGCCCAGCCCGTATCTTTATTGTTCTGGCAGAGCGTGGAGCTGGTCTTCCTGCCTTGGTTGTGTATACTTGGAGTAGACGCCTGTTGCGCATATGTTCTCCAAATGGCGCTCCCCGCCCGCTGCTGGAGACAGCACCGAACCTTTGCCTGGTCCTCGAGAGAAGCAATCGCCAGGGCGAGCAAAATCACGTCTGGGCATCTTGAATGATCTCCAGACTGATGAAGTACCTGGTATATCTTTCGTTGAATAGAGATACTTCGAGCGGTCTCCTGCTAACTGCACCCCTTCGCAGGCTCCGTGATTCTTCTTTCAGACGTGCACAAACGCAATGAGCCGCTAGGTCTCCAGCACCAGCACGCCCGCACCTCTGCCTCCTCCCTACCTTCGCCCTATCCGCCCTCCATAAACGGCCGCTCCTCCACCACTAGAAGTATACGCAAAGAGGAGAAAAAGAAATCAAAAGATGGGAAATTTGTCCTGCAACCACAGCCAGAAGATACAAAGAATGACCCCTTGAATTGGGCAATATGGAGGAGAGATGCTGCATTATACTCTCTTGGCTTTTACTGTATGGTAGGAGGGGGAATGACGCCTATACTTGCTGCCGGATTCAACAATGTTGCTCAGACTTATGACGTCTCAATCTCGCGGGTATCTTTGACAACGGGGTTGTATATGATGGGATTGGGCCTTGGAGGTGTGATCGCATCTCCGACTGCTATCCTCTATGGAAAGTATGGGTCCCCTTCCCTGCCGAATCTCTCAGGCGTTGTCCTTACATCTACCTAGGAGGCCAGTTTATCTTGTTTCGATCATCATCTTCTGTTTAGCTTCTGTTTGGTGTGCCCTCTCGCCTAGTTATCCGTCTCTAGTCGTCGCTCGAATCGTGCAAGGCATGGCGGTTTCTCCCGTCGAAGTCTTACCGTCCGCTACGGTTGCGGAGATCTTCTTCCTCCACGAGCGAGCGTATCGCTTGGGGATTTACACCTTACTTTTACTGGCGGGCAAGAATCTGGTACCGCTAGTGAGTGCTGCCATCATCCAGAGCATGGGTTGGAGATGGACGTTCTGGTTAGCCTATTTTCGTACTTCACGATTAAACTTAGCATTTCTACAGTCAAGACTCGGTAGTAGAGAGAAAATACTAACGGTGTCTTAGGGTTGTCGCCATCATCGTTGGAGGATGCTTCTTTTTGCTCTTTTTATTCGTGCCCGAAACATTTTGGGACAGAACACCACACGCAAGGCAGACACATCGGCACAGGAGCAGAAGCCCTGGAAAACACGGCCCGTTCAACCTGCCCTCTCTTGGAAGATTCCATCATCACCAAGACCCTGAAAAACATCTGCCTCAAGGAGAGACCCTGCCTACATTAGACCCTACCAAAGCGACGTTAGCTCAAAGACGCCTTCAAAAGAACGTTCACGTTGGTTTCGCGCCGGAGGACGGAGTTTCAGAGCCTTCAGAGAGCCACGTGCCTACGAATAGCGCAGACGCCGTTTCAATAAACCAATTAGCGACGCCCCACACTGCCGGTCAAGATGGGACAATCGCCACCCATGTCTCTGAGAAAACAGATGACCCAGGTTATTTTTCACCAAACCCAAATACCATCCCTGGAGACGTTGAGGCTGCGGTGCCAATAGAGCACCCAGTTCCTGCTACTCCAGACGCAGTACATTTCGATGGCCCTTTCAGACCAGCCGTTGGATCTCCCGATCTCTTTCGGCCTGGTTCGGCACCAAGTATACAATCTGACGGCCAGCAATCTTTTATCTACACTGAGCATTATCGCGCTGCCCCTCCAAAGTCATTCATAAAGGCGCTTTCCCCGTGGAACGGCAGATTGGTCAAAGACAGCTGGCATCGTGTCTTGATCCGCCCTTTCATCCTTTTCGCATATCCATCTGTGCTCTGGAGCACCCTCGTCTACTCCCTCTCCATCGGTTGGCTTATCGTCCTCTCAGAGTCCGTTGCAGCTATCTACCGAGATCGTGAGCTCTACAATTTCACCGCTCTCCAAACCGGCCTCGTCTATCTTTCTCCATTCATTGGCGGTGTAATCGGCACGGCAGTTGCAGGCAAGATATCCGATTACATTGTCCGCTACATGGCTAGTAAGAACGACGGCGTGTATGAGCCGGAGTTCCGACTCGTAATGGCGATTCCTATTGCCATCTCCACCGTCATCGGGCTCATGGGGTTCGGATGGAGCGCACAGGAGCGAGATGCTTGGATTGTGCCCACGGTTTTCTTTGGAATAATCAGTTTTGGATGCAGTCTGGGTAGTACCACTGCTATTACGTTTTGCGTAGATTCCTACCGTCAGTACGCCGGAGAAGCTCTCGTTACGTTGAACTTCTCTAAGAGTAAGTTTGTAGCCCGACTACCGAAGCACAGCGAACTAATCACATGGGACAGATATATTTCACGGCCTCGTTTTCTCGCTCTTCTTCACCCATTGGCTTGAATCGAGCGGCGCGAAGACAGTATTCCTGGCTGTTGGCGGGTTGCAGCTGGCTTGTCTGACAACAACGTTCGTATCATGTTCGCCACTTTTCACTATCATCTGCTAACGACTTCAATCGTCCAGAATTCCCATGTATATTTACGGCAAGAGAGCGCGCATGTGGACAGTGCGAAAGAACTTAATGGAGAAATTCTAAATTTAGGCGTCTTGCAGGCGGCGGCGTTGCATCATGCGGGACTGCATTGCGGACCGCACAGCATTTAAGGCGTGCGTGCATTCTCATTTGCATCTTCGATGCAGGAGGCCGGCGTTCAAGTGGGCCATACACCGCATATACCTTGTCTCTATATGATGATAATACGAGTCTTACGATATTGAGACATGCATTTTCTCATCGCGCTAAAACACTAAAATGCATCAAGGAGCTTCAAACAGAGTCAAACATTTGTACGCATTTTCATAATAAGGCAGTGTGCGCCTTTCACTTGCTCAAAGCTACTCTAGGCCTCAGCCTTCAGCCGCGGAGACTCCAGAGCCTCACAAGATAATGTGCCACTGGCTGCTCATATGCCGCAGCTTACCGCCAAACACTGTCAGTAGTCCACCAAAAATCCCGATGATGGCAACATAAAGGCCCGCCTGCGTGCCGAAGCAATCTATGTATCCAACATCGTCAACCCAAGGGACGACACCATAGAGGAACCCAAATGCAACAATGTTCTTGAAGCCTGCATTTTTTATCAGTCAACCACTTCAACAGGGGTCCATTTCCAAGGGTCAGAAAGGAGAGCTTACCATTCACTAGCAGCAACGCATCCATGTTAACCGGCAACAAGCAATCACTCACATACGCCATCGTAATCGTCGGCACAGCCGTCAACCCCACTGAAATCATACCGTACCCAAAGAACAACGTCGTCCAGTGCATCGTCCTCTGCACCCCGTACCCGAAAAGTAGACACCCCGCCGGCGTGATTAAGAACGGAATGATAAGCAAATACAGCCGGCTCTCTGGCTCAAACACGCCGTGATTCCGCTTCGTGCGCCAGTCGCAGAATACATCTACAAGCCAGCCGCCCGCGTAGGCGCCGATGATGTTGCCGATCAGGCCGGGGATGTTGATGAGGCCGTTGATCTGCGGCTGCCAGTTGTAGGGCGGCGCTTCGAGCACGAAAGGGTTGAGGATGTTGACGGAGACTACCCAGGCCAGGCTGACGGCGTAGCCTAGAAACGCGAAGATCACGGCGGGGTAGGCGATCATGGGGAATGGGCGGAGGAACATCTTGAGGATGTTGGTGTCCGAGGGCACGCCGGACCAGAGGCTGAGTTCCTGCGTGAAGGTCTTCTTGGGCACGGGGGATAGGCCCGAGGGAGGCGAGCCGGGATACTCCTTTGTGCGAGACTCGGCGGCCTTTTCGACATCGATGGCTTCTTCAGAGTCAGAGGAGATGGCTTGGGATGAGCTGTTTGCGCTGAGGTTGGGCTGGCTGATTCGGTTATAACGGGTCTCTGGCACGAAGAAGAGGACGAAGAGGAAGTTGATGCCGGTGAAGATTACGGCCATCCATTTGTGCCAGCGCCAGCCGAGGCTTTGCACGACGAAGCCGCAAATGAGAGGGCCAATGGTGTTGCCGCCGGATATCGAGTTCATGTAGACTCCCATCTTTGAGCCTCGCTCGTGGACGAAGTACAGGTCGTTTACGATTGCGGAGCCCAGAGCTTCGGTTGATGAGCCGGCTGCGGCGGCCACGATGTTGGACCAGAGGAGGCTTTCGAAACTCTGGGCGGTAGCGCCCCATATGTAGCAGACGCAGAGGAGAAGAGACGCGAAGACGAAAACAGGCCGCTTGCCGAAGTAGTTGGCTATTGGGACCCAGAAGAAGTTGAAGATTCCGAGAACTAGGATGGGCCAGAGGAGAAGATGACTGGTTTCGCTCATCGTTTTCTCGAACTCAAGGCTCAAGATGTAGAAAGCAGGCGCCAGTCCTCCGATGGCATAGTTGGTCAGAAAGGTGAAGGCGCATACAGAGCCGAAAGTTACGTGTTTCTTCCATATGGGCCATCTCAGTGGGTCGTTGGGGTCATTTTCTGACGGATGAGGGTACAGAACGAGGGAAGAATCCGTGCCACCGGACTCGCTGGAGACTGCATCTGCATGTCAGTTCTGGACATACTGAGAAAGCAACAGAAGATGTTCACCCTTTCTGAGCTGCACCGTCCCCTCAGTCTGATCTAACTCTCTAAGACTATGAAGTTGCATCGTCAACGATGTCGAATATGAATTTTAGTTGGGATACGAAGTCAAGACCCAGGACCAGAACCAATTTGTATCAGTGGCCTTGGTTTCGGGAGGATTCATGAAGAAGGATTTCGAAAACAAACACTAAGAACCGGCACAAGGCGGAACCAGCATGTATAGTTATAATTGTATCTACTCATCGGGCCCGATTCCGCATTGCGTTGGCAATCGATATTTGTTGATGCAGCTTGGCGCATATTCTCCGATGGTTGTGCAGCCGACCACCTTCTCGTGACGGGTCTCCGCACGGCTCGACAAAAGCTCACTGACCGGTAGCTATTATGGGCACAGTAGGTCGATCTCCCGAACTTTAACTCGATGCTCTGATCAAAGAGCGGTGCGAGGGTAGGTATTGATAATCTAGTCGAATCATGGAAGCTTGCTGCCGTCCCGGGCTGTCGTCCGCGTTGGGGCGGAGGAGGGGAGTGGTTCCCAAAGTCGACCAAGAGACTTGTCTTCGCGACGTTTGACGACATCAGTCCAGCACCGACGCTCCAGCACTGCATCTCATTTACATACGACGGCAGGCCTGATTACAGAGGGCGCGATAACGCCTCCGTGTTCGACGCTATGCTATCTTTTGCAGCCATGTCTTCTCGCCGCGACTCACTAAAAACTACGACTTCATGTTTTCGGCCTTCACGACACGAAGATACACAGGCACAAGCTGAGACTGAATCGAATTCATACGATATATGAACTCATCAAATCTCAGCGTTCATGCACTATATACGCCACATAAGCCATCGGAATCTCCAATCCTCCGCACTTGTGTCGCACCTCTCCAGCGAGAGCTGCGGTTAACGGTCCAGACCACTTCTTGCGCTCTTCCCTTCAAGCAAGGATTTCGGCAACTGCAACTCCTTACGCAGCTGTTCTTCTAGCTGGAATTTACAAAACACCCTGTCGTAGAATAAGAACTTCGCTCTACGCCGACGATTACTCGATGAGCACAAGCGGCTATCGTAGACCAGGGCTCGCTTGACCATTTTGAGACATCACAACGTTACCAGAGGTTTCCCTGTATTCTGTTGTTTATTTTCCTCCTCTAGCCAGGTCGCATTTCTCAATGTCTCACCACAGGTCGTGTAGATGCACTACCCTTGTGTTACCACGCTTCTCCAATGCGGATGCAAGTTGGCTTTCCGATTCTCGAGGGCGTTTCTTTGCCAAACACTATCAAATCAGTTCAAATCGTTTAGGAGGCATTCGGAGCGTATGATCGCCGCACTGTTCTCTTCGATGCGCCTCCATCCTAGGGTACAGTCTCTCGCATCGCGCCACCATTACGTGCATTACCGACGTTTCGCCCCTTGCTTCGTCCTCCCTTGGTTCCCTCGAGGGAGGGCTGTTCGTCATCAGCCGGCAGGTCATTGGACCGTTGGACCCGGACGCCGAAACGAAGGATACGAACTGGTCCTTAGAACATCCGAATTTTGTAGCCGTGGAGCCTCAGACCAAACAAGTAGTGGCCAAAATCCAGGGACTCGGATCTCACTCCGCTAAATGTAGCCACTCCAGTTCCTACCAACCTTCCCCCTTCCTCAACCCAGCCGGTTGTTCTTGTGCCTTCATAAACAATGTGTCTCACCCCCTTAAGACCAACCAAGCGGGGATCTCCACACTATACATATGGCCGATTACTGCTGGTTGCGCGCCTATCAAGGTTATCGGACTGATTGCGTTCATCCAACCACTGCCTATCCCATCTTGAGGTGGTCCCTGCACTGCTTCTTGCACTTCAATATGTCGACCGCTTCATCGTGTACGCCTGCTCTGAATGGCGGGCTTGGACTGCCTCCATACACTTCTTCTCCGCTCAAAAGAACTGCATCACCATTCACGGATCCAAGAACGCCTCCCTGTTCGCCGAAAAACACGGAGCAAATCTGGGATGAATACGAACGATGCGCAAGGGAAAGATCTAAATCAAGGAAAGCATCCTTTTCGAGTTTGCATCTGAGAGCCTTGGAGTCGCAAAGATTCTCCAACGGCACGGTCCTGGATATCATCAAAAGTTACGACCCATATTCCTCACCAAAAGCTCCAGCCTCATCGCCTTCCTCCTCAGTCGCGCCAAGCCCTCGGATAGAAGCCCCTCCGTCTTTCTCTCAGCGGAAGAACACGCTGCAAGGAACGTCACTTAGCAGGACTGTGTGCGAAGCATGCGAGAATTCAGCCATTTCACCTTCAACAATATGCGAAGACTGCAAGCCGAAGACAATCGCCCCGACTTCTATACTACATATCGAGGACGTCCCAAGCCAATTGAATACAGAGCAGCTTACTTCTAGTGCTGCCTATGTGAGCAAACGTCAAAAACACCATACTCCTAGCAACTCTCGAAGTAGTGAAGCGTCAACTTCGAAATCCATCCAAACGTCCCAGAAACGCTCTGCTAAGACTAATCAATGTACGCTTCCGATTCGGCTTTCATCGCTCGACCATTCCCGGACGCACGATCGGTCATCTGAACCTCCAGTACTCCATCAAGATCTTCCATCTTCGAAGATATCAACTCCAGCCCCTCGTATCCCGCGAAAGCCCGTCCCACAGCCCACTACTCCCGTCGGCTGTTCCTTCCCGCTGTTATCGCCTACATTCAACCATAGTAGCATCACCTCTCCGCCCCCGTCTACACCCCCAAGCACTGCATCCTCGCGCCACAGCCCAAACAGCTTGCTCGCATCATCGCCGGAGTATCACCTCTCCCTCTATCCGTCTACTCCCACCACCGTCTGCACAACCCGAATGTCCACTTCTGCGAGTACGCCGCTTCACCGTGCGAGCTACAGCTTACAGAACACAGTAAGCGTGTGGGAAGATGACGATGACGAAAAATTCGGCTTGGTGGACTATTTGCGGCGGGGATGGAGAGGCAGTCGATCGAGCTTCGGGTTCGTGGGGAGGAGGGAGAGTGGCAGCACTACCGGAGCGGGGGTAGATGTGATCTTGGAGAGGGAGGTCGATGGGAAAATGAGGCAAAGAGGGCGGTGGCGGAAGTGGACGAGGTGCGGGTGCTTTGGATGCAAGGATGATTGATTTCGGCGACCGTTACTTTGATTCAACGCGTCTTTTAATTGTTATTTGCGTCTCCTACGTTCCGTTCGTCTCAGTCTTTCGAGATGGGGAAAGGACGCGTTGCGCTGGTACTCATTTTCACATCTCATCTGGATGGAACATCATTGGAGAAAAAGGGAAAGGAGACATCATGCTTAAGAAAGAGCAAGGACGAAGCCACGAATTCACGCGTATCGCGATATGATTGACGACGTAATTCATTTCACGATCTGGAACTTTGGCCATGGAGGAAGACGCAAACTGGCTGGGTCAGACTGTTTACGCAGAGCGAGTGGGCCGGTCAGGCTGGACCTGAGTTTGATCACTTTTCGGGTTTACTATCATCTTTGCATGGAGACTGTGGGATATTGTATAATAATCCAATGGATTTTCGAATTACTACGCTACTACTACTATCTTCATTTCGTGTATCTGACACAAAAAGGTACGATGCCTTCCTCAGCTATCTCCGCGCCTAGTGCCTGAATCCTCTGCCTCCTCCGTCAGACTTCTTCCCTCACGCCTCTGCGCTTGTGTTTCTCATGCCGGCTTGTAGGTATATGCATGTGTCAGGCAATTCGTTTGTACTACGCGATAAGCCGATGTGGAAGCCTGCAGTGGACTTTCCGGTCGCGAGCCGGGATGGCGTGGCCGTATGACGTGGGACGAGCTCGTAGGATGCCTCTTCTAAAGCAAGCGGACGTTAGGACTGCGGAGGTAGGGCACTGAGATGAATAGGAAGAGAGGGCTCCTACAATTCAGATGGGGTTTGAACTTCATGGTTTGGTCCAAATGATGTGCTTAAGGTCGGAGAATTTCCATGCGAAGATCTGGAAGCTGAAGCAATGGGCTGATACGTCGCACGAGGGTCAAGTGGACTTACACCGCTGAGCGCCCTACTGATGCGTGATGCATGGACAGATGCGTGATGCAGGAGGCGGGCAGGGAACAATTCATGTGATTGTAGGACTGAGGCTTGATACCAGGGCAACAAGAAGCCCAGTGATGTAATGGCTCTAGGCTCTCACATGTCATGTGCTCCGAAGCAGGTTGTGATATTAATAGAACATTTTCCAAAAGTGATGCCTTTCTGATCGTACACGCTCGCTCTCATTTCGATCTCAAGACCCGTTCTAGGAATCAGATGCGAGCGATAACTTGGGAAGTCAATCAGAAAACTTAAGAGTATGGCTATGAAACTGGCGCATATCTCCTCTGCTGTCGGGAACCTTCAGGCCGCTTTGCATACGTCGAGATACTTCTTCTTTACCGCCATGTCGCTGGTCCAAGGTTATCCGTTTGTTCTTTCTTGGTCCCTGTGTTGACCGTTCGTTGAAAGGAAAGATGCAGGACCCATCAATCGCAAAGAAGCGGTGACAAGATGGTTATAATTGACATTAGCATCCAGAAACGACGCAATGAAACACTGTGACCGTCCGAGACTCTCTCGAACTTGATCATTGCATCCCCTTTTGACCCGAAGATGTGTCACTTCGCACTCCATATTGTGAGTTCAAAGCATCGATCCGAGAGCATGACTTACATTGATGGAATACAGTGGAAATGCGGCGATAGCTTCTTCACCAAATACTCCTCTTGCAGCTTCGACCGGGCCGTTCACGATACAAACAGCCTATTGAACCCGCTGCATCAATCCGTTAGACCGCACGGCCGACATCTGCCATGCCCACCGCCGTCAGAGCCAGATCTGTCGCCACGCACTTGCCATGCTACTCCCAACACAATGTCATCGACAAGCTCTTCGAGATCCAGCAGCAATGACACGCCGCGACCCTGTTTGGCTGTGCCAACCATCGACCTATCTTCACCCGGTAGAAGCACCTACACCATCGAGAATAACCCCAGCACATGTGCCAGAGACGCCAAGACCGGGGAGCTGATTCCCATTGCCATGGAGCTGATTGGAAAGATGTCGGATATCAACCAGAACAACCTTGGGGAGAGCGGGAAGTGTTATGTTTTTGAGGTGGTGTTGCAACGGAGGGAGCCAACGATATGTCCTTTCTGTGCGAGAAGTCCGAATAGGAGGAGACTTCCAGCGCATGCGAGAGGATGCTTCGCATTCAGTTAGGCATTGGAGTGTCAAATTGCAGCAGCAAAAGCTTCGTGGCAGTGAAGACAGGATATGGGGGTTAAGGATCGTGGCATTTTCCAGGTGGCGTTTGATGTTAGGAGCAGATTCATGATTGTGTTGCATCGGGTGATTGTTATGATGTGTTCGCTAGTTAGTTTTATCTGTACGACTGTGACTCTCTCGCTGTAACAGCACGATGGTGCTCTATGTACTCCGGGTCATCGTGGCTTCTCGTGGTTGCAACGCATGTCGACGACCGAATTCGCGGCAGCGGGTTCGCGGAGCGGATCGAGCGTGACGTTGGTACCTCAGAAGATGGAATGTTGATGCCAATGATACTGGCTTGGAGCTCTCCCCCTCCGGGCAGTGATATAACGAATGCTGTACCAGTATCTTTGCAACGGAAAGTAGTTCGACGAAGCTAGACCTGTTCCTAATAGCCTGTTTATTTTTAAGTTACCCCACAGCCAACGTCACCGTCAACAACGACAGCTTCTCCTTGACACAACACGATATCCCTAGGCCATTGAAGCGGTCTTTCTTACGCACAAACAACCAATTGTTACTCCAGATGCGAATCGCCGAATGAAATACTTGGAAGCGCTGGTCCTTTCACGCCACTTCCACAACCCCCTGGTGGGCTTTCAGCGCCGAATATGGCTGATGGGGACACAAACTGGCCCAATACTTCATTCAAGCTCTTGTCGGGATCCGAAACGATCATGCAGAGAGCTTCTCAGCCCGTATGAAAGCTTCTGTCTCGGGATTAGTAGGAATCAATCTGCAGATCCTAGTGCCAGATGCGACACGACACTCAACGTCGCGGACCTTGTTCATTGGCTACATTGGTAAAGAGCTGTCATAAAAAGCTCCAAAAACATCAACGTACTGACCAGGCAGCGGCTGAGTGGGTCGTAGAGATGCTTGACAGGCGGGATACGGCACGGGTCAGCCATGCTGGGAGCCTCCCGCATGCGTGTCTTAGACCACCATGCCTACCAACCCCTAGCTGCCTGCAATCAAGCTCCTTAGTCTTTTCTGATTCCTTCTTGACCCTGCATTGCTACTTGCTGGCACTTTCTAGTGTTGTTGAACGTTCATCGCCGTCGTTCGCTTGAAGCCGTCACTCATTCCAATTCTGCTGTGGGCTACACGTCTCGTAAACGTCATCCAGGGGTATTTGTCGGCCCCTCGCTATAAAATTCGCTGCCTTGCACTTTCTAAGTACCATTCTGTCGAAGATCTATCATCTTACACTCCGTATTCCACTCCCGAATACTCAACGTGACAATCGACGTTCGACATCGCCTCAATAGTCTCCTTGATAGGCCCTTTGTTTTGCATAGGAGGTTTGGGGATCGGATCTAGGTAGGTCTTGCGTTTCCCCGATCTGCTATCGATCATTTTCGTCGGAGAACGAAGGAGCATCTAGACCCTGTGCTATCTCAAATAGTCAGGAGCATTTCTTTCTCGAAAACCTCGCCCAGCACCTTCATTTTGTCTTCCAACAAATCTACATACATCGCTCGTTTTACGCGCAGCCTGTCCTTCCCGTCGGCGCGCTGTCTTTGGTACGGCGTTTGGATTAGCTTTTGGATTGTCTGGGTCCGGTTTCCAGCAGATTGCAATCATAACTAACTTACAAGATACATCACACAGATTTTCATTATGCGAATTTCAACCCTTTGCATCGGAGCTTTCGTCGGTATCGCAACAGCTAACATAAAGTTTCACTGGGTACAACCGACATGCAATTACTCGTCAGTAGAGCATAACTCCTGTCTGCGCGGTCAGCGGTGCACCGAAGCAAACGTGTGAGCGATTCTCTCCAATTCCAGAGCCAATCTAATATGCGAAACAGCTGCAAGGCGGCTCTCACAAATGAAGACTTCTACCCCCGATCGTTTCGACGCGACGTAACCCTCTACTCCACCAACAGCAGATGCGGGCCGAACTACGGGAATATATTATGCGACGATACCACAGGTGATTCTCTCACGACATGCTGTAGTCAATACGGATGGGTAAGGGATGTTCACTGGAGCATATTTTTACAGTGGCTAATCATAGGTAGTGCGGAGTTACTCCAGCTCACTGCGGAAAAGGCTGTTCGTCTGGGTGTAGATCGATACCTGCCAACAAGGCCAACGCGATCCCTAGAGCTTCATATGTTCCCCCGAGAATAGATGGCCGTTGTGGCTCAGAATTTGGTGATGCGATCTGCGATCCCAATAAACCTGAAGGTGTATGCTGCAGGTGAGTGAGCAAACCGAAATCTAGGTCACTTACTAACACTATGTAGCCAATACGGATATTGTGGAAGTACAGATGACTACTGTTTACCCGTGAATGGCTGTCAGAGCGATTGCACGGCCTCAAATGTCCCAACTCTTGTCAGCAAAGTTGCCGAGCCTTCTTCAACTGCCCCACCTGGAAGATGCGGAAAAGATTTCGGCGGAGCGACCTGTGACCCAAATGGAGGATACGGAGGTTGCTGTTCACAGTATGGGTAAGTTATATGCTGTCTTGGCCGTTCGCTTACTGATGTTTCCCAGATACTGTGGTACCACGCCTGGTCATTGCGGCACGGGATGTCAAAGTGGTTGCAGTAATCCTGTCTCAAGCACCCCTCCCTCGGTAACTACATCTGGTGAGCCAGTTCTTGGCAAGCCATCATCAACCATCTCCGCGAATCCCTCTGCCACTGGGAAGCCTACAAACGATGGATCTTGTGGCATCAACTTCGGTGGCACTGTCTGCGGAGATTGGCACGATGGAGCATGTTGTTCAATGTATGGATATTGCGGGAACACGACCGCACATTGCGGCGATGGCTGTCAGTCCGGACCTTGCCTTGGAGGCCCCGTGGTTCCAGCTCCTGGGCCGAGTCCAGCACCCGCAAACCCTAACCCGGGATCCTTCAAAGTCGTTGGGAAATCTGGCGTACCTGCTATGCATGCTGGTCTCTTACCCAATGGCCGTGTCGTCTTTCTGGATAAGGTCGAAAACTTCACCAATCTCAAGCTGCCCAATGGCCAGTTCGCGTACTCCTCGGAGTATAATCCTCAGGATAACTCGGTCGTCCCCCTGGCTTACAAGACGAACGCATTTTGTGCTGGCGGTATCTTTCTGGCTGATGGACAGTTTCTTGCACTTGGTGGTAATGCTCCCTTGGCTTGGATGGATCCAACTGTCGGTGATGGCTTCACGGGCATCCGCTACCTAAATAGATCGGCTACAGATTATTCGCTCAATGGCAAGGACTGGAATGAGCCTGGAAACAAGCTCAATACTGCAAGATGGTATCCATCGGCTCAAGTCATGCCGGATGGCTCCATCTTTGTCGCATCAGGTAGCTTGAACGGCCTCGATCCCAGTGTGAAGGCGAACAACAATCCCACGTACGAAATGCTTGACACTTCAGGTATCTCAAACGGCCAGAGTATATCCATGGATATTCTCGTCAAGACTCAGCCGTACTTCATGTATCCGTTCATCCACCTGCTCAACGACGGCTCACTTTTTGTGTTTGTTTCTAAGTCATCGGAACTTTTCAACGTTACATCGGGCAAGACCATCCGCAATTTCGCTGATTTGCCCGGGGACTTCCGCACATACCCCAACACTGGTGGCTCGGTCCTCTTACCACTATCTAGCGACTCTCAGTGGAATCCGGACGTCATAATTTGCGGCGGTGGGGCCTACCAGGACATCACCTCTCCAACTGATCCCTCTTGCGGACGCATACGACCGCTTGATGCCGACCCATCCTGGGAGATGGACAGCATGCCTGAAGGCCGAGGCATGGTGGAAGGCACATTGCTTCCGGACGGTACAGTGATCTTCTTAAACGGATGCAACAAAGGAGCTCAAGGTTTTGGTCTCGCAGCCGCGCCGACGTTTGAGGCTCTCATTTACGATCCGGCTAAAAGCCTGGGCCAACGCTGGACGACTGGTGCACGTACTGATATCCCGCGTCTGTATCACTCCGTCGCCTTGCTACTCCTCGATGGTACTCTTATGATTGCCGGATCGAATCCGGTCGAGCAACCTGTTCTCTCGGCATCGCCACAAAATCCATTCATCACAGAATTCCGAGTTGAAATATACACACCTCCGTACTTGCAAGGAGATTCTGCAAAAAAGCGCCCTACAGACGTCACCCTAACTTCCACAACTCTGCAGGCCGATGGATCATCGTTTGGAATCCAGTTCAATGCGCCCACAGATGCAAAGGGCGTCAAAGTTGCATTGTACTATGGTGGATTCGTGACTCACTCAGTACATATGGGTCACCGAATGGCTTTTCTCGACAACACCGGATTTAAGCCTGGGGCTTCGGCGCAAGAGCTGACTGTTAAGATGCCACCCACTCGGAACATTGCACCACCTGGGCCATACGTGGTCTATGTCTTGGTGGATGGAGTTCCTGCCGTTGGCCAGTTTGTTCAAGTTTCGTAAGCAAAGAGCTTACATGATTCATTGCCATATTACACTTTCGTTCAGATAAAAATGCTGAAAGATATTGCAGGATTTGCTCGGCGGCACGCAGCGGAAGATTCAGCCCTTCATATCACGGAGTTTTCTGGACTGTTGGTTTTCACATATTTTGGAGTCTATACATTTCGACATTGAATCCATCGATCCGGCTTTTGGATGAGCTGGGTTGAGGGTGGGTTGTAGAAGAGGGTATGCAATAAGGAGAGACATAGTTTGTGAGGAGTATACCTAATGAAGTAGGATTAATAATGTAATGCACGTACCATTACGAATTGCGAGACACGTTTCTGTCATCGTCCCCTAATGAGTGGCTTAACCACTGGTTATCGTGTCTTAGGTCCTCCGTCGATACCCTCGAGAGCGATCCAATTGGACAACCAAGCCGTTAGAATGAATTAAAGTATGCCCTATCCAAGCCGTGCCATTAAAACTTGGTACCTGAGTCATTCATACTCATCTCTAGGATTTTCATTCAGTAGTCTTCGAGTCGGAGGGAGTGCTGCTACGCTCACGTGGTCATCGTGGCGGACTTAGGGGATATCGCTTGGAGCTTAATTCGACCTCAACCTCATGCGTCATTCCATCCCATCTCTCCCTCCTCTTCCATCTCGCCCCTCACTACTCTCATCCAACTTCGGTCTACTCGGAGACTTCTGTATCACCACAAAAACTCTCCACTCCCGTCACCGTAGCTCAAAATGGGTGCCTGGGGTTATAACTTCCTCGAGTCCGACCATGACTATGACATTGCGAGCGAACTCGCCGACGAAGCTGGCGTCGAAGACTTTATGTTTCCCGATGACCCCGCTGTCACTGTCGACAAGCTCAATGACGGCCTCCTCAAGGCGATGTTCGACAAACGTCAAAAGATGCGCCCGCAACCGAGGTACGAGATCGTCATGCTCGCTGTCCTCGCCATGAAGCTTGGTTGCGCCATCGAGGAGTCTCACATCAAGCTCATCAAGCGTGTGTATCGTCGTTGCGAAATGAGCGATGAGAAAATGGACAGGATGAAGCAGGCGCTGAGCAAGTACACCAATGGACAGCCGCACAACTTCGGTGACAAAGGTCTTCTTGAGACCGCCATGACCCGCTTCGGTGATAAAGACACACCTCAGGAGAAGAGCAAACATGGAGAAGCCTCCACCGAGAAGAAGAAAGAAATCTACGGAGATGCAGACTCCGATGGTGGCGAGCAGGCTGCTGTGCAGGTTGCAAGAAAGGCGAAGAAGCCACAGCAGAACAATGGAGGAGTTGCCTTGAAGAAGGGTACAAAGAGAAGCCACAGTGAGACCGATGCTGCGGATGTTGAGGAGGTTGTGAGGGAGCCAAAGAGACTCAGGTACGCAAAGGTTTGCTCTCTTTTTCCCTCATTATCTGACATCCGAGGATAAGCATGTTCGATGACCTCCCTCCTATCTCGTATTCAGCCCCTATTCTCAATCAGCCAGCCATACAACCACGACATACACTTCCCTACCGCCCGATGGGGTTCTATCCCGGCTACCCTCTCGTTCAAAATCACCCATACTCAACCTCAACCCCATACCAAGTGCAATGTATTTGTCCCATTCATTGCCCGATGTGGAACCCTATATATCGGGCTCCTCAGCAGTTCCGTGTTCTTGGGAGCTCTTTCTACTCGCAGGCCCCCATGCCCACTTCTATGCTCTGGCCGTACCCTTCTCTGACGTACAATGGCAGAACTCAGAGCCCTCATGGCGTGACTTATGACGGGCATACTGGTCCTCAGTCCATCGGAGGCTCGAACCAGTACCAGGCTTCGTACTCTTACTATTGAGGCTCGGCGGACCTCCGACTGCGATAGGAACCTTCTTCATCTGTGGTCATAACTAGGAAGGGCTCTAAAAGCTCAACAGGAGTCTAATACGATTTAACATGACGCATCTTACGAGTACGGAACTTCCATTTCCTCATTTATTTTGCTGACCGTTAGAAATACAGATATGTATGATTTTCTTTCACGCCGAGCGTTCACGATCATGCTTTCGTTCACGACGGAAATGAAGTTACGGTATGCTTACTATGTGATACTCGTCACGCTCTTTCATGTGAGAAATTTGTCGGTGTTCTGGCAAAAGGTTTCGAGCAAGTTGCGGAGTGGAAATAATGGTGCTTCTTACATGGCGTCTTTCCATGTTAAACGACCTGGTAGAGGTCAATGTAGTGTGGCTCAAAAGTCGACTCCGTTAAGAAGGAATATAAATTAAATGCTGAGAAAAAGCAAAATATCTTTCAACTTTTCTCATCACTTTGAGGCGCGCTTCAAGATTCTTGAGGGGGAAAGATTGCTGCCCAGTCCAAGGTACGTCAACGACCAAATGGCTCAGACGCGATGGAAAGATTTATTGACATAGTACCGAAACACGTACATTTGACAGTGCTTCAGTAATCTATGCCCAAAGCTTTGGTGATGACATCCAGCATTGCCGTAACTTTCTCCTCCTCGAGTATGCGCCCAATGACGGTGAGGCCGACCAAAGCGTTCTCGTGGTTCTTTGGCTTACCGTCTTCCCAAGATAATTAGGTCAGCTTCGCACTAATATCTCGTGAACGCAACAGGGCGACTTACAGCACTTCCATACCTTCCCATCAGTCTCTGAGATTGGCTCCCAGTCTGATGGTATCACATCCTTCTTCAGATCAACCTGAGTGACTGGGAAGACACCAGTAGTCAGGTCCAGGAGAGGCGATAACGCGCCCCAATGGTGCTGAAGAATGTTAGCTGGCCATCGTTGCGCGCTGCAGACCTGCTGCTTACTGGATACCCGGCATCATGTCTGGCCGCAGGAAACGGTATGCTAGGCATGATGAGCCCGTCTATTGGTCTCCCGGTCCCAGTTTCCGATGCCGTAGCTTGCCATTTCTCGAGCCACCGCTGTGCAAGCAGGGCTCTTTTATGCCGATTCTGCCAGGTGTCAAAAACGCTTTGTTTATTCATTTTTGCGGTACGGCGTAGCCAAGACTCGAGTTGAGGATGTAAAGGCTCTCACGAGACATCGGTGTCGCGTTGGAATTCCTCTCCAGAGTCGGCCTCCCACATCTTGGAAATGATGTCTGCCGCTTCTATATGCTCAGAAGGGATGAAGTCAATAAAGGAATGGCCTGCAGCGATGAGTTTTGCTTTGGCGATCTCCATGGCTCGCATGAGAGGGGGAGTGGGCATCACGGTTCCATCACCCATTCCAAAACCAAAGCAAAGCTTTTCGGGCAGCTTCTCGGCATCTGATCTCCATGGTATGGGCAGAGTTTGTGGATCGAGGAGCCATGGAGACTGACTTGCGACAGCCGACATGAAAAGCCGAACATCAGAGACTGAACGGCACATTGGCCCTGCACAAGATCGCATTACTTCCTGGCCGAGGTACGTGTTGACGGCGTTTTGATAGGAGACTTGGCTATGAGATGGCTGAATCGCAGTCAATTCGGTGAACGACGAGGGATTGCGGATGCTGCCCCCAATGTCCGTCCCAATGCCCATGAAACTCTCTCGGAACGACACCAGGCAAGATTCACCACTAGAAGACCCGCTAGAAGTCAGCTCTCTATTCCGGGGATTCTTTGTACGACCAAAGACATTGTTCACAGATTCACCCATCATAAGCGTAGCCGGAACGTTTGTCTTGACGTATAATATGGCTCCAGCTTGGACAAGAACTGTCACTAGCGTTGAGTCTGAAGTAGCCGGCTTTTCGGCGTACGAAACATAGCCGATCGTCGAACCCAGCCCTTTGATATTGAATTGGTCCAAGTCGACACTCAGCATTAGCGAATGGTCTTCGATTCACTGCCGATGAACGTACCTTTAGACTTATCAGGAGCCCGTGCAATGGCCCAATCGTCTTGCCATCCCGCTTGAATATCTCATCCAGCTCTTTCGCCCGTGCGATGGCTTCTTCGAATTATATTTCGGTGATGCAGTTCAACAGCTGCTGCGCGATTGCTGCGCGCTTGCAGACGGCTTCGGTGACCTCAAGAGCTGTCCATTCTCCCGACGCGATCTTGGAGACAACTGTGGATGCCGTAGACTCGGTTATAAGCAGCTCTCTATCCGTCTTTGGAAAATCGTGGACATCGAGAACATCGAGGCTTGGAAGGAGCGAGGATGGTATCCGCCATTGTGGGGGTATTTTGGAATCGCGTTCTTGTTTCTTGCGAGCGGCAATGGCTTCCCAGGGTTCTAATACAGCCATGATCTATTAGATTTGATCCAAAAAGCGAAAACAGGAGACCTCTGGAAAAGTCGCACCTTATCAAAGCATCCATGTGCCCATCAAGTAGCTTCTCATCAGCCCCTCATCAACACCGGCCCTACTGACTCTTGATAGTCTCCACATAAGAGGAACGGCAGCTTTTATCCCGAGTCCGGCGAATGATGGTAGGTGGGAGAGTGGAGGGAGTCTAAAGTCCAGAGTATCGATAAGCATGACCAACCCCTGTCTCCGACGGATCTCTTCCGACAATACCATTTTCACGGCCGGCGCATCAACGCCGGTTTGCATCTCAAAATGCGGATTATTGTGACATTCCAAGGTATCATTGCCGATTCTGTTATCAGTAGAACGGTATCACCGAGCGACTCCTAATGTAGATGTACGTTCGATCAGAGAGATTTGTACGGGACTCTCACCAAACTCATACATATTTCATTCAATTCGTAGCTCTACTATTTCGGCAGCCATCATCTCCAGAAGAGTGTACATTCATCCATACGCATCAGGACAAGCTGTACAGCATGGGACTGGATTCTGCTGGGATGGCGATTGCTGTATCACAGTCTCAAGATCAGGCTCTGCACTGCTTCCTTCAAGGATCCGCCGGGTCTTCAACCATATCGAACATCTAAGCATCTAATCCTCAAGTATTTGACCGAAAGTCATCCCTACTGCGCGAAAAGGCAGCGGCAAAACGGTTTGAGGAATCTCTAATAATGCTGGTCTCCCACCTGCCTGTTCTGCAGCTGATCCTTGCCTTGTTGTACCTCGTACCTGCAGCTAGCCCTGGGATCAAGAGCGGAGTACATCCTCCATTGCAACCTTGATACCGAGCACGCCACTTCCAAGGCTTGTTCGCGGCAGAAAGCTAGGCAGGCCGAGAAAATTTGTGGTTATATACTCATCGCTCCCAATTATCCTTCCCAGATATCTATATCTCCTGCCAACACTTGTGCTAGCATCCTGATAATCTGCCCAGCATGAGATCAAGGCTACTCCGGAAGGCATTGCCGCTGTTACATCTCATTGCGGCGACTCTTGCTACAGATCCAATCGTTAAGGTGATCAATGGCTCGTATTCCGGTCTTTTTCTGCCTCAGTTTAAGCAGGAGCTTTTCCTGGGCATTCCGTATGCACAAGACACTGGCGGACAGAATCGGTTTCTCATTCCGCAGGGACTCAATGAATCGTGGGAAGGAGTCCGCACTGCCAAGCAGTACGGCAATGCCTGCCCAGATAATGAGCTGGCGGCTGACGGAGTTTATGGAATGAGTGAGAATTGTCTCAGTATCAATATCGTTAAGCCGGCTGGATTGAAAGCACATGAGAAGCTGCCAGTAGTGCTCTGGATCCATGGCGGAAGGTCAGTTAGTTCTTTCTCATTACTGTCACAGCAAATATCATAATTTCGGGTCGTAAAAATGTCTCAAGACCGGTCCCTCTCCCCGCGTGAACTCAATCGTTGAAGAGCTTTCTACTAATGAATGCAGCTATCAAGTTGGAACCAGCGGTCTTCCGAACTACAATCTCACATATCTAGTCCAAAGATCCGTGGAGATCGGAAAGCCTATCATTGGTGCTTCTATAAACTACCGTAAGGGCGGCTGGGGCATGCTTTATAGCATTGAAGTACAAGTAAGGCATAAATCATGCCTACATTCATCGAATGATTCTGACCTGGGCCTAGGGCTCAGGAAACACTAATCTAGCTCTTCGAGACATGCGAAAAGGCCTAGCTTGGATTTCCGAGAATATAGCAACGTTTGGAGGAGATAAAAACAGCGTAACTATATGGGGAGAGTCGGCTGGCTCATTTGCAATTGTGCGTAGATTCACTTCACCTCCGTCACTCAGGCGTCTCCTATGAACTCCACTCACATAATCATTAGGGTCAACTACTCTTGAGCTACGGAGGTAAGACCTCTGGCCTCTTCCACCGCTCTATCCAGGAATCTGGAAGCGCAACTACAGCCTGGTACAACGGCTCTTCTTGGTACCAACCTATATACAACAAAATCGTATCTCAAGTGAACTGCTCCGACGCCATCGACACGCTAGCCTGTCTGCGCACCATTCCGTACGAAACAATCTACCCCTTCTTGGACAGCTCGAAAGTTGGTGGCCCTGGCTTCTATCCCACCGTCGACGGCGACATAATCCCCAACTACCCAACGGAGCTTATACATTCCGGGCGCTTCGCCCATATTCCACATCTCTACGGGACCAACAGCGATGAAGGCACCGATAACGCCCCGGCCGACGGCGTCATCAACACGGACGACGATGTCTATTTCTACCTTCTCAACAGTACGGGCTTTGACTTTCCGCCCTCCACTGTCCGCGAGATCATGCGACTCTACCCAGATGACCCTGCTCTTGGTATCCCGCTCAACACGGGCGATGAACGTTTCGCAGAAAAGGGGTACCAATACAAGCGAATCGCTGCCATCCTCGGCGATGCATTCTACCACGCAACTCGTCTAGATGACGCCCGCAACTACGCAAAGTACAGCCCTACGTACATCTACCGCTTCAACACGCGCGGGTTCGTCAACAGCACGAACGCGACGTACCTCGATCTGACAGGGAGCTTAGCCCCCGCGTACAAGGGCGTTGCACATTTCACTGAAGTAGCATTCGTGATGGCGAATCCGCAATTTGTTGGGCCTTGGCCGGAGCACAAGCAGTTGAGCGATCAGATGAGCGCCCAATGGGTCAACTTCATCAATGGTGGGAGTCCGAACGCCGAGGGTTTACCCGAATGGCCGAAGTATAGCGATGGGAAGAGTGGATTGAATCTGGTGCTGCAAACGAAACAACAGGGAGGTAGCTATGTGGAAGAAGATACGTATCGCTTGGCTGGGAGAGAGTATTTGACTAAGTGGGCGAGGAGGCGGCATGTTTAGGGGATATGGGAGGATATTTGTTGTCTCTAGAGACGCCGCACTTTAGACAAAGGATAAGAAGGTCAAGACGGTTGTGTTGTTAGAGGTGAAGAGAAAATCATATTGCTTCAATGATCAAGAACGCCTACGCTAGCAACTAGAGGCGCGCTGCAGACGTTGTAATGACTATCCTGTATCTTATGTTCCCCAGTCTGGATTTAGACTCGGCCACCCTCCATAACTACTGTATTCCGTCTAGTAGATAGACGGAAATCTGTGTTTCTGGTTTCTTTTCAAACTTGACCACACCAATCCGTCGTACCCGCCATATCCTACCATAAAAGGGAAAATGTCGACATAAAGACTTTTTGGTCGGTATCGCCTTCGATTCTGAACATTGAGAGTTCATACACCCGACTTTTCCCTTGCAAAGACCTGCTGTATCTTACTTAAATAGGCAATCGCATGTGAGTGCCTACGAGTATCGTTTCTAAGTACTACAATTAAGATGAAGTAGTCACAAGGGATACTCTAAGTTGTCTCCAAGGGATCATGATCGCAATGCTTAATGTCATAAGCTTGGTGCAAGTATATACACAAATTTATCCTTTTTGGCTCATGCCTCATCTTAGATCTGCTCGTTGACAAACAACCCAGCCATCCCCTGACCAGTGCCGATACACATGCTGGTGAGCAAGATCTTCTTCTTCTGCCTCCTGGCCTCGCTAAGGCCCGTCACAATCTGCCGAGCGCCTGTACATCCTAGGGGGTGTCCGAGTGCAATTGCGCCACCTCTCACATTCATCTTGGCCGGATCGATCTTCAGGGCGTTGACACAGTATACGGCCATGCTGGCAAATGCCTCGTTCAACTCGATGAGATCGACGTCGGCAAGAGTGATGTTGAACTTCGTCAACAGCTTAGGGATGGCGATAGAGGGGCCAATGCCCATAATCCGGGGAGCAAGACCGGCCACCGTGGCGCCCACGTATTTGGCTAGGATGGGTTGACCAAGCTCCTCCGCCTTGGAACGCTTCATGAGCAGCACAGCAGCCGCGCCATCGGTTACTTGAGACGAGTTTCCACCAGTGCTGCGGTCGCCGTGCGGAAGGAAAGCGGGACGAATCTTGTTCAGCGCCTCGAAGGTGGTTCCCCATCGAGGTCCCTCGTCTTTTGTCAGAGTAACGGTCTTCTCTTCGCCCGTCTTAGGGTCCTTGACCCTGACAGAAATGGGCGCGATCTCGTCGTCGAACCAGCCCGCTTTTTGGGCTACCTCTGCTCGCCGATATGACTCGGTGGCGTACCTGTCTTGCGCCTCGCGGCTGATGTCGAAGTCCTTTCCTACATTCTCTGAGGTTTGTCCCATGGGCTGCATGCAATCGCACGCTTCCTGGTTCTGCAATATCTCGTCGTAGAAGGGCCGCTCGAGACGGTCGCCACCCGTGGTCATGTGTTCCGCGCCTAGTGCAAGCCCGACGCTGATGCTACCCGTGGAGATCTGGTTGGCGATGTCCTGTACCGCTTTCAGACCAGAACTGCAGAAACGGTTGACGGAGGAGCCGGCAGTGGTATTGGGGAATCCGGCCCCGAGCATCGCGGCGCGGACGTAATAGGCAGCTTTGGCGTCGGAGACCTATTGTGAGATGCCGTTAGCTTTTGGTCGAGTAACAGTTCCAAGCATGTTGGAGGGATTGTTGAGAATGAGAAGACGTACATTGCCCAAGCAGATATCCTCTACCACCGCCGGATCTATCTTTGACTTCGAAATCACTTCCTTGAGAAGCTTATACACCAAACCGTCCAGCGGCGTATCTTTCAAGCCACCCTTGCTGGCCTTCGTAAGAGGGGTCCGAATCGCAAGCGTAATAACCACATCGTCGGCGTTTTTGGTAGTTCTAAATCCTGTCAGTGTCTCTTGAATTGCGGTTAACGATGCGGGGGAGAGCTCCGCGGATGGCGGTGGTTTAGCTTACATAGCTGAGAGGCCGCTTCTGCTAGGCGTGATATGCGAGAGAATGGAGCTCAGTCGTTCGGCCATGATGAATGGAGGGATATAGAGAAAACTGAGGTTGCAATGGCAGCGAGGGTGTCAGACAAGAGAAGTGATGATGGATGCGCTAAGGAACGGGATCTTAAACTCGAGCATGCCTCGGCGCCTCGGTATCTTCCTACGACCTACCCCACAAACAAGGAAGACATTTTGCCCGGGTGTTGTTCTCTTCGGATGATACCCACGGCAAACCACACAGGAAAGCATCTAATCAGAACTTGCGAGCCGTTGAGAGCCGGCACTCTGAAACGGCATTGTGCTGAAAGCAAAACACCGCAGAAAGCCTTTCGTATCAAGATGTCAGACAAGCAGATGGTATCAGACATGCAGCAACAAAGCAAGCCCAAGGCTTATATTTCAGATAGATCAAGCGATCAGCTACAAGCGCACGGGAGTCTAAATGCAAGCGTAAGTGTTCAATCCATGTGTGGAGACACTCGTAATAAGGATAGCTGACAAAGATAGCATCACGTGACCAGTTCTTCTCCTATATACACGTGCAATTCGCTATATAGCCACACAATGCGAGCAAGCTCTAGAAGCTTGCGAATTTATTCGGCCACAATGCAGAGCTCCTGCGTGTATAAGAGCCTTCCGTAAGGCGCCAACGAAGATCACACCCCAGAACAACTTTGACATCAAGAACCTCTTGTTGCTTTCCCTTGAATCTCTCAGAGACAGCGCTTCGAAGCTCTCAAACTTCACCATCTTGCAGCGTTCCATTTCAAGTTCCCTACTTTTCCTCATCACCATTCATTCTTCTTCGGCGTCTTCGCAGACCTTGCTACCATTCATGGCTTCCATTGTCCCAAGTCCAGTGGTTTCGAAGCAACCCGTTGCCCTAGAAACAAGTATCAATTCGCTCATGAAACCGAATCCTCAGGCTTTGCCTGAACCTGGTGCCTGGGTACCTAGCTCTCCAGCTTCCGCATGGACAGCAGCTGCTACACCTCCGATCACCTCATGTGTGCCCACTCCAATATCTTCACATCCGCCTATCAAACAGGATACGAACGTCGGCATAGCCGAGGCCAGTGCTATTGTGGGCGCCTTCGTTGGAGTCGCTATCATTGGGACCGTTGCTTCCGCTCTCTGGAAGTTCTTTCGGAAGATGAAGCAGCCACCCGGCGTCGAAGACGTTGAAACCCAAGCCGCTAACCCGAGGCTAGGAGATAAAGCTGATGCAAAAATCACTAGGCCTCCAGCAAGTCACCAGTCTACGCGACCCAGCGACCTTGCTGCTGCCGCCACGGTGACCGACAGCCGATGGTGGCACCCCATACCACCTGTCTATACACCGGGCAACTTCAGTATTTATGCCACTCAGCAAGACAATCACTACACTCCATCTACCTAGGGTATTAGAGAAAAGCTGACGTTGGTAACTGAGAGGTTCGAGTTAGCTGAAGGTACGCCCTACATGGCTCCATAGAAGTGCGATTTACAGATTATCCAAGTGATAGCCGCATTTCCCTTAGTTAGCAAATTAGCCCAAGTTCTCATATCATAATCCTCGTGTAATTGAAAACGCTGTCGTTTTGACGTGAATAAATTAAAGATGATGCAGTACCTCCTTGCCAGTGATGATGGTCTAAAGTACGTAGAGGCGGCTCTTGAAGGCTACGATAGATAGTGTTCGAGTAAAATAGTACGAGGTGCGACATTGTAAGTCTACAAGGCTTAGAGCATAAGAAGGTTTGAGAGACGATCTCGCCTAAGAGAGGGTATTGTACATACACACAAAGGCTATTGTCAAGGACCTATCTATGAGAATACATAAAGACGCACTGTCCCCGAGAGGCTCGTATCTTACGATTGCCTTTCATCTGCTTCCAACATAAGAGCATCACTCCCTTCCGCCTCGCAAGCTCTTTCCGCATAGGCCTAGCATTAGCAGTACTCCTATTTCGAGCCAGTCAACAACACTACCCATGCCTCCGAAACCGTCTCTCGTTGCGCGTGCTGGCGGTCCACTGTCTACCACCATTCCGTCTTGTTGGAAATCGGGGGTGATCTTTCCGTGCGCAGTCTCCAAGTCCTTCTTCTCAGGAACCCCTACCCCTGAAGCCTACAAGGCTCCTGAATCTCTTGATACGAAGAAAGTGATAGCAATTCTTGTACCCTCTGCGCTCCTGTTTGCGGCACTATTCGTATTGAGCATATTGCTATGTCGACGTAGAATGAGGAACCATGGTTCTGGGGACGACCCACTAGAAGAAGCCGGGGAGAGAACCTTGCACCATCGGCGGAGGGGCCCAGACGCACCTCCTTTGACCATCGTAACGCAAATATCTTGTGGACCTCAGCAGGCGAAACCAGCGTCCGCTCCTCGCTTCCAAGCAAGACAGCAATCGCCCAAGACGTACAACATAGTAGGCAAGGGAACGACAAAGCCTAATGGACAAGGGTGGTTTAAACTAAAAGCAGGCGGCGAGTCGCGAACTCAAACCCTGCAAAGGTCTGCATTACCATGGGAAAAGCCCGATCTGTCTCACATGGCGAGAGGACTGAGAAGGCTGGTGATCAATCTGGCCGAGCCAGCAAAGCCTTCTCGTATGTACCTGAAGACGGGAATGCATCCGAACTTGGAATACAACGAAGAGAATGCGTGGGCTTTCACTCCGACCCCGCCTAAATCATCATCTATCGAAATTCCTATGAAGATACGAAAGCCAACGACGCCTCCGCTTCCGCTTCGGAAGGCTGTCCAAGTTAGGCGCCACTGCCACCCAGATACCAAATATGGCCGTGATACTGCGTGGGCATTTGAGCCGCGGGAATAGGTGAGCTTCCGGTCTAGCTCTGTTGGATAATCTCTTCAGATCATGGTGGTTGCTGATTTTTGAATGACTTCTCCTGGAAACCCCATTAGCTAGCCTGATGCGAGCTAGTGAATTGACTCATTCATCCTCGATAGCGGATATGCAATTGAAAATTTCACCCAAACCTTCCAATTTCAAGGCCAATGGCTTCGTTGATGTATCCTCTGCAAGTGATATTGGAAATGGAGTATTTGATAGAAAAGCTTTGGCAGCGTGTTTAACTCTAGATTTTCTTTCCGATAGAAACTAATGGCAAGATATTCATCCAACGTTTGCAAGACCTCGTCCTACTCCTGGATACGTTGTTCACTTACATATGGATCTACATTGTGTACTTCAAAACAGTCGAGGTAAGGAGTACGGTTGCAATTAGAAATGGCGAACGGAGTATAAAGCCTCTTCACCCCCGTTTTCTGGGACGCAGCTACACACAAACCTGCTGCCTGATCAGAGCTTTTCAGAGTCAGATTCCAATACTTTTCCAAAACACCTTCCTAGATGTTTGGCCCATCGCGAATGCCCGTTCCAGTCACCATGGCATCTCCAATCGTCAGCAAGCAGGCTGAGACGGGCTCCGTGAAGTTTCCGCATACCCTTCAAAGGCGACTAGCACTCAAAGACTTTTCTTTCAATGAAACGCAAGCACTTGTAGTGGTGGCAGTTGTCACCTTCAGCGTTCTCATAATCGTTTCGTGTTTCGGATGCTTCCTGCTTTGGAGAAGACGGTGTATTCAACGATGCTGCCACTCGATCGACGATAGCCAGCGAATCGAGAGTATTGAGCTTGGCATATCACTTCAGCGACTTTACGACGTGATCCGCGCAAACTCGATCCTACAAAGATCGCGAGTATCTCTGCCAGAGCCTGCAGCGGCTGGAACGCACACGATCCGAACGGCTGCTCAAAGACCTACGAGTACTCAGCCCGAACCGTGGCACGCATGGAATGCGTATCGATCGATGACGAGCTCTCAACCTCTAAATACGGTACCGGAGGCTTCGAGTGCTGAGTTCGATCTATTCTCTTTGGACATTGCCGATGCCAGAGTAGTCTAAGGACCTTGGTTAGCTCTCGAGCGCCATCTAACTCTCAAGATAGACTGATGTGCCTAATGTAAATCTGCAACGCTTGGAAACATACCTCGATCTAATGGAAATGTTTCTTCTGAAAGTATCACCGCTCCTTTCTGAGAGCTTCTGCGACATGTTATGAGCTATGATTGATCTTCATCCATTATCTGATTGGTAATCCTGGCTTGTAGATAGTATTTTTTAGGTCGACTGAACAATGCCTCTGTCTCGCCCACTCCTTGTGGATTGAATCGCACTAAAAGTCCGCTCAATAAGACATTGTCTCCAATGATGGCCATTTATTCTCCATACTCCAAAGAGAAGATCATTGTGTACTATACCAGTCGGAGCGCATGATGGTCTAGACATTGTAAGACGAGCATTGTGTAGTAGCGAGGTCGATGTCCATATAAATTCAAGAAAGGCCTCGTCTTCGATGACAAAAAAGCACCTGGTTAGAGCAGTCTTGAGGCCCAAGAGGACCATTGCCATATTCAAATCTGATCTTCAAGACCGTCCACATTCGCTCCTCAATCGCTTTCCGATATGACCACATCCCAACTCTCACGAAGCGTTTCAACGCCTTCCCCAGAAGCCTTCCACAGCTCCGAACAATTAGCCGGCTTCTTAACGAAGAGTCTTGGCCCTTCCAAAGCAAGTCAGTTGTCCGTTTCAACCACCACTACAACGGCGACTATCATTCAGACAGTGACAGGCGAGGTGCCCACAGGCGGATGTCCAAACCCGGCGTTTCCAATCTTCTTACTCATATGTCTTTCTCTGCTAATTCTTCTGATGCTCACCTTCTTCATCTTGATCATGTGGATAACTTATAGAGACGGGGTATGCCAGAAATGCAAGAACCAAAGCAACCGGGATGGCAAGCGTAAGCCATAACCGCCGCGGTCCCGCGAGGGTCCAGAGAGCATCGAGATGACGAGCCTACCTCCGAGGAAGCAGGAAGAAGCAATTCCTGATTATCCTATTCCTTCGCAGCCGCGGAACCTGCCGGAATTAGATCACTCCAGTCCCTGGCATCACTACACCCGGGAGCTTCCATCTCGAGCTTCAGGTCGTAGACTGACCAAACCAATGGTGGGCCTCTTTCGCACTAAAAATATCAGCACTGAACTGGTAGGGACTTTGTAAGTTCCTCTAGGGGTCTTCAGGCTCTTTAGCCTAGACCCTCCAAGTCGAGGTCCGCGGAAACCAAACTTTTCTTCGACCCTTGCATCGCATAGTCTATCAATGAATCCATTACCCCCCCTAACATCATAAAAATCCATGAACTTCTCAGAGATCTTCCTATTCATTGTGACACTTGCATATTCGTCTGTAATTGCCACGTTCGCTCGTGACTGTGCCGTGGCCCTCTTCAACCTTGACTGACGCGGCTATCCAAAGCAAATGATCTGGGAACTTCAGCTGCCAACGCACCGTCGACTACGTATACCTGCCCACCTGTTATTATATGAAAGTGAAGGATCAACATGCTGAGGCAGTCCTTAAAGATCGTGAAAGTCCTCGGTGCGGAGAGGTCAAGCTTCTTATCTCGTTAGTATCATCGCCACCGGCGACAACCTTCGCAAGACCTACCCAATCTATACCATTACTTGCGTCAAAGGCGACCCGAGATATATCAATCCCATTACAGCACACGTTCAAAATGCCACCCACTAAAGGCGCGATGACAGTCCCACCTCCTCTTCTCCAACATAGAGACGAGAAATATACATACGACATATCCTCTGGATTTTTCATCGGCATATTCTTCATGATCGCATTCCTACTGGGCTTCCTACTCATCGCCAGCGCTGTGCTTTGCTCTCGCGTTGGTAGGCTGCGCGATCCACGACGAGCACAGCGAGTCGGGTGGCGGTGGCCAGGCTCACGACATCCCACTGGGGCCGATCCGACCGGGCGATCGCAGAGTGTGGAGTTGAGAGATATGCATACCAGGACAGAAGGTAACCGTGGCGCTGGGAGCTCATGGGATAGCCTGAATCGGATTTTGGGGGAGTCGCATTCCGGCGCGGGACGTCAGGCGGAGATGCCAGAGAGAGTTTTTGATCGATCGGCGCCGCAAAGAGTATGAAGACTAAGTCCGAGTCGATCATGAGAATGGACGGAAAGGCGAGTGGTGCAGCGAGGACACATCCGCCGTTGAGCTAATGGGTACGTGCAAGGCGTCGGCTGGACCGATTAGATCTGATAACGCATGAAGAATTCTCTCAAATGGGAGTGTATCAGTCGTTTTGAATGCGATAGATCGCATTCTTGTCAAACACCCAGTTATATTTAATTGATTTTGATTCCATATAGTGCAACATAGATAATGAGCGGAAAGTAGCAATCTTTCCGTCATTTTGAGACTTATAGAACCTACTGGATATGGTGTCGCTAATAGCAGCCCCATTTATGAGGTTCACCCACTTTCAACTCACCGATGCGGTCTCTGGCGTCCTGCTACTTGTCAGCGAGGAGTAGCCAACGAAAACATGTCGAAGCGGAGAAGGAACTTACCACGTATGCTATCCAACCTTTCTCATGCCACTCCTTGAGAGAAAAGCCTTCCTGGTCAGGCTCAATGGTGACAGCATTGACCGACAGGTAGCAAGATGGCCTGACAACCTCCTTCCCAGCATGTTCGTACTTCCATTCTCCAGCCTTGAGCTTCCACGCCTTTGTTGTCTTCCCCTCAGACCCTTCGCTCCCCTTCCATTTTTCAAGATCGACCTCGGTGGTTTCCCAGCTTCCACCAATGCCGAAACATCGCACGCCGCATTCTTTACAGAAATACCAGCTCTGGACCTTCTTGAATGTGCGGTAATCCCCCAATTCAGTCTCCGGATTGGGACTCAGGACCAGGAAGTCGTTGGCTGGATCTATCGGGCGAAGATGGAAGAGGTTCATTTTGGTGCAGGTACTGCAATTGCATTTGTAGACTCGGATTGACTTCGCATTGATGTCGAGGATAGGTGGGAACGTCAACCTGACCAAGTATTGGGTTGCCCCTCTGCAAGTCAGTCGAAGTCGGGTTGGTAGTAGTTCGGTACAAACTCACCACAATGACAAGAGCCATTATAGACTCGTGTACTAGTTTCTGCTGGAGCGGACATGGTAAGTGCGGTGATGTACGTTCTGTTAGGAAAGAGGCTGGCTGTAGGGGTGAATAGGTAGAGACGACTAGTCAACTGTATATAACGTGTACTTTCTGGCCAGGCAGCAGCGTACGACGTATCGGCCGCGGACCACGTCTCCCGTGGAAGGTGGCCCTTCGCGGCTGCGGATACGCGTAGATGACACGAAACTGGCTGAATGCGAGCGGGGCTTGAAGATGTCGGACGGGTCACGTGACGCCGAGCGCCTGTTGTAACATTGCTACCATTGTTCCGCGCCAGAGCGAAGCACATTGAGACCTAGTAAGTGAATTCATGCAGTTGCAGAGCTGGACATCTGGAGAGAACTGTGGTTGGATCGTACCTTTGGGATCTTCCGCTTTTTCGACTGACTGGGATTAGCTCTTCGGACTGCTTCCGGTCGCTGATCAGAGCGTCTCACACGCCCTATACACCTCAACGACAGGCTGACCGACTATGGATGCCACGGGGGCGTACCACCGCATCACAGTATGTCTGAGTGCTGTGAGTGGGATATGGATCTTGGGCATGCTGCTCTGCAGCGTCCCATGGTTCCAGCGCCAGTAAGATACCATGGTCACCTTACTGGACTCAACGTTGATTATCCTGAAGAATGCTATACTTGCACTGGGTAAAGATATGGTGGGGTTTCAAGCTGGACAGGCCAGAAACGTTTGGATTCTTAAGTAAGCTAGTGGAGCTAAACATGAGGAGCCCAACTGACGGTAGCAGAGAGCCAAGTCGCTCCATTTCGGATCGCAACCTCTGATGGAGAGCGCCTCTACGCATGGCTGATTGCCCCGTTGGGGATTTATGCAAAGCACATTGAAAGCTTTCAGAAAGAAAAGGTTGGCCCTTTCGTGGACGTGAAAGAAAGATTGGCCTTCAAACTTCTAGCTCAGGATCCGGAAGCACGACTTGTGATCTATTTCCACGGTAACACGGCAACAATCGGACAGGGCCGACGCACCGAGGAGTATCGCGTTCTCTCGTCTGGCGCTTCTGACAAGATTTTTATTCTAACGTTTGATTATCGCGGCTTTGGCCATTCTACTGGAACTCCCACAGAAGCCGGATGCATCAACGATGCCATCGCTGTGCTCGAATGGGCCCTAAACGAGGCCCATATTCCTGCAGATCGCATCGTTTTACTCGGCCACAGTCTTGGGACAGCTGTTGCCAGTGCCGCTGCCCAGTATGCCATCAACTTGGATCCCCCCGCGCAGATTGCCGGCGTTGTCACCTGCGCCGGTTTTAGCGATGCGAAGAATGCTTTTCTATCCTACTCCGTTGGTGGAGTGTTGCCTGTTTTTGCACCCCTAAAGTTTATGCCTTGGTTAAGCGCATGGCTTGGAAGAAGGGTAAAAGACACTTGGAAGAGTGCAGATAGGTTAGCAGAGCTGGTGCAAAAAAGCAAAAAGATCCGAGTGACCATGGTCCATGCCACGGGAGACATCGTAATGCCTTTCTATCAGTCTAATGAGCTTTTCTATCGAGTCGTGGAAGCAGTGTCGGGGCACAAGATGACGAGGGAAGAGATAGACAAACTGAAGGAGTCGATCGACCTCGGTGATGGTGGGGTGGTGGACAGCTGGACCGATGGCGAGAGGATTATCAGAAAGGAGATTGTATATCACGGAGGTCAGTGCTATTGCTCCAAGAGTACCTATAAATTGCTGACGTGAAGGCGCTAGGACATGATTCTATCATGAAATGGACCCCGGTAGCTCTCGCGGTCGTGAGAAGCTTCGATCTCCCGCAAGCTTCAGCGTTAGTGTAGTCGATCCATAGCTGACTATCTACCTGACGCCTTTCGGTCCTTTTAGTGAAGATTTAAACTTTAATTCGAAGTTCTCGTAATATCCAGAGGTGAGGGACTGCTTCACCTTCGTGGTGCACGGGCCTCCCGTTCGTCATGCGACTTCCTCACAAAGACGACGACCTTCGCTTGCCATCACCCCGCCGTCCTTTGTTCACGCTCTCGTCTTCTCACCCGCAATGCGCACACGGCCGTTTGACAAAGCTATTGTTACGCGTTTCTTTATTGCTACGAGAGAAGTCAGATCGCCCCAGAGCTCTTTGTCTGTCTCCGATTTTGACCTCTACTCACAGACACGTCTATCGCAGATACGAGAGTAAGGACCCTTAGGTACCCAACTCTACAACGTCATCCAAAGCTGTCGATCCGCGATTCCTTGATATCAACAGAGCTAAACAGGCAGCTCTCAGTGATACCTTCTTCCAGATACCTCAGTATGCCCGCTATGTCCAGTTACCCGGTCGTGTCTTCTCGGTCGGATAGCGCCTTTGGCAATGGTCCAGCGGCCCCGCCATCACAGCTCGTTCTCGGAGTTCTCATCTCTACTGTCGTCTTCCTCGTCGCGGTTGGCATACTCATGACATGGCTGCTCTGCTTCTACCGTGAGCGCCACGAGATCTGCTGGTTGCCAAAGCTCTGCTGCGGTCGGAAGCAAAAACCAAAACCACAATCACGGAGCTTTCGATGGTCAGTTTCGAACTTGGACTATGCTTTGAGCGCTGAGGCACGTCGATCTCGGACAAACGCTGCGATAGGGCTGGGGCGCGAAATGGACGACCTAGGTGCTTACTTTCGGAACCCGCGATCACGAAACTCGGAATTAAAGAAAGACCAAGATGACGGCTCGAAATTTGTCGTGGGCGATGAGGAAGAGGGAATTGGGCTTCATCCGATTGATCCTCCAAAGCCGCCTCCTTCATCGCTGAGACCATTCCCAAACAACGAAGCTCAGGCTGATGCCCCTATGCCAGCACCAGCTACCATAGAGTGGCCAGAGCTACCCCCACGGCCAGCGGCTTCAAAGCTGAAGAAGAATAGAGCGACTGTTTCAGCGCTGATGTTTGGAAGAGGCGGGAAGGAGACCTTGCGCCGCGATAGTGTCTAGTTCGTAGCTCGCAGTAAAGGTGAATTGCTTACAAGTTCTTACTCTCGTCCCGCAATATACGAAATTTGGACTTACTAAGGCTTACATATCACAAAGATCAGACTCCCACGCTTCCAGTATCAAAAGCTCTTCAAGATTCTAGATGCCTCACTCACTCTGGATCGCTGTGGAGTAACTAATCTACAATGCGCTCCAGAATTCCTGCTCCATCGAGACACTACAGACTACGGATAGGTCTCTAGAACACACGCTTATGTGGGCACTGTTTGAACATTTCCTTGTCTCTTTTTGCTGGCTACGGTTTGCGCGGTGGCCTCAGTCAACCTAGCGATAGCATTGACAATGTTTGGCATCGACTTGCATTGTCGAAACACATCCCCAGCTGCAGGACCTATAGGAACTGGAGGAAGGTTGAGGCACTGTAGAATACAATAACTTCACAATGGATTTTGTTGAGTTCAAGGTATATAACTGGTGCATTCTCTGCGGGACAACTCCGTTTCTCAAACTCCTCGTTGCTTGCTCCAGATAATTCTAGAAACCATCGGCACTCCAAGCAACTTCTTTCATCCAGTGCGGATACTGAAAACGAACATGTCGTTGACAGCCTCGCTGACCCAAGTTCCACCCAGCCAAAGTTTAGGGCTGACACCACTGAAAGTCGCCTCGAACATAATTCCCACACTGACTTGCTTCCGCTACTCAAACTCTCCGGCAATCAATACCGATACGGGAGTGCTCAACATCATAGTCCCTAGCTCTTCGACGAGTGGCAGAAATTACGTCGTAGTAACGGTCACTCAAACGGTCGTCGTCCCGCCGCAGCCAATATCATCAAGTGTACCTATCACATCCAATCTGCCAGGAACCTTTGCTTCTCCAATAGCGAACTCAACGCGGTCCGCTTTCCCTGCGCCCTATCCTCCTAGCAATGCTACTCGTTTGATCGGTAGTAGCAAGTTGCTCGGTGGCCAACCGCATACAACCTCGACGCAGGTAACCTCGACGATTCAACCGCCACCAACTACGATCGTTCAGCCGCTTCCACCACCTGCTAATATCACAATGGGAAACGGTACGCTTCCCCAACCAACACAAGCTCACAGTCATGTTGATCTAGGCCTGGTTGTTGGTCTAGCTCTTGGCTCTTTGTTCCTTGTTTGGCTCTTTTCATTCGTACTAAGAGCATTTCGTTCTGTGCACAAATCTATGCCTAACGAGAGGGGTGATGCGGCAAAGCGATGGTTCCTCGGAAGCGATCACTGGGATGTACTCGCGCTTGCATTTCCCTTCAAGCACTTCAAGAAGCGAAGGGAGGTGCAAGCGGCTGCGCGGAACGACGAAGAGATGCGGACACAGGACCTCGGTGCAACGTTTGAGGCACCGAGAAATAATTCCGCTTATGCTACTACCCCTTTCGTCACAGGAGAATTTGTTGATATCAACTTGAACTCTCCTCCGATAGCCCAACATGAACCGGGAGCTACAACACGACCAGGCTTTGGACGACATGTAAGAAAATCCCAGATCTCTGCCCCCACCAAGTCTGAGAACTCCCTTGGTTGGATATGAAAGCAGCCCCGGTCTGACTTCTTCTAGATGAGGTCGAACAGACTTCACTACCCCTAGCTAGAGCACTCGATGACTCCTCAATTTCTTCATGATAATCTGTCTCTTAAGATGCTGGGATATCCCCGCATAGTGTTATATTTCACTTACCACGTCTATCTCGATTGTCATCAACATCCTAATTCAAATTCTTCCGCCGATTCCTTCCTCCTAACTCCCCATTCCAATTTCGTAAACCGAAAGCAACATGATCACATCAATTCACAGTATAGCCTGCTCCTTCTCCAATTCACTGCCTTATTAGCATGTATATGATCGCCTCTTGCACTATAAATAGTCAACACTGAACTTGGTTTCAACATGCCCCACGAGAATTCCGGCAATTTCCCGCTCACTGTCCGGGCTACAAACATCACGTTTGCCAACGGCATCAGCGTTGCTCTCTCGTCAGTATCCCAAAAAAAGGATCTCTCAAATGCGACGGTGATTGCACTCGTAATCACCATCCTTTTCCTAGGATACATCGTCTACTACATCTGCTTTCCCATCTTCCAAATACTTGGCAGGAAGTCAGGACACCGCAGAGGGGCGATTCAAAAGTTCCTATTGCAGTCACCCGAATGCAGTGTAATCATCGTCACTTGGCCTGCAAGGATCTGGACATGCTAGCAGAAGCAACGACGCCAGAAGCGGGAAGACACGGAGATGGTACTCCCGAAGATTGTGTCGGACAGCTCGGACGACTCTCTTGAGAAATTCCCTTCCTTTGGCGATAGGACGAGGGCGGACTATTCCCCTGAGCAGAGTCGGGTGCCTGCTGAGTCTCAATCTAGAGAACAGCCTCGGAGGAGCGGAGAGTCGAGTATCTCTATCGATGTAGAGGGCAACATCCGTCCTATGTTTGACTCTATTCGTCGACGATCGGTTTCGAGACACCAACAAGGGCCTCGTCGCCATGTGCGGGTGAGCAGGGGTATCTCTGTGAGGTCTTCTCGTGCCGTGAGCGAGCACTTTCAGCAGCATTCTGGCGTACTAGGAACTATTGAGAGCGGATCAGAAGAATCTCAAGAGTCGAATGAGAGTACCAAGACCGATCCCAAGATAGAGGTTAAGGTGGCTCAGAATACGGATGATTCGCAAGGATCCATGAAGGGCTCGGAGCTCGACTCAAGTAAGAAAGTGGAGGTTCCTCAGACATAGAGACGCTCCTTCAAGCTGTACTGGAGTTATGAATTGATGGTATCGTCATTGCGATCGCTCTTCTTGCTATCGATTCCTTCATGACTGACTCTTTCAAAATGAGGTCGCCCTCAAACTCTTTCGAATATGCTCTTACGATAGCCGATGCCTTACATCAAAACATATGCGAGAGTCTCGTTTCGAGACACGAAAGAACAATTGCGGCTATCAGAAACGTATCGCGACGTTTTCGGAACCACGCGAAGTCCGACCGTGTTCTTACGCGGCGCTGTGAAACAGGTAATACAATATCCCAATGTGCATCCAAGCAATTTCCTTTCCCGTTCAGGAACCTGAGCTGCTCATGCGCCAGTCTGAGCTGTGGCTGTGCTGGGTGAGCGTACCCTGAGCCGAGACTGAGCAGCTGTTGGAACCTAGTTTTGGGCCCTGTATTCGACAGGGAGAGTTGAGACTGGGGTCCTCACCCTGCCTCGGAAGGCACATTTCTGGGCCCGTAGGCCTGCTAGGTCCCAGTTTCAGGGCCCCAATTCTCGAGTAAGCTCACCCTTAATGGAAAACAGCCCAAGACTAATCTGCACCACTTTATTATCCATGCAAGGGCAGAGCCACAAGTAGCTAATAGGTTCCAATGTCCCCTAGGGGTCTAGAGGCTATATTATTACTAAATAATATTTAGAATAGTATATAGTAAGGCGTAAGTTAAATAAATTTATAATAGAAAAGTAATAATATAAGCCTATTATCCCTAGAAACCTTATACTATACTTTACTAAAGGGATATTTTCCCCCTACTATTTAATAGATTAAACTAATAAATTTCTCTCTAGGAAGTATATTAAGAATCTCTAGGCTATTTATATAATATTTTATTAGTTAGTAAAAGAAAGGTTTATACTACTATAATACTTATATTTTCTACCTACTTATATAAAGCTTTACTACTTACTTAGTGTAACGGGCCACGGCCCAAATAAGGACTCCCTCGATTACATCTCCTGAGTCCGGCTTAGCGTCGTACGCAACTGCCTCCTTTTCTCACGGTTGAGCAGAGCTTACTTCCTTTCTCTATCTTGTTTATCCTGTATTATAGGCTACATAGCGTACACGTTAGTTGCTTCCATGCAGCCTATAATAATAGGCTTAGACTTTAATATGTTAGTTCTCTAGGTATACTTTTAGATTCTTAAGAAGTTTAATATCCTATACTAAGCATATATTACCTCCGCCTACTAGACGCTAAACTGGATGCATAAGTTTACTAAAACAGCAAAAAACAAGGAATTTAAGGTTATTATTGCAGCTGCAAGAGGCGCTGCGTATTTCCCTAGTATGGCGGCTTTATAGACAATACTCTTAGTAGTAGGATGCCTAGTTGCTATAAGCCACCTTAACAACCTAGACAGTTAATAGAGTATAACGCAAATGCCTTAAGATGAGCCTGTAGCTACAGTCGGTATTAACAACTTAACTAATGCGGCGTTACTGGTAGCAAGGATACTATTAGTCTTAGATCTAACTATAGATTGCAGACCTACTAAGAGAATATGTGAAGAATAATATTACGAAAGTTATAGCAAAGGATATAGAGCTACTGCGACTGGGTCCTATATAATATCTATTACAGAAGATGGGGAAATAGAGATTGTTTGGGCGAGCAGGAGCAAGCTTATTAATACTGCGGGAAGTGCCAAGAGTGTCTAATCTATTCGATAAATATGTAGCATTTGGGGTGCAGGTCCTGTAGTAGAAATGATAGCGAAGCCTGTAGGGCGTTGCTAGCTGTCATACTTTTACCGTTTCGCCCTGCCCTCTAACCATTGCGTCAGTGACATCGCAAACAAGCAAGTTCCATCTTCAAGCTCAGCAACAACCTCAAAGGTCCACGTTCCTGTTCGCAGGAATATACCTGGAATCCAGTAGTCGACTAGGATATCGTTACTGCCGCTGCTGCTCAAATGCTCCACATACGCAGTGGCATTGCGGATCGAAAGGTGAGCCGGACCAAATGCTGTAGTGCGGAGGGGTACAGTGTAGCTCTTCGTGTCCTCATGATCACCATTTAACAGGATGGCGGAGCTGGTTATGGTGAGGGTTGCGCTGGTAAGGAGCTTGTCAAGATGCGCAGGGTCTTTGGTCTTAGACAGAGAGATCTCGCCCCGGAGGAGCGTGAAGAAGATCCGATTGCTGGTAACAAGTTATTAGCTATAACTTACTTATTTCGATTATGGTCAAGCCCTGCTTGAAGAGAAAAAGGAAGACTCTGTTGACTTACACGGGGATGGGCGATGGAGCAATCTCAAGAAATTCAATCTTAAAAAGTTGCCAGGCCTTGGGTACTGGGCCGTAAGTAGCATTATTGTGGCCGGGAATCTTAAGCGCGCCCTCTGGTTCGGTAATAACTTTAATCTGGGCTACAGGCTTTTGGTGGGTGGTGGAGCTAAGGGGGACCGCGGCAGCGAAGACAGTCGGGATGGCGCAAAGAGTAAGTGCTTGTACAAGAGTTGGCTTCATTAACAGTTGGCTGAAATGTTCGGTTTGTGTGATGTGATTTGAGAGCTATAAGCTGAGACACGAACAAATTTTGGATGTGAAAGGGCTTTGAAAGAAGTAAGTAAAGTCGCCACGTACTTTCGAGGACACAGTATAGCAAATCTGAAACAATTGCGTTTAAGTAAGCGCTCCCAAATTAGAGGCAACGAAAGCGCGCTATAAATACACTTCTTGTGCCACCTGCGCCTTAATGTCTAAGGAGTCCATCCAAGGCTCTCATGATTTGAAAGACAGGTAAACGAGCCCCCGATGTTGGAATCAAGCCCCCAACGTTGTAACCAAGCCCTGCGAATACTTGCCTCCAACTCCGCGCACCACCTCTTGGGATATACTCAGTCCTTACCCTGAGCACTCGAAACTAGCACCATGACAGCATTCAGCGTTGTATCCTAGCTAAGCCTCAAACCTTGTAGTTTTAACCAAGCCCCCAGACTATGCCGCGCAGACTGCGTGCAGTTCGCGACAGCGCCCTGTTCACCACACCGCAATACCCACGTTGGAAAGGAGGAAGATGGGACGAAATGCCCGTAGGCTCAGAGTGCTCCGCTTCATCCTCGATCTATCTGAGAGTGTGGATATGGGGCGCGATATCATGCCGACTAATCCCGTAGGGATATGCCAGCTATGAGTAATTCTCAGAATCCTCATAAAATCTGCTTTTGAATTATCCTCCTACCACAAATCCCCTAAAGTGGACCAAAGGTAAGGCTCCAATTCATTGTTGTCATTTCTAGCTTCATCGCTCTCTCCTTCTATCTATTATTTCAATCATATATTACAGCGCGCGCAATGTCTTTGAGGATTTTCTCCCTCTTCAGACTCGTCGCCGCTGCTTCGAGCCAGATCTCTGTGCCAACCGACTTTGACTTCCGCGCCGCGGCTCAATCCATCTCGGCCGAATTGAGCTCTCCATCATTTGTATAAAATAAATACCAAAGGCTAAAGGATGTGTTACCACAGGTACAAACTATACAACCCGATCACAATCATGTTCTTCTTCCGCAACAAACATATAATGTGCGATTTCGGAACCGGCAACAACAACAAGCTCAACTAAGTTCTCCAGGACAAGCAAGAGCTGATCGACATCATAGACACCATCTACCGCAGTACAAAGAAGGGGCGGGGTCAAGTCGTGTCTCCAAAGGACTACTCGACCCGCTATTGGTACTAGGTTTCTGTCTGCTATCAATAGCCTCAAAAGATAAGCTAGCACGTTAGCTTATGTTACTAAGAGATCTTGACCGCTTCATATAGTTTCATACGTATGAGAACTTCTATTCAGAATCACGGATCCTCTACGTAGCTATTAGGCGTCATCCTCCCATCACTCCTTTTTATCACGTATATACGCTCACTCATTACCTCAATATAACCTCATGTTCAATTCCATCTATATGACTTCCTTCCTGGCGTGACCGTGCCAGCCATCAGTTTCTATGGACGGGCGCTTGTCGCATCAAGGCATTACTAAACTTCAAACTAGCACAGGCATACTAGTAAAATGAGGCTTACGTTGCAATAAGATATCATAGAGCTTAGGATAATGCTTAGGGCAAAGAAGATGGTAGACTGTAGAGACAGGACAGGGCGTTTCGGTTCGTCTCATTATATCTATCATTTCGATAACGACAAATATGCTAATACAGATTCCCTTTCAAGAGCTTCTATGCGCTGAAGTACTATGTAAGTGCTGCTAAGCGTTATATACTTATGTTCTGTAGCCCATTTTTCGTGAACCTGTACTAATGGTGTGACTAACAGTTATGCTATAGCCTGTAGGTAGGAAGGTTCCTTCCTGATTAGCTCGTAGGGTGGCATCCGGACCCCCAGTCGATTATCTTAATTAGAGAGTCATGTTCAGACTCTTCGCGACGCATCTTATTTCCTCCATGCCACACAATCATGGTGATCATCCTAACCGTTGTAGAAATTGATTTGCTATCCCATGCATGTGAAGTATCGACGCCGAATGATGGAGTGATTTTATCAAGACTATGTCGTCACAAGAAGATGGCGCGGGTCGGCGTTAATCGAACGACTACCTCTGGAGTTTTATCTACACCTTAGAGAAAGGCGTTGGAATTATAGCTCTATTCTCTACTATCAGTCTAATGCAACAAATGAATTGCTTTAGTCGCTGGACAGTTATAAATCCTAGACCAGCGATTGTGTACAAGCTTCTCAAGCAACTAGTTCCCAATCTTATCCCAGCAAGACACCACGGTTTCGAAAAGGAGTCCCGCAACTCTCGGAGAGCCAGATTGTCATGGCTTCTTGAGTCCTTCGATACAAGGCCAACACCGAAACAAGGTAACTGGAAGTTTCCTGGTCTTTCGATTGGTAAGCCCCCATTTGTGGCCTGCTATATCTTAGAAATCTCGAGCCTCCCCCTTATACTTATCCTACAGATTACAGCAGATATAACGACCTTTAAACCTGCTTAGTACTTGAACTACATGTCAAGAGTTTGTGTACCTACTTCAATCTACCAAAGCGGCTCGTTGTTGCATAATTGTTTGGTGATCGACATTCCATAATTTTAGACGTCGGAGCGCTGAACGATATGGTTGTTCGGCTCGCAACCCATCACAACTTGCCGATCCACTTCCCAAGATCATTCCTAGATGTACCCACAGCGAGTTGAAGCTCTGCTCGAACGCAGAATCAGGTTTACGGGGTCACGAGGCGCTTATTGCTGTGCTTGAGCACCCTTCTCGCTTGAAGAAGTCAAAATGTTGCACAGCCGAGCAAACAGGACCGCGAAACCCAATGGATCTCGATAGTATCGATGAACTCGAAATTGTTCTTGGCAGATCAGACGAATTCATTCAATTGGGGCGAACGCTGCGCACCAGTCAGTGCGTAGAGGAGGCACAGTACACTGTGCTGCAATCCTCACCGACTCTACTGTGTCAGCTATCGCAGTAAGTAGTCCTAAGACCCAATCAATAAATCCAAGCATGGGCCTAGATGCTACTGCTTTTCTCGTCATCAGGCAACCGACCCAGATCATGCCGTGAAAAGCCTGCTCGGTTTGTGTATAAATGGCATGCTGCCTCGCAACTTTCATCAACTCATCCTAAAGACTTCTTTCTCGCCATTCCTCAACAACACCAAGCTTCCCCGCTCAGCAAGAAAAACAGGTAAGTTGCCTTTTCTTGTGTCAGCTAAGATCCCTAATTGTTGTTCTCATGTTAGGTTTCTTTGACCATACCCAGTCACCGACACACCGAACCTACAACATGACTTCCAGTGGCGGTTTCGTGAAAATTCCCAACGACGAAGAGGAGAGGCGCAGGGAAGAAGCAGCACGAGAGTCCCGCGATAGGCGTGAAAAGGCTAAGAAGGACCGCGAGGCACGTGCTGCCACCGAAGCGGCTGGAAAGGCATCCCAGGAACGTCGTGGTGCTGGAGGCAGCTCTTCTTAGGATTCCTAGCTCTGATGATGGTACGTCTGAACCTCTTTGAGACATGTTCCATCCATGCCGGCCAAAACCACTGACCGCACTGCAGCGAACCACTCCGGAACAGGATGATTCCCATCAATCCATGGGGCTAGCGAATAGATCATGTTGCAGAAGGTGCTGAAGGAGTTGGAAATCTAGGTGTACTCACACTGCGCCATTCATTTACTGTTACCTTAGGTATATGCGTTATAACAGCAATGATGAAGTGTGGTGGATGCTACAACATCTCTAGATGTTACAAAGAGCACAAGAATCATTTCGACTGCATCGCTTCGCGCTCCCCATCTTGACAGTGACCCTAGTGACACGGATATCTATGATATAGGGTATGCCACTTGAAATACGCCTTGATCCGAGCAATATGTCTGCGTAAGCATTTGTCGATAAGTGATTTCACCCTTCCAATGACAGCGTCGGAGATCACATCATTCAACAAGCCACGTGGTAAGAGATAGCTCTTCTTGAGACTAGAATTCAAAGAATGGATAGGATGGTAAGCGTACTAAAGAGATTTCGCGCATTCATTGTCATATGCCTTCAACTGCTTCATCTTCATCTCAACAAAGGGCTCCAAGCCCGCACGTGCTTCTTCATCCAGCGACTCAACACCGGCACTACCCTCCTTCATGCAACTATCAAAGAGAATTTCAACATCAAACGGTTTCCGAGCCGCATAATTGAACCAGAACCGTTTTGTGGCCCACGACTCACGCATAAGACAAGAAAGAGGCTTTTCACCATCTAAGCCCTCTCTTGCCTTCTCAGCTCGTTCCATCGCTTGCAAAAATTGCTCCAAGCGAGGTTCGTAAGCCTCCACAAATTCTTTGATAGTCCGATTTCGAAGAAGATAGGAGTCAGGCCCCACCAGTAGCAACCACCAGGGCGGTTCGGAAGCGTACTGGCTAGGCATAGCGTTCGTGAATTCAAGATCAAGAACAGCCTTGATACGGAGAGTAGTTGGATCTACAAGAATGTTTTGAGGTCGGAAGTCGTCACAGAAGATTTTAAAAGGACCGCGGTCATTAATGCAATGCCTGTCCACTAACTGCGCAAATAAATGGCGGGAGATATATCGATCATGAGCCTCCACCGGACTACCACAGAGGTTACGCTGGGTCCAGAGATGCGTTTTCTGTTCAGACACGAGAGACCGGAAATATTCGCCTGCAGATGCAAACGGTGCCGTAGGGAACTTATCCACGGGATAGAATGCCGTAGTTGCCAGCTCATTCATGCTGTAGGTCAGGGGTCTCTTCGTTACAGACCAAGAGCCCGTAGAAGAGGCCTTTGAAATAGCTCCGATGTGGTCGAAATTGAATTTGTAGAGTTGAAGCGTGATATCAGCAATTTGAGAGAACACATTATCTAATATTTCTCCATCAATCTGAGGATTCAAGTAGAGTCGCTTCTTATCAGCTGGATCCCTGAGGATATCAGAGAGGTGAACCCCTTCCACGAAATCTGAGATGATGAACGGTCCAAAATGCTGTGGGCTGTCTTCGGTCAGTCCCCAGCTAATTAAGCGCGGAACTGGGATGGTGGTATTCTCTTGGAGGAATTGAATGACCTGGACCTCGTTCACGATCTTCTCGTCCCGGAACGTCGTATGTCCCGGGCCTGGGAACCGAATTATGGCATCTGGGGTTCCGTCGTTGTACATAATCTGGAGGCAGAAGTTGAAAGAGCCCTGGAACCAATCGAGGACTTCGGCTCCACGTCCTGGCCGGCGACTGGCGACAAAGGCCGCAACCTCTTCCTTTGCATCGAGGACCCGTTTTTTCCACTCTTCCCACTGATCATCCCCAATCTTCTCGGCAAGCTCATCAAACAAAGTCATGTCGCCAGGTTGCGTTGAATTCAATCGGGGGTGCTGCGGGGACTGCACGTGAGGAGGAGAGGTGTTGGAGAAGACGAGACGTAAATTGAACAATGTGCTGTCAAAAACAATAATTATTCTGCAACAGCACAAAAGCTGTTTGCTCAAGACTGGTTACAACCAGCAACGAAGCAGTACTTTGCTGATGATGGAGACATGGAAAGGCTAGCGGATGATAGATATTTATGTCAAATGCGTTAGCTGTGCCGCTCATGGACGTCTCAAGTGAAAGCGCCACGGCGCGTGCGCCCATCACCCGTCACACGCTTCACTGCCAGAGCTGGCACCTTGCAAAACCTCTAAAAACCAAGCAGGTTCCTCTACATTGCCACTGTGGGTAGTAATACGGCTCCCTTGTGTCTTTGATAGGATAGGGCAGCGGTCTTCACGCTACCTCGAAAGGCGTATGAGGTAAAGGCAGTGTTCGGTTTCTCGCCTGCGCATCTGCGCAGGTGCCCCCACAAATCTCGAATAGGTTAGAGCTCTGGGCGAAATATAGAGCCACCCCTACGAGTCTCCACCGGGCCCTCACCGGGACCCCTTTTGCTGCTTGGCGCGCGCACAGAGTGAACAGAGGCCCGAGCACAGCCTATAAACGGGTTGAACCGTCTACAATCTCTCTCTAATAAACGATCCAAACTAAACTGGTCTTTTAGAAACTTGAGCTAATCCAATCTGGGGGCCAAAAAATCGCTCCGCCGGTTTACTGCCCACGCTGAACATGGGGACGGGCGTATCGGTTATTTTTGGGGGTTTGAAACACTTTTATTTATCCCTGCAAGAGGCACACAGCTCAAGCCCTCGCTTGTACTGACCCTGATATCATTGACGAGTCGTTCTTTAATAATGTACCGAACGTGCTTTAGCTCTTCTACTCTGTGGGCAGTCACGTTCCTAAGACGGCACGTTCCTAAGACGGCATGCTCTTAAGACGGCCATAGTCTTAAGATAGCTATAGTCTTAAAACGGTAGCATCTCAAGATAAGGACGTTCTCTTGACAGTCACACTCTTAAGATAGGCCAGTCCTAAGACAGTTGTATTCTCAAGACAGACGTGCTCGCAAGACAGTAACGTACTAAGACAGTAACGTCCTTAGACGATCATGTTCTCAGGAAAGTTGTCTATGCTATTTGCCTTCAAATGCTAATAAGACTTGGCGAAAGAAATATAAATTAATGCGCAGTTCTAAACCACAGCTGCTATCTATAATCTATATCCTTTGGGTTCTTTCACGCTTCTAGGATGACAACTTCAAATTAATGTAATTATTAAAGTCGCTACACGGCCAAGTTTCGCTCCATTCGCTATATTCTTCTACTGGATTCGGCGTGAGGCTATTGAAGAGCTGCTACAAGTATTCGTCGGTTCACACCAGAGGTAGCTCGAAACGTCCTAACGCGGATGCAGATAATTTCATTTACCCTGAACTAGCACATGTCTCTCTAAGTATAGGTACAGCAAGAAACGATAGTGGTCACAACTGATCCGTGCTCAGGAATAGAACAGTGGCCTGAAAACGGGCCCAGGAGACAAGCTTCCCCATGCAACGGCACCTTTCCCTGGGGCTTATAAAACAGGTAGTTCGATATCCCAATGTGCACCTAAGCAATTTCGTTTCCCGTTCAGGGAACTGAGCCGCTCATGCTCCAGCCTGAGCTGTGGCTGTGCTGGGGTGAGCGATCCTGAGCCGAGACTGAGCAGCTCGTTGGAACCCAGTTTTAGGCCCTGTATTCGACAAGGAGTGCTGAAACTGGGGCCCTCACCTTGGAAGGCCCATTTCCGGGCCCATAAGCCTGCCAGGTTCCAGTTTCAGGGCCCCATTCCTCGAGTAAACTTACCCTCGATGGAAAACAGCTTAAGGCTGATCTGCGCCACTTTATCATCCATGCAACGGTAGAGCCACGAGTGGCTGATAGGTTCCAACGTCGGTCCCAGAGGCTGCATCATTGCCAAATAATTGAAGGCGTGCCGTACTGTTCTTACGAAGGCTGAAAGGATTCTTGATAGAAGAGTAATAATGTAAGCCTATTACCCCTAGAAAACTCACACCATACACCCACTAAAGGAATGCCTTCTCTCTATGAGTGAGTGTATTGAACCAACGGATTTCTTCGAAGGAAGACATGGAAGCCCCAACAGCCGTGCTTGTAGCGAGACGGGGCTGGGGCTGAAGGTGGCTTGGGCTGGAAGTTCACCTACAGGTCGGATGACAAGCTACGTACCACTGCCCTGGGAGTCCCCCACGCGGAATCAGAGAACGATGAATTAACATGATGCAAGCAGGCTCTCATCACCACAATCTAACTTTAGACTAGTTAAAAGGTCCGGATTAGATCGTTGAGTGGAGAAGATTATATGGCGTAGACTTGATACAAACTCTGACAGCAGCAGGGTTCTGAAGTGGCGATGAGATGGTGTAAAGAGACCAGTCCGGCATGGATTTTCCCAAACGACTCGCAGGTATCGATGACTCTACAACTCGCCCCCGCAGATTAGACCACGCGGCGCAGCTCACTGTTAACAGGAGAATCCATGATCGAAGGAATAGATGGCATATTCATTATCCATCGATATTCCCGAAAACCGACAGGGTGACAGGTTCCTTCGTGATGCGGGTCCATGTAAGCCTCTCGCGGCCTATTGATGGCTCCGACGGCCTACAATTGGACTTGGAAAGAGAGGGTGGCAAACTTGGATCCAGACTAGTTTTTGCCGCAGGCACTAGGTGGCGTCAAGGTCGGGCGGATATATAGACTACGAGTTCCTATAAAAAGATAAGCTTATGGACTTTATCCCATCCCGTGCAAGGGAATGCGCGGTGATGGAGGTAGACGAAAATTAAAAAGAACTTTTCCCAGGTCCCTACAAGTTAAGAAGGCAATAGGAGGGGATTAAGTCAATTCACTAAGCTCGACAGATATATCTTCGTCCAAATCAGTGTAAAGTTCGAGGAGTTATATCGTCGCAGGCCAGGAGGTCATGAGGTGGGCGAGTGCGGAATTGGACTAGTGCCAGTCGCGTCATTCCAAGGCTTGGCGTTGTCGTTGGCTTTCTGGCGGGCTACACCGTGCCCTCCACTCTAACCCCTCCGCGTCCACTCCACAACCACCAACCCTTCCGCGTCCACTCCACAACCCCCAACCCTTCCGCGTCTCCAGACAACATAAATAAGCGCATCGACCCTTCAATTCCAGCCAACATGGCTAGTGATCAGCGTATGCCAAACCAAGGGAAGAAAGGTATGACGTCGCAAGCCTTGACATACCGCAACTGTTCTGACCTTCGAAGCGCAACGTAGAAGTCTACGAATCGCAAAGACTAAATCTCAGAAGGGCACTGAACAGCAAGCTCGATATTCAACGAAGCAAGAGGTATGTATGCGCCAACTTCCGTCAATGTCGATGACCTAACATCGTTTGCGAATAATTTCTTGAATCCTCAACAAACCCAGAATCAAGCCGTCACGACGAGAAAGCAAACTCTAGATCCCAAGAACCATTTATCAACCGAACGGCCAATGAAGCGCCTGCAAATTAGAAATCTTCCTCAGACGACGTCTGACTCCCTTCCGCAGGCGGAGAAACAAAAGCGACCTCGAGGAGACGAAGTGTCACCCTCCTGCGCTCCGCCCGAGCCGCTTTCAAAACGAATACGAACATCTACAGCTTTAGTCGACAAGCTATCCAGGTGGAAGACAATTAGCGAGGCTCGGATTGACTACTGGAGGGAGTACAGAACTTGGCCGACAGAAGAACAAGAGAAGACAATAGATCGTTTTCGAGATCTAGTCGGTCATGCGCTCGCCAAAAAAAGTTCGGGTTCGCTTGGCCGCAAACGTTCAAACGCCAGCTTGAATACGGAAACAGCCCCAACACAAACCTCAAGCAACCTACCGCGGGAGCAGAAGAGTGTCCCATATAGACATCCGCTGTTCGAAGATCAACTTAAGAATTATAGCAGCTTTATGGATGACTACAAGGACGGCGTTACCGTTCAAAGCTCAAAGCTTTGCCAAACGCTCCTGGAAGCGCCACAACCACCACCTGCACATACTTTTTTTTCTGATACTGATCTGTTTAAGAAGACCTGCAAAAGAATTAGGGGCGAGAACGAGACCAAAGTAATCCGCTATATTTCACCGCTTATTGTTCCTTCAGCTGAGATACTGGCCGATATGGGAGCCGAACACCTCGAAATGCTCAGAGAGACTACTAACGCTTGCTGGACCAATGCCATCCCTTTCATTAAACCTCCTCCTGGTTCTCATCCTGGTCCTCGCCCGCAGCCAGACTTTGGCGTTGGATTCAAGAAAGATGCATTCAATCGAGAACAACTTCAAAAGCTGCAGCCTTTTATCGGCAATCCGCTTACAGATTCCTCCTTGGTTGCAGCTACGTACAATATGTATCTTCCGTTTCTTACCAGCGAAGTAAAATGCGGAGCATCCGCACTTGACATCGCTGATCGACAGAATGCCCATAGCCAAAGTGTGGCGTTACTTGGTTTGACAACACTTTTCCGCCTTGTAGGCCGAGAGAACGAACTACATCGGGAAATCAATGGCTTTTCAATCTCTCATAGCGATGAGTACGTAAGGATTTGGGGCCATTATGCTGTTATCAACGGAAGAGATATTACTTTCTACCGACATCCAATTACCAAGTTTGATATCTCACCGACTGCGGAGGGCGATCAAAGATGGAAAGCATACACTTTTGTCCGGAACATCTACGATTTATGGCTTCCTGAACACTTCAAAAAAATCTGCTCCGCCATCGACATGTTACCGGCGAAGTTCCCGATCTGTGTGAACCCCCAGATCAGGAGCTGGCTTCACCACGCTCAGGACTGTCCCAGCAACTTGATGATTACAGTTTAACCGATGAACGAGCGACACGAGATAGCCAGCATACCGTCCAGCAAATCACCCCAGATCCAACGATCCATCCTGGGTCAAGAGATTCCGAGAAGACGAAGAGGTAACGAGTTGTGTCTCACCATAAACACTTGACTCGGCTTTCTCTCGCGACGAGCCCGTCGGTCACACAGAGGCATCCAGTCCTCTCGACAATCCGCACCAACTGCAAACACCTAGAAATCTCGATATCGGCTCAGGCGCGTCGCATTGTTCGAGCCGCCACGGTCGACGGCTACTCTGTGACCTTGGTCCCGATTGCCATTAAAAGTGCGACATGCTTGCGCAAGAGGGAAACCCAGAGCGAAGCGGTCGGAGATGTGGAAAGGGGTGTGCCGCCAGAGCCCGCCTCGAGTACGGGCGATACAAGGCCGCCGATACCTCCTCTCGTGCCATCTCACACATTCAACCTAGGCATCGACGGATATCGGGGGCCTGAACCACCGCCCGATCCTTGGAGGGCGTATATGAGTTGATGTGGGATGGTGAAACAGATCTGTTGTTTTCTCTTCCCACTCTTGGTGCCGAAGAGGCACCTAGGTCTCATATCTTTCGAGTTTGTTTGTAGATCTTGACTGAACTTTCAATGAATAATCTCCCCCCAGAGTAATCCTTTTCCCCCCATGATCATGTGACATAATTGCTCCAGTGATAATCAGATTCTTTCAAACCGACAGGTCACTGGTTTCGAATAATGGACCAAATAGTGACGTATGTACATTCGTAGATTGAGTAATTTCGTAAATGGCTATACAAGCTATGCCGAGGGTGCTATATGTCTCTCATCCAGAACTGCTCCAGGGCTTTCTCCTTCTGTACCGGACAAGCTCTCTGCAGTGCTCAGAGTGGAGGTTCTCTTGCTGGCCATCTCCATTGACGTCCCAAGATTCGGTGTTTGAGGTCTCGATCCCGCTGGGGTAAGTCTCACTGGTCTCCCGGCCGAGGTCATTCCGACTGAAGACGTGGGCTTCTTTCTCCGCCTGTCGGAAGTACTGCCTGTTGTACTATTGCTCCATCTCCTTTGCCTCTCTTCTAGACTGCTCTTCGCAGCACGTTCATCAATCTCTGGTGTCGGTGTGGTGCTGCGAGATGAAGACCGAGAATGCGAACCGTCTCTGCCCCGATCCTTGAGTAAACTCGCTCTCCTCGATTTGTTCTTGAGCGAGTTCTGTGTCGAGAGACTGCGACTATGCCCGTGCCCATGATGATGGCTCTTCTCAATATCAGCCAGCCTGCCTCCAACACCTCTCGCCTTCTTCCAGCCTCTCCACCCAGTCCACCACAACCACCCGCCCTCCTCCTTCGCAATCTCCCGCTGTCGCCGTTTCACTCTCTTCCTCAGCTCCGCCCGCCGTTCATTCTCCTTCTCCCAATACTCCGTCCGATACAGCTCCCAATTCTCCCTAAAATCCGGCGTAAATGGCTTCGGCAGCAACAACAACTTCACATAATCCCCACCCGAACTAACATCCTCTTCCGCATACTCCTGCCCATGCTCGGTCATCATACTCCTCGGCCTGCCCTCCCCACTCAAATGCTCCTTCTTCTCCTGGGCGAAATTGATATAGTGGTAATTCCCGCCGGGGGTATTCGCGGACACCAGCTCCCACGGCATCAGGAAGCTCAGATGGCTGAGCGCCTCGATCCACCAGGGCCCCTTCATGACGACGATTTTGCAGTTCATGCCGCGCAGGCCGCGGTTCGCGACGCCGATCCAGCGCCGCGGCCAGCGCACGCCGCGCTCCCACTGCCCGGTGGCCCAGAAGAGGATGGCGGTGATGACGCCGCCCATGAAGGCGACTTTCTCGGCCATGTCGACGACCCAGTAGACAGAGCCGCCGACGCCGGTGCCGTCTTCGCGCGGCCGCAGGAAGAGGGCGTAGGTGAACCAGAGGATCCAGAGGGTGAGGAGGGTCAGGACGAAGGTGTTTTGGCGGCGGCGGGCGCGCAGCGTGAGGAATTGGCTCCGGAGGGAGGCTTCGAGGATGAGGAGGTTCAAGTAGATCTGCGGCGGAGAGGAGGGCAGCAAGGAGGTAGGGTCTGAGGGCGGGTGCGGCGGTCGAGGTGTTTTGAGGGTAGCGAGGCGGGCATTGGCCGATGCGGAGGCTGCTAGCTGCGGCGCGCTGAGATTCGGAGGAGGCGCGCCTTTGACGATTTGGTCGAGCTTGGAGGACATGGTGGCTGTGTGAGGAGGGACATGAGGGATGTGCGAGGTGTCTGGGTAGCCGGAGTTGCTCGAGTATGTATGTAGCGACGCGATATCAGGATGATGTCGAGGCGGCTCGGTAAAACCAAGCGGTGAAGCAAGGATGTGCTGGCAAGCAATAATGGTGCCGAGCTGGGTCGAGCCTCGTACGTTCTCCACTTGGTGAATGGTCGATAGGTGCAATGTTAGCTGTGAATACATGAGGTCTGTAGACGGTCTGCTTCAAGGAAAGGCGAGTGGTTCATGTGGAGTATTTCTTGAAGTAGACTACTGCGGGGACCCGATTGGTTAGAATGGATAGCCTGACATCACTGGACATCTGATCATAGAAACTGTTCATCGCTATACCTTTGTAGGATCAAGTTTATTAGTTTTGTAGCGTGTTTTTCGAAACACTTACTGTTACATTCCGATCAATTACCCAGGTGTATGTGGTGGTAAATCTTGAAGGCTGCTTGGTCAGAGGTCAGGTGACGGCCTGCACGTTACTTCGCTCCCTCGACACGAGACCTTCTACTACACCACCACAGTCAGAGCTCTCATGAGCATCTACCATCGGAGATCCCACGCGTCCGCCAATTTTGTTTTGAAGAGGAGAATTTTGCTCGTACATATGACTCTCAGGAGCGGACATCGCCGGAAGAGTGGCTTGGACTGAGGCTGACGAGACACCTAAAGTCACATTGAGAGCACGAGACAACTGCTACCGTGCGGCGTAGGAACGGCCTCGAATCGCGATATTTGAGGTGTTGCCACGCCTTGCCACGCTTGGCGTGGGTATTGGTCGTAATGCCGAGCGGCCTGCTAAGCTCAGCGAGAGGTAAGAAAAATGGCGACATACCGAGCTGCCTCATCCACACAAGGGGCCGAGTGTATGCGGTGGTAGGGCCCGGCCAGGGCTCGACGGTAGCCAGGAAGGGGTCGAATGGTTTCATCGCGTAATAAAATCTCAGTTCTCATTACTTGAAAAGCGGATGCTGAGACCCAAACTTGGCGAATTCGTCTTTTGTGCGAATAGTTACACCATCGCGAACATTTTGCGCAAAAATAAGAGAAAATGTCTCTTCGAAAGGTTCATAAGAAATGCATCGTTGCAAGCTTTCGTGTCTTCATACTCGTTAAATGGCTGAGAAACACACTACTATGGCGTCTCCTCTCTCTAGCCCCCGCCGGGTTAGCAAGGATGTCACCGAAAGCCATCTCGATGGCGACGACACTTCCGATGTGTACATCACGAGCGAATCTCGAAAGCAAATCGGCCTCACCAGCGCGTGCTTCCTGTAAGATTCCTTTAACGACCGTTTTAGGCAGTTCTAATTTGATGCAGCATATTCAACCGCATGGTGGGAACTGGTATATTCGCTACACCTAGCAGCATTTTTGCCTCTAGTGGTAGCGTCGGTCTAGCCTTATTCATATGGGTCATTGGTATGCTCATCGCTGCCTCTGGCATGATGGTTTACCTCGAATGGGGAACTGGCCTCCCACGAAACGGCGGAGAGAAGAACTATCTTGAGTTTTTCTACCGCAGGCCCAAATTCCTTGCTACTGGCTTCTACGTGAGTATATGATCACGCCACACAAATTTGGAATATATCGCTGACTAAGTCGTTAATGTTAGACCGGATATGTGGTTCTGCTTGGTATGCATCAATTCCTTTGCTCGCTTTAGAAGCGATGCTGATACCTTGTTAGGCTGGGCGGGTTCCAACAGTGTCATTTTCGGCGAATACATCCTCAATGCAGCCCAAGTTGAAGTAAACCGATGGAACCAGCGAGGCGTTGGTCTGGCTTGCATCACTGCTGCGTTCCTCATTCATGGCCTGGCCCTGAAATGGGGACTTCGGCTCCAGAACGTTCTCGGGGTCATCAAGCTGATCATCCTTCTTATCATCATCTTTTCCGGCTTTGTAAGATCACTTTATCTTTATTTGTATAAGTAGCGTTTAGCTAACATCTCATAGGCAGCGCTCGGTGGTCATCTCAAGGTTGACAAGCCTCACAACTTCGATGATGCCTTTAAGGGCACAACCGGTTCCGCCTATGGCATCGTAACAGCTCTCTATAACGTCATCTGGAGCTACATCGGTTACAGCAATGCCAACTACGCCATGTCGGAGATGCGCAATCCGGTTCGGAATCTCAAAATCGCCGCACCTCTAGCCATCCTCATCGTAGGAATCCTTTATATGCTTGCCAATATCGCCTATTTTGCTGCTGTACCCAGGGAAGAAATTCTCAGCAGCGGACGTATCCTTGCAGCAAGCTTCTTCAGGAACGTTTTCGGGCCAAAGGCGGAGAGAGCGTTGAGTGTATTTGTGGCACTGAGTGCTTTCGGAAATGTCCTCTCCGTTATTTTCTCGCAAGGACGACTGGTACAAGAGCTAGGGCGAGAAGGTATCCTACCTTTCTCGAGACTCTGGGCAAGCAACAAACCCTTCAATGCACCATTCGCAGGGCTGTTTGAGCATTGGTTGGTTTCAGTGATCATTATGCTCGCCCCGCCGCCGGGAGATGCGTACAACTTCAGTAAGTGAAGCCGTCCCAAGCCCTCAGTTGCCACCATCAGTAGTTTAGGAAGGAACCATGGCTAACCTTATCAAACCTAGTCCTGAACTTAATCTCCTACCCCCTCTCTATCGTCAACATCTTCGTCTCTTTCGGTCTCCTTTACCTCCATCTCCCACTACCAGTCCGCTTCCGCCACTCTCAAGCCGCTAACTGGCGCCCACCCGTCCGAGCCACCCTCCCCGTAATTGTCTTCTTCTTCCTCAGCAACATCTACCTCGCCGTAGCTCCCTACGTCCCACCGCCAACTCCAGCCGACAACCAGTACAAAAGCTTGCCCTACTACCTCCACTGTGTAGTCGGATTGGGGATACTCGCAGCTGGTGGAGTTTACTGGGTCATTTGGGCAAAGCTGCTACCATGGATTGGGAAATATGAGTTGCGGAGAGCGGTCGTACAGGAGGCGGATGGATGGTCGAGAAATGCTTTTACTCATGTACGGAAGGAACAATAGGTGTGGTATAAGATTAATGGTGGAAGGTGCGTAATATTTGGGAACAAGGATAAGAAACATACAGATTGTAATAAGATGATCACTTTTTTTGTGTTTATGTTCGTTTTAGTACCGTGTTAAAGGTCTGTGTACACCTATCTGGCACTGCTTAAAGAGAGAACATTCATCATTTGACGACTAGCCTTGGATTGTTTGCTGAAAGCTATCGAAAGAACTATACCTTTCCAGGCCTATCCGTCGAGCTCAGCACTAGGACATGAGTCTATGAGAGCTTGGATGCCACTGTCTAAAGCCCTTCGACTCACTTCTAAAAATCCGGACGAGATGTAAGTGAATCATGTTGTTTGATTCGTAAGTTCGCTGGACCACTTCAGACGTCGTTACCTACTAGTACTCCGAAGTGAAGTTAGCTTAGGTAGGCATTTTCATCAACCGCCACTTCACTTGTAGTTCGACGGTCACAATCCTCAAACTCTGCACCCAGCAAACATGAAGCCGAAGGCCTCCCTGTCGACGCCTCCGTCCAGCAGGTCTCCCCCCACGCGCCAAAATAACCTGATACCCGACGAGCAATGGCAGGAAAGCTGGCCCGACAAGTTCGTCAAGATCCAGCCCGCCGGTAGTGGCATCTCTTCGATAGCATACTACGCCATCTCACGACAAGCGCTCGCAGGCCTACAAATCCATCAGCAAGAAGAACACCTCCCCTCAATCAAGCGCAAAATCTGCGTCGTCAAAATCGGCCACAACGCCCTCCGCGACGGCATCGCCAATGAAGTCAAGCACCTCCGCCTGATCAAACCCGCCCCAGCCCACCCCTTCTTCGCAGAGCTGCTCGACGCGAACACGGACCTGGAACACCCCTGGCTCGCAACCACCGCCATCGTGGGCCAAACCCTTCATGATTTCCGCGCGAACCTGGGCCCGCGCGTCGACGACGCGCAGTGCTTCTTCTTCCACCTCTTCATCCAACTCAGCGCGGCGCTGTGCTTCCTCCACGAAATGCAGCCGTTTCCGCTCCTCCATGGCGATTTGCACGACGAGAACGTCATGTGCGATTTCCAGCGGCGGCGGGACTACGAGGGGCTGCCGAATCTAGTGCTGATTGATTTTGGGAGTGCGTGTGTGCAAGATTGGGGGATGGAGTACGAAGCGGGGGAGGAGACGAGGCCTTATCATATCGGGCGGGAGGCTTGTAGGTTTTTCCAGCTTTTGAAGGAGTGGGGGAGGAGAGGGGCGGCGCTGGAGTTTGTTGGGGAGATTATGGAGGTTTGTGGCGAGGAAATGGAGGTGGAGAGGTGTAGTTGTACGGGGCTTTGGCAGCGCTTCGGGCGCCTTGCAGTTGAGCAAAGGGAGGTGTATGCGACCGTTGAAGTGTTGGGGATTGTTGAGCGGGCTTTGCGGGTAGAGGTTTTGGAAAACGCTGCGTTGATTGAGGCAGTGGGTAGATGAGGTATGTTACTAGGAAACGAATCTGCTTACATTTGGGTACCACGTTTTTGTTGAGACCTCCATGGATGACCATGCCCTTAAAAAAAGATCTGCTAATGTAAGGAGATTTTAGAGTGTATGGCCTTAGTTTCTGAATATTAAAAGTCCATGCAACTAAGATAAACTGAAAGTAGTCATCTCCCTTGTGATCTTACCAAATTTATATACACAAAAAACACCAAGACATCAGACTCGTTTTTGGGTGTAACACTGTTTCCAGCAGACGGCGTCATCTAGATAAAGGCATTGCAAATGAGATATAAATGAACAGTGCGATATTGTCGGTCTGCGTATCTTCTTTCACAGCCGTCTGAAGTGGCCTAGAAAGTGGAGACTGTGTAAAGCGACGAAATTCCATGTTGTTCAGATATTGGAAGACAGCTTGAAGCCCTACAAGCAGTGGCAAGAAGCTATATAAACTTACAAGAACGCAATTTCACCTCAAGGCAGCGAGGATTAAGGCATGAGGTTCATGAGATATAAAGATATACTACCACCAAGATAGCAATGGGGTCCACAGCGAAGAAGTTTCGGTTCAGTGTTCTTCACAAATGCGACCCGGGTCGGCTTTCGGACGTCTCGGGTGGACGGCAAGGCTGGCGGAAGGGAAACTTATGTGTTCTGCCACATCTATCAACTGAAGCGGGATGTTTCAATTCATCGACAAAAAGGAGAAGTGTCCGCGTCATCTAGGCAATGATGGTGTTGTTCCTGCATAATGATGTCCTGGAGTGGTGTACGAAGCACTATGTATGGAAGTCGGACAAGAATTTGGCCGCCGGGCTAAGGACCAAACCACCACCATCAGACTGCTTAACGCCGGCCGCCACTCTGTCCAATGCTCTCCTCGCCCGCCTAACCTACGCGTGTCCAACTAAGCCCGGCTGTTTCTCCTAACTGCGACGCTTCTTCTTGATTCTCTGCATAAAAGACGCAGTGGGCGCCTGGCGTGTCTGCTGCCATCCAAGTCTCGAAGTTGCCTCCCTCCGCCCTCTCCCCGCGCTTTCTGCTGCGGTATATCCTCAGCACTCGGTATTCTCCCTCCTTGTCCCCCGGAAACCATTCTCGGGCCCTAGGGTTACTGGGCGCCTCCTCAACCATCCTTCTGTACTCTCAGAGCCAGCGCGATCGCTCTTCATATTCCTCAATGGCGACGTCATCCAGCGAAGGCGACGATCTGCGGGATCGTAGCCAGCAGCCAGCCCTGGCCTCGCAGCAAGTGAAAGAGTCAGAGACTCAACGAAGGAGAGGCTTCGGGAATATGTTCCCTCTCGGCGCAAAGGAAGGATTCAATCAATGGGTTCGTTGTTCCCGCAGATTCAAGCGTGCGCCGACGGTTCTAACGTACAACAGTGGACGAGCTTGTCGCCAGCAATGACAGAACACCGAGTTTTATCATTTATACCTCTCCTCCAAAAACCCCCTACCCACACCGAGACCGGCTCCGCACCAGTCTCGGCATCAAACTCCACAACGAACGTGTCCTCTCAGGATGGAGAGCAACTCGAACAAGTCACGACTAACTCTATCAACGACCCCCACGGCCCGCGACGATGGAGTTCACAAATGGTACATTTGAGTGGCAAAAACCGCGCGCTGAACGAGTTCTCGATTGAGCGTATCGGTGAGCCTGTCGAGCAGAATCTAGTGATGTTGCATGGCTACGGTGCTGGGCTAGGTTTCTTCTACAAGAATTTCGAAGGTCTCAGCCGCGCGGAGGGCTGGAAACTTTATGCGCTAGACATGCTAGGAATGGGTCGGAGCACCAGACCAAAATTTGAGGTCCATGCCAAAGAGCGTGCAGATCAAGTCACGGAAGCTGAAAATTGGTTTATCGACGCACTCGAGGAGTGGCGGGTAAAGAAGAAATTAGAACGGTTCACGCTTCTCGGGCACAGTCTAGGAGGCTATCTAGCCGTTGCTTACGCTCTCAAATATCCAGGACATCTCAACAAGCTCATCCTAGCCTCTCCGGTTGGCATTCCGGAAGACCCCTACGCAGTAAACGCGGCCATGCCAGAGCCTGAGGACTCCACAATGGCAAATGAGTTTCTTCAGGACCAAAACGAGGCCATCAATAACTCCAATCCCAACGCAACAAAGCCTGGTGACAACAACAATTTCCTCAATGCTCGCTCAAAGGCTGCGAAGTCCTCGTCAGGAACCTCAACCCCGTCAAGCTCAGAGCCGCCCCGGAAGCCACTACCCGGGTGGCTCGTGTACCTCTGGGACAAGAACATATCTCCTTTCTCGTTGGTCCGGTGGAGCGGTCCTCTTGGACCACGCCTCGTGTCTGGCTGGACATCCCGACGTTTCTCTCACCTGCCTGACGACGAAGCTCAGGCCCTACATGACTACAGCTATTCGCTGTTCCGGCAGCCAGGCTCTGGTGAATACGCATTGGGCCGCATCCTCGCACCTGGAGCATTCGCTCGAAGTCCGCTGATCCGGCGTATTCAAGGTGTGGGCCGCCAATATATCGGACCGCATTCTGGCCCCATTGTAGACGCGGACGCTCCAAAAGATACTAAGTGCCACAAGACTTCTAAGAAGCAGGTAGAGTCCGCTGCTCCGTCGATCACAGCCAGCGACCCGGACGGTCCCCGTGTCCGCGAAACTGGCATCCCCATAGTTCTCATGTACGGTGAGCACGACTGGATGGACATTGCTGGTGGCTACGCCGCCGAGGAGAAGATTAAGCAGGAACGCGCGCGGTTACTAGCCGACGCAAGCGAAGAGGAAAAGCGGAATGACCATGGATCCGCTAAGGTTGTTATAATTCACAAGGCCGGCCACCATGTTTATCTTGATGGGCCGGAGCAGTTCAATCAAGTCATGCTCGAGGAGATGAGGGACGTGATGCGGAAAGAGCGCATACGGACGCTGAAAGACGGGATTTCAGCTGCGGAATCGTAGCGGATGAAGAGTGACGGCATTTAGCGATTCTGGGTTTTAGATGAACCTTCTTGGCGTTCTGATTGGGGTGGGGAAGAGTAATGTAAGATCTGCGACGCCGCGATGTTCCGGCGTGGGAAGGGGATATGGGGCTTTGCGGCTAGCTGTACCATCAACTTTCGCATATTCGAAACTCGCTCATATTCCATCTATTTTCAGGCTGACAGAGTGCTACGCCGCATGCACCGCCCACTCGGCCTTTTCTGATGGATTGTCTGATTCTGCTGCTTTGCTCTTTAGCATCCAAGTATAACTATCTCCCAGCGCTGCTTTGGCTGTCTTTTTCTCGACTACTTTGATGTTATCCACTTCGTTCCTCGCCAAAGACAGCTGAAATCATGACAGAAATTCCCCAAACAGGCGACCTCTGTCTGGTCAACGCTCACATTCTCCGGCGATCACGCCCAATCGTCAAAGATCTGCGCAGAGTGCGCAAAGTTCCAGATCAGAATAGCTGCTAATGTACCAGAGGAAGGAGTTCTTCACACTTATATTGTGTCATGGCTCAGCATTCGTCAAGGATATGAAGATGTATTTCCTGGTTTTCCAAGCACGGAAAAACGGGCCACGAATAGCTGCCTTCTTTGTACCCTCATCAGAACCAGCTTGCTAGTCGAGTTCCATAAACGACCCAAGTGTCGAGCCCGCGAAGGAGAAGAAGTCCCAGATTACTCTCACAGCATCTTTGAACGAGAGGGATGAAGATGGATCCGCTCTTTCAATGCTTAAAATACAGGGACCCCATCACCTCAAAGTCCAGGTGCGCACAAAGGAGAGAAGAGGGAACACGGAACTTCTAACGTACGAAGCTGCATTTCAGATTACATCAGGTTAGTAAGAAAAGCGGAAGTGTCAGCAAAACATGTACTCACGATCTAAACTAGAAGCTACATCACAACAAAGTCTGCTCTCTCACCCGCCAACGTTAGCAACATGATGCAGTGGCTGCGCAACTGCGATGCAAGGCATTGCTTCTGCGGTGCCGCCTCAGCTGGGTTCACTCCAACTCGCCTTCTTGCAGTCAACGATGTATTGCTACGAATAGTAACAGGGAAGCCTGAACACCACAGATATGCCGCTCTTAGCTACTGCTGGGGCCAGATATCCACGGGAAGAGACCTCTTCTTGACAACCAAATGTAACATTACTGCAAGATTATCCAGTCTCCAAATGAACGAGCTTCCTCAAGCACTACAAGACGCTGTTCAAGTCTCACGAGCTTTGAGCGTAGACTACCTTTGGATAAATGCCATATGCATAATTCAAGACGACTTCGAGGACTGGAGCAAAGAAGCTTCGAGAATGGGCACGATATACAAACACGCCTACTTCACCATTGCCGCCACAGACTCACAATTATCGTTTGATGGCTTTCTGCGAGACCGCGAACCATCTTGCAGGACAAACTTAGGCTTTACCTTCGAAGAGATTGGACCTATCCGTTCGCCAACCGCAGTGACCGAAACTGGAACCATCTACTTCCGGTACCCGCTTGAGACCGGGATCGACGAGCATCTTTCTACGTGCGAGTGGGACCAGAGAGGTTGGACTTTGCAAGAAAAGTTATGCTCTACCCAAACGTTCTACTTCATGAAAGGCGTCATCTACTACGAATGTGCATCATCGTGGTGAGTCGAGAATCTGGGCTACAAACTCCCTCGCCGCTTAGAGTTTCCTGTACTACTAGCAGAGTCGAAGCGCCCGACCCTTCCTGAGAGGATCGAGAAGCGAGAAGACTATCTCTCAAACTGGTACAAGGTCGTCCAAAGATATGCGTTTAGGCAGCTGTCTCATTCTAGAGATAAGCTACCTGTGATGGAAAGTCTAGCGGCGCTGTTGAGAGATATAGTTGACGATGTTTATGTGTGTGTGGCCTTTGAAAATCGGATCTGTATCGTGGCCTTCTCTGGTATTCGGGTTGCGGCTTGACTTGGGACCTTCCTCAAGGAGGGTACCGCGCACCGACTTGGTCTTGGGCGGCTAGAGATGGTAGAGTTTTCTGGGATGAATCGACCTTCACGCGGGGATGGAGATCACTTATCGAGGTCTCTAACATATCTCCTCATCGACAAAGTCAACACCACGGGAACCGAGACCACAATGAAAAGATTGATACACAATTAGAGCTGGTCGCACTGGTGGCGCCATTAAAAGATGTTATGTTAGCATTCTTGGAGCAATACAACGACAAGTCATATGAGGATGAGTGGATCGACATTGACTCCTGGGACTACTTCGAAGAACTTGGATCATTCAGCGTTGACGACGGCGAAGACATGCTGATTACTTTCGCTGATACCCAGATGATGCTGGTCGCGGAAAAAGTGGAAACGAAGAATTCCCAGGCTCTACTTATCCAACCAGATGGTGATCCCGGATGCGTTAAGCGCATTGGCTAGTTTATACACAAGTCAACTGATGGAACGTTGACGGAGGAAGATTTCGACGATAGAGACTTTGAGCCGATTCGGAGTGTGTTTCAGCGTGAAAGGAGAGTGTTGGTGTAGTTCTTCTGGAATCTTCGTAGGGATGGACTTCATGAGCGAAAGGACAGATCACGTGCTTTTCAGCCAGGTTTTAGAGAGTAATAAATAAACGTCTACCAAATGTAATGTACTTACCTTATATATGGCCTAGAAACCATTGAAAGGAATATGAACTTTGCAGTGTGATAGTCACGCGGAGCGGGAAGACGCCCCAAAATTGCAGGTCGTGGCGATCCACCTCTCCGACGTCCATTCATCCTAGACTCAACGACGCGGTTCTCTGTTCCACTATCTTTTGTCAACGATAGAAATATTCCGTCCGGGTCGTCGAAGTAGACGATGCTCTCGATGTGACCCCTTGGCCAGGATCCTGTTCCTGGGGCTCAGATTAATGCTCAGTACTTGCATAATCAAGCCTGCACTAATTCAATTCATAAATACTCCTTTTCCGAGATGAGTGACGATCTTGATAGAAGCTGGCTCTATTCAGTAAGGCTCCTAATATTAAGCGCGAGGCGGACGTGATACCGCGATCCTACGCGTCTCTCCTGAGATCTCTCAACGACACCACACCTCACACGTTTGGCTGGCACAACGGCGATGTCTTCCAAGGACGAAACTCTCGAGCTCGTGGAAAAGGCCATTGATAACATTTCTAACATCCATAGAGCCCATAACCTGTTGCGGCGGCTTAGCCGGAATTCCGAATCTGTTCGCGACTTTCTAGCCGAAGAGTTATTGACCACCGAGAGCGAAGTCTACTCAAGCAATTCCGAAAGTGAGGACGAAGCCGCATACCGTCCAAGTAAACGCAGGCGAATTCCCTATGCGCATGTACGCTACCAGAAGTGTGCACAGTGTCTCGAGGAGTTCGACATAACAGACAACACTACCGGGTGTTGTACTTGGCATGAAGGTGCGTTGCCATTATAGGTCAACTCCTCCTTACTAATGTCCTCAACAGGCGAGCTCGAATTAGACTACGAAGCTGACACATGGATCGACTGGGACGAATATGCCCATGGTCCTAGAGATACACTACAACACCGCGAGGAATATCCGGACGGGTTTACGTGGACCTGTTGCGATGAACCAGGCGATGCCGAAGGGTGTGAGAGTGGCAGACATTCAACAGTGCATGGCGAACCTCCACAAAAACGCAAGCGGTACGAATATGAGGAGCTCCGTGAACATACTGGTACGCCACTATCCTTCCATCACTCATGCAATATGACCCTCGTGTCCGCTAATGTGCTTGATAGGCACACTTGAAATAAATTGGGATGCCGACGAGTGGGTGGATTGGGATGAGGATACCATTGGTCCAATTGATTGTACGGAAAACCGGAAAGACTATCCCAATGGGTTCAAGTGGACGTGTTGCGGTGGTAAAGCTGATGATGATTGCTGTGAGGAGTGAGAGGGATAGGCAGGCTTGGAGTCACAAAAGTGGTAGTCCACGAATTAGTGCGCTTACGATAAGGCTTAATTTCTCGATCTTCAAGAGGTAGTCTCTTGTTCTGTGGTGTTGAGAACCTTTTTCGACACTGTCTGAGGTGCTTCGGTTCATTTTTTTCAAAAACTGGACGGAATGAAAAGCAACGGCTTTGACTAGCCTGGGAACTTTCTGGGCCACCCCGGATGGTGTTTTGGTGGACTGTCGCATGGGGGATCCCACTTATATCTAGCGTGTGATAGTCGTGATACGGCGATGCTACGCGTCACCTGCTCAACCACTTCGAATAAAACTACCGATTTGACAGGAACTATGTCTACCAGAGAGCATATCCTCGAGCTTGTCAATGATGCCATTGAATCATCACCTCACGAGCATATCTACGACCTTTTGCACTTTATCTGCGGCAAATCCTACATTGTTCTCGACGCCGTAGCGGAGATTCTCCTCGTCACCATGAGCGAGATCGATCCGTTCGAGGATGCCGTGCAAAAACTTGAAAAAGAGCGCAAATATCCCGGAATGGTCGAGGACGAGCCTGCAACAGAGAGTGAACCCTCAAGCAAACGCACGTGGAAAATCTATGTGTGTAAGCGCTGGGAGACCTGTGAGGTTTGCGACGAAGAGTATGATGTTAGTGCGAATACCAGTGGAAGCTGTTATCGGCATTCAGGTGCGTTGCCGTGTTTTGGGACTTCGAAGTCAATCGAATCATGTTCGAAAACTAACCTTTACAACAGGTGAAATCGAGGTTGATGAGCACGCGGCTACCTGGGACCATTTGGGCAGAATTGCTGGTCCTATCGATACGCCAGAAAACCGCAAGAAATACTGTGATGGCTTTAGGTGGACGTGTTGCTATCAACCATCTGATGATTCGGACAGATGTGAGAACGGTACCTACGCGCCAAGGGATGCACTAAGCTGTGATTATACTTGTTAGGTATATTTGATACTGAAGCCGAAGTGACTTAGCATCAAATGACCCAAGACTTTGGAAGCGTATTAAGATATATTTATTGAGAAACGCATGTCCAATCTTGGACACCAACACAAAACACCTCATAACCCCTCTGTTGAGCCATATAGCGTACCAGCCGTAGACATCATAATGCCGCGCCATAGCAATCCCAGAAGCCGAGCTCAAGATCATCCTCTTCACAGCAAGCATCTAGTCCCAGTCATTTCCACTAACCCTAAATCAACCACTTCAGCACCCCACCCAAGTTCCCCTCAGTATCCCAAAACCGCCCTAACTCAGTATGTCCCCCCTCAACCCACCTTTCCTTCTCAACCGTCCCACCGGCCTCGACAACCTTTTGCAGCGTCGCCGCCACGTCGGCCACAAGGATATGATTGACAACTCCGCCGGCTCTCAACTCAACCTTTTTTTTCTCCCCTTTTTTCTCGCTCTCGCTCTCACTTTCTGATTCCGGTGCCGCATCGGTCCCCGAAATGAGCGACAGGGCACCCATGACCGATGAGGGCGTGAAGAAGATGAGTTGGGAGGCGGAGACTTGGGGCTGGAATGTCCAGTCGAAGACGGTGGCGTAGAAGGCTTGGGCACGGGGGATGGAGAGCACGGGGATGAGCGTGAATGCGAAGGAGTTGGCTGGTGGAGGGACGAATTTAGGTTTTTGGGTGGCCTCTGTGGGGGTGGTAGTGGTCTGGGGGAGTGAGGCGGTGGTTGAGGGAGTGGTGATGTCGGATGAGGTCGATGATTTGGGCGACTTGATAGGTGGAGAGGGGCGGTTGGAGAGGAAGGAGTTGCGGTGGGGGGTTGTGGTTGTCATTGTGGATGTTGGAGTGTAGTGGAGCTAGAAGAGTCTTGATCTCGACGTAAGGGGTGCCTGAAGAGCTGAAACTTTCTGGAGAGAAGTTTATGCTATGCTCTGAGGCTTCAGGTAAAGTACCACGGGCCAGTGCAGCAATCTTTCTCAGAGACGAAAACACAGAAGGGCATGATAGAAGAGAAGGTTCTGATGATGAAGATAGGAGAATTTATACCTTTGTTCGTTCTCCAAAGGCATTGAAAGAATTGCACCAACTCGGGTCATGTGCAACCACGTGTACGGTTCTCTGGACGTGTTTCCCGCGTCTATCACTGTGACCCGATGTGCATCAACACCAGAAGCAAGCAGAAACCGCGAGTGCTACCATTGGCTTCGCTCTCTCAAGCGGCATGCAGTCTACTCCTCGCCCTCGCATTGGGAGGCACGCGTCGCTGAAGGTAGCCTCTGCCTTGGCATCCCTATTGGTGTGACGCTTGTCGGGAGGAGTGTTTACAGACGGGCTGACGCTGCTGCCTGAATCCTTCAAAAATGATGCTTCGTCACGCCGATGTCGTCGCTGCCCAGGTGCCAAGAGGCTGCTAGCTCTCTTCTAACGGCAGTGGGCAGGTCCCAAGACCGCACCCTCGTCCTTCGACTCACCACTCTGCTCTCCACCCGCCAGACCGCCAATCAGTCGAAATGCCTTCATCCGAGTGCCATACGCCTAGTCAATTGCGGGATTCAATACCGTGTGCCCTAGCAATGCTGTCAGCTCCACGACGGGCTAAGAGCCGTTTATCGTCGCGTCTCTTGCGCGGCTGCTTGCAACCCCCAGCAATCAGACTCCTGGCCTGATCGACGCGGCTGTATAAGGCTCCTAGGAAGCCTTGCATTCCCGAATCTCATCTTTTTGTGCATTCTTGGCTCACCACCACATCCATTTCTTCGTGCGTTCTTGGCACAATATCTCATTTCTCTTCGTGCTCTCTTGGCTCAAACACCACAGTCTTGGTTGAGAGACAGACACCATGAGCCGGGTCTGCCAGACCGATGGCTCCTTCGGGCCAGGCATTGGCTCCTGCAGAGGCGGCTTCGACTTCACCCTGACCTTTGAGGACTCCATATTGAGTCTACTCCCCCAAGTCGCGTTTCTCCTGCTGGCTCCCTTGCGCTTCAATACTCTCCGCCGGCGGAAAAACAGAGTCGCCAAGAACTCCCATCTCGGGTTCCTCAAAATCGTGCGTCTCGCATGTGCTTAGCATTGGCATGCAACGCATCGTGAAGCTGCAGGCTGATTGGTTGGATTCAACTTCTAGGTTACCTCCATTCTCTATACCGCCTCTTCCATCATCCTCTTGGTACTATGGAGCGAGATCGAGAGTTACAAGACTAAAATGTCCATTGCCGCGAACTCATTCCAATTCCTGTCCTCGTTGGCAATCGTTACACTATCCCACCTCGAACATACGAGGGCCGTCAGACCGAGTCATCTGCTCCAGTTTTTCTTGCTAGTCTTGCTTATATGCGATGCAGTGCGGTTACGCACTCTGTTTCTGATGGAATATCCGACTAGCTTGGTGACATCAGCGTCGATCCATACCTTTCTAACCGGCCTCCTGTTACTCCTTGAGTCTCTCGACAAAAGGGAGTTGTTCTACTCGGATCGAGACAAGGCTCTCCCGCCTGAGGAAACCATCGGGCTGTTTGGCCAGAGACTCTTCTGGTTCCTCAACGGCCTGTTTCTAGATGGATATCGTAAGGTTCTGAAGCCTAGCGACCTTTTTGATGTTGACCAAGATCTTGCTTCCGAGGAGATTCGAGTTTTATTCAGCCAAGCATGGAGCAAGCAAGACAAAACGCGGAAAGCCCCTCTTTCGCGTGTCATTTTCCATGTCCTGTGGTTTGACCTCGTTCTTCCGATGATTCCACGGTACGCGCTTCTCTGCCATTCTACTATGTCTCGTCACAGATATCTGCACAGTTCTCTGCCACCGCTTGTAGTGCCTCATAGTATTTTCAGAAATCGAGGGCGACGAATCACACTTCAATCTATGTACACTCCTCTGCCGCTGCTTGGGGCGGCCTCATGAGTTTACCAGTTGTTCAAAAGATGGGACTTCTCTCTGAACCGAAATACTGAAAATATGATTACGCACTGTACCCAGTCACCTACTAACGTATTTCCAGACTCCTTCAAATCGGCACTACTCTGTCCCAGCCATATCTCATCTCCGCAATGATCAAATTCATTCAATCTGGGCCACCAGAGAGTAAGAATGATGGCTATGGATTGATTGCAGCTTTTGCTCTCAACTACGCTTTCCTAGCAGTCTTCACCTCCTGGCATACTCAAAGCGTTGCTCGGTTTGCTGTCAAATTACGCGGCTGCCTCATATCCCTCATATACGAGAGGACTCTCGACCTTGACTCTAAGGAGGTCAACCTAGGCTCTGCAACCGTGCTGATGAACGTAGATGTAGAAAAAGTCCTAGCTGCGGTCAGATTCATGCACGAGTTCTGGGCCCAGACAATTAGTTGCGGTGTTGCACTCTACATCCTGTACACTCGTCTCGGTGCCCCTTTTGTGTCCCCTCTTGTCACGATTTTGATTGCAACTGCTATATCTTCCTGGGTCGGAAAAAGAATGAAGGCCCGAAGTAGCGACTGGGTTGCTGCCACTGAAAGACGCGTAACCTCGATCGCCTACGCCACTGGTGCCATCAAAGGTATTAGGATGCTCGGACTCTCGGACACGGTGCTGAAATCCTTGACTGCGCTCCGAGAAGCTGAGGTTGAGAGACACAGATCTGTGCGAAAGTTGTCGGTCTGGGTCACCGTCATCTCTAACGTTATGTTTCAATTGACAACACTGTCGACCTACGTTACCTTTGCAGTCGTTTCCTTATTTGGCGGGCGCAGTCTGGATGTTCAACTACTCTTTGGGTCTTTATCAGCTTTGAAGTTGGTGACCACTCCATTGACGGGCATGTTGCAGATTATCACGAGCTTCCAAGGTGGCGTTGCGTCCCTGGAGCGAATTCAAACATATTTGAAGAGCGACGTGCTTGAAAAGCCTACGTATACTTATCGTGTCAAGAACGCGACCAGGATTGAATTGCAACCAATTCAAGGCAAGCGGTCCCATACATCCAGTTCATCGGAGGCCCTTAGGATCACGCACGGCGTTTTTGAGATCGAGCAGAATAAGCCGATCCTGTCCGACATCAACCTTACTATTCCAGTAAGCTCCTTTACAATGATTATTGGAAAAGTCGCATCGGGCAAGTCCGTTCTTCTCCGCTCTATGCTCGGGGAGACAACCGTGGTTGAGGGATCCGTCGCGAAGTCTTTCTCTGGCGGCATGGCTTTCTGCGATCAGTCCACTTGGCTAAGGAACATTACCCTGCGGGAAAACATCATTGGGGAAGACACAGTTGACAATGCCTGGTACTCCTCCGTGACGTGGGCTTGTGGATTGCAAAAAGATTTCACAGAGCTGAAAATGGGCGACTTAACGAGAATTGGATCAAAAGGAGGATCACTCTCGGGCGGCCAAAGAAACCGAATATCTCTGGCGCGGGCCTTGTATGCGAGAAAACCAACCATTATCATCGACGACATCCTGTCCGGCCTTGACAATACGACCGAGAGACTCGTTTTTAATCGTGTGTTCGGCCCAAAGGGTCTTTTAAGAAAGTCGCGCACTACAGTTGTACTGGCAACACATTCGACGCATTTTGCACAACAGGCTGACAAGATCGTCGTCATGTCCGCTGGTCGAATTGTCGATCAAGGGATCTACGCGGAATTAGCATCACGCAAAATTCCATTTCACGCCTTTGATGCCGTTTCTGATATAGGTAGTGGCTCATCCGAAGAGGTGAAGACAGTCGAAGAAGATGAAAAGGTCCTTGCAACGGTAGATGCCACTAGCTTACCTGACGAAGGCCAGGAAGACAGCACAGACAGGCGTTCTGGTGATATGCGGAGTATGCTATTCTTCCTATCTGCAGTTGGCAAAGTTCAAGTCAGCATATACTTTGCTCTCTTAGCATGCGAGACCGTATCTACGACAATGCAGAACATCTACCTCAAGATCTGGGCTGAGTCTGATACTTCCACGCGAAGCTCGATGGTCCGGCATCTATACACCTTCATTGGCGTAACAATTCTCAATATTGGGGTCATTGGAATTTGGTTAACCCACTTTACTCTCTGGTTCACACCACAGATGAGTCTCGTCTTGCATAGCAGACAGCTTTACGCTCTCATGATGGCGAAATTCTCAATTCTAGTATCGACTGATACGGGAAATGTGACGAATAGGTTCAGCCAGGATATAGTCCTGGTGGACAACCAGCTGCAAGGCTCCTGGATTAACGCCACCAGCTGCGCTTTTCTAATTCTCTCAAACGTAATTATTTTGTGTTTGGCTACGCCACAGGTCGCAGCCTGTATTCCATTCCTCTGCGCCGCTTCATACTTGATCCAGCGAGTCTACTTGCGCACTTCGCGTCAAATCAGACTTATGGACTTGGAAGCTAAGGCCCCTCTCTGTACTCACTTCTTGGAGACGCTTGCAGGCATCGTCACAATCCGCTCGTTTGGTTGGCCTGACGACTACCGGCGTAAGAACAAGGTCCATCTTGATCAATCGCAAATACCCTTCTACTTGTTATTCGCGATTCAAAATTGGCTAAATCTTGTTTTGGAGCTTATGGTAGCTGGACTTATCACTATCCTTGTTGGTCTTGGTGTATCGCTCCGAAGCAAGGTTGATGCCGGCTATCTTGGTCTAGCTTTGATTGGAACTGTAAGTCTACACAATCCTAGACCGCGCTAGTTTGTCTTGGTTGAGAGTACTGACTACTGATAGATGGATCTTGGCTTTTTCATCCGCCTGCTGGTAATAAGTTGGACAGATCTCGAAACGTCATTAAGCGCCGTTGCACGAATACGTCATTTTTCAAAGACTCCTTCCGAACACCAGGATCGAGTCACATCAGATCCTCCCACAGGATGGCCTCTCACGGGATCTGTTCAATTCAAGAGCCTCGTTGCAAGCTACACCGAAGAAGGAAAGTCTGTTCTACATGGTGTAGATTTGGACATCAAGGCTGGGGAGAAGATTGGACTCTGCGGGCGCACTGGTAGCGGCAAATCCAGTCTCGTCGCAACGCTATTTGGTCTCCTGCACCATCAATCCGGAAGTCTCCTCATTGACGGTGTCTCTACAGATAGTGTAGCTCTAGATGTACTTCGCTCGAAAGTCACAGCACTACCGCAAGAACCATTCTTCCTCCGGGGGAATGTCAGGCATAATCTAGACCCCTGGCAGCACTCGGCGCAAAGACTTCCGGTATCAGACCAAGAGATGAAGCTCGCTTTAAAGCGAGTCGAGCTGTGGGACAAACTCAGCAACGCGGCGGAGCCAGGCCAAACTGCCCTAGACGTTTCGCTGGATCACGTTGATTCGTTACTGAGCCAAGGCGAGCGCCAGCTGTTTTGCCTCGCGAGGGCTATTTTGATGGTTGGAAAGATTGTGGTATTGGATGAAGCAACGAGCAGGTACGTGTTGAAATGATCCTTTGGCTCAGGCTCGGTTCTCAGCAGCTGCTAACGCGTTTATAGTGTCGACGCAGCCACAGATCGCCTTATGCAGGAAATTCTCCGCTCTGCGTTTGCTGACCGCACGATTATCGCTATCGCCCATCGTCTCGATACTATTCTGGATTTCGACCGCGTCGTGGTGATGGATTCGGGGAGGATTGCGGAGATCGGAGCGCCAAGCAAACTACTGAAGACGGAGGGGAGTCTCTTCAAAGCTCTAGTAGAGAGCCAGGGGAAGCATTGAACGTAGAGGAGGCTTCAATGAGATGGAGATAGCCTCTTGTTTCTTGGTGACTTCTTCACTCAACGATTTTGTAGGGAGTGGTCTTTGACATAGATTCTTTTCGTCTAATGAATCAATCCGGCTTTATCGAGTGGACTATCGAAAGGAACGAAGTTCCGCGTAATCTCTCTCTCTCGCTCAATCTAAAACACCTACTTGTATGACAGCTGAAGTCCTCCAGCACGTGATGTTCGCATTAGTACTAGGCCCAGCGCCACCTCGAACAGGCAACATCCCCCACCTGGGCACCTAAGGTTTGAGTTCCACATCATACCTTCATAGAATGCCACTCTCTCTACCCAAATTCACACCCTCAAGCCATTGACGCTCAATCATGGCCACCTTCTCAGACCTTCCGGTCGAGCTGATCATTGACATTGGAGAATATCTTCCAGGCTCCGACATTAAAGCACTGCGCCTTACGGATCGGGTCTGCAAAAGCGCAATTGCGCATCTCCTCTTTCCCCGACTCTATGTCTCATCTCATGAGCTTGACTTGAAGGTCTTGAAACACGTTTCAGAAACCCCAGAGCTTGCGAAAGGTGTAAAGCAACTAGTCTGCGACGGTGGCTATGATCAGCTAGCCCCCGGGTACCGTAAGATTGCTCTGGAAAGACTTGATGAAACTCGCGCTGCGTGGGACAAGGAAGATAGCGTAAGGAAGTTTTAATTCTACTGAGAACGCTAAAAGGACGCGATCATTGATCATGAGGCTAACGATAAGCAACAGGGTGTTGTTGATGCTCTCCCTTACCTCACTAGCCTCCGTTCCATGGTACTTTGTTGTCCCAAATCTCTCGATTCATCGATGAGTCTCTCGGGTCTATGCGCTCCTTCGACAAGAGCAGCGTTGTCCGAAATTGGCACAGAATATGGCACTCCCGAGGACCGGAGATTCAATGTCAGAGCTGTTGGCAGCAGACTACTGTGGCGTCAAATCGCTCCAGAGAGACGAATGGAGCTTTTCAACTCTACAGAGACAAGTATTGACGTTACCACGGCCTCGTTTGAGGATATCGAGCGACTCAATAATTTCCGCCATCTTAACCTCTTACTGGATGTCTGTATCACGTCACCCTCTTACATCAAGGAATTCATCATCCCTCCGTTCCGCACAGCGTTTGATGAGTATGGCGCTTGCATGGGTGCCTTTGTTTACTTGTTCGAATCTTGGAATAACACCCTCGACCGAATGCGGATCGCCTTTACAAATTTGGAGGTTTTACACCTTTGTTTCTTAGGCGATTACGACGGCGAATCGGCGCGTATTCTATTGCAAGGTAACCTCACCACGGTCCTATCTTCCTGCAAAGAGCTTCGCGAACTCAAAATCGACAACTCGGAATGTCTGTACCCTTTGGCTACTCATCTTCCTACGATCTCAGCCCTCGATCTTAAGAAACCGCTTCCAAAGCTCCGCAGGGCTACTTTCATTGCTGGGTCAGACGATGCCAAAAGCGCCTTTCGGGTGATACGTGCCCATGCGGCCAGCCTTGAGTATCTGGAGTTCAAATCTATCAACCTGAAGAATGGAGACGCAGCAGTTGAAACTTGGACCTGGCTACTTGAAGCACTTCGTGGCTTACCTAATACGGCTGAGTTCAAGAAGCTGGATCTTGTATGCGACTTAGTGGGTGGTGATCCTATGCTCTGGTCACCACAAAGCTGCTGGAACACAGTCAAAGACCCTGATGGCAGGAAAGCGGCCTGGACACAGTTTCTCGATGGTGGCGCGTTCCCGCTACGAGAGCCGTATCAGGACTTCGAGGATCCGCCGGTAGAGATACGAGGAAAAGTATGGCCTCTTTACAAGGAGACTCAATATTCGGACAGTGATGGAACTGACTCGATGGGAGCTGACTGGGATTGGAAGATGGAAGAGTGGTTTCCGCCGTTGGATGAGAGAATCAAGCTGTATGTTCCTTCGATTGAGGGGGGTGATATCGGATCCGCAGAGTCGATGTCTGATTCCAATGAGGAAGATTCGGAGTAGAAAGGGTAAGAGGATTCTAGCAAGAGGAATTCCAGTGGTCTCCTGCACCCAGATTGCTTATTGAGCTGCTTGTTAACTCCATAGAGCTTGATCGACTTGATAATACGAACATCATGGTTGGTTGCGATGAACAATTCGGTACTCTTAGCTCAGCTGGTACACTCTCTTGAATATTATGTAGCAGCACAACACCATCTGAGGTGGCCCAGAGGACTGTCTGAAAACTCTAATGATCTTCATTTTCCACTCAATGAACACTCCGGCGACCGAGTCTGTCAGAGGCCGTCCATCGTGGGCGCCGGCCCCTGTCCCTAACTAGCGCCGGTAGAATCTATAGTGGCCGTCCAAGATGTCGCCCGAGGACATCAAATCGATGAGCAATCCTGCTAAGAGAATGGGAACCAAGATCGGCCCTGGAAAGAGCGAGAAGGACATAAACCGTGCCATAACTAGTCACGAGCTCGCTGTTGTATGGAGACCAGAGCGCTCAGAATGGCCATATGCTAGTGCTATCAATGCGAAAGCTGTCTTTGGCGCTATAGTTTGGATCCGTGTATTTTAATGCATAGATGTAGTGGTTATAAGCGAACCAAGCGCTAGCATAGATAGAAGAAGTAATTGTATTGCAAATATATGAGCCTATGGCTTTGCACAGGCGAACTTCTTGCAGTCGTGTAATCAAATGTATTGGAGCCTAGGAGTGGCAGAGATCCGCGATTGGAGTCATGCGATATTGGTGGTATACTGTCCATGCAAAAGCATCACGTGATTGTGGGGCCTCGATCCTCCTTATCACATTACAGCAAGTGACCGCGCACTTATTGCTACCAAAACTATCGAGTAGTAAGTCTCCGTGGTCTCCAATAGGCAGTAAAAGTTTCAAGGTCATCCCCCACGAATTGCGAAGCTCGAAGCTGCGAATTAGGGGCAATTCACTGGCAAACGAGTCACACTCTTGGCAATATACGCGAATTGCGATCTCTCACTGAATTGACCCATGATGAGTACACTAGGATCTATCTATGTCGGAAGCCGCCTAGGAAAAGTCTGAGTAGGGACGGCCTCCTGATGCGAGCGTTGTGTGAGATGGAAGAGGTAGGGACCACGTGACGGTCACATGGTGGTGAATTACTCGTCAATGGCAATTCGTAGTCTTAGCTTCATATCTCTAATCTCTATCATGCTGTAGTTTTGCTTCTTGGCAGTCTACAAAGTGCTGAGAGCTTGATCAATATACTTAGTCGCTCGGTCTCGACCTAGCATCACAGTGAAGATACGTCGTGTATATCTGATATATTATGGCAGCTCACACCTCTTATATGATATACATACTTTAAATCTATCGCAAATTCATCAGCTGATCTTCCTTCCATGGTTTCTCCTATCTACAACTTTGCCCCACTTTCCTTCTCCGCCATCTCCCTCAGCACCCTCTTCAAGATCTTCCCTGAGGCAGTTTTCGGAATTCCCCCCTCCTTCAACCTCAAGAACTTGACACCTCCATCTAGCCGCTTGTATTTCGAGAGTTTTGCTGCGGCGAAATCGTAGATGTCTTTTTCCGTCAATGGAGACGAGCCGGGCCGTTGCACGACGTAGGCGCGTGGTAGTTCAGTCGGCTCGCCGGACGCGTGAGGGAAGTGGACTCCGATAACGGCAGCATCGATGATGGAGGGGTGGCTGAGGAGAACGCCTTCGATCTCAGGTGGTGCGACTTGGAAGCTACGGACTTTGATGAGTTCCTGCGAGGAGTTAGTTGAGGAGCTACTCCTATAGATAACCGATGAAACGCATTTGCGAACGGCGCCTTGGATAGGGAAGATACAACCAAAATGACATACCTTCTTGCGGTCTACTACATACCACTTTTTGGATTTACTATCCCCCCATACGATGTCGCCAGTATGGAAATACCCCTCATCATCCCAATCTCTAGCATTCGCTTCCGGATTTTCAAAGTAACCACCCACGACAGTCGGACCTCTCACACAGATCTCGCCCCGGACACCGTATGCGGAGATGTCCTTTCCGTCATCATCAACAAGTTTGATGTCGAGATTGGGGATTGGTCGCCCGACGCTGCCTGTGTCGTCGTCTTCGGGGTAATGTAGCTGTGTTGCAACGCAAGAAGTCTCCGTCATGCCCCAGACTTGAGCAAAAGGTGCACCGGGAGCCAGCATAGCTTTGAGACGCGCTTGTACGCCTTTGTCGAGGGGTGCGGCGCCACAAGCTGCAGATTTGATCGACTTCAGGCTATACTTCTCATGTAGCCCAGACATGATGATGGCGACGCATACGGGTGGAACCATAACCAGGTCGGTAATTTGGTACTTCTCGATCCCAGCTAGGAAGGCTTCAAGGTCGAAGCGGCGCATAATGTATGACTCGTCGCCTTTGCGGAAGGGTGTAGTGTGCGTAACTGGAGCTGTGGCTGCGTGGAAAAAAGGGAGGGCGAGGAGACGTTTAACCTAGAGACAAGAGTCAGGCTTAGATCTCTCAACTGGTCTTGAACAGACGGCCTTACCTCCCATGGGCGTGATTTGAACTCGAAGATGCCTTCGCTTTGGGCAACTAGGTTGTAGTGGGAGAGCATCACGGCCTGAAGACATGAGTTAGTAATCTTATAAGCAGCTCGAGTAAGTTTGAACATATTAATGAAAGCATACCTTGGGCAGGCCAGTTGTCCCACTGGAGAATAGTAGCATCGCTAATGTCTTTTTGGCAGTTTTGAGATCATTGAAGCGGACCCTAAATGATGTTCAGTCCTGTAATGTTTTATGAATAGATGCTGTCTACAAGCCTCACCAATCATGTTCACCTTGCTCCAAGAGCCAGTTCCATGGTTTGAATCCATCTGGAATAGGTTGCCCAAGAGTGTCGAAGATGAAGATGTTGGACTTTGGTATGGAATGCTCTGCAGCTAGTATAGGAGGCAGAAGTTCAGGCTCAACGACTACGAATTTTGCTTTGGAGACCTTGATATGGTGGGCAAGCTCGTGTGGGGTGTAGCCTGGATTTGTTCCTGTATACACGCCGCCGGCGGCAATGATACCTTGAACGAGGATGGGGTAGTAGAGCTGGTCTAGTTAGTAGTTGAACGCAGCTTGCCCCTAGAGAGTCTTACATCATTGAATGATGCTATCACGACACAGTCTCCTTTCTTTAGCCCAGAGTTTCGAAATCCTGCGACAAGTTTACGGATGATAGCGCGTCCTTGTCTAGCAGAGATGAAGCGTCTAGGGTCGGCGGCATCGATATACACCTGCACGACTCAGTAACTGAATACTACACTTCTCAATAGACACGGCATACCGGCTTGTCCAAATCGTAAGCTGCATTGTCAAAGGCCCAGGAGATGAGATCGTGGGTCGAAACATCAAAGCGGTCCTCGGCGAGAAAAGGCATAGCTAAAGCAGAGTCGGAGAAGCAGCAAATTGACGAGAACCAAATGGTCTGTGACGGACAGCGAAAAGATGGATTGTCGACAGCTACTTAAACAAAGACGGCGGTGACACTTCAGCTGTAAATATAGCGCAACTGCTAGACTGCCGTGGCGACCGAGCTAGCAGTTGGTGTACGAAGTAGAGCTGTACGAACTAGCTTTGCGCCCACCTGCCCCATGACGCTGCTGCCGAGGGATGTGTGCTGGTGTACATATGGCAGGTGAAGCTCCGCCCTGCACCCGGCTGGGACTTTGCGGGGTCCCCAGTGCTCAGGCTAGCTATAGCCACGCGCGACCACGCTAGATAGAAATCCTGCGGGGGCTGCTCGGGTGATTGCCCGAAAGCGCCTGGCAGCTCATAGCTGGACATGCCCTGGATGGTCTAAAGATGCTGACAGCGCAGATCTCTTCGAAGAGTGAATTGAGGTGAGGTATCGATGGCGGGGACCGACCCTGCCGTTGTACCTGACGTGGCGCTTATGTCGGGTCACGTGAGGAGAGCGGTGCAAACATACTTCGACATTCAGCCCTACCACTGCCTGGCACCTGGCTTTCACTCTCCCACTCTCTATGCGACCGACTTGCTTCCTTCTAAGCTCCAACATACGGCTCCTCTACAAAGCCTCACTGGTCCGCACGCACTCACTCGCGCAAACCTACCGCGTCTTCTACCGCACCATGGAGCGCCCCGAACCTCTCCCCCTCTCAGAAATCCCCACCCTGTCTCTCCTCTACAAGCTCAAGAAGCTCGCCGCGGACCCCGACGCCGACAGTGCAGAGCTTCCAGCGCCCTCTGCTACCTTCAACGACAAGATTTCCGTCATCCGCCATGACATCACTCTACTCGCAATCGACAGCATCGTCAACGCCGCCAACGAATCGCTAATGGGCGGGGGTGGTGTTGATGGTGCAATTCACTGTGCCGCGGGGCCGGATCTCCTAGACGAGTGCGAGACCCTCGACGGCTGCCCGACTGGCTATGCCAAAATCACAGACGGCTACGAGCTACCAGCGAAGAAGGTGATCCACGCCGTAGGGCCGCGATACTGGGCATCAAAGAGGGAAGGAGCTGCTGAGGAGCTGCTGGCAGGATGCTACTGGCGCAGCTTAGAGCTCGCAGTGGAGAACGACTTGAAGAGCATAGCGTTCAGCGCGTTGAGCACAGGCGTATACGGCTATCCGAGTGGGGAGGCCAGTGAGGTTGCGCTAGCTACTGTGCGGAAATTCTTGGACGAGGGCAAAGGGGACAGTTTGGAGCGCGTCATCTTCTGCAACTTCATGGAGAAGGACGAGAAGGCCTACTTGGCCAATATCCCGTAGGTTTACCCGCTTCTTCTCGAGTCATGTGCGCTCCTTGGTAGGTACACACTGCTGACGCTGGCACAGTCTCGTGTTTCCCCCAGTCGTCCCGGAAGAGAAGCAGGAAGATACCGAGAAGACAATAGAGGATACCGACTTAGCTTCAAAGCTGCCAGATGCTCCCACAACCGAGCCTGCGGAGGAGGGAGAGCCAGAGCCAAAAAAACAGAAGGTGTCTTCTGATTCCGCCGTAGCGCCTGTTTCCAAGGAAGCTGCCGAGACAGCGAGCGAAGCAACATCGAAGACCGGCGATGCGGACAGCAAAACATGATTCAAGTTTTTATTCAATCAGAAACGTCCGACCAAGTAGGGGATGAATGAAGATACCCAAAGCATTGTCAAATTGCACACTAGGTAACGAAACTTTCCTTGCGGACACGGTTTCATTGATAATATGTCTTTATGAAGGCGGGCTAAGTGTTGTACATAACTCCCAATCATGAATTTTTTTTAGATGGTGTGTATATGACACTGCCAGGCAATTTATTGCAATGGTACGATGCCACGGTGCCCAGCGTGCCGCCTTCCTTCGCCAATCCTTCTACTTACATGGGTACGTGTCCACAAGCCTGTCACAAGCCAACATGTCAGATGCTAGGATCGGCTATTCCCCCATGTTTCCTCCACATCACAAGCGGGCCCTATACCCTAAACCATCTTGTCATACCCTATCCGTCCTGTCAATCCGCAGTCTCAAGGGCAAATTTCTGTACCTGGCCGATGTGCAACTGCGGAAGCGCCCCTAGTTGTCACGCACTCGGCAACGTTTTTAATTAGTCTTTCGTGCCAATCACAGCGATACTTCTACCCGGCCAAGGCCTCTTTCCTACGTCAAATCCATGCCCTTTGCATATGCTTGTTCTTCGCCTGCACACTTGTGTCTAGTTGGTGGTCTATCTCTTTCCAAATTCCATCGCGCCGCAGTCTTCCCCACTTTCCCACTTCTCCAAGGCAACCTTTTTGATCCAGGTTACCCAGAGTTGATCCCGATCTGCGAAGGACGAATTGACCAAGTGCCATAGTACTCGACCCCTCACCGGTTCTTCGAAATTTGCTTCGCGAATGCCCGCGCATAGCATAGGCATTTGATAGCTACCCGTTAAACGCCGCGCTACCCACTTCACAGGAGCCCGCGCGTAGCAGGATTACAACGTAACTAGAGAGGGACCGAGTATTTACAATAGGTTCCCTTAAAACGCCGCGCCACCCACTTCTCCCGACTATGTTGCTCCGACCCAAGGCATTGGCCCGAGTCAGGCGTGGTTTGCTGTTGACTAAAAGTTCTGCCAATAACTACCCTTCCCATCTCTTCAACTTTCTCCCCACTTTCTCACGAATCTCGAAATCAGATTACCAACAAGGCGGACGCTAGCTGCGCTACACTCACATACTAGACCTATCGATCAACTGCCGCCCAACGACTTGAACCGGAAGCCCTTGAACGATTACCCTCAACTGCATACCACAGTCGCTCGCCTGTAACCTCTATCGACAGCCATGGGTGATCTCACTCCAACGGACGTCCTCTCATGGCCAAAACCCAACTATGTCGACCCCGAGTCTCGCCGCGAAATCATCCTCGCTGCCGAGATTCCGCTTACTGTGGTCATGACGGTTTTCATGGGAGCGCGGATGTATTCCAGATGGCACTTAAAAGCGCTTGGAGTAGATGACTGGACAATGTTTCTGTGCTGGGTACGTTTTCTCGGCGCAAGATGTATCCATTGCTAACCTTCACGTAGATGATGGGCACAGCAATATGTATAGTAAACTGCTACTCAACCCTGTGGGGAACTGGCCTGCACGTATGGGATAACAAGCCTGAATGGATACCAACATCGGGGAGGGTAAGATTCTAGCTAAACTTGCGAGTCCCCGCGGAATGGTAGCTAATTTCTCGCATCTCCAGCTGGCGCTCGCAACCCAAATGCTGTTTGGGCCCTGTGTTGGTCTTACAAAATTCAGTATTTGCTTGACTTATCTGCGCATATTTCCATCCCAAGGCAACCGTTACTTCTGTTACGCGGCTATGGCCTGGCTAATTACTTGGACTATTGCAATCTTCTTTACCTTTCTTTTCCAGTGCTTGTAAGGTTATCTATTCTTGTGTAGTGGCGTTGCTAACAACTACTAGGCCTATATCAGACAACTGGGACCTCTTGAAATTCACGAATAGGAATTGCATCAACCAAAAGGCTTTCTTTATCGCTGCTGCCGCTACAAATAGTTTCACGGATATTGCCGTATATCTATGGCCTGCGCGATTTCTATGGAATATCCAGTTGCCAAAGTCACAGCGGCTAGGCTTGGTCGTCTCTTTCAGTTTGGGTTGTATGTAAGTATTCTGATCCCCAAAACTCCGCAGTGGTCCAGCTGACATCGACTCAGAGTCTGTGTTGCGGGCATATGTCGCATCTGGTATCTCAAAATCTACTTCGGCTCCTCCGACGTCAGTTGGGAAGGGGCAATTGTTTATGTCATCACCACCATCGAGACAAACGTCGGGATCATCTGTGGGTGCATTACTGGAATTAAACCGATCCTGTCCAAACTATTCCCTCGGCTATTCGGCTCCACGCAGAGCAAAGGATCCTCCGACCGCACCAAGAGCTACGGAAAGCGCTCGTTCCCCTTCCAGTCCCTCCCAGAAGACTCGGTCAATCTCAAGCCTGAGACCGGTAATAGCGGGGGCATCACCGTCAGGCAAGACATCGAGCTGACGCGGTACACGCCAACCAGCGCCGGCGGCGATGAAAGAAGCGAACCAGCAAGCACGGGAAGGAGCGGGAGCGAAGAGTGGATCTTTGATCCGAGGGGTAGGCCCGCAGGGGCTGCCGGCGCAATGAAAGTCTGATGTTTCTGACAAGGCACGAGTGATCTTCAGGAACGGGTGCGGCGCTGAGTGGAGGAATTTCCTGCACTATGTATATACATAGGTCTGATATAATCGCCCTATACGATCGTCACGAATATTTGCATGGTTCGGTCTAAGAGGAAAACGGCTTCGAGTTGGTTTCGATTTCACGAGAGGGGTAGAATTCTCCTACCACGCAAAATGCGCTGTCAAATCTACACATAAATCTGGTCTTAATCGAAGAAGACAATAGTACCTCCAATTATTCTTTTGGGCTTGCTTGCTTGCTTGACCTCGCGATCATGTGCACTCATGACTTGATACTCCGAGACTCGACAATCGTAGACGTTTCAGCACGCACATGGGTGTTGGTTGCTCCGGAACTGTCTCCAGCCTTTTTTATGCACTCGAGCGCATTACGCATTCACGGCAGAGGCTGATACGACTCAGGGGCTGTCCAGGGCCGCTCCTTGCGCAGTCGCGTGCTATCCGCTTCTCGCTCTGGCTTTGTATCGAGTACCGGCCATAGGAATCCTAGCAACTATTCGCACGATTGCTTCAGAGTTTTCACGCAAAGGAAAAAAATCTTACGAGTGTGATCTACTTTCCAGCATCTGGTAGAGATTTTGCACCATCCGCTTTGCCAATGAGCTTGTGCAAGCCCTGGAGGCGAGGGAATCAAACACCTCTTTGACCTTAGCTTAACTATCGGTACTTGCGCATGTTAAGATATGTTCCGCGAGACGTGCCGGCGCACTGTTCCTGGGAATTATGCAGGTGGCAAAGAATATGCGGCTCGTGCGGATGCTTGCGATGCCCTAGCAGCCGGCTGGAGTGTGCATGGGCATAGTCCCCTAGGAAGAGCATGCGGAGACGGGGACGAGGCCGAAGAAGGAGATGATAGATTAGTAGAAGGACTATAAGGCTGACATGTGGTAATAGCGGAGGTGGAAAGAGAACGAGTTGTAGTTTACTGTGTAGAAGACAAAGATGTCGATGAAATTCGAGTTGAGCGGTGAGCCAGATTGCTTCAGATGAAGATAAAGCTCTAGGGACTTCTAGTAGATGGGCTCCGCGATTCTAACACTGATTCCATGACGAGGTATTAGAAAACAAAAGAGGCGCAGCGTGCGATAAAAAAAGTAGTGCCTATCACCTCCGGAGGAACTATCTTTGTCGAGGTGGTGAGGCAAGGCTCAGAAATGTTGATGAGAGAAGTTTGCGAAATTCACGTGACCCACATCTAAGCGAAATCCAACCTGGAGTTTTTGATATCACCAAATCTCGAGCTCCATCCACGACGAGCAACCACCGCACCGCCAACATGTCGAGACCATCCGTCACCGTCATTGGCGCCGATGGCGCCCCCAGCAAGGACACGATTGCGCTGCCCGAGGTCTTCAAGGTACGTGCTGCTGCAATTCTGGCTTTTTACGACTTCAAACGCTGACCTCTCTGTGCAGGCCCCGATCCGCCCGGACATCGTCCAGTAAGACAAGCGAACCACAACCTGATACCACACGCATACTCATATATAATGTAGCCAGGTCCACACGGGAATGGCCAAGAACAAGCGACAGCCGTATGCTGTTTCACCCAAGGCCGGCCACCAGACCAGCGCTGAATCGTGGGGAACTGTAAGCCAAACCACAGGAATAAAATTGCTTCAAAATTGGTCTAATGTGGAAATTTGCAGGGCCGTGCTGTTGCCCGTATTCCCCGTGTTAGCGGTGGAGGAACTCACCGCGCCGGTCAAGCCGCCTTTGGCAACATGTGTCGCTCCGGACGCATGTTCGCACCCACCAAGACCTGGCGCAAGTGGCACCAGAAGATCAATCTGGGACAGAAGTAAGGCGTCATGCTTTTCAAAGCCTACTCAGTGCTAATTGATGATTCTTAGGCGATTCGCTACGGCATCTGCCCTCGCCGCGTCTTCGTCTGCCGCTCTCCTCCTGGCACGTGGACACAACATCAGCCAAGTTCCCGAAGTCCCCCTCGTCATCGCTAGCAGTGGATTTGCTCCTACCAAGACTTCCGCTGCCGTTGCTCTGTTGAAGGCAGTTGGTGCTGGACCGGATGTCGAGAAGGTCAAGAAGTCCCGCAAACTCAGGGCTGGTAAGGGAAAGCTACGTGGACGCCGCCACCAGCAGCGACGCGGCCCTCTTATTGTGTACTCCCCAGAGGACGGCCCGGAGTTGGCTCGCTCATTCCGCAACATCCCTGGTGTTGAGACATCGTCCGTCCACGCCCTCAACCTACTCCAGCTGGCACCTGGCGGACATCTCGGCCGCTTCGTCATCTGGACCTCCTCAGCTTTCTCCGCCCTCGACACCATCTACGGCTCAACTACCGAAGCGTCGGCTCTGAAGAAGGACTTCCTCCTTCCATCGGCGGTGATGAAGAACCCCGACCTCAGCAAGATCATCAACTCGTCGGAAATCCAGAGCGTGCTACGTCCTGTTCGTGGCGGCAAGATTACCAAGCGCCCGAACGGACAGAAGAAGAACCCGCTCGTGAACAAGCAGATCCAATACCGTCTCAACCCGTACGCAGCAGCGTACTCCAAGGAGAAGCTTGGCCAGTTCAAGAAGGAGGATACGAGCAAGCCGAAGCGCGTCAACGAGACTTACCACGGTCTTTTGCACGAGAACTAGGGGGTTGTTGGTGTCTGTTCGGATTCGAGGTTCTTTGGGCTGGGACGGATCAATCGATCCTTAGGTGTTTGTTCTATGCAGTTCCCTATCCAAGTAGGACTGTTTCAAGCTACCTAAAAGAAATGAATGCACTCTGTGCTGGACCATTCTACACATACAATCAATGCTGATCGTGACTTGGAAACATTGCTAGGAATTTAATTCTTAGGATACTTTATTTCTGTATTAATCCTACGGGTGTCCAAATATCTAACCGTGATGCATTTACAAGACGGGAACACAAACTTTCAATCTGATTAGTCGTATAGTTCGCTAGGTCAATCCTCAAGATGCCTCGGACGGGTTCAGAAAAGAGTATCCTTATACATGTTCCCTCCGACTCTATGCCATGTACTATACAATATAAGCTCAACTTATATTATCGTGCTCCATTCGGCAACCCTCTCTAGCCTGCATCTCCTACTAAGACCCCAAAAAGCTTCAAATAGTCCTCCTTCCGGAACATGTGCGCGCAATCCACAGCGTTTGGGGTCCCGAGAGTAATGTCGGCACCACCCTCAAACAGAACCTTTACCACCTCATCCCATCCCTTGAATACAGCCCCCGCGATCGGGGACTGGCCTCTTTCATTCAGCACATTCGGGTCTGCACCCAGCTCGAGGAGCATCGACACGGTGGACGCTTGCCCATGGTATGCAGATAGCATTATGAGAGTGTCGCCAGCATGGTTGGTGAGGTTCTTCGGGATGCCTGCAACAACGTAGGAGCGTAGTTCGGAGGTCTCGCCGGTGCGGGCGAGGTCGAAGAGCTTTGCGGCTAGATCGAGGGCGGCTGGCGGAAGAGCAGAGGCGGGAGTAGATGAGGGCGTATCTTGCGCTTGGCTGGCTGCGGCTTCGTCGTGAATGGGAAGACCCATTGCTGTATCATATGTCTATGATGAGAGAGCGGTTGAGAAGGGTTAGCTGTTGTATTGGACGTTAGCTCTCGAGGTGAAGACGCGGCGATGACATACTGTCTGTCATCGGCAAGTGCCGTTCCTGGCACCCTAGCTAGATTTCACGTTACGATTCTGCATTCACAACCCCTTCGCCTCCGCGCGACCAACTAGCTCACCCCCCATATTAAAGCCCTCTAGAGTCTATAAACGGAATGGTCGTTCACCTTCAATAAATTTTCCGGAACCATAAGCACCCCCGAAAACACCTCTACAACCATGGCCTCACCACCGCAAATGCCCACTCTCAACGTCCCGCGCAAACGACCTTCGATCGCTGGAAACTCAGGCGCGAACAAGAAGCGCAAGCCTTCGACTCTCCGCAATTCCTTCGCGCCCGACGTGAACGGCGTCTCAGGCGCGACCACGCCACGATTCTCTCGCTCTCCATCCGCCGAGAGCTCGGTTGCAGGCAGTAGCATCGCAAATGGCGCCACCGGCAAAAAGAGTCGAGGCAAGAGGCGGGCGGACGACTCGCGCAGCATGACGGGGGCGAGTCTGAGAGGTGGACAGGGCAGTGTGGTGGGAAGTCAGAATGCGGCAGGAGAGGGTGGAGAGGAAGAAGACGAGGATGACGAGGATGACGGCGAGGGAATGGACACGATGCTAGAGGGAGGTGCGCAGGATGAAGAGAACGCTTCGAAGGCAGAGCAGCAGATACGGTGGGTCTCCTTGCTCGGCCTCTTGGTGCCAGCACAGAGACATAATGGCTGATACAGGACTAGCATTCTCCTTGAGCGTCTTGACGATGATCAAACGGAGCGGTATACTATATTCAGGCGTATCAAGCTACGGAAAGAGATCGTGCGGAAGGTAAAACAAGCCCATCACTCATAGCTTTCAGGCCGCTAATCGTAACGCTCAGATCACGAACCAAACCCTCTCCCAGTCTGTCCCGCAACCTGTCATAATCGCCATAAACGGCTTCACCAAAGTCTTCATCGGCGAGCTCATCGACCGCGCCCTGACCGTCCGCGACGAGTGGGCCGCCGCCCGCACTCATCTCCCCAACCCGAACATCCCGCCTTCGCTCCTCGCCACTGCCTTCCAAAGGCCCTCACAGTTTAAGGCCGACGCGGTTGCTACTCCGGAAGACATCAAAGCTGCCGGCCTTAATATTCCTGTAGCACCTCCTTTATGGGAGGAGATGTCGAAGGACAAGTCTTTCAGCGACCGCGTTAAGGACATGGACAAGGGTCCGTTGACGCCAGATCACTTGCGCGAAGCCCTCAGGCGATACAAGCGGGATAGGGAAGGCGGTGGTGCTGGAGTTGCGGGATTGAGCTTGGAAGGACCGGAGAGGTCGGCTGCGAGGATGGGTGGCCGACCCTTGTTCAGATGATGGAGGCATTTCATTGCCAAGTTAACCAACACTCAGTGGCATTTGGGCCAAGTGAGGAGCAGGAAGGGGCTTCCCTTCGTGGGAATTTGCTCCTAATAGCTTAAGCGGCCTGAGGCTGATGTACTAACAGAGGAGCTCTGTGAACGAACACGAGAGCGTATTTTCATTCTGGCGAGTAGACATGATACCCTTTCTGAACAGCTGAGACGGTAGACAGCTGAGACAGAGTCTGGCAATCTACCATTTCAAAATGCTCCAAACTCGAACTGACAGATCCGGCGTCTTAAATGGTGTCCACTGATTTCCTATTATTATAGTATGAATGCTCACACCCATGCACTTGGAGCCAGACGATGTGGCTAACAGGCCGACCTCCAGCCCGCACCGCAAGTAATCGCTGAAGCTGAGTGAACATTGTGGACCAAGTCGAATCCTCAGCATTACCGCTCCTCATCATCGTCCATCCTCGCCCGTTTTGAAGCCCTCCCTTCTTCTTCTTCCTGCTCCTGAATGCCGTACCTTTTCGTCCCTCCCACAGCACCACCTGTAACCTCTGAGATCATCTCATTGATATTGAATGGATCATCCGTATCCTTCTCGAACTGCACCGGGCCCTCGCGTGCCTACACGAGGAAATTAGCATTGGAAACGTAGCATTATGTGACAGCTATTACTGACCTCTGCATCTTCTGTGCCCTTGAACCCCTCCTTTGCTTTTCCTAGCACTTCGAATCTGCTCGCCTTGGTGATCTTCTCATATGTTTCGCCGTTATCCTCGTCATCGTCTTGCTGTACACTTGGGCGATATATGCTGCTGATGGCGTCCTGGGCCGCGAAAAGGGGCTTGTCGTAGTGCTGATCCTCGTTGAAGCCAGTGTTGAAACCACTCGTCTGATTAAACAGGCGCGAGTCATACATAGACTCTCCACTCTGTGTAGGCTTAGCAAGCCCTAATGCCACCTTCTCTGAGATATCGCGATTCTGCTCCCGAGCCATCATCTGGATACGTCGTTCGGTGCCCATGCGAGACTTTCGCAGCTCGCGCTCAGCCTCTCTTTTCCTCTCTTGCCTCATTTGTTCCCTCTCCCTGACGGCATCTTCGTCTTCACTCGCGGAAGCGGACGAATACGGCGATGAGCTCCGGCTCCCTCGAGCTGAACGGTTCCCATGAGATTTCCGGCGCTCTCCACCCCTGTGCTCCTCGCGAGCTCTCTGGGCAAGCGTGCGGAGGTGCTCTTCCTTTTGTAGTTTCTCCTTTTCCGCGAGCTTCTGCTGCATCAACGCTCGCTGTTTCACCTCCTCGCGGGCGTGGCGATCCGCGGTGAATAGCGCCTCTGCGAAACTAGCAAACTTGTCGTTTATGGTGACATCTTGCAAGCCTCGCCCATCTGCTGCCAATCGCTTGTCCAGCGGTATGGTGTAACCCTTGGGATTCTTCCAGTTACTCAGCGACGGCGGTATCTTCCAAGCCTCCTGATCCTCTGCTGTGAGCTTGCGAGGCGGCGAGTGCATTACGGGTGGTGGAGGTGAAGGAGGTCCTCTCGGTATCTTCTTGATCTTGTGTTTCGGCGGCTCCAACGGATCTTGTTGACGCTGCACAATCTTCAGTATCCGGTCCTGTTTTTTGGTGTTGTCTCCCATCTGGTTTGCGGGCGTGTATCGAACGAAGGTTGGTTCCGCCTTGTTGCGGCCTTGAACCTGTTTCGGCCGTTGGGCGGCGCTGGCACCCGCGACCAAAGCCTGAAGCGCCTTCTCAGTCCTCTCCTTTGTCGCCTGCACCATCTCTGCGTCTGGTCGATCCAGGTTCAGCTCCCCGGCATCAGCCCGCTGACGGAGGGGAATGAGATCTTTGAAGCTGGCCTGCACGATCCTCGACTCGGAATGCCCCCTCCGCGCGATCTCATCGTACTTGACTTTCCCATCGCCATCCACCTTCAGCGCAAGCGCGTTCGAAGTGCTGGCACCGCCTTTCCGGCCCATGTCCAGAGGATACTGCGCGACAGGAATCTCGGGGAACGCGCCGCCATCACCAAAGTCCTCGTTGTTGCGGGGCCTCCATTTCTGTCGTTGGCCATACGCTGGGGGGCCGGTGCGCTTCAGCACGAGCTGGCTGTCGAGCTGGGATGCGCCGACTATGCGCGGGCCTGTCGTCTCCTTGACCTCCTCCTCTTCGCCAGTATACTTGGGTTTCGGCAGGACCCTCGAGAGCGAGGCCACGGAGGCCATAGCGGTGTGAGTATGGCGAGGGTGTTTTCGGCACGGCTGCCGGCGGTGAAGAGCTGTAGTGGACGCGAGGGTGGTTGTCGAGGGAAGTCTGGAGAGGATGATATGAGATGCTTGACGTTAACTTTTCGAGTTGGCATCACGTGCTCGCCGGCGCCGGCCATAGTTTCTTCCGCCACCGCTCAAAAAGTGAAAGCTGCTTCGGCCACTCTCATTTTCCAATGCCATAAAATCAAGCTGCGATGGCCAACACTAGAAAGCACTCGTTAGGATAGTTGTTGGCTTCCATCTCTTCTCCACAACGAGCACAGAAATGCGATTGAGCACCCGGAACACGGGTCACTGCAATTCCAAGCCGGCCGGATCTGAGGCCAGGATATGTACGACATCCTGGGCGCCACATTGTGATGGCATTGCATCGATGTTTCATCCTACCTGTGCTGGTTGGATACTCTCTACCATCTCCTACATTGCGATCGTGAGTGGAGGTGCACCATACACAGTGGGACTCTTTCGACAGTGCATTCGTTGTTCGATAGGGTTCAGGATATGTATTCTACTCGGACTGAACGTATCAAACGGTGCTTCACCAGACCGTTTGGACCAGGCTCTGCAGCCACCTCCGTGTTATAGGTGTGGAGCTCAAGATGGCATCACATCGCTTCACCGGGCATGGACGCGGCTTCAGGGGGTTTATCTGCACCTCATCGCCCCACGCCAGACCTGTTCCTGTTGCGACGGAGTCGAGGGTCCGTCCGCTCCATCCTTACGAAGTCATGAACTTCGACGATTGATTCGGCTCAGTCTCCCACTCAGGTACCGACTGTGTCTTCTTAAGAGGCACTTTTGTAGTCCTGGATCCTGAGCAAAGTCGCCAGCAGACTTCCATTTGTATCCTCGCCTACAGCGGTAAGTGCCAGTGGATAGATATCGGTCCATCGATACGAACAGACGCACCGAGTCAGGTCAACAAGGTGCGACCAGAGCCGTCGCAAGGAGCCGAAGCGATCCTTCGAGCTGTCTTATTGATAGACAGACTGCGCGGCTCTTCGTTGACTACGTGAGGGGAGCATTCTGGTAGAACAGGGCGATGTATAGAACGAATAGTAATGTAGCGGACGTGTGCCGAGACGAGACGGGACCATGTGATGTGATGGGATGGGCGCCGCCGCGGGCGCTACCTGGGTTAACTCAGATATCCGACGACTCCCTCCTGGCCGGCGCAGCGACTCTTATTTTATACGCCTAAGATGAAGCAATTGCTACGCAATGCCGTGGGCTGACTCGGGCCGCGCCGTGTGTGCATCCAAGACGGCCATCAGCGTAGGACACCCTTGCCATGAATGCGCAGCACGCGTCCCCCGTCGCCTCCATGCACAACAGAACCAAGACTGAGCCTGCGGCCGTCTCGCGCATCCCCTCCACCACATCCTCCGCAGAGCATGGCCGCCGTCGTCGACTGACCAGCCCGGCCTCGCCCAACATCGCGCCGCACTCTCCAGGTGGGACCGGAGCGACCTCGTACTTTTCACCGCAGCCATCCGCTTCCGGTGGAGACGCTCGCTCGCCCTTCAGCAACAGACGTGCGCCAGCGTCGCGCAGCGCGGGCGGGCATGGCATAGACACGTCGCAAGGCCCCCCCATTGCGCTCATCACTCGAGGCTCCTACTCTGCCGACATTGCGCGTCGCTCGCAAAAGGCGTCCGACTTCGCCTTCGCCCAACAGCAGCTGCAGCAGCTGGGCCTGGTCGCCCCGGGCGCCTCTGCTTTGCTCAAGCCAGGAAGCGCAACCAGCTCTGTCGCGAGCAGAGGACGACGGGACCTCTCGCCCGGGCTTTCGCGATCTGGATCCACCCACTCAGACTCCCGCCGATTCGACCACATGGCGAGCTCCCCAGACGACTCGTCCGACTACGACGCCGGCCTTCGCAGCCCGCTGGGCGACACCTTGACGCTGCAGAACACACGTCGAGCCGATGCGGGCTCGGGGACGGACGGAGAGCCCGCTGAGGACTTGTTCTTGAACATTGCACAGGACACAACACCGCAGAAAGAAGACGGCGATGGGGGCACAACGCGGACGGAGCGAAGACGGGTAAGTCTCCATGTGTGGGCTCAGCCTCCTAAAAGCGGTGTGGCCAGAATTGCTGTCCATTCTCTTTTTCGTCCGTTCATCATGCCACTCAGAGGCATTTTGGGATGGTACCCTTGCGCGTTAGCACGCATTGTTTTGTTGTTTGCTTTCGTTTTCGTGAATTATAGCGTATCAAGCGAATCCTGTGAATTTTTCACTAATCGGAGCATCTACTAGTCTCGAATCGCACGAGCAACGAAAGGCCAGTCTTTGCCGACAAATGCGTATTCTAGTCCCGCACAGCCATCCGCATCTACAACTCCCAAAACATCCTCGGCCATTGATACCAAGCAAGCCGCTCACCCTCGACGGCTTTCTCAGCTCCCATCTCCTTCAATAACTGTCCGAAATATGCGTGAACAATCCCCCGTCTCTCCCGCAAATGTGCTAGATAATCACCGGACTCGTATGCTTGGCCTCTCACCTCAGGCCTCATTTTCATCATCCCGGTCGAAGGAGCAGGAAGCCTCCCCACAGCTTCTACCCCAATATGGCAGAAGGAGACCTTCGTTTCCTGACGCCTCCGGAACTCCACCAAACCGCGCCTATCGTCCTTCAAATCTCCACTATTCTTCATCCCGAGACAACGATTCCACACCACACATCGATACGCCGCCCGAGCCCAATCGCGCTTTCTCTGGCGCTGACGGCACTGAATCTGCAGACTCTATTGGGGCACCATCTTCAGTATGGGACGAGCTGGACGAACTGAAGTCCAGAATTCGAAGGATTGAGCTCTCCGGGAAGATGCCTGCCACCTCGGGGGCGGCTATATCGAATGGGTCTGGCGAGCGTCCGAGAACTGCTACAACTACAGTGACGACCATCTCTTCATCTCCCAAGCATCATCGCAAACCCAGCACATCGCCCTCAGAATCCACTGTTGGTGGCCATACGAGTTCCAATATACACCCTCTTCTGCATTCGGCACTAGCTAAAGCAAAAGAGAACGTCTCACCCTCCATCTATCGAGGTCTTGAGGCGACCGTGACCGAAGCACTGGCACTAGCTGCTCTTACTGGCAGCGCGGGTCCGCAAGGGACCCTATATTCTGCAAGCTCGATAATCAACGGTGCCACTGTACCAGACCGACAAGTGCGGCGGAAAGCCGACAGTCTCTGTCGCAGCCTCACAGAGCTTTGCATCGCGCTCTGTGAGGTCAAAATCAATCACGAAAGTTCTGCTTTCAGACCAACGCCACTGGGAACCCGTCGAGCTAGTGTGCAACCCAGCAGCGAGGTTCATACACCCACATATTCTACTCCCCAACCAGTACGAGCGAGTATCGAGCCTGAGGCGGGAGTTCTGCGTTCCAGTCCAAGCCGAGCACTTAGCCGCATCGAAGCCCGAAGGAGCAGTTTGATGGGCCTCAATGGGTCCCGTGAGTCGAGTCTGGAACCACCCTCGCAGCAGAACTTTCCCAATCGTTTGAGCCGCGCGGGGACCTCGCTCCTGCGTCAACGCCCGATGAAGGAGGACGACGAAGATGATCCCACTCTACGGGCCCCATCCCGCGCTATGACTGATTTTAGTCAGGTCAGGGCCTCCAACAGATCGAAGCGCTTAAGCAAAGACTTCAGCGAGCTCCAACCCTCACCGTCTTTGCAGCCAACATCATCGCTCCGAAGGCCAGGCGGTAACGCCCCCAGCGAAAATCACCATACGCTTGCGTCTTCAACACTACTTCGCGATGGAAATAGGCGATATCGGGATCACCAAACACCTCCTGCATATGAAAAGAGTATTGCCGGGGACAGTGTGGGGAGCGAAGACAATCGGAGGGTGCAGCCTGCGCTCGGCCACTACGTCGAAGCTGCAAGGGCTGCTCGAGCATCTGCTGGAGTGGGTGGTCTAGGACGAAATGGAACCTTTAACCGACGAGTTCGGGGCAACGGGGTTGGCGATTGAAATCCGAGATTACGACTGGGCTGCAGCGGATTAAGGGCTGGGCCTACATCTGGACTGCAGTAACGAATTTCTTGTGCTTCAGAAATAGAGGTATTTATTCAGCAGGTGCACTGGGCATGATTGGGATCACTTCTCTGGACCGAAAAGCTGTTGTACATGTCGGTACCTAGCTAACGCAGCGCCACGACATGTTTGAGGTACTTCCTTGCGAGTCTCGGAGCCACAGTTGGTACTCTCAGCATAGCGTATTCTTGTTTATATGCTCTACAAGCGACGTTGGTTCGCCTTTTTGCCTGGTGGCATGGCACACCTAGAAACGAAATGGAGGCTTCTCCGACGCACATCATTTTCTGGAGGATTCAGGGCCGACAGCATGTGGTATGCAAATATTTATTGTACAGATTTGCGATGCCGTGCTTGGAAGAAGGCTAGTTTAAGTACACGAAAGCCAGCGCGAGTCGAAGTCTCAGCTCTATGGCGTTAGTCAGAGCAGCTAGTTCTTCGATATACAGGTCGCAGTAATTCAACGCAAATACACCTTCTACAATATCTTACTCGCTTGATGGAACGTGTGTGGTTGAGCACGTACTCAGATATGTCACCACGATGACCGTCACAACTGCAGGTAGCGATGACATCACACATGAATTTATGGGCTCGAGTCGACGGGCGGCACGTCTGCACCCCCGCAAGGCCATCCCGTTCGAAACGCGTCTTGTGCTTCGAAGGGGGAGGGTGGCTGTGACGTTGAGTGGATCTAGCGATGGGTGGTGGCTGCATGGCGGTTGAGATCTCAGGGTGGCATACCCCGGGCCATGACGTTACCCTGCAGCACATCTGGCTCCAGCCTCGATCTTGGTCATCTATCCTGTTTTGGGCTGCTTTGCGTGGCTGGTTCAAATACAGAGTTCCTATCGTGGGCTTTGTTAGTAGTTACACGCTTCAACACGTTCGGTAGGCAACTCTTATATTCATCCTCCTCTGGAGTTCTACTAATTTCTTGGATCGATAGAAATCCCAGCACACTACGCAGCTATTACCAACTCTCCGTCGATACCCCACATCCTTCAGACATAATGGCACCCACCGATGAGCAGCAGCAGCAGTCCCGTACTGAGTGGTTGAAGCAGACCTACAACAACCAGTACGAGAGTTGGATGCCTTGGATGGAAGGTACTTGAGATTCCATCTTCACACCTTTGTCGTTATCACCGTACTGACACCTCAAAGACCAATACCTAAAATGGTTCACCAAAGACAACAAGACCAGCTATGCCGCCAAACGTACGTCTTGTGTCCCTAATCATACACCCACAGTGGAGCCATTAACACCCATATGCAGAAGAACTCGACAAAAGCAAAGTGACCGGCGTCGAGCAAGTAGACCAACTCCAAGACGGCGTAAACAACCTCGTCGCCGGCCAGGTCGGCCAGGGCGGCCTTGCTCAACCCCTTGGTGACTTGGCGTCAAAGGAGGTTAGTTCAGAAACTCTAAAGACTTCTCTGAGTCCGATACTAATAAATGATATACAGGGTATGAATCGTGCCGAACGCGGTGGCAAGGATGACCAAGGACGTCCTATCGACAGCCAGGGGCCGCTGGGTGGCTATGGGGAGGCAGCAACTGGACAAGTGAAAGGTGCGGGTGAGGGTGTGGTGGATGGTGCGAAGGGAGCGGGTGGGTATCTCGGCGGATTCTTGGGAGGGTCGAAGAAATAGGTGATGTGCTAGAGTGCTTGGAGGTGTACGTTTGATGTACTTGGGGTGGTTATACGATATCCAGTTTAATGAAGCCAACTTCTCTAAAACATGTATCTCGTGAGTCGAATATTGATTGTGAAATGGTTTCATAGCCTTCGAAGGCTTCGAAGCCCCTACTTTCGCAAAGGTGTGGAACTAGGCCCATTTTGGCCCCACTGACAGGCTGCTCCCCTCCAAGCCCCAGCCACCAATGCTATCTACGAACCCTTCATCGGCCAGATATTTCTGGGTAACTTCGCCTCGGACTGCGAGCTGCGCGCCCAATCTCCATGGCGTATCTAGTTGATCTACAATCAATTCAACGATTTGGAGCTGAGTAGGATCGGTAAGTTCCACTTTCTTGAGGATTTCATCGAGCTCCATCTTTGTAGTTGCTCGGTGGAATGACGACGCCGGGTCAGGATGCTTGAAAAGTGGGAGAAGAGCGGAGTAGTCTGTTTGAACGATGTCGTTGTAGGCTGAAATCAACTGTCAGAATGACCTTTAAAAGAAGAGCTTTGGCTTCCATCATGCCACGGGACGAATCGGATTTGGAAAGAGGGAAAGGGGGTAATACTTTGTCTTGCTCCCCATATCATTCTCTCAATGGTATACCCATTGTCTATAGATTGAATAATTAGAATAAGCTGTGATATTTGCAGTTGAGCCGCTGCTTACTGTTGATGATGAAGATGATTGGCCGCTTCAGCTTCTGCTTGACCACGGTTCCAATTTCTTGCATGGTCAATGCAAGACTGCCGTCGCCAGTGATCAAAATAGTCCTCCCGGGCGATTGGTTCTGCTTCGCCTGGACTTCAGCCCTGGCAACTTCAACTCCTAGAAGGGCACCTGTAGCCCAGCCAATGCTGCCATAGTAGATTTGATTAACATATCTGCGGAAACGGTTAGCCATCATACTAATACCTTTCCTGAAATGTTAGCCATCAGAGAGTTCCTTACTGGATATTTGCCGGGAATTTGATGTCGCAAAGTCCAAAGTTCGTGGTCCCTGTCTCTCCTATGACTACGTCACCTCCTCTGAAATACTCGGCGAACCTTGGCCATATCCACGACTGAGTAATATTCGTAGCAGCGTGGTCCTTGTATCTGAACGGAGGAGGAAGTTTTGGGGTTTGGGCCTCGTTCGAAGCCCTTTCATTCAAAACTGCGGCAAGTTGCGCAATCAAGGGCTTGATGAAGGTATCTGGATACGCTTTACCCTTGACCTAGAAAGGCTGTCAACCATTGCTTCGGCAAAAGTTGGTTTCGGGCTTACATTGACGTCGTGCGGATTTATGGCGATGCACTGATACTCCGAGAGTTTCCTGGAGAAGCCTCCAGAGTTCGTGTCCGCAGGCATATATCCCAAGATGAGTACAAGATCGCTTGATTCACATGCTTGTGCTACCCTCGGTGAGCTGATTTGGCCGTTGTACACCCCGACGTATTGAGGGTGGGTTTCGTCAATAATACTTTTGCCTGAGTTTGTCGTGAAGACAGGGACTCCAAGTCGGTCCACCAATGCTTTTGTCTCTGAAACCACGGAGAAACGTTGCACAAAGGCATCTACGAGGATTGACGGCCTCTTTGCGTTCTCCAAAGCTTCTTTGATAGCATTTACTGCTGCATCTTGAGCTTTAGTATCCACAGGCATAGAGGTGTCAATCGGTGTTTCCAACAACGCAGCAGGAACTTCTTCGCCCACCATGTCCAGGGGGACAAAGATGTATACCGGGCTTGAATGAATGAAGCATTCTCGAATCACTCGCTTTCCGCCGTTAGAATCTTCGTGCAAATAAGGCGATTAGTTTACATACGTCTATCTCTTTTGGAGCCGTCTTCACATCCCATAACTCGGCTGCAGCAGCTCGGAGGTGCTTTGATGTTTTGTTGTACAACTGGACCAAGTGTTCAGTCTTCTGAAATGAGCACAAAATTTCGGATAGGTCTTACTTGGTGATCTGGTTTATCACCGATCGAATGGTGAATCATGAGGTGATTGTCTTGCATTGGTCCTTTGCATTGTTAGTATAGTCTAATAGATACTTTTGCGGCATCAGACGTACTGGTGGTTTGTCCAACGACGTGAATCAGCTTCACTCGTTCAGAGAGTGCTCCGGCAACACCATTCAGTGCCGATAGCTCCCCTAATTTGTGAGCTCCTTGACAAGTTTGACACCATATGCCTGATTTTGCTTACCAACTCCATGCGTAGTCACGACTATCCAACGCTGCGTCAATACAGTGAACTAGCTAAGACCATGGTAACATAACTTACACGCTCCGGGGACTTCCTTCACTCTTGCATAACCGTCTGCCGCATACGCTGCATTAAGTTCGTTCTGATTTCCCACTGGATTGGTTAAGTACGTGATTGATATGCCCCAGTAACTTGAAATGACGGACCCCAGTTCAGCCCTTTGACCCTACAAAGGCGTCATTACGTATTAGTAGGTATTCAAGATAAGTGAGACATATGACATATAATAGACCCGTCTCTTTCGCATGACAATCTAGCACGATACAGTACGCCACTATGAGTATATGGCGATGGATACTTGTCCACTGCTGTCTGAAGGGCTTCTATGCGTTTTCAGACCTTTCGAAGTAGTTGGCTTTTGACTTTTAAACTCCTATTGAAGCATTACAAGCATCGGCAGAGACGTGGACAGAGACTGTTTGAAAGACAACTCAGATTACCCTCGATCACGACTCGAGTCGCTTCAGGGGACCAACAACAGAGGGTAGGTTATATGAACTAGAACCTTACATACTCAAAGACATAGTCCAAAAGCTGCAGATTGAAGTCTCCCGGGACGCCCTGAAACCATTCTGTTAGCATCGCCGTGCAGCTTGGGATGCAAGGTCCATGCTTTGCTAACATACGAAAATAGTATCAACGCCAATTTCATGGATTCTGATAAGCAGGAAAGACCGCGTCAGCACATGCCTTACATATGGAGCTAATAATTCTTACCTTTCCCATAAGTACCTGCCGAGCGTGATAGTAGCCATAGCGACGAAAGGCGAAGATTAGAATTGGTGCTAGAGAAATATATCAAGATGAATACAGAAGGATATTTGCAAATTTAGAGGACAAAAGATAGATGTGTACGTGGGAGTACGGCTAGTGCGGAGCATTAGGGCGGGCAGTCTGACGTAGTGAGTCGAGTCAACTACTTCGTAGTGGATCCTTTCTCGAGCGACGGATTGATTGAGAAAGGAAAGTAACTGCGAAATGCAAGCAAAATATGTCAGCGTTCGGCAGTAAGCCGCCAATGATACTCGGTAGGGCGTGAAGGAATGCCGAACCCCTCCATGGCTCAAGGCAGCTTTGCTTCTGCAGGCTTGTTGATACACTTCAATACGGATGATGAGAGTGGTTTGTGAAGCGCTTGGAACTCGTATGGCGATATTCTTGTGTTAGTAACGATGCATTGAGTCCTACATACAATTGGATGGGGGGCACGTGGGGGGGTAATGAAAAGGCGCCTGCAAAATGGTAGAGGGATGAAATGAGTCAGGGGTCATGACGCTCCGCATTTTCGTGACTCGAGCTTACTACGACTTCAAGTCTTACCCCGGAACCCAGCCCTCAAATCCTCACCTCTTTCTTCAAAATGCGCGTCGACAGTTTCTTAGCACTAATTGCTATATCTTCGCTTGTGAATGCAGCTTGCTACCACCCATCCCCTGCCTTTCCCCTCCCCTCCCTTGATCCTTCAGATCCCATCTTACGCGCCGCCTTTGCACGAATAAGCAATGCTGCTGCCCTCCTGGTCGCCGCTCCAGAATATGATGACCATTCATACTCCATCGAAGTGACTTCGTCGAATCAGTCGCTTTGGTCGGCACATCATACAGCGCGGGAGAAAAACAAAGATGGACGTGGAGTGGATAAAGTGGACGGGGATACCGTGTACAGGATCGCGAGTATCACGAAGACGTTCACGGTCTTGGGACTACTATATGAGGCCGCAGCAGGTAACTTGAGCCTTGATGATACTGTAGACATGTATTTGGATGATTTGAGTGGTAAAAGAGGTGGCCAAATACCTTGGAAGGACATCACGTTGAGAAGTCTAGCAAGTCAATTGAGCGGAATACCAAGAGAATGTGAGCCCATTCTGCCTACTACGTGACGGAATGATCGAAAATCATGCAAGCTGATCCACTACCCCCTTAGTCGCTCAGTCCGACCTCATGAATACTCTAAAAGATCCAGTATCATGGGGACTTCCTCCCGTGGATCGAAAAGGTCTCGTAAAATGCGACGAATATGCCGATTATCATCCGTTCGTGAATCCCCCCAATTCCTATGATTAGTGCTTCTGGTATCGGTTATCCGAGTTGTGTTGAAAATGTGTCTCAAACACCATCTTAGTAGCACTCAGAGAAAGCTGATACCAGAAACTGAACACCTGTCCCAACACCCCTTGCAAAGCGGTGCTAACACTTACGCGCGTTTTGATAGACCTTGCGATGTCGAAGATCTAATTGATTCAATAACGTCCAAACCTCCACTATTCGCGCCCAACCAACGCTCCACATATTCAAACGTCGCCTTCGAGCTCCTAGGCCTTGTAATTGCCAACACGTCGCAGAGCTCGTACATATCGTATGTAGAAGAAGCCATATTGCAACCTTTGTCCATGTCGCGCAGCGCTGTCACCAAGCCGCCAGACAGTCATGGAATCATACCAAATGGTTTCCAATTTTGGGATATCGACCTAGGAGTCCAGACGCCTACAGGAGCAGTCTATTCGTCGTCTAGTGATCTCTCCAAGTTTCTCCGATATATATTGAATTACTATAATGGCATCACACATGCCACAAACTGGTTACAACCCGCGAGCTGGGCGGAAGGCCTCCAGAGCTTCTACGGAATGCCCTGGGAGATCTTTAGAACTGATGAAATATTGGCCTCTAGGCGCCCTGTGACTTTTGCGACAAAAAGTGGTGGTGTAAGTTCTTTTCCCTTCCTGCTTTCCAATGGCTTCCTATCTACCTCTTCTTTCAACGCTCCGTCCCGTCAAGACTAACCTCTTCTACAGCTGCCGGGATATGCCTCCCTCATTTTTTTGTTGCAGGAATACGACATCGGCATAACTATTCTAGATGCGGGGGGCCGCGCCCCCTTACTCTTCAAGTTGCGCGACATCGTGACTGTTGAAGTAGTTCGAGCGGCGGAAGAGGTGGCGCTCAAAAAGCTCGAGCGCTATACGGGAAATTACGTTGCAACGGAGACAGATCTCAACTCTTCTCTCACGCTGAGCGTGGATTTGCATGGCCTCTCCGTTACACACTTCGTCTCTAACGGCACCGACATGCTGGATTCTGTAATCCCAAATTTCCCTGGGATTGAAGGACCTTGGCGAGCACAGCTCACACCCACGCTACTTTTCAAAGACGAGGAGAACCAAGAGGGGGAATTATGGAGACTGCAGGTAGTGCCAGAGAAGACGGAGGGAGAGGGTGATGAGGGCAAATCTATCTGGGATAATTTCTGCGTGACTGATGTCGACTCGCTCACGTATGGAGGCGTGCCCTTGCAGGAGTTTGTCTTCTGGGAAGATGAGGAAGGGGTAGTCGAAGGCTTAGACTTATCTGCTTTTAGACTCAAGACGAGGCGGCTGGTTGGTAGCACGGATCGAGAAGAAGCGCAGCAGGAGCTGAGATAAGTCCTTAGTCTACACTTCGAATTCTTTCGCAAAAGTACGTAGGATGTTGGATAAAAAGCACGCCCCGCCTAAGATTATTGGGACTGGAAAATAAGAGACATTATATGTTCCAATATAGGATTGCTTTGATTGAATAGCAGTACTACAATCACGTGCTCAACTTCATATTGGAACATCGCTAGATTATACCTAAGTATTAGAAGTGAAGTCACGTGAAATATATGTGCGTGCCAAGCCTTTACTCATTCTCCGGGATGACGGAGTAGCTCCGCCCTTAGCTCCCGCCGCGTCTTTAACATCAACCTTAGGAAGACTGCACTGGACCTGTATCTCCCTAAAATCGACTCTCCTAGCTAACGATGCCACCTAAAAAGAAAGGGGAAAGCTCCGCAGGCGGTGGCAAGGGCAAAGGAAAGGACACCAGCACCGACAAAGCAAAAGAGAAGGGTGGAAGCAGCTCCGGGAAGCTCAAGCCAGCCACGAGCATCAACGTGCGGCACATCCTTTGTGAGAAGCACGGGAAGAAGGAAGAGGCGGCTACAAAACTAAGAGAGGGCGTCAAGTTTGATGAGGTTGCAAGAGAATTTAGCGAGGACAAGGCTCGTCAAGGTGAGAAGGGAATGATAGTCTAGCTAGAATTGAGGATACTAAGATCTGTGCAGGTGGCTCCCTTGGCTGGAAAACCCGCGGCAGCTTACTTGCAGACTTCGAGAAGGCTGCGTACGAGCTGGAGCCGAGCACTACGGCGAATCCAAAATGGGCAGAAGTGAAGACGAGTGAGGGCTATCACATCATAATGGTGGAGGGTCGGAAATGAGCAAAGCAACGGTGTGTAGCTGCGCATTGGACAGACATATCCACTGGGTCATCACGGAGCTCATGAATACAATTGAGTCTGGCCTGATCACGACTGTTTGGACCAGTCTACGAGGATCTTTATGAAGCTAACGAATCAAGAATCATGCACCAGATCGGTCAAGCTGTCTTCATCTACTATTCCAAACCGTGTTGGAGTTGTTTCTACTATTCGAGATCTACTACTCGAGACGACACAGCATGAGACACATCGAGCGACTAACGAGGTTAGCTTCTGCTAACTACCCGTTTACCAGGGAGATCCTTCGCCTGGAACTGCACGCAGATACGGCATGCACATATCGGAGGTTACTGTTCTATTCCACTCTATACCCTGACCTGGATGAACATGGCATCCTAGGAAGTTCACTGAATCAGATTGGGTCCTAGACAGAAGAGTGGCAGGGACCAACAGATGAGCGCACCACCTCACGAGTCACAGCGTGGTTGAGCAAAGGAATCCGCTGCAAACCAGATGATTCCCGACGCCAAGAAAACGTATAAGATCGGTGATGCCGGCCAGCGAAAAATTCGCAGTCAAGCAGTCACACAGTGATGGCGCCATTGACCTGGTCTCGATATACCGAATTAAGTCGATAAAAGCTAACCAAGTCCTAGACCGATGCAGCTAACCCCGTCAAGGCCCTACTCCGAGTCTAGAAGCTAGACAAGGCGGGGTGAAGAGAGCAAGGTGTCTTGCGGCAGTTGCATTCGCTGTAGTCGCAGGGCTGATGATCTGATCCCTGATGCGAGAAAAAGATGGAGTGACGGCGGGCAAGGAGGCGGTAGAAGAATTCTGGAAAAGCTTGAGAAAAGTCAAGAATTGAGGCAAGGCGATACGAGCGAGGTTGATGAGGTGGCTGCAGGCGTGCATGCTGATGGCTGTGACGGCCGTTACCCCGCAAGATGCAGGCTTGGTGCAAGTCAGAAAAGCCACACCGACTGAACACGAGAAACGATCCACGGACCCAAGGAACGCAAGTAGCTTGTACTGGACCGGAATTCGCAGGGACAGCAGCCGTACTTCGGGATGAACAGCGTCAGGCTGCTGGATGAGCAGCGTGCTGACGCTTGGAAGTCGTCCCAGCACCCGGCCTGCCGCAGAACACGAGCGAGGCATCAGTGCATGCAGCGACGGTGCTCCCGACGCGGCCCCGCGCCCAGGCGAGGTGACACGGCAGGAAAGCCAGGCCGACGTTTGTTGCAGACATTGGAGAGCAACGTCGCATTTCTGGCGGTGGTGGCGCCCGGGGGCCGGGCTGCTGGACGAATTGCAAAATGAAGAAGCTCGGGACGTCTTCGGGAGTGGCTGCATCACGCGCATCGCGGTGACCTGGGCGGCGTCGCCAACTTCTGGGCATCGCTCGGTGCACCAATCGCTCGTTGTCTTCGAAGCCCGCCCCTTTGTTTGCCTACATACACCTGACCTCACATGGCAGATCGGCGGAGTCCCCACCTCGGGCCCCAGACTCTCAATGCATCCCCGGCCTGCCACTCACCAAGCCCGCTGTCCAGGGAGCCTTTCATCGATCTGCGGTGCTTTCCTCATGGAGCATTCACGCCGCGGCACGACGGCCAGCATCTGCCCAGCTCGTCTTTGGGGAGGGGGCCCATGCAGTTCTTTGTGTCTGACGACTCGGGATCGTTGCTTGTGCACATCGCTGCCTCTCTTATATAAGGCCCATGTACGCGCCGTAAACACTGCTCTCTCCCACCTTCTCTGCAGCTCGCTGTGACCATTGCTCTGCAACACAAGTCCTGTTTTTTCTGCCCTAGGGTCTCTGCCTTAGGTAGACCTCAACACTGCGTCTCTCAAAGCTGACCATATCTGCAACCATGCCTGGCGGAGCCGTCACTCTCGTTGGGGCCACCAATGTCGACCGCGTGGAAGCCCCAGTGACAATTAAAGCGTACTTGATGTGCGGTACGTGATACTGACACATTAGACTCCAGCAGTTTCTGACTCGCACAGCATTTGCGGCCTTCGGCGGCATCTTTTTCGGATATGACTCTGGTTATATCAGCGGGTATGCTCAATTTCCTTTCGAGCTCCAACAGAAATTTGACTGTCGTCAGTGTTATGGCAATGAATTACTTCATCCATGAGTTCCAAGGATTACCTTATCCGCCTGCAGGGGCTACCGAGGACCAAAAGAAGGTGAGACATAGTCAGTATGTAATCGGGAGTGAACCTAATATTTACATTTCAGTACTTCGTTCTACCTTCCTGGAAGAAGTCCTTGATTACTTCCATCCTGTCAGCCGGCACATTCTTCGGAGCCCTCATCGCTGGCGATCTAGCTGACTTCATTGGCCGTCGTCTGACCATCATTGGAGGCTGCGGAATCTTCATTGTTGGAGTCATCCTGCAGACTGCCTCCGCTTCTCTAGGCCTACTAGTTGCTGGTAGACTCATTGCAGGCTTTGGTGTTGGCTTCGTATCGGCAATCATCATTCTTTATATGTCAGAAATCGCGCCAAAGAAGGTCCGCGGTGCCATTGTATCTGGCTATCAATTCTGCATTACAATTGGTCTCCTGTTAGCGTCGTGTGTTGATTACGGGACGCAGAACCGCACGGGTCAGTACACTGTCTTCGCGAACATAGCCTCTTTTAAATCGAGCAAGAGGATGACTGACCGTTCTAGACTCCGGAAGCTACCGCATTCCAATTGCTCTCCAGATGCTCTGGGCTATCATCTTGGCTTTTGGCCTGTTTTTCCTTCCCGACTCACCTCGATACTACGTGAAGCGCGGCAAGATTGACGTCGCCGCTTCGGTCCTTGCTCGAGTGCGGGGCCAACCCGTCGATTCAGAATATATACAGCAAGAACTCGCCGAGATCGTAGCTAATCATGAGTATGAGCTGCAGGTCATCCCCCAAGGCAGCTATTGGAACAGCTGGAAGCAATGCTTCACAGGTGGTTTGTCCACACCGAGCAGCAACCTCCGTCGTACGATCCTAGGCGCGTCGCTCCAGATGATGCAGCAGTGGACTGGTATCAACTTCATATTTTATTTCGGCACGACTTTCTTCAAGGACCTAGGCACCATCTCGAATCCCTTCTTGATCAGCTTGATCACCACACTCGTCAACGTGTGCTCCACTCCTGTCTCCTTCTGGGCTATTGAGAAGGTTGGCCGTCGCCCTCTTCTCATCTGGGGTGCAGTTGGGATGTTCGTTTGTGAATTCATAGTCGCCATAATTGGCGTCACAGATGGTCATAATAAGGATGCTATTAAAGCTATGATCTCGTTCATTTGTATCTACATCTTCTTCTTCGCCTCGACATGGGGACCCGGCGCGTGGGTCGTCATCGGCGAGATCTTCCCTCTCCCCATCCGTTCTCGGGGTGTTGGAATTGCAACTGCCTCGAACTGGCTTTGGAACTGCGTAAGCCTTTTCAATTACTTCTCGCCTACACAAGATGCTAATACATTTACTAGATTATCGCAGTCATCACTCCCTACATGGTCGGCACAGACCGTGGCAATCTCGGTGCTCGCGTGTTCTTCATCTGGGGCTCTCTATGCGTTCTTTGCTGGATTTACGCCTACCTTTTGATTCCCGAAACCAAGGGCCTCACTTTGGAACAGGTCGACAGAATGATGGAAGAGACGACACCGCGAACTTCGTCCAAATGGGTCCCGACGACTACGTTCGCAGCCGAAATGGGACTGACGGATAAGGGCACTCTCGATCCCGCTATTGTCGAGGACGTAGAGCGCAAGGGCTCCGTTGGCGTCTAAACGAGTGATTTACTTCGATGATGAAAGAATGACCATAGTGCGCATCGTTGGAGTAACTCAGATTGATGTGTCTTGCGAGCGTATATAGTACCAAGTTTGCATACCTAATACCTCCCATACTCAACGCCAAAACAATCTCTTCATATCCTGCACACCATCTATCAGTCGATCTACACGGAATCAGTAGCTTAACAGGCCCTTTTCGCCCTCAACAGTCCATGCCCAACTTTCCCGAAAGACCTTCCCTAAACGGCATCCATTCCCAGTTACTTGGCTACCGGTTGCGCCAATATATGCAACCGAAAAGACCTCAATGCCCTGCTGTCTCATACTCAACACCCATGCCCGCAACGACCAACCACGCCAATTACCCCAAATCCCCTACCCACCAGCCGGGCCACAGTGCCAGCAGGGCATGCGCACCCGAGCTGCGTGCAATGCAGCAAAGCGGGTGATGATTGGCAGACGGCGCTGACTGACTAGCTGGCTGTGTGTCTGGAAACTGAGGCGCCTGCGAGCTATCCATGTGGTCATGATGTCGAGCGGCGGAGGTACTCGTCCACACACGAGGCGTGAGATCAAACTCTTCATGTGGACCAGTAAATACACACCTCCATCCTAGGAGTCGTCGCACATTCTTCTTCTTAGTCGGCATTCACCCCCCAAATCTTCTCATTGGCCGCTTTAGCCAGGCCATTGCCTGCGGAGGTAAACTCACCTGCTTGAACTGTATTTCCGTGATAAAGTTAGTCGCTACAGGCCTTCCCTGGAGCACCTTGGTGGACGTGAAGCTATGCTATAGGATAATTTACTTGCTTTAGCCATAAGCGGGCCCCATAGATTGGCGATTGACAGCTCTGTATATAACTAGCTAGCATCACCTAGAATTTAAAAGCATCGCGCGGCTATGCTAGAGTAGAGGCGTGCGTAGCAGAGTTAATATGGTGACATACATGCACTATAGCTGCTCCGGCTTACGAAAAAGGGGGGTGTGTATTTTACTGGTCCCCTTCTTCACAGTCAATGCCGTTTCTTATCTTGGCTATGGAGTTCGGGCTCCATTCCAACCAATAAAAGGAAGGGCAAACGCAAAAGACTGCTCCTAGCGGGAAATCGAACTTCATCTAGCGAGACAAAACAGCAAAAACGAAACCACCCAGCTACCACTGCGCTACTACACTGTAGAGTCGCAATCTTTTACGAAATCGCTGAGTAGCTGCGTTTCTCACTATTTGTTAGTATGAACAGTGTCCAAAAACAATAGGTATATAACGTACTGTTTGAGGTTGGACCCTGGAAAATCCAATATCACAACAAAACGCTCGCCATCACGTGTTGCGCGTGCCTCACCTGCACCAATCTCCTCTAGCCACGTCCTCTCATTTGGAACCAAGCCTGGAAATCTTATTAACAATCGTTGGTATCATGCCTATCCGTCCCACCCTTCCCTCACGTCCCTACACCTATCATACAAAACAATCCGGTGCAAAAACGGTATTAGCATATTACCCAAACACCTCATTCTGCCACGGCGCCCTCGTGCTCCCCGCCGCCTCGATTCTCAACTTCTTCTCCGCCCCATACCGTTCCACAACCCCGTACCGCACCACCTTGTCCCCCTGCTCCGCCACCACCCGCGCCGCGCCCGCATTGCCGTCGAGCCCGTCGAGCACCGGCGCCCCAAACGCCCTGCCCACCTCAAGCGGATTCAGGCTCACCCGACGCCCGAGCTCCCACCACTGGTTATACAGCGGCAGAGTCGCGAGCACGCCGAGCAACGACGCGATGACGCCGAGCGCGACGTAGGTTCCGTTCGTGTGGAAGACGGTGGCGGTTTCCCAGCCATGGTAGTCGACGCGCTGCGCCCACCCTTTTCGCGCGTCGTCGACCTGCGCAGCGCTCATGCCGGGCAGGAAGGCGGTGGAGTTGGCGAGCGCCATGGCGAGGGAGATGCGGAAGGCGAGCTCCTGCAGCCCGTCGACGAGGTCGGGCATTGGGTCACGGAAGGTCGCATTGCAGACGTCGCCCGCCGCGTTGCCGGAGGCGTCGAGGGACGGGGTGGCGTAGCGGATGCCTAGGTCTTGCAGGAAAGGGGGGGTGGTACCGGAGCAAGAGGAGGCGTTGCTGGAAGGCTCGGCCCACGCGTTGCTGGGTGCGGCGGCGCATTTGGTGTAAAGCTGTGCGCCGAAGTCTTCGCGGATAGAGACGTTGACGGCGATCGGGGGGAAGAGGGTACTGAAGAGGGTGGGCCAGTATTTGGTTATGAATTTGGGATCGAGAGAGTTGGTGGTGTTGAAGGATTCGCTTGAGGTTTGGTTGGTGAGGTTCTCGTGAGAGTTCTGGCGCGAGATGGTGTTGTTGGTGAGGGTGATGGGGTAGGTGACTGTCCCTTGGGTGAGGGAGCAGGTGTGGGTTTGGATGGTGCCGGCGCAATTAGGTTCGGTTTTGAAGGTGGTGAAGAGGGTGAGGGATTGGTCGTCGGAGGTGTTGTAGCCGACGGAGAAGAAGTTGAAGTTGTAGTCTTGCGCGGCTAGGTTTTTGCAGTGGGATCGACAGGTTTTGTCGGTGCAAGTTTTACAGCTTTCTGGGAGGGAGGTAAGGTCGAAAGATTGCTCGCTCGTAGTGCAGGTTACATTGAAGCCGATTCCCTACAGATAGTTAGTCTGTAGTCTCGTTCGGGAAGGATTAAACGTCTGTATATCTATACCTTGGCCGTTGCTGTGCAGATGTCGCCGCATCCGGGCGATTCGTGTGGAAAAGGGGCCCCAGCGCTGAAGTTTCTTACAAGAGCAGAGAGCTCTGGCGTAAACGAGCCCCTTATCTGTTGGTCGGTCGTGGCAGACTCGAAATAGTCTATTAAAGGGTTTGATGCCATCTGGATATCTATTGTGCCACTGGTAGGAAGCAAATCATTAGTGACGGTAGAGGCGCGTTGAAAAAAAGGCCCTCGTGTAGTAGAGACTGCGGCGAGAAGACATGCTAAAAAGGTGCACCATTAGACATGAGAATAAATCAGAGATCATGAAGGCTACATACCAACAGCGACCATATTAAAGCGAAGACGTATGGCGCATCGTAGAGCACCAGATAACCAGCCAGATTCGAAAATATCGTACAAAACGCTTATCTACACCGCGAAAGTCAGTCTTGCAGAACCACGTAAATTGTGCGATATCTAAAATGTATAAAAAATTAGTGAGGGCCACTAACGAGCTACTTACAAAGACTCCACGCATGGCCTGTGTCCAAAATCGGACGGTTAGACCTTCCGCTAAAGCGAACGCAGCCAATGAATCCATAATCAGGGAAAAGCCTGAAAGATAGACTGAAGGCTGTATGTTGTTCACTTGCCACTTGCTGACACGATCACCATCACTTGCCAGCAGTATGCCCAAGGACGCTCCAGTGACTGCACTATCGTCAGCGGTCGTAAGCGTACTGGAACGGGTTCTAGAAATAGTGGGTAGAGGATATAGAGGTTGAAAATAGCGATAGAGCGGAATACAAACATACAAGCAATCACTCCGAGAAGCGCACCAAACCCCCACACGGGAAACCTCATAATATGCCCAGGCCTCCAAGCATCCATCACTCGCCTAGGACGTCTGAGATGTTGCTGCGATCCATAGCTCGGAGGCCGTGTCTCTCGTGTATCGTGTGCGTTGTATGCGATTGCTTCGTAGTCCGGCTTGGGCCCGTGTTCCTGGGCAGGCCCGAAGGGAGTGACATTCTGGTATGCAACAGGCTCCTCGTATGGCCTATTCAGCACGGCTCTCGACTCAAATAACGAAGCCTCGGTGCCGTGAGTTGAAGAGCCATGTTGCTGCGGCAGAAGTGAAACTTGAGCTATCGATACTGGTGATGGCTGAGAGAAAGACCGCGCCGAGCGGACTGAAGGTTGCGCAGAGAAGTTTGCATGAGATACTAACGGCGACGGTTGGAACGGCGAGGTTGTCGATTCGTCTTCTAGCGACTCTCTAGAAAAGCTGGGGTGGTATGCTTCGTATTGAGATGGAGTGGCGTGGGCTGAAAGCATGGAAACGGCATCGTCGTCGGGTTTTCTTCCAACACCCAAATAGTTCATGCCATACTCCATGCCGTCTGCCACGAAAAGTGAACATTGAGAAACGGAATTGGCGATACAGAGTCAGTAGTATAATCTGGCCCCATGTTCCCGTACTCTGCGGCCTCAGGATATCCCTGCGACGCCGTCGAGGGAAGGGCGTCCGCAGCGCTTCCGGACCGCTGGCGGCCCTGCTGGTTTGCATCCTTCAGATGGCCAGTGGGTTTGCTGTGCTGCACGCTCCGCGCCACCTCCGTCGAGCAGGTCGAAGGAGACACAGCCCGAACGGGAGGGGGCATGGCGGCAGGGTAGGGTGGAGTGGTGATTGAGTCCCGACCGGCCACTCGGCACGGCAGCGTGTGATGCTGCAGAGGCGATGTCGACCGGCCCATGGATGTTGCACTCGTCTGGCCCGAATGGGTTCCCGCTGGCAGTGAAACGGCCCTACAGAAGCTTGTCTGCGAGGCTGAGCAACCGCCGTGATCTCCCTGGCCCGCCTCATCAACTTCTTCATCTCTCGTTATTTTTAGACGAGCAGCGGAGAGCGCACCGCGCGGTGGCCATATGGTCATGTCCGGTCCCACGCTCCGTGAGTCGTGCGTCGTCCTTTGCAGTAGCCATTGTCCATCATCCATCAAGACCCGATCTCAACTACGCATGCAGAAAAGGATCACCGCTAGGCCACCCATCTCTTCGACACTCTTACACCACTTGTGCTGCCTCTGCTTTTCAGACAGGGAAGTATGTGCCGCTTCCGTCGGCGAGGCCGTTGCAGCATCGCGGCCTCGATGTTTCAGACCATGTGCCGAACCCCAGGAGGCGCGCGCAACAACCCGCATCTCCGGGGCACTGCAAATCGCTGATTGGACGGCCCGGGCCGTTTGAAGGACTGGCAGGTGCTTCTACGGTCCCGCATCGCTCCACGTCACGTGATCAAGCAATATGCCTCGCCCCTATACTAGTCAAACACTATTGAGCCCGACATCCTTCGTTGCCTTCACACGCAACGCTTCTCATTAGTCCATTTCTTAGCTCTTCCAAATCGTATACGTCGGCCTGTAAAGAAACCGAAACGCGAAATGAAAGGATCCGCTGCGCCTCCAGATCCTCATTAGGTCTGAAGTTTCGACTGGGACTCACACGGACTGCAAAGAGTAAAAATAGTGGGATGTTCAAACTGCTTCCACTTCAAACTCGTGCTTCGCGTCCGAGCATTTGGACTTCGTTGGCTTACAGTGAGGATTGCAATGGCGTTGCTGCCATTGTCTGCTTCTGTAGCTTGGCAGGTGTTTGACGAGATGAGTGTGAGGTGCCCTGGCGGTGAAGGAATCCTGCGCTTCTGACGACGTGCTGTCGAATTCCTTGGGGATTTCACTTCTACATTGTACGTATGAGCTCTATCTGTCGAAAGGAAGAGCATTCAACCATCGCTTCAAGATCCCCCGACGCTAAATCTTTTTGGAAACTATCAGACACTCAACTTGAGCACTGGTAAGCATGTAAGACTGTTCGTACTTTCTTCGAGCAAGGCGTTCACACTCAAACATTGCGTTCGATCCCCTTATATCCTTAAAACTATATTGGTATAAATGTTATATAAATAAAAAGATCTTAACGTATTCCACAAGCGAGCCGTCCACCCAAGCGAGCCGTCCACTTCATCACGAAAACGCGACGCGTCAACTTCCAACCACCATGCGTCGACAACACAACGTGCAATCAATACAAAATGAAGGTCGAATATGCATGGCTATCGCAGCAATCAATCGGCAGCAATTTACAAGCGAACGGCGCGCTATTACAACATATGACGTCCCCAGAAGCACACTTCGAGATCGACGCGCTGGAACAACCCCACGACGCGATTCTGAGCCTAATTCGAAGAAGCTTTCAAAGCTAGAGGAATCAGTTATCACTCAACATATACTCGACCTGGATTTGCGAGGATTTCCGCCTAGCTTGTATGCTGTACGAGAGATGGCCAACAAATTGCTTGCTGAGCGCGCCGCCGGCCAAGTTGGCAAGAACTGGCCAGAGAACTTTGTCAAGCGAACACCTGAGCTCAAAACACAATTCAATCGAAAGTACGACCGTCAAAGAGCTCTATGCGAGGATCCAAAAGCTATTAGCGATTGGTTTGAGCTTGTGCGCAATACAAAAGCAAAGTATGGCATCCTGGATGAAGATACACACAACTTCGATGAAGCCGGCTTCCAAATGGGTGTCATTTCAACGGGCGTAGTTGTAACAGGCTCTGAGCGCCGTAATCGTCCAAAATCTGTGCAGCCAGGCAATCGCGAATGGACAACAATAATCCAAGGTGTTAATGCCTGTGGATGGGCTATTCCACTATTTATTATCTTTGCAGGCATATACCACCTTTCTGCATGGTACGAGGGCAACGATATACCACCAGATTGGGTTATAGCAGTAAGCGATAATGGCTGGACAACAAATGAGCTTGGTATTACCTGGCTACACCATTTCAATGCGCATACAAAAGATCGCACGATAGGCACGCACCGGCTGCTGATTATTGATGGCCACGAGAGCCATATCTCGCTCGAATTCCAACAGATTTGCAAGGAGAATAATATCATTACTCTCTGTATGCCAGCGCATTCATCGCACCTGCTACAGCCGCTTGATGTTGGCTGCTTTGCGCCAATGAAAAAGGCGTATGGGCGCCAAATTGAGGACTTGGTGCGCCACAATATCAACCATATCACCAAGCTAGAGTTCCTGCCAGCATTCAAAGCAGCTTTCTACAGCTCAATCACAAAGAGCAACATTTGCGCAGGCTTTCGAGGCGCAGGCCTTGTACCACTTGATCCAGAAGCAGTGCTATTAAAGCTTGATGTTAGGCTCCGTACGCCGTCGCCTCCGCCTGCCGCCGTGGAGGCTCCATGGGAATCAAAAACACCAAGCAACGCTCTTGAGCTAGGCTCTCAATCAGCTTTGATTCGTGAGCGCATTCAAATGCATCAAAATAGCTCGCCTACAGCCATTCTTGACTCGCTTGATAGCCTCTCCAAAGGTGCTGAAAGCATGATGCATCAAGCTGCGCTGCTGCGCGATACCGTTACCAGCCTTCAAAAGGCAAATGAAGCCGCCACAAAGCGCAAGGCGCGCAAAAAAAAGCGCATTCAGAGGGAAGGAACTCTGATAATGGAAGCAGGCTCTCAAATAGCTGCTCAACGGCTCGAGAAGGACGCTCAAAGCAAAAAGCAGCAAGGTGGAGCAGGCTCTGATGGAATCGTGCGGCGCTGTGGGCGCTGCGGCGAGTCAGGGCACAACATTCGTACGTGCAAAAACGATGCAGAGGTTGCTGCAGATCAGGCTACAAGTTGTATATAGTTGATATCTATTGGCGTTGTGGAGCAATTAACGTTTGAGGCAGGTTTTCATGATGAAGTGGACGGCTCGCTTGGGTGGACGGCTCGCTTGTGGAATACGTTATCCTATATACGGTTATAATTTATTGTAAGCACTATTGTATTACAAAGATATTGAGCCGATTACACTATCACTGGCATTAATGGGACCGAATCTGAAAACTATGATGAGGCTGGGGTTTCTTGCTACACCCAGTATTAATGCTCCGAAAACTACACCTATTCCAACTCCTGCTCCAATTAAACCTGCTGCCGTTTCCGAGTCAACTCTCAACAAATATAAATTCGATGTGGGGTTTCCGCCCCACGAACTTCCGAAGCGGAATTTCTGATACTGAACTCTTGCATGAAGTTCTTGATACCTCCCATTCAACTCTATATCTACCAACTAACATCGCGTGAAAATATCAATATGCTCCACTCCAGCAACCCTCCAAATATACCAACACTCCACCCATGCTCGAACAAACAATGTCTCAGCCTCCAGGCCCACCCTCTCCCGGTTCCTACACGACCCTCCCCCTAACCGGTCCTCACTCCATCGGCGTCGGACACGCCCTCATCACCCTCGTCGAGCCCCACCCGGGCCACGAGCGCGCCTACAACCGCTGGTACGAAGACGACCACATGTTCTCGGGAGCTCTCTATCTGCCCTGGCTCTTCTCCGGTCGACGATGGGTCGCAACCCACGACCTCCAACAGCTCCGCTTCCCCCGCGACCACGCTCTCTTCGACCCGCTCTCGCAAGGCTGCTACCTGAGCACCTACTGGATCACCCCCGGCCGCATCGCCGAGCACAAAGAATGGAGCTTCTCGGTATACAACCGGCTGGTCGCCGAGTGCCGCGTCAACGACCACCGCGACCACGTCTTCACCTCCTTCCAAGACAAGTCCGGGACCGTGTACCACTCCCCCTCAACCCCTAGAGACGTCTTCACCCTCCTCGACCCCTCCCCTGGGCTCGTTATGGAGATCCTCGACGCGGATGACGAGGCGCCGGACTCGAGCGCCCTGAGAAAGTGGCTGCTAGATGTGCACCTCCCTGCTCGAGTCAGCGTGCCGCACAGTCCGGTCGATAGTGCGATGGTCTTCGCGACAAGGCCGCTGGAGGCGATGCCGCCAGAAGTGCTGGCGCGGATCGGCGAGATTGCGGGGGCGGCGAATGAGCCGCGGCGAGTGACGGTGCTGTGGTTCCTGAAGCGGGATCCGCGGGAGGTGTGGGAGTGGGTTGCGGGGGAGGAGGAGCGGGTGAAGGCGGGCGGGGAGGGGAGGGTGAGGTTCTGTGCGCCGTTTGTGCCGGCGAGGATGGGCACGAATGAGTATGATGACCAGTTGAGGGGATGAGCGTCATGCCGTCAGAATTACGGGGAGCTTTAACTTGAAAAAGGGCGCGCAGTGCCTTCAAGTCGGGCTGGCAGGCGTTTTTTATGATCCTGCCCTTATGATTATGAGGGTCCATCTAGGCAAACAAATCTCAAATGATACCTTAAAAGGAAGTTCCTTCTTGGCTCCTCCAATACTAACCAACGGAAACAGACATAGGCCTGCTCAGCGATCCCGTAAAAAATGCCGCTCTACAGTATAGCAAGGCAGTAATAGCTAGGCCAGCCAAACTGTTTTGCCATTCGAATTCGAGTCCCGCGTGGACTGCTCATTATTAAGAATTACCTCTAGAGTATGGAAGTCTTCTAGCAGTGGTGATGGTGAGATGTGGAAAGGAGTCTAGATCCTACTGTGCCGACTCCAAAAGCATAACTAGATTTCTCCCAAAGCACTAACGTGCCTGAAATAGCAGTAAAGACGTATTATCATTCACAACCTCACCATCCAATTTAGGTACGTTGAAATGAATCATTTCCCATTTCAACTAGCATAGTGCTACCAAGACGATGGCGATGCTATCCGACTAATTCCGCAACGTCCAGCGCCTGTTTCTGCAAGCGCAGAAAGCACTCCGTAAGACCCCCGGCCATACGATACCAATGAAATCGTGGAAATGATTGTGTGTATTTTGAGTAATCTCGTGTCCCTGTATATTTTTCCGTCCATCAGTCCAGTGGAAGCTACCAGAGTATCGTTGCTGCACTTGACGAGATAGCGGTGAGGCTCCATGGTAGTATCCAATCCAGCTCAGCAGATACCCTCCATTGCCGTGAGTACTTGGTCCTCGCGGGGTCGCTTCTTGGACTGCCCGCGAGTATTCGGGGATTTGACGGCGTTGTGAAGGTTGTGCTCAACCGTAAAGTCATCGCCGCCAAGAGCGAACTGCTCCTTGACATCATTCATGAAAACTTTCATGAAGACATCGACAAAGTAGTTGGAGCCTTCCATGCAGATTACATCGATCTTGACGGACTCTAGAGAGTTCTTCTCCCGGAAATTTTTTCCCAGGTCCAACTTGACTTTATTCCACTCCTCCAATTGGCCCAGCGTCCTTTCGGAGATCCTCAAGGTGAGGTTACGAACATTGTGAAGTGTCGCAGCACTGATGAACTCTGTGATCTTGTGTTTCTTTGGTGTCACCGCACTGATAGTGAGGCCCTTTTCGTGAAGGACTTCCATAGCCTCGGCCCTAATTTCCTTGTTCAGGCGGAGAATGGCAGGGCTGTACACGTGGTGGATCTTCTCCCTGGGAATCTTGGTGGCGTTCTTGCTCTTGCGTGCATGACTGCTCAAGATCGCCTTTTGCTTGATGACCTTTGCCATTACATCCATCGCCTCGTTATAATCCAAGGAGTAGTCGTATATTCGCTTGCGGATAGATTGCGGGAGTTCCATAAACTGGTAGTTGGTTGGAATCTCCATCGCGCTTGCAATGTGCGCGGAATGCTCGAAGTCCGAGAGGATGCCTTCGAAGGAGACATCCTTGATGTTGCGCAGAGATGAGAACTCGCTGAGCGCCATGTCGATCTCCTCACGAAGATAGCATTGAGTTGGAGGGCAGAGCTTGAAGTGGGCAGAGATTCGATCATCGTGCAAGCGGACTGTCAGCTTCTTCAAGCTGTTGCCACCAAACTCCCACACCCGGCTTAGATCTTCGGCGATACGCTCGAGAGATCTCATGTTGACCATGAAGTACTGGTCTTCGTCGAATTGCTGGATAGAGATTGTAACGTGCTCAAGGTTGCGCAGGATGTTCGGGGTAATGACCTTGGTGAGGTCATCGACTCCAAAGATGTTTGGCAGAACTAGTGGAACCTTCCGAAGCTCGTTGGAGAGCTCTCCCGTGATCTGTTTACAAACGAGGAACAGAGCTGGAGTTGTCATCGATAGGAGTGGATGGCCACCGATGCCTGAGTAGCAGTGTCTAGCCATTTCAGTCAAATATCCGCTGACTCCATCGAAAGTAAGGACCTGGCCGTAAACCATGAGGCGCATCTCGGCGGGCAAGTCGAGGAACCTGAAGGTCTGTCGAACGGCACGATCGAAGCCACGTGTCCTCATCGTCCTCCCTTTGTACAGGGCTAAAGAGCCCGGCACGAAGCTCGGCACGAGGGTGCTCGTAGCCATCCTCCCTGTCCATCGTGTATCTTGCTGCGGGGCGCGACGCACGCTCTGTGCCTTCCATGCGCCTACCATTTCGACGCGGAGGTGTCGATCGAGATTCCGTTGCGCGGGTGTTGTGAGGATGGTGCCCTAAAGAGTGTTATGTAGCAGCGGTGTGCGGTGGAAAATGCTAGTACGAAGTGAAGGTCAGGAACGCTAGGACACGCCATCACGGGAGTTGAGTCTCGGCTGGGCGGGAATCAGTGGCTCACAAATTTGGTGAGTGAAGGCAGGTGTGAGGGATTCGGGAAGGCACGTCTGGTGAGTGCCCTTGGCGTCGCTGAGCGCCGAGCCTGGAACCATGGGTGAGATACGGACTAACATGAAGGCGCGACATCATGTCCTGATATTTGAAATCTGACAGGAGCAAACTGAGAAGCGACAAATGAGCGTGCACAAACCTCCGGAGGCACTATAGGTGGTGATCCTGGATGGAGAGGGAACGAGCCCGGTGTACTCGTATGCGAGGTTTAGGTGAATTGAGAAGATGGCTAGGCTATGCATCTACCCAATACAGGCGCCGAAGCAGTCGAGTCAGGCCAGAAGAATCCATCGGGGTTCTTCGAACGTTTGCGGCTTGCTGCGCTGACCGGGAGCTTGTGTGTCGTCAACGCACCATTCCGTGCCGTGCCGTAATTGCTTTTGCGTCGCTGGGAACGGGAAACAAAATCAGCGTTGAGGGGCCTTTGAAGGATGTCGAAACGAGGTGAAATAGGTTAGAGAGACACTTACGGGAAGCTAGGACATGCAATCGGCAACGGGCGTCGTGCATGTAAAGAAGGCGGGTTTTGGTCGACAGCATAATACGTGCAGAAAGTGGGCTATCAAGGTAGCAAGTGTAAGAGAGATTGGGTGTAGGATCGAGAGTAGCCTGGCTGATGATACAGAGAACAGAAACAAAACAGTCAATGTATAATCGAGAAAGACGGAGAGCCGTGTCGTTGCTCTGGATACCACGCCATCCTGCAAACGACCCACCTGCACCGGGCCAAGACATTACGTGAGCATCAGAAGCTTATTTTACTAGAATTCACATCACACAGGTAAAGAATTGTGAATACTCGCCATGCGGAGGTCCTTTTCATCAGAAGCTATAAGTACAGACATGGCTACCAGAGTTTGAGTGCGTCCATCATCGTGTGCGCACGAAATCCACAATCGTCTCCTGACGAGCTCTGAAGCTGCTTGAGACAGCAGACCGCCATGCCAAATGATCCGAACTCCCTCCAAATGCAACACAAAACGCTTCGTCAATTGTGACTGTACAGAAAGAAATTATGCATCAGTAATCGCTTGGGCGTTATTCGTGGCTTGCTCATCCTCGGACTTTTTTCCTGTGCCCGCAACTTCTTCAATCATCGCAGATAGATCTAATCGATCTTGTCCCTTTGACCCCACTCCCTGTCCTTGATCAGTATCTTGCTGGGTGGAATCACTGCTTCCAAATATCGATGTCCCATCCCATAAGCCATGTGTAGACGTAGCCGGATCCTCATAAAGTGAGAATAGGCCTCCCGGTGGTGAGCTGGGCATAGGGAGATCGCTGCTGAGGAAGTCGTCATTGGTCCAGTCAGTGAATTGGATGGCGCTTGAACTCCTTCCTGGCGTGTCGAAAATCCCAAGATCAGAATAATCAACGGACTGTAGCTGCAAAGGCGATGACCCAGCGATGCCTCCAGACATGATTGCATTCAGTTGAGCTGTAAAGGGAGTCAAGGGTGCTAGTGCCCCGACTCGTGCACCACGAGAAGGTGTCGTTAAGATCGCCGTGTTGTTCTGGCTACGCCTTGGTGTCCCGGACTGCCTTCCCGATTTAGGGGTGGGTGTCTTCAGGAGATCTGAGAACAAATGTCCATTTTTGGGAGTTCCGTGAATTTCGTGATCCATCTCCTCGAACAGATGGGCAAGATCATCGTGCTCGTCCGGCAGCGGCGGGCAGTTCTCTTTGTCAAAATCTTCCGCATTGTCTAGCTCAAGGCCTGGTGCGACGGATTCCTCTGTAGGATTAGAGGTCACGTCCCTCGGCGTTGGTGACGTTGTATCGGGACAATCGTTCAATGTCCTGATTTCGCCTTCCTTCCGGGGAGATGGAAAAAGAACACGTCTCGTCGGGCTAGGAGTGAGATCTGATTCCAAATCGATCGGACTATGCTTAGTCCCGTGAAATCTGACGGGGCTGGACTGGATGGCTCTCAGCAACGCAGCTTCTGCGACAGCAGCATCCATCTGATTCGAGGCGCCAGATTCATCAGCAGGCCCATTATTTTCCATCGTTCCATCTAAAGAAGTCGGGATAATGCTTCCTGGGACATCGATCGTTTTTGCAGGGGGCTGAGAGGGCAAGGCCTGAACGCCATCGCTTGGTGTAATTGAGTCCGTGAATCCTGTCGAAAAAGGCTCCTGTATGGCATCAGACATGATCGCATCCTGATCTTGAGATTTCTTGTCCTGGTTGCCCCTGTTGGGCCTGTTCCTCTTCCTCTTGGGTTTGTTCGCGGGATCCACAGCTTGTTTCGTCCATATCTCCTGCGGGCGCATGCTGCCCCTCTTGTTGAACCATAGCCCACAAGGGTTACAGAGCATCAGTACTTCGAAGCCCTTCAGATCCTGCTCGTCTACTGATATAGACTGCTTGAAGATACGGTATTTAGACTGTGTGTCTTCGCCTTCCCCTGCGTCCAGCATCTCGAAGCCAACGATGCCCTCTTTGGCAGCTGAAGCAAGGCTATGGTCTTCTGGAGAGCCGTTCTCTGTTCTGGCGTAGGCCTTCCGCCAGGTGGAGGTTTCTATCTCCCCACAGTTACTGCAAAATTGGGGCATAAGCCCGGCCGCAATCGCAGACGCCGCTTTCTCCTGGATGTTCTTCTTGCGTGACCGCCCAGTACCACTGCGAGGTAGTGCTGTACCACATTCCTCGCCTGGAAACGGCGTGGGTACGTCAGATAGCGTTTGGCTGCCAGACCAAGTCTGAGAGCGGGGCAAAGTTCTTCCTTTAGTTGGACGAGACCTTTTTCGTGATGGCGGAGCGGGATTTTCGGGCTGTACAACGTTCTCGGATCGAGACGAGTTTTGGAATTTAGAATGATTTTCAAATTGAACACAGCTTTCGGATCGAGGGTGACCTTGTGGGTTAACTGGACCAAGCAGCTGAGGGCTAGGAGGATTTTCGGCAGAGGCCGATTGTATCAACGCGGTGACGAGTTGGTCTTCCATGGACGATGGATTCGGTACATGGCTGTGCTCCATAGTAGGCGGCGTTGGTGCACTACCACGATTCGTACTTGCAGAGGTTTCGGAGTCGCCGGTCAATGAATTGTTGCGATTAGTCGGAAATGGTTTGGGCAATGGCTCCGCGGGTCCAAAGGTGTCCTCCTGCCAAGGATGATGTGAGAAAGTCCGATCATTCCTGTTATGTCCCACCAGACGAGCTTGATGAGATACCTCACTATCGTGTCTCGTTCTGCCGACTTCGTCTTCCCGATCTATTATGTTGTCGCTTACAAAACCAGAATCAGCCGGATAGGGGAGGGTTGGCAGTCCAGGGCTCGAAGGGGCAGGCGAATTGTGGCCCTGTGGCAAAAGTGGAGGGGAAGAAGGAAACTCCATGGGTGTCTCGCCAGAGCTACCGCCTTGATCCTCATCTGCCGAGTCGACAGCGTCGGAGTACGGACTATTACCGGCGTATGGTGAGACATATCGAGTATGCTGGTTGCCTAGCGACCCACGCCTCAAAGCACTTGGTAGTGTTGGGCGACCATGACGCAAGTGCGTAGGGTTGCTTTCTCCCGGACGAGGGGTGGGTGCGCGAGGTGGTGGTTCTATGGAGTTCGCTATGCTGGAAGGATAGGATGGAATGGGGCGATGGAGCCGAACCGATGCAGCTGTACTGGCAGTAACACGGAGCGAGTCACTAGCGATACCAAAGGATGATCTGCCTGGTCGCGACACCTTTGTGATGCGTGCTCGTTTCTTAGCAGGCCCGTCATCGGTTTGTTCTTGTTGGATTTCGGAATGGTAAGATTGTTGCCGCGACAATGGCGGTCTTTCGCTCCTAATCGATGCCCTGGAGACTGGTCGAGATCCAGCTTCTTGAGTGATTTGTTGAAGAGCAGAGCAAGACTGCATGCTCGGGGTCGGACTCCCTGCTCTGCTGCCTAGAGCACTATATGACTCTTCATCTCGGTATGAATACCCGTTACACCTCCCATCATCACTCGGAGATATGGTTCGCGTGAGCATCTGGTGTATGGATTCCACGCCTCCCATGTTGATTCGTTGGTCTGGTTGTGGTGGGGAAGTAGCGCCTTGTCCGGCCAGTTTCCCAATACCCGGATTAGCCTTAAGAAACTCTACCCAGGAATTGTAATCGAACCCTTCCGGCAGTATCTTGCTCAGGCTCCGATACTTTTCCATATTTTCAACATATTCGCTTTGCAGGCACGTAGGGACAGGCACTAGTTTGAGCTTCACCTCCAGAGTCTCCTTGATACCATTGGAAAACAAGCCTAGTAAGTTTTTGCAGACGCGACCTGTCACCATGGTATTCGATTGGTTTGCTGGGGCGTTCGGAGTGGATGATGTCGATGCCAGAATCCAAGAAAGCATGCCTTGGCCAACGAGGGGGTTCTCATATTCGGAGAAGTCGTAGGCATACACCGTGTAGTCATGTCCGAGCTTTGCAACCAATTCGGGGCTGTATAGCGTGTATGATCAGCAGTGTTCGGAGGGTGATACCGCATTTGATGAAGCGGGTTTATATCTACTAGCTGCCTACCTAGCCGTGACTATAGCCTGAATACAAGTTTTCAGTTCTATGACCCCAACTTGGGTGTTCTCATCGAGAGAAACTGTCGGAATGTTCAACGCGCTGGGTAGCCGCGCGAGGCAGTTCGATTGGTTCTGGTCGTCGAACGTGTAAAGGACTTTGACTATGGTGGCCACCAGAGTCAGTGGTATTCACATAGCTAGGGTAGAGCAGACTCTGACCTCGCATCAATCGTCGGGGTATGTCGTCGGCGGCATCTTCATCTTCATCGAAACCAATCGACGGCGGCATCGGCTGAGGCGTTTCATGCCCTCGAAGTGAGGACGGAGAGGACATGGCCGGTGGTGGGTGTTGAGGACGGCCAGTGTGAGGTGTGTAAGGTCGTGGAGGGCCGTGGTGGAGGATACGCGGCACTATATGTCAAAGCGGGAGGCTGGCATGGACATCGCGAGTCGGCGCGTCCAGGGCAGATATCGCGATGCAACAGGTGAAAGCGCGTAGGTTCGCGAGCAATTGGGTGTCTGTCTAGAAGCGTCTAGGTTTGCTGAAGCTCGAGGCGTGTTTTCGGGGCGAGAAGTGCGGTAATTGGCGTGTTGTGTCTCTGTCGGTTTGCGGGCGTGAGAGCATCACGATCCGTCGTCAAATGGCCCGTGAGCACGTGCCATCACGCTAGCGGATACGCTAGGCGGGAAAAAAAGTGGCACGACTCTAGCAGTTCAACACCGTCTGAGGTGGCCCAGGAGCTCTCAGGCTTGCCAAAGCTGGTATTCCTTGATAACAATAACATAGGGGAGAAGCTCATCCGGTGCTAAACAAGTGTACACAAGCACCGAAACATGTGTATATACCTCACGGATTCGTGGACTGCCACTTTCTGTTAACACTCATCCACCACGCTGTCTCATAGGTGCACCTGTCTAGCACTGCTTGAAGTGCTTTAGCGAATTTCCGCATAGTCCAGAGTGAAGAGCTTTTATCCCGTTTAGATGTTTGAAAATGCATTGAAGCACCCCAAGCAGTGGTGCACCTCCATACGCACAGGTATTCTAGAGTGCCACATTTATGATACCCCGCGTGGCGGAATAACGTTTCTGCGGGCGCCGCAAACCTTGTTCAACTGGCCACCCGCTTCACCTCGAGCTCTATCCACAACACCTGCAACTGCCAACACGCTCGACATGGCGGACAAAATTCAGTAGGTCTCTAAGCCATTCAATTCTTTAGATCTATTGCTAATCGAGTACAGGGAACTACTCAACAAGCCGCGCGCTGACCTCACGTACGTCCACCTCAGTAGCTGCCTGGACATGAGAGACTTCATATCGATCGGTAGCAACATGCTGACTCTAGAGACAGCGAGTACGAGATCCAACAACTAGAAGAACACGAGTTCAGCTCGGGGCCCCTCTCCATCCTCCAGACGGCGGTGCGATCGCGCACCCAGGTCCTGATATCTTGCCGCAACAACCGCAAGCTCCTCGCGCGAGTGAAGGCCTTCGACCGACACTGCAATATGGTTCTGGAGAACGTGAAGGAGATGTGGACTGAGCATCCTAAGCTCTCAACGGGCAAAAAGGGAAGGGCGGTCAACAAGGACAGGTTCATCAGCAAAATGTAGGTCATTCTCGGTCTCGATTTTCACCCTACCTTCAACCCCTTCCCCCCGGCTTCCAACCCCAGGAGGCATGTGCTAGTGAGATTGAGGCGGAGGGAGTGCGGTGCTAAGGATGGATTCTGAGAAGTGGGTGTGTGAATGGGGAGCGGAGAGGGAACATGGAAATCGAGGATGAGGGGGACATCCAGCACAACGCGCACATAATTAACACTGCACAGGTTCCTTCGCGGAGATTCGGTCATCTTGGTCTTGTTGAGTTGAACTGGAGGTGGATATCAGGCGGGGTTCATTCGGCTTCCTTGGGTCCAAATACAGCGGATTGGCGTTCGGGGCTGAGAAGCAGCCATACTACAGATGACGTAGTCACCAAATCAGGGTCATGATTTCTACTTCTTCACGCTCTCAGCACCGGCCGTTGCTCCTAAATGAATGGTAACAAGCAAGGCTCTAATCGGGCAAAATTGCTTCTGGGGCGTCTACGAGGAAAGAAAGAGTCTTTGAGACACTGATGTTACATATTCATGGCCTGCAGTATGCAGTACGAGATTCGACCCACTCCCGAAGATCAATCAAATCCTTCGCTAAGCCCGATCAATAGCTCCGCTAGTCCATGTGCCCCTGGATCGGGAACTCCCTGCCATCCTTCACCTCCCACGTATACCGTCCGGCCCAGGCTGGCTCTCATACCTCGCGTTCCTTTTGCTCCAGCCTCAGCAGCCTGTGCAGAGGACTTGATATCCCCTGTTTTTGATAGCGTCCCCACGAAAGGATACAACGCGTCTATCAGAGTCCGGTCGCCTGGCCGTGCCGGTGTATATTTGTTGAGTGCCTCGAGAGACGATTCCAAAGCTTTACTCCATATTTGCACGTCGACGGGTGCGGGAGATGATGGAGACTGCACCCGGAGGCCGTGTGCGAGCGCGTTTAGGAAGATTGCGTAAATTGCCCCCGATGTCCCATCCATACTGGTTTCCACGACCTGGATGATGTTATGGAGGAACAACGCGGCATCGTCTGTCTTCTTTGCCCGCTCCAGCATTTTCAGAATAGCTTTCTTTCCGTCAGCTAGCATTCCATCATTAGTACAAAAACACTGACCTTCAGCTCCTCGTTTCAAGCCTATTCCGCAATCGCCGTCGCCAACAATCGTGTCATAGTTGGTCACATCTGGCTCCGCCGCAATGACTTTTTCCAATGCAGATGTTACGACCTTTTTGGCCAGGACAGGGTCCACTAAACACCACTCAGCAGCTAAAAAGACACCAGGAATACCGGTTCAAACTTACATCTAAGGTTACTTGGCTGGAAGTCATCAGAGTCTCCATCGTCTTCCCCTCGTGTCGCAGTGGAATTCGCGTTCCATGTCTCTGGCGAAACTGCTGCTGACCAACCGGTGGCCTCTGTTGGGGCGTCCAGCAACTCCAGCATAGACTTTCCGTTGCCCAATCCCGTGTCGCGTATCTTCAGGAGACTAATGCTGAATCCTAGACCATTGAGACTCGTCATGTACGTTCCAGAGAGGATCCGCACCGGCCGAATCTTCCAATCCTTCGCCAGTTGTTCGACCACCTCATTCACGATACCTCCCAGCTCAAGCGGGCTCACCCCTCCCAAATTGTTTACCAGAAGCACCGTCTCCTCGCCCTCTGGGATCTGCAAAAAACTGCGATCCTCATCCTCCGCATCCAGCATATGCGCCAGCATTGTCTTCACTAGCTCCGGCAACGTTTCCGCCCTCCGCTCCGAGCCCGGCTCATTATGAATCCCCATCCCAATCTCCACCTCCCCCTCCTTCAAATCCTCCTCGCCTGCCTCCGCCACGCTCCGGCCCGGCACATGCACATGCGACAAGCTCGCCCCAATACTCACCAAATTCCCCGCCACCAGCTTCGCCGCCTGATACACCTCTTCCAACCCGGCTCCCTGCGCCGCCAACGCCCCCGCAATCTTCTGCACCAGCACCGTCCCCGCGATGCCTCTGCGTCCGACTTTCCCGCCCACCTTTCGCCCAACGCCCACATCGTCGCCCACAACCACCATCTCCACTCTCACCCCCGCGGCGTTCGCTTTCTCAACCGCCATCCCGAAGTTCAGCACGTCGCCCGTGTAGTTCATCACCACGACGAGCACGCCCTGCTCGCTCTCCACGCGTCGCGAGATACATCGTCGGACCTGCTCCGCGCTGGGCGACGCGAAGATGGTGCCTGCAACGGCGGCAGCGAGGAGGCCGCGGCCTACAAAGGAGGCGAAGGAGGGCTCGTGGCCGCTGCCGCCGCCGGAGATGACGCTGACGGTCGGTGTGGAGGGCGTTGAGGAGGGGCGGCGGTAGACGGTTTTGTTGGCGGCGTCGAGGGCCAGGGAGGGGTTGGTGAGGGTGCAGGCGTGCAGGGCGGTGGCGACGAGGTGGGTTGGGTCGGTTAGGAAGTGGGCAGCTGTGTTTGGACTGCGGTTAGACAACTATACAGAATGCTTCTAGGGGAAGTGTATTGTTGTTATGACTGGAGAGGATGCTTGGGGGGATTGGCGGGGGGATTGGAGAACGTTGGGTATATATACGGACCTGACATGTTGATCAGGAAGTGCAATTGCAGTTCGATGTTATTCGGGAAGAAGAGCTCATTGCTGGGTCATTGTCTTCGGAGGGGCTTTGCTCCATTAAAACGGCGGGAGAAAGGGAGCTTCTTTTTGTACGAGTGCAGTGACGCCAAAACACCCCTCGTCACACGGAGGGCGGGGTCGCGGGGTAAGGTCTCGGCAGACCTGCCTATGTTACCTAGGTATGCAAAGGCACCTGAATGAAATGCACATGATCAGAAGACTTTTAGTAGACGACATTTGTTTTTCAATATCTCCGCTAAATTGAAGCACCCGCCCGGGTGTCTGTTTTGGGAAATGCCGTCTGTATACTTGACATGATGGTCGACCTCTTGATCAAGGATGCCTGGTATTTGTTGAATTTGCTCAAGATGAATTTCATCGTTTCCACTTCATGATATGTACTCATTTGCTTATGAGGTTTGCAGGTTTGATATGTCTAGTCGTTTCCTAGTAGATTTTCTCTCTAGATACCGAGAGCCGTATGTACATACGTAGCGAGAGAGTTCACCAATCCAATCGGATAATTCACTGGTTCACGTTTCAACTGTATTCGCCTCTGATTGTAGTCACTTTGGCCTCGATCTTTCAACGAAACCGGAAATTTTCTGATCTCAAGTAGTAGAACTTTACGATCTGAGCTATCATTGCTTGTCTCATTCGGAACATGTCCGGGCACAGAAAGGGATATACAACTCATGCAACTTCAAAAGCATTGATAGCCCAAAGGCGTCCACGTCCTATATGAACCCTGCTTTTCCCTTTCGTCTTGCCAGATTATACACAAGTACAATATTCCCAATAGGTCATGCTTCATTCAGATCCAAGCAGTCGTTGGTGGATCATATGAAAAAAAGACATTAGGAACTCATGATAAGCCCATACAACCAAGGCGATCCCACAAAATGGAACGCAACAGCGAACGCCGGTATGCAAGCCCTGGATATCCCATAGAGCAGATCCCACCCACATCATGAACAAGGCAGCAGAAAAGGAACAGAACACATAACTGCCCCGCCCGTTGCAGCTCAATGAGCATTGATAATATATGTGCGAGACAGAAGCGCATCGAGTCGAGTTGATGGGGAAAAGGGAGGCGTGATTAACCTTCAACCCCCTCCACCTTCCTCAAAAACTCCTTCACACGTGCCAAATCAATTGTGTCACTCTCCTCGCTCTCAATCGCTGCAATCAGCGAGGTTAGTTTGGCGTCTACGTCTGCCACTGCGACGCCGGCGCACAGCGACACGACTTTCCGATACATAGTCCCCAGCTCGCCGTTCGTCTTCCTTAGCACTTTGCTGCGCCCAGCGAGAGCGATGTTGTTTTCGACATAAGCTTCCAATTTACTCCGGAGCACAGCCGTACTTGGTAAGCGGGAAAGGTAGATCTGCTGCTCGGGAGACATGGTAGACGCATCTAGCGGTAGCGGTGGGATTTTGAGGAATTCGGCTGACGATGACGGCGGAAGATTCAAACTCCTGCTCGCGTTCTTCGCCGTCTCGGGCAGATCCTCAAGACGGATAGAGACGCCCACACCATGTTCGTCTGCGTCGCCCACGCGTACCTTGTTTGCGCCTTGTAAGCCCGAGGGGTCGGTGACGCTTAGGACGCGTCGCTGTGTGTCCAGCCAGCGCCGGAGGTTTAGGATTCGCTGCGAGCGGTCGGTCCGAGCGCGCAGATTCTGGCGGAGGGTGTCGAGGTGGAGCGATTCGGATTTCTGGAGCGCGGATTGTTGCGCTATAGATTCGTTCAAACGGTCGATGGCGTCTTGTTTTAATCGGGACTCTTGGTTGTATTGTGTTGATGCTTGCGAAAGGAACGATTGAAAGACTGCGGTGAAGGTCAGTGGCACAGTCTACTTGAAATTGTCGAAAGAGAGCTTTGCAATTGAGTGACAAATGACTTCAGGGAGCACTTACGTGGTAGCATCTCTCTGCTTGTTTCCTCGACTTTACTTAACGGTGCTTTGCTCTTGCTTGGCGAACTCATCTGGCTCATGGACGGGGCGTCTGCGCGTTCCAGTTCGCTTCCCACGCCAAAGTCAATGGGCCTCATGCCCTTGTAATTTGGTATCGTGGGGTCTGCTTGGACTTCCATCAATTGCGAAATGATGCTACGATTGCCGATGCGTGCTACAAGATTCAGAGCTGTGTTGCCACCCTTGTCTCTAGCATTAACCATTTCTTGCATGAATCTCATAAGGCCTATTGGCTTCATTGTTAAATTGCCGCTGCCGTCGAAAGAGTTGGACTGACTGTTTGAACCGGTATTACTTCGGACGAGGTATTCTAGAAGCGCTTCGAGGTAGTACTTGCTCGACGCCGCGCGACCCTTGATCGCACATGTGACCGCAATATGATGGAGAATGGTACGGCCTTGAGCATCTCTCAGTTCTATGAGAGGCGCTAATATTTCCAGCGTTTCCGGGAAGCTGTTGTGGTCGAGACTGTTGTTTACCAAAACAGCGCTCATCAGCGGTGTTTGGCCAGCAGCGTTGCCCCTGAACATATTCGCGCCCTTGGAGACAAGGAGTCGCATGAGCGACACGCGAGCTAGGGTAGCAGCCCAGTGTAGTGCCGTATTTGCGGTATTGTCAATAGGCATGTCTAGATCCGAGCCGGAAAGCTCTTTGATGGCAGGATGGTTCGAGAAATCGGTACGAGACTGATCAGCAAAAAGGTCGGTCAACATGGCCTGCTTCAGTTCCGATCTTTCATCACTAGGCGGTGGGAGCGGAGCTAGAGCAGTAGGCACTTCCCCATTGGCGGTGGCCAGATGCTGCCCTGGCTGGTGGTAAACGAAAGAGTCATTAGGCTCGGTGGGCGATCCCTCGCGCATGGAGATTTCGGCCCCGTTTGGTTGGGCAAAGGAGTCCTCCTGGGATGGCCGCATTCTTTTCCGTGGCGGTTCCTGAGAGTCGGCAGGTCCGTCATAGTCTCCACTGTAGCGCTGAGTGGCATATGCCGAATCGCCAGTGCCATTTGCGCCAAAGCTGCGCTCAGAATTGAGGCTCGGAGCGCTCTGTTGACTTCCCCGGAAGGATTCTTGGCTGCCTACAGGTCCTTGTGACGGCCTTCCCATGGATCTCCGCTGGGAGGAGCTTGAAGGTCGTGGTGCGGGAGAGTTCATCCTTGCAACTTTGTTCATAGCAGCCAGTGCGCTAGTTGCTGTCGAGGAGATGTTGGAGAAAAAGGTGCCGCCGACGTTCTGGCTGGAGTTGCGGCCATCCATGCTGGCTGTGTAGAATCTCTTCCGGTTTGCTGCCATGGCTTGCTCTTTCGTCGGCGTGTCGATCCCCTGGCCGGCGCTTCCGTCAGCGCTCATGTCGTAGTCCAGCAGCGGCCTTAGGATATCCTCGACTCCATATTGGCGGCAGAACTCCCTCCCGCGGCGGTAGTTTATCCAGGTACCTTGGTACTTCCCGTAGCCGCCTTGCACCTTTTCGTGTTCGCCGGTAAGGATTTCCTTTTCGAGAACTTTTGTGCGCTTGCCCTTGTCAACGCCGGCAACCTTCAGGATCTGGGTGGCATTCAGCCAGGAGTCGGAGCGCCGGCGCATGACGGCCACGCGGTTGATTTCCATTTCGTAGACGGAGACGCCCGAGTATACGGCCTAGGCAGCCCGATTAGCAAAGAATGGAGCGTGCGCGGGAGCGGCTTACGGTGTATATCTGCGGCTTCTCCATGGGGTGGGTGTAGCCATTGGAGTCACCAAAACTCCTAAATGGCGAGGGTTGCACCATCATCTGGTGCGGCGAGTTGCTGTACATGGCGGACTGCGAGGGGGACGCCGAGGGGAACGAGGATGCCAAGGACGAGCGCGCAACTTGCATAGTGCAGCGAACGGGGGACGCGGTGAGTCGGTGGGCGGGGAGACGCTCAGTGCATGGCGCGAGCCTGTGAGGGGTGTCGGGATGGGAATGTGTATGGTGCGACTGGCACGAGCACGAATTCCAGGGCGGCTCTGCTGGCGCTGGCAGAGACACGGGCGGGAGAGGTGCGCGAGGACGGGATGGGCGACGGCAAGTGGTGATGCGGTCGTGGTGTTGAGGAAGAGGCCTTCCAGTTGACGTGCCCGGTTCGCGTCGTGCGCCGAAGAACCAACGCAAGCGTGGCCGTCCTCCGCTAAGTGCCTCTCCACCACCCTCCCACACGGCTTCCAGGACACTTTTCCGGGTCTATTTGCCCCCCTACGCGTCTATGGCTCTGCCGTAAGTGCATCTGCCATACTCACTGTTCACTCATGCTGCCTACCACACGGCTGCTATCCGCCACACCACGCAAACTTTGTGGCACGCCCCCAAACGAGCACCTCTCGCCGACCCAGCTCTGTCGCGCCCTGCTCCGGGAAGCGTCGTATCTGCCCGACCAGACTGCGCGCGAATACTTCCACCGTTTCGTCTTGTGGCGCTTTCGATCCTACCAGCCCATTGACAAGGCGTCCGTGTGGTTCAGAGAAATCAACCAAAAACCCAGAAAACGGCTCCTCGCGACCAACATCGATCTCCGAGCTTCAGAGAAACTTCGGAAAGGTCGTCAGGCCCTCTCGTTGCTTCGTCGAGCGAACAATGGCGAGCTCGAACCCCTGCGGAAGGTTTTACTCGCTGCATATGGCCGAACGGGCAGACGGCGCCATGAATTGATAAAGCCTCTGCTACAGCCTACGATTCCGGAGAACTCGGACGCGCTTGAGGCTATTATGAAAGGGACTCCTGGAAACAACAAGAAGCCCCTACAAGAGCTGTACCATGACGACAGCAGGGTGCTCTCATTCTTCGACGCTCCCAAAGGGAAGTCAGCCGACAAGGCCGAAATCAGAATCTCCAAAGAATACCCCCAATTGGATGCAGTGATCCAAGCCAATGGCCAATACCGGCCATCAGGCAATCCCCGGCAGACCCTCAGGTCAACCTCGTTGACAGCGCCGACCACAAATATCTGGGGCCGTCCGATGCCTGTCAAACGTGCGAAGAACATGGTCAAAGAATGGTATAAGAATGCCATGGAAAAGATGCTGCCGCCACTGCCCAAGCAAGAATGGGATAGACTCCACAGCCTTGCTCTTGGTGACATAAAGTGTGAGCCGATTTCGCGACGATCATTAGGAACGGTGCGTCCAGAGCGAGCGAGCAGGGAACCGGGCTCGGAGATACCCTTGGGTCTCCTGGAACAATCAGACCTCGCGTCCGAATTGGGGCTGGCTAAACGGCGTCTACTGCACGGCCTCTATCCACCCAAGTCCACTCCAGTCGACACAAGGGACTACACAAGCCGCAACCGCATCACGCCTCGCTTTATGCAGAGACTGTACCAGGATGTTGCAGGTCTCTGCTGTAAGCTTGTGTGGGATTCTGGCTGGAATAAATGGACTGTTGTGTGGGGTTCTGCGGCCGCAAAGGAGCACCTTCGAAGAGTGTGGTCTGAACCCGTCGAAACCGACCTCTTTGCTGGTGTTGATGAACGCGGGAGACTACCGAAGCCTCCGAAAAATGTCGAGCTTTTGCAAAATGAGGCAGACTTGCAGCACAAAGAATCGCGATAGAACGAGTGAGCTCCACCAGATTCGAGAGACACTTCATAAAGCAGAGCATCTAGAAACCAGCTACAAGCTCAGTAGTCTAGTCAGGGCTTTGAGCCAGCTCTCGGCGTATTTCGATATATAATCCGCACTCCCAAAGCGGACACTGTTTTCGCGTGTTTTTGGTGTTTGCAGCTGTTTCATCTGTGTCCAATCGGCTGGTTCCGTTGGTAAGTACCCACCTCTAGGCTCGTCATTCTACCATACATAGGGCGTGAACGAAGTGTCTTCTGTTGAGGCTCCCGCCACATATAGTCCCCTCTGAGTCTCTACCTTTTCAATAGCGTTCATTTTGTTCCCAATCGTAAGCAATGGCTACTGCGGCGACAATCCGCCTCGCGACACTCGAAGGTCGTCTGTTCTGCACAGATCCACCCCACTATTTGCTAACCCTAGTCCTAGATGTTCCTACCATTCTAGCTCTCATCCACGAGCTCGCTGCCTATGAAAACGAGACATCTTCCGTGCTGGCGACGGAAGAGTCGCTCGCGCGGACCCTCTCATTTGCCCCATCCCGCACTCGCCGACAATCGGGACCCTTGTCGTGTCCTCACCACAAACATGACTGCAAGGAATTCCATGAAGATAGTGCACCCCGTCTACCAACCCACGAAGGCTTCGCAAAGACGCTACTTCTTACAGCGCCCGAAGGCGAGGTCGCGGGCATGGCGTTATACTTCCACAACTACAGCACCTGGCGCGCCGCGCCGGGCATCTACCTCGAGGACCTCTTTGTCAAACCGAAATACAGAAAGAGGGGATACGGCAAGGCGCTAATACGGGAGCTGGCGCAGGAGGTGGTCAAGATAAATGGCGGGAGGTTGGAGTGGTCATGTCTGAATTGGAACAAACCGAGTCTGGAATTCTACGAGGCGCTAGGAGCAAAGAGAATGGTGGAATGGGTAGGGCTGAGAGTGGATGGGGACGCGTTGACGAAGCTTGCTCAGGGAGAGGAGCGGGAGGTGTAGAAAAAGTCCAAATTATTTCAAGAGTTGGTGTTATGAAAGTAATGAAGCTAAGGGTCCCTCGTACCACCGTGCAGTGTCTTTCCGTTGCAAGGTTGGCTGGGTTCAAGCTACCTACCTCCCCTCCTCTGGGTATCCATATTCAATGCTGGTCGGAACCCTTTCGACTTTTGAAACAATGATCCCGGATCCATTGGGATATGTCGTGCGGCACTTTCCCCGATGGCCACCATTCATTGGTCAGCTGCACGCAAATTCTAGACTATTAATCCCCTTACACTGCCATACCCAAGCCACCATTATATTCATGACTGCTCACAAAAGCGCTCCAGTCTTCAGCCTCGCACACAGTGACGGCGTTGACGACACAGATGTGTCTCCCCACAGCTTATTTCCATCCCGGATTTAACGCACATAACCCCGTCCGTATTTCGGCTTTGCATTTCTTCGCATTTCGCATTCATATCCTAGTACCACGAAGCGGTATGCGAGTGCTTATCTCCGAGTAACGAGTAAGAGGAGGCGTAGCTACAGTCATAGACATCTACATATCTACCACCTGCTGCCGACGAAGCCATCTCTTCAACTTCTCAACGAAGAACTTCCACCTTCCATTTACTAATCATAACACATCCCCTCACATCAATCCCATCTGTTTCTCAAAATTTTACTGCTCGAAGTCTCCATCAAACCTACATCAAACTTACACTCCAAAATGACAACCCACAAAGCCCTCCTCCTCTCCTCCCTCACCACCCCCATCTCTCTCCAAACCGTCCCCACCCCGTCCGCAACCCCCGGCTCCGCCACCCTCCGCGTCCTCGCCGCCGGCCTCCAATCCTACGCTCGCGCCATCTTCACCGGCGCCCTCCCTTACGCCCTCGCCCTCCCCCAAGTCCCCGGCGCCAGCTGCGTCGCCCGCGTCCTCGAAGTCGGCCCGGACGCCACGGCCCTCTTGCCGGGCCAGCTCGTGTGGGTCGACGCCACCATCACCGCGCGCGATGACGCGGACTGCAACTTCCTGCTCGGCCTGCACGGCGGCGTGAGCGCGGGCAGCCAGAAGCTGATGCGCGAGAGCTGGCGGGACGGGTGCTACGCTGAGATCGTGAAAGCGCCGCTCGAAAACTGCTATCCCCTAGACGAGGCGCTGCTCACACGGTATGGGGTGGAAGAGCTGGCGGGGCTGTCGACGGTGCTGGTGCCGTTCGGGGGCTTGGAGGAGGCCGGGGTTGGCGCGGGGACGACGGTGATTGTGGCGCCGGCAACGGGGAAGTTCTCCGGGGGCGCGGTGTTGGTTGCGCTGGCGATGGGGGCGCGGGTGGTGGCGGCGGGGCGGAGTGCGGAGGGGTTGGAGAAGTTGAAGAGTTTCCCGGGGGCGGCGGAGAGGTTGGTGAGTGTGAGGCTTGTGAGTGATGTGGAAGAGGATGCAAAGGCGTTGTTTGCGGCGACGGGGGGGAAGGGGGCGAAGGTTTATATGGATTTGTCGCCGCCGGCTGCGGGGAGGGATGGGACGCCGACGCATGTTACGGCGTGTTTAGGGGCGTTAAAGAGGGGTGGGACGGCGCTGTTTATGGGAGGGATTCAGCGGGGTGTGGAGGTCCCGTATGGGTTGATGATGTTTAGGAATTTGACGGTGAAAGGGAAGTTCATGTATGAGCGCACGCAGGCGGAGAGGTTGATCAAGATGGTAGAGTTTGGGAATTTGACGATGGGAAAGGCGAGTGGGATGACAGTAGCGGGTACGTTCGGGCTTGAAGAGATTGAGGAGGCTTTAGACTTCGCGACTGAGAGGACTGGGTGGGGAGGGGACGTTGTGCTAGTGCCGAATGCTTAGGTAGTGGGACTGTAGTCAAGCTTGAAGCTTAAGAATCTGACCAAAATGAAGTTTGTCATCTCGAACTGTTCTCAATATTCGCTGGGCCAACTCTAGCGGTCCTACCTACTACTTTACTTTCACCCGCACGGAAATGAAGAGAGTAACAAGAAAGCGAAGTGGGTTAGGATTGCAGTAAATCATGCCTTTGTAGGACGTTTCGATGCTGCTTTTTGTTTCGAAATTAGAGACGGCGAGGGTGAGGCTTGGGATCTTGGTATAAAGAAAGGAGATCCATGGATTAATAAGGTGGCTGGTTAGCTTGTGAGCGATGCTGTTGCCGTGTAGGTCGAATTAATTTTTTTCGGAGAAGGAGATTGGAGAAACGCACATTATGGCAGGAAGTATGGGCAAATTTACTATACAGTTATCGAGTCCTAAAAGTACATAGGCGTATAACCGTGGGTTTCACCTCACCAATGAGAGCGAGAATGAGGGCGCAGACGACAATGTCAATGACGTGGAAGTGGAAGAAGCACAGATTTGAGATTTGGAGGTCAGCAAAACAATATTTCAAGACGAGATAATATCTTATGCTGTGGCTTTACCTAACTCGACTCCGCACCTCATTGACTCGACTTCCTCCATTATCCCTTACTTGTAGAACATCACCTTCCATCTCATAGTTGCCGGCATGGCTAGTCAGAGCCTTACCACTCCTTAGTTCTTCCAATTTCACCCTAAGCCAAGCACCCTTCGGATTGCCCTCTTTCACCGCTTTCTTTACCCAGTCGTCGAGCACATCACTTGCCCAGTGCCGGAAACCCCAGGTACGAGCTGTATTCATGATATCAAACACAATGGTCCTATCACAGCCACCTTCTAACACCGCAAACTGTACTAGGTCTAGGCTAGGTGGCTTTCCAAGACGACGGTTATGGTTGAAAAGATCTACCACGTTGTGGTTTCTCGTAAGAATCGCCTAAAAAGTGTCGGCATTAGTAGGAGACGCCAAGGTGGAGAAGAACAGTATCCATACCTCCTTTTTGCCTTGCACAGCAAGTCGGCGTGTCTCTTTATCAGCCCAGTCAACCGTCATTGAACTGGTTTCAATAAGAAACCGAAGGAACTGGGTTCTCTCTTCCGTCCAAGGCCCATGTAAAAGTTTCATGGGAATTCGACACTTTATGTAGCTCAATTGGGGCAGATGTCCCATAGTGAACTGCATTGAGGCAGGGTCTGAGAAAGCAGGCGGCCATATAGGCCTCCAGCAGCCGTCATTACCACAAACGCAGCCAGCCTCTTCGTAGGACCTTGTGATAAATGTCTTGAAGAACTCCCACGTCATAAACCTGCAGGCGAATATGCGACTAGATCGTACTCGTCAGCCTACCACATTCCTAGGTATCACGTGCACAAGATTAGAATCCAAGAGACCTACGATTGAATCTTTGTCTGTAGAATACGATCCCCAATCGGTGCAGAGAGATATGCCGAGCATACTCCTAGATAGCAATGATTCGAGGCGAGCTTCGATGCGAGATGGGGAGAGGCCAGTGGAAGGTCAAGACTCCAGAGGGAAAGTTTGAAGATTTCCTCCAAAATCTCCGTGGGCAGGCGATCCAAAGGAGCAAGAGGCATGGTTCTGGTATAAGGATATTACAACGAAGCACTCGGGACCTAGCGGTGATCGAGGCCCTAATATATGCTCATTATGCTGGAGCCTGGCGAAAGTAAACGTTGAGGCCTCAGACCAAGCGAAGACGACGCGTTTCATGACGAATCCGATACGAGCGAATCGTTCAGAATTGGTCCTGTATTTCGTTGGTTTCGATCGTTCTGTGCCCTTCCAATGGACTGGGTGCTGTTGTGGTGAAGGAGCTCTGGTTCCCTTGCTCCTGTTCCCTTGCTCCTCCTTACAAGGGGTAACTCCGCGATCTGAAGCTTGGACGCTCAGATCTGACCTCATGATTTGCTTCAGCACTCATCGTCCCGTACCCCAAGCCGCATTCCTATTCACCTCAGAGACTGCCTAAATCGCCAAGATCAGACGACAGAACGATAGCGCCTCTCGATTAGCCCTGAGAACCCCATCCATCTTCAACGATCGCTACATCAGCATCGCTACCTTACTTACATCAGCTTCTGACCTGCGCTTTATCCGCGTTACGCTGCTTCATGGGTCAATATGCGCCTTTTGAGCTATTCACTGTGTTTCACGCTGCGGCTAATAGGGAAATTATGTCGTGTAGGCACTCATCCCTTTCGGCAGTCCCAAACACCCAATCATCAGTCTCATCCGTCTTCGTAATCGTCTTCGCCTTCAGCTTCGTGCCCCTCCGAGCCTACAGTATCTCGGGACTACGTTAGTCTTCCGCGATCTTAATGCTATCGAAGACTTAAGGTACGGTACCTTGCCGCCAGAGGCTATGTCACCGATCAAGTCATCGCACACTAAATATGATATCGAATCCGAGGATACCAGCTCCTTAAGCCACTATGACCTTTCCTCTGGCGACCCCTCTATAAGATCGGAGCAAGGAGAGGACGGCCTGCAGAGGTCCACACAAGCTCGCGCATTCAGAGATGTTTCTATTGTGGACCTCCTTGAAGATTCCCAAGCACCTGTTTTTGCAATTGACATCAAAGACCTGGCTTACCTTCGGAGCATTCCTATCGTCGTGCCTCTTCCCGTCACATATCAAAACAAGAAAATGCGGACCTCTAGAGTGCCTCTTAGTGTTATGGTAGGACAAAAGGAAACTGACCTCGCTTTCCAAGAGATCGTTGAATTTCGCGCTTGGCTACTCGGTACTTCCAAACACGGACAAGAAGGTGATACCTCTTACCATGCTTTCCTGTGGGAAGCCTCTACGATAAGGAACCGGTGGAAAATCATAAGCGGAGCGCAGAAAGGGATCAAGTCACTGCTAGACCAAAGAAAGTACTCCAATGTACCGGATCTTCCACCTGACTCAGACCTCCTAGTGCGGGGGAGAGCAGCTTCTTCAATATCGGCAAATATAACTTCGACTATCCCGGACTCTATCTCTGACACCTCTCGGAATTCCACGAGCGGTTCCGGTGGGTCTCTCATTTCTCTGGAGCATGCCACATCCTCCTCCGCCCCTGCGGACCTAGATCCTGAGGCTTCGAACTATGCCGATTTTGTCCGAGGTTTTGACTGGGGCTCGACGGCGCTGGGGCCCATGCACTTGTGGTCGCATCAACTGCACACGATGGTTGGCCTGATGCTCGCCAACCCGTCTCCAACATTTCTGTACTGGGGCAATTCTAGAGGCCGAGAGCTAGGTAACATCCCCAATCTTGATCGAGATGCCGCGATGTTGACGCAATGCTAATGTCATATAGGCCCCGAACTGACCTGCTTATATAGCGAATCTGCTATACCGTTCGTGGGTACTGGACACCCGTCTGCATTTGGCAAGGACCCTCGACTCGCTTTCGAGCACGGCATGAGAGGCCTGATGCCTTCTATTCAGAAATGTTTGAATACTAGACGAGGCGTCAGGGTAGACAACTTACCCGTTTTGATGGACAGGGGGTTCGGACCCAACGAAGAGACGTTCTTCTCTCTGGCTTTGGTCCCAATCATCGATAGTGACAATACAACCATCGGATGGATCCAACAAACCTTCGAACAGACGAAGGCAATGCTTGCAGAAAGGCGAACCAGTACTTTACTCAAACTGAGTGAGGAGACCGCCCCGTATCCCAATCTCAAGAGCTTTTGGGCTCGAATTCTAGAAACACTTGACCAAAACCAACACGATATCTGTTTCGCAATGTCGTATTCTGCTACAGAGGAGCCAGCAAAGCCCACTGGGTTGGGGTCTCCTAATACCTCTTACGCTCCATACACAAAGCAATATGTTCTTGAAGGAGTTGTGGGAGTGCCGCTCGACCATCCTGCCGTCTTGAACCGAATGGAGGTCGAGGCTAGCCAAGGTCAAGCAGGATTCGTACCTTTCTTCCAGAGAGCTGCAGATCTATCTGAGCCCTTGCACCTACAACTCAGCGACGGTAGCTTGCCCGAGCATCTTGTCGCACAGATCACTAGTCGCGTTTTTCAAGATCCTTGTAACGCTGTATTGATATGTGCAATTCGACCAGCAACAGGCCACTCGTCAATTCGCAATGCAACTGGCGGTTTTGTGGTCATCGGTTTGAATCCCCGCCGGCCATACGATGACGACTACCGCTCTTTCGCACGTCTCCTGACGAGACAAATTTCGACATCGATGGCGGCTACACTTTTGCTCGAGGAGGAAGTGCGACGAGGGCTGACCATCGCAGAACAAGCTGAAGCTGATCAGCGAAAGATTGGGGATGAAATGGCTTTGCGTACCAGAGAATTGGAAAAGAGCGAACTCCTGGTAAAGCGTCTTGCTGATGCGGTACCCGTTGGACTGTTTGTAATAGAGCAAGTACCTGGGTGGATGTTACTGAGCTATGCTAATGGCCAAAGTTACCTTCCCGGCGATAGCAATGGCTCGTACTCGTACAGGAACGAGAAATGGTTCCAACTGACTCTTGACGAACGAATCAATCGGGCAGTATGGAGATCGCCCATATGGTGGAAGTCCTTTTCATCTTTTCAATTATTCAGCCGTTAACATCTCTAGGGCGAAAATGTATCCAGACGACGTCGCCGTAGTTCAGCAGGGTTGGGTCAGTCTCGAACAGGGTGCTCGTGAAGCAAGATTTGAGTTCAGGGTCCGACGGCCGGAGCATTCTGACGTCCCGAAAGAAGACCTCCGCCAGGAACATTACACTTGGCTACTTTTGAACGCGTTTGCATACCGTCACGAGGACGGAGCTTTGAAGTCAGTTGTTGGGTCAGCATCGGATATCTCATTCAACAAATGGGCCGAAGATGTGCAAAAACAGAGGACAGACGACGCCATCGAATCGTGAGATCTTAACAGCTCAGAACGGGATTTCATAAGCTGAATTCGATCTAGCAAGCAAATCATGGAAAAGTTCATCGACGTCACCAGCCACGAGATGCGGAATCCATTAAGCGCTATTATGATCTCAGGTATGCAGTTCTCAGTTTCGCTGTCGCCCAATACCCACTCTTCCACGTGAGGCTCTTAAGACAGTACATTTCAGATGCTATACTGATTTATCACAGCTGAGGATATTGTCAAGACGGCGTCTAACTTGAAAGCCGCGATCCACGGCCAGGGTCAGCTTGTTATATCATTGGTAAACGAGATTGAGGAAGCAGCGCACACGATTCTTCATTGCACTCAACACCAAAAACGTATCGTGGATGACGTTCTCACAATATCAAAGATAGACTCTGGTCTCTTTAGCGTTTGCCCAGAAGAGGTCAGAGTCGTAAATGTGGTAAAGCACGTCCTCGGGATGCTCGAGAAGGAGTTCATTGCCAAAGACATACAACCCAATCTCGCTATCAGAGATTCTTTCAAAGAACTTGGAATTGAGACAGTGCTACTCGATCCGAGTAGATTGGTACAAATTCTAATGAATTTACTCACAAATGCAATAAAATTCACCGCTGGAAGACCGAGCCGGGTTATAACGGTGCACCTCGACGCTTTTCTGGAAGATCCCAGGCATGTTTATGGTGGTGTTGAGTTTTTGGCTCTAAAAAAGCAGACTGAGGATCTGACCCTTCGACCGGAGTGGGGCGGAGGCAAATCTGTTTATCTGTTGTTCGCAGGTACGAATACCAAAACGTTCCTACCCTGTTTCTAACTCTGATGTAGTGGAGGATAGTGGCTGTGGACTCAGAGATACTAGTATCTTGTTCAACCGCTTTTCGCAAGCACCGAAGACCCACGTCAACTATGGTGGTTCTGGTCTCGGCCTGTTCATCAGTCGAGAGCTCACGGAAATGCAAGGCGGAGCAATTGGCGTCTCTTCTGTCTTTGGAGCAGGCAGCAGATTTGCATTTTACATCAAGGCCCGCATGTCTATAGCTCCATCCAGGCCACTTTTACCCAACCCCGAAGCTTTCGAATCCTTGCGACCGATGCCCGCCGACCTGGACGTAGGGACAGATTATGCCGCACCGTCAGACCCAACTATCTTCCCAGAGGGTCCTAAGCAATTAGTTTGGGTTGACGAGGACACGGGAATGAATCTTGCAACTGCACTCAAGTCGCCGCCCGCGCGCTTTGACATCCTTCTCGTTGAAGACAACAAGATCAATCAGAAAGTCCTATCAAAACAGCTACGAAAAGCTGGACACAGCGTCAGCATTGCAAACCATGGCGTTGAAGCTATTGACATTATCAACGAAAGCAATTATTGGAGGGGCCACGAAAGTGATGGTGTCAATCTCTCTGTTATGCTGCTGGATATCGAAATGCCCGTGATGGACGGCCTTACTTGCATCAAGAGGATAAGAGAATTGCAAGCTGAAGGGGTAGTGGTGAACCACCTACCAGTCATTGCGATCACGGCGAATGCAAGGGCAGAGCAGGTGAAGGAGTATCGTGAGGCGGGAATGGTGAGATCTCCTCTACTATGAGTTTATTACATTTTCCCTTTCCGTTCTTTCTTTCACACTCATCTTACTCTTTCCACTTCATAAAACTGAGACCTTGGGACCTCTAACTCTATCCGCTTCCTTTCGTCTCCAAGAACACTTTTTCCGACATCTTTCTTCTTATTGAATGCTAATTAGAAAAGGATGACGTGATATCAAAGCCCTTTAGCATTCCCAACGTCCTCTCTACAATGGAACGTCTGGTTCATCGCTACGGGACGGCTAGCCCTGCGCTCTATACATCAACCTAAAGGACACCAAATGAAAACGCTGTGTTACTACGTTCATTGGCCCGGGGCTTTATTCTAATTTCATCCAACATGCTGTGTTTTTTCAAATGCGTCAAACTGCCTCATTCGTTCTGAGCCTTATTCTCATGCTCCTCTTTTACATCTCCTTTTTTTTGTCTTTTCCACACATCTGATTGCACATCGAATGATTCGCCACCAACCACAGGAAAATGTCTTGGCTAAACAACACTGTGTGACGTTTCCTCCTTTCCCACACCGCAATTAACCAGCCTATCTATCTATCTATCCACAGAGACATGCAGCTTCGCAAATTCATGGCAACTCAGCTGTTGCCTTGTGTCGATGCCTCCTGCCGGGCTCCTTCTACCTATAGATTGCTCGTATATCCCTAGTAGTCATTATGTAAACTCTATCATGTAGTCTCTCATGGCTTCACAGAACGTCTATGCTCTGCAGAGACAACCCCTTCACTCGTGAGCTCTATCATCGAGTCCGTCGTTGAGTCGCGCGGTGTCAGCTGGCTCGGATACCAAATAAAGAACCCGATCATCACCAGCAGCATCAATGCCCCATCGAATGCATACGTCGGCCACTCATTGTCGAAAAGGTAGCCGTGCCCCATTATAAACTCGACCATGCGATAAATATTCCGCACCAGAATAGCCAGCGACGTCGCGTACAGCATGTTGAGGCAAGCCTGCCACGGGATATCACGCGCTGCGCCAGTCTCGACGACGTGTGCTCGGAATCGGATATTGAAGGACACACAGCACGCCATGAAGGCGACGAACACCAGGATCTGGATGCCCAGTCCGGCGACGATGATGTCGTCGCCGATGTGGGCTTGTCCTGGGTGGGAGAGCATCCCGGAGCCGCCGCCTTGGATGTTGAGGCAGAGCAAGTCACCTGAGACAAAGATGACGCTGGCCCAGCGCGGTGGGAGGAGCGAGAATGTTTCGCCGTGGACGGCGCGGACAACGCGGGAGTACACCATATACAGTGATGCGGCGAAGAAGACGGGGGGGAGGACTAGGAAGATGGCTTGGATCAGGTACGGGCCCAAGGCGCCCGTAGAGTAGTAGGAGGCCACTCGGGCTATGTAGCCGATCACTTCGACTGATGAGATGCTGTGTCAGTAGATTTCATGGTAATAGTTGGGTCTTGGACGCGACGCACAGACGCCACCAATGACGAACGGAACACAAAACCACATTCTCAGTTTAATCATCTTCCAGGTGTGAACTGTGGTCACGAGACTGAATAGGGCGGTAAAGGCAATAGCGGCGGGGAGACTGGGCACATAGTGCCACAGATAGACTTGCCCCTGGTACATTTCGAGAGTCGGCATTGTTGGATATGAGGAATGGTAACACGGCTCTGAAAAGAGTAAAAGATATACAACAAGGAGATATAATGATAAGGAATGGCCTTAAAGTTAAGTCTGGAACTCTTTCTAAAGAACTGAGGGCAGTCAGGCAAGGCGAGAAGGTAAGTTGAATGATGAACAGCAAAACGAGGTCAGTGTATTCTTATAAGGACAGTCCATGACTGAGTCCTTGGACAGTGCTGCGGAGACGCGTATGCAACGACGACACTCTTACACCGGCCGGGGCTGGGCTGATATATGGATATCGCACTTTTTCAACACCTCATCCCCCTTCTCGCATCCTCGTCCGTATTGGGCTTTCGTGTCCAAGCTTCCATCGGCGGGATCAGCCGAACACGCGTGTTAGCTAAGCAAGATCTGCCGCTAACAAAAACGAGCGGCCAATGATAAAGATGTCTGCTACAACCTCACATTGGCTAAGGCTCATGTGCATATCCGTCCCGAGACGACAGGAAAAACGCCGGACGTTCGAGAATACCTACAATCTCTTGGCACTCACGTATCCAGCTCAGCCCCCGAGCTGCAGAGCTGATCCAAGCAACACATCTATCGCCAGGCCTGCTGGTCAAACTGCAATACGCGTGTTCGACTATATCGACAGCCCAACCACCAAAGTTGCTCACCGCGGTAGGTATGCTTCGGCGCAGCCACAAGAAGTTCCGCGGAGGTTGTTTGGAATGGTGAGTGGCACGGAAATGGCATTAATAGGCCCGGTCCTCTGCACTTACCCTAGTTCCCCTGAGCAAATGCTAACTTTGGTTGAATAGCAAGCGACGACATGTTAAGGTAGTGCTCTTTGACGATACTTTCGCGCTCTTGACTAACCTTGAGTTTTCCCAAACTATTAGTGCGATGGACGTCGCCCCGTATGCCTCCTATGTACCATGTCCGAGCGGGATTGCAGCTATCCATCCCAAGCCCCGCCAGAGAAGCTCTCGCCGTCGGATTCATCTTCACAGGAGCAGTCCATAAGTCCAGGCGACAACCACAGCCAAGGTGGTGTTACCTTACTCGAAGTTTGGCCCCTAGTCACCGCGCCCTTCTCCAATCCCAACTTGTTCGAACGGTTTACCTCTGAGGACCCAGGCCTTGACGAGGCCATCAACTTGAACCACATGGAACTTCTCGTCCACGTAGCCTCCGACAAAAGCATGTTCAATCTCGGTCACAGCCCTAATGACTACCCCTCCGACCTCTTTATCGCTCTCAAGAAAGGTCTCAAGGCACCATATCTTATGTATATGCTACTCGCATTCTCCGCTCGCCATCTAGCGTTCCTACATCCTCAGCAGTCCGCCTTCTATCTTCACCAAGCAATGACCCTGCAAACACGCGCCGTCTCGCTCTTCAACGCCGCCTGGACCGGGGTCGACCAGTCCAATTGCGTCGCCGTACTTGGCTTTTCCTCAATCCTAGGGCACCACCTCCTCGCCGACACGCTCGCCAAGCGGGACCCAGGCGGGCTGGAGGGGTTCATATCCCACTATACGCAGTGCGTGGAGATGCACAGGGGCATCCACACCATCGCCACAAACGCGTGGCCGCTGTTGATGGCGACGGAGCTGCAGCCGATCCTATCGTTGAGCGCGGACTTCACCTCACGAGCGCCCAGAGGCAACCACTGCCAGAGGATCAGAGAGCTGGTGGACACGGCGAATGGGCTGGGAGAGGAGGATAAGGAGGCGTGTCGGCTGGCGATCCAGTACCTGCAGGTCGGGTTCGATGCAGTGCTGGCGGAGGAGGAGCAGAGCAACCGGTACCAGATGATCTTCTCGTGGACGATGCTGGTGCCGCCGGAGTTCACGCGCTTGTTAGCGGCGAAGCGGCCGGAAGTGCTGGTCTTGTTGGCGTATTATTCGTTGTTGCTTCATTACGGAAGAAATCTGTGGCAGGTTGGGGACGCGGGGGCGTATATATTAGGGATCATTGTGGACTATCTTGGTCCAGAGTGGGATCATTGGCTTGAATACCCACGGGAGAGGATAACTAGAAAACCTCTTTAGTCGTGTTCTGGAGCTTCTGACGGCTTGCTTGCCCTGTAATTCTGAGCTGACGACGTGAGCTTGCTTCAGTGAATTGCAGAAAACTACATCTGCCTCACAGGATATCGATCTAATTATAACTTCCATAGCATTAGATAGGAAAGGAGGGATCAGGAGACTATGTAGGAACGAGAAGGCGGGTGAATGAAAAAAAATGTCCCCGAGTCTCGCCGCCATAGCTTCATAGCTTCCCCTCAACTCAGATGCCTCGTTCACCAGCGCACCCTCTTGACCCCCACCCGTTCGTGCCACTTGCATCGCCTTCTAGACCTCAAAATACGGCATACTGCCCGGCTCCGTCGCAATAAACAGTGCCCCTCGCGTGACGTAGCGCAAGGAACAGCTCTCAGGTACGTTTTTCGTTTCGTTCTGTCTCACCGCCCGCAATCACGTCAACCACGCCCTGCAATCACGAAAATACCAAATGCGCATCCCCGCCGCGCTCTCCTCCCACACACTGACACACGCACTCCATGGCGCCCAGCAGCACGCCTCGCCCCTCCAACCCTCCGCGGAAGCTTTCCTGCTAATCAGCATGCAGAGAGCTACCTGCAAGCCCCCAGCAATCCGTGGCGCTGGGCGGGGAGGCATCGGGCACCATGGCGCAGGCGCACGAGGGGGGGCAGAGCTCTCCCCAGCGGGCGGTGGCCCTGAGCTTGCCGGCTTCGAACAGCGAGCCTTTGTCTGCGCACCAGCAGCACACGGAGCCCCGAGCCCAAACGCAGAGCGCATCAATTGGGACCGCGGACCCCAAATCGACATCCCCGTCGAAATCTGCATCTCCTGCGCTTTTAGACAAGAGCCCAGCCTCGAGAACGGGGGACAATCCGAGTCCGAATCTCCCACCACAACCGCAGCTCTCCCACCGCCCCAGCACCACCTTCTCCTCCTCCTCAATGGACCGCCGCCGCACGCGGCGGGTGCCTACCGACGACGACGGCAGCCCGGACGAGACGGTGCCGATTATCACGCGCGAGCAGGGCGGGCACGCGCGCGACTACCAGTCCATCTCGCCGCAGATTCGGGCGAAGCACGCGGGCGGGACTGAGATACCGGGCAATGGGACCCACCGCGAGCGACAGGAGCGGGAGGCCGAAGCGGCGGCCGTGGCAGCGGAGGCTAAGGAGGGGCGGTGGTGGAAGAAGGTGATTGAGAAGTATGGGAGTGTGGAGCTGGAGAACAAGGGGAGCGTGGCTAGGGACCATTTGGCGTTGGGTATGTGATCTCTCTTTCTAATACGAACGACGAGCTCGTTGGGGTTTCAATTGTTGTTTGGGGATCCGTTTTCAGTTTTTCTAGCTTCAATCGAAATTCTGATAGAAGCCTCCTCCTCGGCCCCCTTTTCTCAACCACACACCCGCATGTACTAACCACCCCCCTCACAGAACGCACCTTCCTCGCCTGGCTCCGCACCTCCCTCTCCTTCGCCAGCATCGGCATCGCCATCACGCAGCTCTTCCGCCTCAACACCGCCATCGCCTCGCCCAACGACAAGTCCCCCCGCGCAAAGCTCCGCCACGTCGGCAAGCCCCTCGGCGCCACCTTCATCGCCATCTCCATCCTCATCCTCTTCATCGGCTTCCACCGCTACTTCGAGTCCCAGCATTACGTCATCCGCGGCAAATTCCCCGCCAGCCGCGGCAGTATACTGGTCGTTAGTGTGGTGGCCGGCGCGCTGATTGTCGCGAGTCTGGTGGTCGTGTTGGCGATTGCGCCGGGGGCGTTTGAGAAGTAGGTGGGTACGTGGTTGTTGGAGGTGGTTGGGTTGACGAATGCAGAATGCGAGGTTGAGCACGCCTTTTTTTCTTTTAAATTAGAAGCATTGGGTTTGGCGTTCTGTGACGGCTTATACGACGATCTCACGAAGCGAGCGGCCTCTTTGGGTTTGGGTTTGGGTTTGGCATGTTATATCTCCTCCCACCAGATAGAAAAAAATTGGGATGAACTTAAGAGTGTCGCAAACTGAACTTGACAATATTTCCAAGCATGGCTCAATTTGAAAGGATCGATCAGAGCGAAGTGGAATATCACTTGGATTTGCAGGCTCTGTCTGGGGCCTTGACTATCTGCCTATTTTCCGGTTGGCTTTTTGGATCAAAACGCCAGCCCCGCTATCACATCAAGAAGGGTAGAGAAGTGCCTCTCAACAAGCTCAATAAGCTGTCCTTCCGCGGTGAAAACTCGCGTGCACTCCCGCCACTGTGGTCTCCTGACCATGCCAAATACCGTACGCCGCAACGGGGGTGGACCGGGTGCTCAAGCAGCAGAACAAAATCCACGACAGTGCGGGAGTCTTTCCCCAAGCCCAAGCCAAATTTATTTATCGTCAAGCGATTTCCGCCGCTGAAGTTTGAACCGGCAGCTCAGTCGTCCGCGGAGCCGTCCATTTGCATTTGATTGTTCATGTCCTTCGTGGACTTGCCGGCGCGTGAGCTCCGGATGACCTTCTTCACCATCTTTTCCACAGAGTCCCAGTCCTTGTGATCGACTGCGATGAGGTCCGTCTTGAAGTGGGCGGCGATGTCGGCTAGTGCCTGCCAGCTTCCGCGATCGTGCACGAAGCTAAGAGCGACACCGACACGTCCGAAGCGACCAGTGCGGCCGATACGGTGGAGATAGGTCTCTGGATCTGGGGAACCGTCTGCGTGGGTGGGGATGTCCTAGGTCGGTTGTCAGTAAGCGGTGCGGAGATGGGGAGAGTTGAATAGCATACATAGTTGATGACCATGGTGACGGACTGAACGTCAATTCCACGCGCAAGCACGTTCGTCGTAATGAGCACCTTAGCTTCGCCGTTGCGGAACTTGTCGATTATGATGTCGCGCTCCGGCCCCTCTAGTCCACCACTCAGTTGCGCAACCGTGTGGCCTTCGGCGACCATGCGGTGCTCCAGTTGAGCTGCAGTAGCACGAGTCTGGTCTTGTTAGCCTGTGTCAATAGATGATACCTGGGATACATACTCGGACGAAGATGATAGAAGAAGCGGTAGTCATGAGGCCGTAGAATTTGAGCAGCACAGCGAATTTGTCTTCCAGTCCATCGCAATCTAGGTATAGCTGCTTGATTCCTTCGATTGTGAGCTCTTCGTGCTTGAGCGTGATCTGGTTGGCCTTGGGAGCAAAGAGTTGGGCGAAGTCGAGAACATCATGAGGAAAGGTGGCCGAGAAGAGGACAGTCTGGATATTTCGTGGCAGCATCCTTTGCAAGTTAGTACCAAGTTGTCAAAAGGCGGACGCATGAAGAACTTGCTGTTTCACGCGTTTGCACTGGTCGCCCAAGCCTTGTTGATCCAGCATATTGTCGGCCTCGTCAAGAACCAGGATCTGCAATTGCTTCGAGTCGATGTACTTCCTCCTAACCATGTCCATGACCGTTCCTGGAGTCCCAACAATGATCTGGCCTTCGAACTTCTTGTTCCTGTGGGTCGGGTCTGGAATAGCTGGGGTCACGACCAGGCCCTCCATGAACTGTCCCATGTGCTGAATGACACCCAGTATCTGTCGGGCCAACTCTCGGCTCGGGGCGAGGACTAGGGCTTGTGGAGCCAAGTTATTGAGGTCGATGCGCGTGAGCATGTTGAGCGAAAAGGCGGCTGTCTTTCCAGTACCGGATTGGGATTGCGCAATCATATTCTGCGGCGGGTTGTGCAGTAGGAGGGGCAGAGCGCGCTCTTGGATCTTGGACGGCGAGCGGAAGTTCATCTCCATGATTCCGCGAAGGAGCTCTGGCTTCCTAGATCATAGAGTTAGTCTCAGCGCGGACAAAATGCGAGACAGAAACGCACAGGTTCAGCTCCTCAAAGCTTTTGACAGAGAACAGAGGGCTGTTGGGGTCGGCCTGCATGTCGGCCAGCTTGACCTCGACCTCATACTCGGGCTCGATGAGCGCGGGCTCTTTTCCTTGCGGGATGCCTCCATCGAGCTGTGAATCGGCGACGGAAGAAGGCGCATTGTCCTTGGAGGGCATGGTGATGCGGCTTTCAAGCGAGGCAGAGGCTGAAGCTTCTGGTTTGGCCTCAGTGGCAGCAGGAGCGGTGTCGGCCATAGTTTGGTGAGTGAGTTTGTACGGCTGGAGACAGGCAGACAGTTGCGGGCGCGGGTGCTTGCAGAAGCTTGAGTGCGCGCAGAAAGAGGGGGCAGTTGCTGCAGAAGACCATGCAGCAGTGGAGTGGAAGAGAACAAGCGAAAACTAGGCGGGTGTGCGCAAGAAGAAAGGTGGTGGGCGAGAATGGCTATTGTGATGTTGGACCCTAGAAAGTGGGTGAATCGGTCGCCGCCCGCCCCACCACCAGAGACAAACGGAAACCTTGTCTTGGCGATATAGTGCCTGAGGCTGAGGCTGACCTCTGTCCTGAGGCGTGAAGGTCAGGCAGGGCGGTTCAAATGCTGCTCACTATGCTGGATGGCTGGCTACCTACGATATCGAAGAGCCCCTCGACGCTGCACACGCCACAATGGCACTTTCGCTAATCAAATTAGCTAGATCCCATCCAAAAGGACAAATAATGAGAAATCGCCAAAGCCTTCGTGATGCGTGAGCACGTGATTCTGGAACATCAGAGGCTGCATTGAGACTCACCATTTCCGAGACCACCATCCTCTTTGACTCCCCACCACCTACCGCACGCGAAACGGTGAGTTCAAGCGAAGGAAGAGAATTGTGTATTATATGGGGGTCTAAGGTGCTATGTAAAATATACATATGTGGGATGCCAAAGTCCTGCGCTAATAGAACAGCCCACGTAGAGCCATCCTGTTCACACCTATTTCGTACACCTATGCAATACTACTGAAGCCCGGAGCCATATCTCGTGGCTTCCCGTTCAACCTTTCAGCAAGATAACTCCTAGAGGGGCCGAGAGGGGCCCTGTATCGTGGTGTAAGGTTCCTAGTTACCTCACAGGTTAGTGCGCTTGAGGCTGCCGCAAGACGCGAGGATCGAAGGGTAAGAAGCAGACATTGAAACGAGATAGCTCGGTGAAACAAAACATTTTCATCGCTTAAAGAACCAGGATAGAGCTGTTATTTCTAATAAAGCGATTCGTCGAGACCAGCGCACCCAGCGTCAGAACTTAGACCTCTCCGAGACGCGTGTGTATCTCCATGCAGATCACCCCCTCCCCGTCTTCTCTCTGGAAACAACTTCTATCGAGAGCTAGCCAGCGTCTTGATATTTGTAATAGCATTAGGATAGCTCCGAGGTTCGAGGAATCTGTCTCTCCTTACTATCGGGCGCCCCGAGGGGATTTGCCCCCTTTTCTCACATACATCAACTAACTCTCGCTCAATCTTAATAGAACAAAGTTAACCGCATTTCCACCCTATGTCAATAGCATCAGAACAGTCTTTCTAAGTCTCTAAATTCCTAAAGAAGCCGTACAAGTGACAATGCCAGAGGAGACAATGCTATCTCATGTTACGCGATTCTGTCTCTGTCCAAGCTTGTCGTCGCAGTGCTAGTTTGTGCGTTCAAAGATGCGCAAGGCCGTGTGTCTAAAACACCCTATCCTTTATCTCAAAAAGAGTAGAGTTTGCACACTGTCTTTTAAGGTGTGCGTGGTATAGACATTATAATCCCGCCATTTTTCTTCCTAAGAAAGCCAAAAGCATCGCTTCGTCTACAAACCCAAAGATCATCTCGCTTCCCACAAAGTCAATCGCCGTTCTGTTTTCCGAGATAACATGACAGTGTCAGAGAAGTCAACCAAGCCGACTGAGGCTACTGGCACCGAGCAGCGCCCTGCCGGTCACGTTGGTGGCAACCCCGAAGACGATCCAGTCAACCCTGAAGACGATCCAGTCAACCCTGAAGACGATCAAGTCAATCCTGAAGACGATCCAGTCAACCCTGAAGACGATCAAGTCAATCCTGAAGACGATCCAGTCAACCCCGAAGACGACCCAGTCAACCCCGAAGACGACCCAGTCAACCCTAAATACGACCCAGGCGACCCCGAAAACGACCCAGGCGATCCGGCAAAGAAACCCTCAGGCCCTCATGTCAACGGGCATGTAGTCCAGACTAGACGAACCGAAGATGGCCATATTGTACTGTGCATTCATGTTTCTGGAGCTGCCATAGGTACCCACAGATGTGATTCCTACTTCCCGAGCCTAAACGCCAACGCTGTTTTCCGCCAGGGCGACATAAACACGCCTCCATTCCTGGTAGCCGAGCACGGATGGTTTCAGCATCGAAACACCTTCCGTGGAGTCTGCATGAGCACACCGGTTGACCCGAATCAACCTGATCAAGACGCCGCTTTCAAGGCATGGAGATCAGCCGTGCTGCTCACATTGCGGAACAATCATATACCTCCCTGGATTCCAGTTTCGGGGGTATAGGCATAGGATACAATGTTGGAACCTCGGTGTTGGAGGCGGGGGATAGAGCTAGGCTTTTGTCATTGTACTCCGAGGATATGGCCTTTATACCGGTGGTGTATGATGCTAGGTGTATAATTCTTGGTGTCTGATTTGCGGTTCGGAGTCTTGGAGTTTGAATCTGGGAATAGGGTCTAGGGATGGAACCCATATGCCCACGATAATGGGTTCGATTAGCACCTGGATAGAATACACTCATTTTAGAGATGGATAAGCGTAGAGTCAATCTAGATCAGAAAATAAGAAATGTTTGACTCTCTAGGGAATATAGTAACCTATCTCATACGATTTCTTGAAAGTTTTCTTCTCAAGTGTATAAGGATCGCCAAAGCCCCCTGTCACCCTCAGCATAAACGCTGCCATAGCCTCGCCAAACAAGTCAATTTTATTGTTCAACGCCACGGTTTGAAGCCAGGCTGGTAGCCATGCGAGACTTTCCCAATCAATGAGCACAACTTCCCAATCCTCTTTCTTCCCTTCAGCTCCTTTTATAGATCGAATAAGGATGTTGGTAAACTTAGGGTCCATATGGGTAAGTACAGGTTTAGAACCGCGTGTTTTCTCCAGGACTTCTTTGATTTGAGGCAAGACCACTTTCACATGGGGAAGATAGTCAGGAAAATCGCCAAAAGAATCTACTCCGCGCAGCTCAGCAGAAGCATACATAGCCGAAGCGCACTCCTCGTAGGTTTCGTAGGGACCACACATGCCTCTAATATTAACCATAAAGCCGTGATAGGCGCCCCTTAAGGGTTGGTGATAGACTCGACCGTAGTATCCTTCGGGTGGAATGGCGCGGAGTCGTTGGAACTGCTCTGAAAGCTTTGAGCAGATAGTCTCCCGCGCGTGTTCATCTAGAGCAAGCCACTTTGCCTCGTCAAAAACCTCGCCTTCAATGAACTCAGTGACCATGTAGTGGACGTTAAAGCGCTCTCCAGGCTGGATGAAGGCGGCATACAGCTTTGGCGTGCGGACTTTGGAGTGTTTCTCTAGAAACAATAGGTTCTCAGCTTCCTGCACATAATTAACAACGGCCTAGCGAAATGTGTGGAGTCTCACCTGTAGTACGAGCCAGTTGCCTCTTTTAACAGCGCATTTGCCAATTCTGCAAACTTCGAAGAATGCGCCGGGCTGAGCTATGTGATTATTTCTCATCCCTTTTTCAATTTCGGCCATTGAAGGTATACCTGGGTGCTCGGGAGCTTCATACGGGAATTTGGTAACGACCACTTGGTCGGCTGACGGGCGATTGCGCTCGTCTATCTGGAAGCGAAAAATCTCGTCGTCGGTCGTGACACCATAATGCTCCAGTAGGACTTCATTTCTGGTGCGCATTTTAACGAGAGAGCCGAGGAATCAAGAAATTTCAAAACAAAACAGAGGACGAAGGCTGCTAGAATGAAAAGACTCTTAAGTACCGTCGATGAGCGCTCGCCTTCTTTATAGTAATTGACGATGGCTGGCTCAAGCCGTCCGAAAGAATAAAGCATCTCTAGCTGTTGTCGCCGGTTGCAGCAATACTTGATGCTACTCGGTTGGCTTCTTTGTGGTAATTGATAGTGGCTGGCTCAAGCCGCCTGGAAGAATAAAGCATCTCTAGCTGTCGTTGCCGGTTGCAGCAATACTTGATGCTACTCGGTTGGTTTCTTTGTGGTAATTGACAGGCTCAAGTCGCCTGAAAGAACAAAGCATTTCTAGCTGTTGTCGCCGGACGCAGCAACACTTGATGCTACTTGATTTGTTTTCAATTCTCTAAGGCTGGCTTCTTTGTGGTGCTCCTAACCTCATGATGGCATACTGCTACCATCACTTTGAGAGAAGTATTGCACTGGAGTGGCGATGCCATCCCATGCAATAACCAATCTCCAGATGCAAGCCCCGCCAGGGTTGGCAGCCGCGTCGTTGACTCGGGCAGCCCGCATGCTATAATAATATTTTTTCGAGAGATCGAAACCGCTGACGGCTTGGCTGAAATATGTTGTGCCTGCGCCATTGTTGATGATGACGGCACTGCCGGAGCCCTAGTAGTGTTGTTAGGTTGACGCGGCGACTGATCCATATTGCGGTGCGGTAGTTGTGTACCAAGGCGAGATGTCTGTCGTTGATTGCTCCAGCCCGGCATTTTGCAGCCTATTTTGCCTTGTGGCAGGAGTGGAGATGATATCGTCGAATTCAATAGTAATGCTGCCGACGGTTGAGCACTGTATGCTGGCAAGAAGAAGAGCGGTTGTGGCGAATGAAGGGGGGGCAGCTATAGTGGCAGTTTTCCAGGTGCTTGTCGGTGTAGTTCCGGGTAGGAAATACGTCACAGCTAGGTTAGTATCCCCAAAGCTCCCATAGCAAGAGCCAGCTGCACTTGAATTCGAGTAGTCGACCACCCTAAAGGCTAAGCTAATGTCGTATGTGGTCCCAGCAGGGATTGTCACCAACTGATTGATGTATGCGATCGATGTTGCGCCGCCTATACTGGTCATTTTAATTTGACCGGCTTTGCACCCATGTGCAGAGTCATCTTTCGATACGACAGAAAACGACGCATCCGAACCGCTAGGGACTTGCTTAGTAAAGACCCAAGGAGAGCCGTTTGAATTATCCTCAAATCCAGGGTTAATTGCCAAGCCCATGGGTCCTGCATATGCGGGTGCACATCCGGAGGACGACGGTGTGGGAGTCGATCTGGTGGTAGAGGCTGTAGAACTGGCGGAGGACGATGAAGCAGACGCTGAAGCAGACGCGGACGCAGAAGTAGACAATGACGAGCTAGCGGACGTAACGCTAGAAGAAGTTGAGAGTATGCTTGTGCTGGACGTTGCTGAGCCCAGCGGATCACCGATGGCATAGACATTTAGTCGGTCTGGGCCACCACAGATCTCAGCAGCATTACCTTTACAAGGCATGTAACAGTTTGTCTCAGGGCTTGAGACCGCTTGCCCTCCATTTTGGTGTTCAACGCCGCACCAACACTCCTGTGCATATTCGAGGCCTGCTATCGTGAATCCGCTGCTTGCACACCCTGCAACACACGCTTCGACGGTCATTGCTTCCGCACCTCCCGGGATCGAGAAGAAGGTCTTTAACGTACGTGCAGCTAGGCTGTCTGAATAGCATCCTCTAGCAGTCCACCCAGTGGGGAGTGGCTCTGCGGACGGTGGTGCCGATGTTGTTGCGCTGCTGGTGGCCGTAGAAGTGACTTGATATAGGTTCAGTCTATTCGAGCCTCCGCAGAACTCGGATTTGTCGCCATTGCATCTCATGTTACATTGGGCCTCTCCGTCATCAGCAGCATGTCCGCCATTAGACAGTTGGTTTCCACAATCTTTACGATGCGTCCTCATTAGTTACGATGCACTTGAATGAGCAGACTACTCCTACTCACAACATTCCCCAGAATATTCCATGCCTGCATATTTGAAATTTGGCAGCTGAACAGGCCGCAAGACAGTTCTCCGCCGTCAGAGCATTGCCACCGCCTTCTATAGGTATGCTGATGGTAAGCGTTCGCGCGGCGACAGAGTCCGTATAACAGCCAAGATACCCATATCCAGAAGACCCGGGAGCAACCTTTGGGCCAGAGTTGGCTGCAGACGTTGACTTGTACAAGCTAAGTCTATTCTAGCCACCGCAAGCCTGGGAGTTGTCGCCCGAACACGCCATGTTGCAGTCAGCAGCGTCCTGGGCAGAAGTGCCAGCAAGAATAGCGTTAGAACAGAAGCACTCAATTGAGTACTCCATTCCAGCATAAGCGAATCCCCCGCTCGTGCAGAACAAGAGACAAGATTGCGCTGAGTTGGTTCCACCAGCGTTGTAAGTACCTTGGAGAGTTCGATCTCCTACGCTGTCAATCCAACAGCCTTGGGATTCCCACCCTGGGACTACTGCAACAGCCAAATCGCTCTTGATTGGTCCAGCATCTGTAGTTCGAATCTAAAATAGGTCAGAATGACTTCATTAGACCTGGAGGCGTATAGTTACAAGGAATGACAGAGCGGCGACTATTGCGGAAGCGACTGTGGGGGTTGGTGTTGCTCGAGCCATGGCGTCGAACGTCACAAATCAACCAAGAGATGGAAAAAAAATTTGAGAACAAAAAAAAGAGAGTTGAGGTTTGGCGTCAACATTTGAGACGTTCTACCCATATATATAAAGCTACCACGGCCTACAGCGCCATAAGGCTGATTTGAGAGTACAGGACCTAGGCACGTCCGGTGGTCTAGCGCGCAATTCAAGCCACAAATCAGCCGCAGAAGAGGGGTATTCCTATGAAAGTAACGTCTCAAAGTACCGTGCTTTAGCAGATTGGCCCCAGTACTGGTAAGATTCAGCCTAGAAAAGGGTCGTTCCGGTGATCATAAGCTCTAATTCTACCTACTGAGCCTGTGGCTTCATTTACGCGCTAGACCACCGGACGTGCCTAGGTCCTGTAGGCAGTCGCTTGGAAGTCCATCGGATACCTTGAGCCCAGGCGCTAAGACCCGGGCATTTTCAATAGTATCGGGCCGCCGGCTCTACAGTACTGTGGTGCTAACAAAGGGGGAGAGCGAGGTTGAATGGGACCCCGGTCGCGCGAAACAGAATTCTGGATTTCTCTCAGCTTTGCTTGAGGAGCGAGGCGTTGAACCTCTATACCCATCCTGGCAATGTTATCGACTCGTTTAGCTACATTCGATCCGCGCGGTAGCAAAGGACCCTTGGATCCTGGCCTGGGTGCCTGGGCAATAATAGTTTTAGGGCGTGGCGTTAGCGCCAGTTTGCCCCTTAATGATCGAGCTCTGCTTTTCCTGTCAATTTTGGCAATCAAACACGAAAACATAAACAGGGCGTCAGCCTCAAAGAACCCGGTGCGCATCGTGGGCATGTCCCCTGTCATGGGCTGGACTGAACCGATGGACATGTCTTGGGAAGAATTGATCTCAGCCAGCCCTCTTCTTCTAAGGTTTGAGTAAGTTGATAGGAATAGTTTAGAGGCCATCGTCTTGCCGCTGCGATTTGCCCACGGCATATGAATTTCAACTACAGGGTATGCTGCGCGTAGATGCTGCGTGGCGATGAGAATGAGATGAAGTGGGAATGGAGATGGAGATGGAGACGGAGTTAAGAGTCCACGGCCATGACAGATTAAGCGACCCTAGCTAAGACAACTCCAATCACTATCAAACTTTGCGAGCTCTCTCTTGCATCCTACTACAGCCGGCTCGTCCTATCTAAATTCAGATTTCTGGCCTTCATTGCGCGTCGTTGAGTGAGAGCGCTTGTTTGGTGGCTCCTGCGGGATTAGCTCGCGTTAAGGCTGGAATTGAGGCTCGTAGTGAGGATGGAGGTGAAACAATGCATTGAACGAGGTAAGTGATGTATTGGCTGAGCATCTATCTAGGCTACGTACGCCGTATATATACTCCTGTGTGTGGAGGCTTACGTAGCCGTACCGTAGAACTGTGAGGGCTAAATATAGGAACCGTGTTCTATATTAAGGTAGCCGACGCTAGCCGTACCACACTCCGTAGGCTAGCTGGCTAGGAATACGTACTCCGTCACGTAGGCAGGCTCGTAGCTGGTCAAGTAAAATGGTCGCCGATGTGGCAGTCCTCTACCAGCGCCTTAGGCAGGCTCTGTTCGCCCACTCTTTGGCTGAGTCACAAACATCATTCTGCAACCTCATCTATCTGAACGAGGTTCGCGATAATGGTCTGGTGAGTGGCCGCCAGGGACTCGGCTTTGGTGCCGACGACCGGCTGAGCCAGCAGCTGGCAGCCAAACTCACCTTTGTCAAGTGAGAGTCGGACGAGTTAAAACAAGTGATAAGGCTCAATGAGATACCTTGCGAATGGAGATTATGCAGAAGAGAGATATCGCATTCGCAACAGATAGGAATGGCGACTACGTGTGATATAGTGGAAGGCCTTTATTGAAAGTCGCGCGGAAGAGGACGAAGACAATAGGGAAAGTTCAAGTAAAGTCCATCACTGCAGGTCGAGAAACACTCCGCTCCGAGAAATATGAGGGGTACTTGAACTTCAAACAAATTAAATTTTGTGCACACGTTAATCTCTGTCCTAATCCTATACACGTTACATGCTGTAGCCATTTCTAAACATCTGGGACCCCTTGCATCTAAAATTTACGGTTGCGTTGTCGCCTTCGCGCCTGATTTGCGGAGAGCCTCCTTTTATGGTTGTAACCGGATTCCATCGCCACAGCACTACTATTAAGCTCCCATCACTTCTGCTACTTATATAATGGCCTTCTAAGCCTTAGAGCCTCACCACTATACTAGGAAGTCGTCGTTAGCCTTATGGCGGCTATCGCACGCAAATTTATGCAAGGTCGCCACCCTGGTCGGTACTTCTAATTAAAATACTTACTAATTATAGCTAGTGCAAAACAACCCTGTAAGTCTAATATAAGTATTATAGTATAATTTATATATATTATTTAGCAAGCTAAGCTTATAGCTATAAGCGTGTAGCTAATCGGCGTTTTAGTACCCTACTTTATATAAGTTATTTAGTTAGGTACTATTAGCCTAGGTATATAATTAGTTATAATAGTAAAAGGTACTTTTTTAATTTACTATAGCTTAAGCTAATAAAGGTGTAGCTAAAGTAGGTTAGCTATACTTCCTGCTTATAATAGTAATATTTACTGCTAAGTTTCTTTAATTACTATTAAATACTATAAGTATACTATTAGCAGAGGTATATAATATATTATATATATTAGCCGGCACTATATATTTAGCTTACCTGCTGCTTATAGAAATACTTTATAAAGTTTTTACTATAACTACTACCTTTAGTTATACCTATATAATATATACTTACTAAATATAACCTATTCCGTAATTTACTAGCTCTACTCTACTACTATAAGTAAGAAATAGATTTACTAACTTAGGGTTTCTACTAGCTCTATTTACTATATAATTTTTTTTAGAATACCCTAATAATAGTTATAAAAGTGCAATATAAATTAAAGTTTTTTTAAACTTTAATACCTATATTCTTTAGCTGCTACTAATTTAGAGTTCTAACTAATAGTATTATATATAGATATTAAGGGCCCAGAACCTATACTTATAGCTAAAAGTATTTTTCTATTAGTAAAATAGCATTATTATTACGGCCTTAAGCCTTAAACGTAAATACTAGGTTAGCTATACTAGTTAGTATAGAAGAATACTTTTTTTTAAGCACTTTTAAACTTATTTCTATTACTTATATAAATAGCTCTTCGGCCTTTTTCTACTACCCTTAATTCCTATACGTCGACGCCAGGTTAGCTATACTAGTTAGCGTGTTTAGATGCTTTTTCCTAAGCACCCTTTTTTTTATCTCTATTACTTATATAAACAGCTCTTCGGCTTTTTTCCACCGCCCTTAATTCTAAAACGTCGACGCTAAGTTAGCTATACTAGTTAGCGTGTTTAGATACTCCTTTCTAAGCACCCTTAAACTTATCTCTATTACTTATACGTTTAGCTTTTCGGCCTTTTTCTACCGCCTAGTAAGGTTTACTACTAGCTCTACTATTACTATACTACTTAATATATTCTTATACTTTTTACTAAGTACTTTTATCTAAACTTTTATTAACCTTATTAATAGTTTTTTAGTATTACTTAAACTTCCTTTTTACTATATATACTAGGCCGCGTTATATAATAATAAAGCCTACTATTTAAGAAATTTCTTAAACTTAGGCGGCTATAATAGCGCTAACTTAGTATATAGAAAAAGCGCCTAATATTAGGCCTAGTTCTTATATTCCTTAGTTAGAAATACTATATAAAGATTATTAATATACTACTACTTCTATATTTTTAGCTAGTTCTACTTTTTTAGCTACTTCTGCGTAGTAAGCTATATAAGCCTGTATATATTAAATATAGCTATATTAGTAGTAAGCGTAATAAATAAGTAGTTTTTTAGTATAAAAATATCCTTTTTAAATCTATTATTAATACTAGTTTCCGACTTACTATTATTACTATTGCTATTACTCGTTTTACCGTCTATATTAATAGCGTCTGCGTTTCTATATCTATTTCCTGTTCTACTTTAATATAATAGGTCGTTTTTTCTATACCTTCTAAGTATTTTATACTAAGGCAGGGTATAGGCAAGTTGTTATTAGGGTGCAATAGTTTTTAAAAGGTAAGGCAATAATTAATTAAGGTTTAAAACGGGGTTATTACTTCTAATAGGTAGTATTAAAGTCTTAAGTTAAATATAAAGTTCCTATCTATATAAAGGAGCGTTTCTTTATATAAAAGCTCCGTCCTAAGAAACCTTTTACTTATTCTGCTTTTAGAGCTTGCAGCCCTTAAGCGCCTTAAGCCTAATAAGCGCTTGTTCGGCTCTATGCTTACTTCTCTCTACGAGCCTAATAAGCTATTACGTAACCCTATTCTCGTAATATCCTATTTTTAGATTATTCCTGTCTACTAGCAGTCTATAGAGGAATCTAGGATCTCTATACGTTCTATATATAACCCTTTTAGTCCTATAACCTAGTTCTGCGTAATTAGTTTTATCTGCTTACTTATCTCCGTAAATGCCTCTGCGCTTAGGTTGTTTATATTACGGGTTATAATACTCGCTTCCCCTTTTAAGGCTTTTAGCCCGAAAGTACTTCTATGGTAGGGTCTTAGATAAGTAGCTGGCGATGCCCTATCTATTAGGCCGTTATTATACTACTCTGTTTCTTTTTTTATAATATCTAACGCTTTAAAAGCTAAGAAATAAGAAAGCTGTTTTATACTTGCTAATTATATTAACGCGTCTAGTTTAAAAGTTATACCTTATTCCCGGTGCAAGTCTCGGGGTTTATTATATATAGTTTCCACACCTAACTCGGATTATTATACCGCCTGCGTTCGGGCGCAACAATCGAACTATAATATTGCTGGCATCTTAGCAGCTGCCTATAAGCTATTGTACTCTACTATTACTTCTCCTAGTTTCTTTGCTAAGTTATTTAGGGCAAAAGTTGTCCCGCGATAAGGATAAACTCCGTTGCAAGGAGTCGGAAACTTATGCGACTCTTTCCTTCCTTCTAGATGCTTAGAGAGCTGCTATAATAAAGCTCGATCGCCTGGATTCTTAAAAGGAGTTGTTGCGTAAGCGTGGTAAAAAGATAATATATTATAGTTTCGAGACTCTAGAAGAGCTTAAGGAAGATAATTAGAAGGAGGCTGCGCAGAAAAAATAAAAGCGTGTTAAGCAGGAAGGCTTGCCTTCTGCCTTAGAAACTGTCGGGTATTTTTCTTTCTCCCTAGGTGTGCTAGGCACTGCCAGCCGTCTATTCTATTGCTATATATTCTAATTATATAGCAGTAGTATTCCTTCTCCGGGTTTTTTTAATCCTTTCTAGTTAGATAGTACGCTGTTGCTGTTTTTCTAGGCTATTCTAGATTCTGGCGGTAAAACTGCTGCAGGAGTTCCTAATAGTTCGCTAAACTCTTAACCGGTTCCTATATGTTTTTGGAGGTGCTATATTCTTTCCACTTAATTAGGTACTCCTTTTACTAACCGTGTTATTAGGAATCTAGGATTTGCTTAACTTTATATTTATTATTATTGTCGACCTTTATATTATTTTCTAGCTTAGCGTTTAGTAGTGCAGGTTCTAGTAGCAATATATAGAAAACCGGGTGTATTTTTATCCTATTAGGTAGCCTAAGCTTATAGTTTACTAGGCTAATAATATTCTATATTTTAAATAGTCTAATCTTAATATAGTCTAACTTTATACTTAGTTATTTTATTTTAATATTTTTTCGGAGTAGGTAGACTCTATCTCCCCTCTTAAAAGTTAGTGTAACACCCCAGTATTAGTTATAATATCTTGCTAACCTTAGTATTATAAATTAGATGTCTATTAAAAGCTGCCTTTATAGCTCTTTAATATTTTTAACTAATAGTAGTGCCCTCTAGGCCCTTATACTATTAAGTCGGGGTTTTTAATACGCCTTTAGATTAAAACTATAGTTTATAAAAAAGGGTAATACCTTTATTAACTCTATAAATATACTATTATAGGCGAACTAGGCTATTAGTAGTAGTAATACCTAATTATCCTGCCTGTAATTAATATAGTATTATAGGTACTGTTCTAAAGTCTAATTAAGCCTTTCCGTTTACCCGTCCGTTTAAGGGTAAAACGCCGTGGAAAGCTTATACTTTGTTCCTAGTTATGCAGTAAGGGTCTGCTAGAATTTTAATATAAAAAGCTTATTTTAGTCTAAAATTATCTTCTATAGTAGCCTATAATTGCTAATAATATACTTTAAAAAAGCGTAGGCCAGATTTTCTACTATTAATACTTTTTAGTAAGGGATAAAGTATATATATTTAGTTAGTTAATCCGTAACTACTAATATTACGTTGTATTTTATACCTATTATAGGTTTAATAGACTATAGTAGCTTAACTATAAAGTTCTATATAATAGATTTTTATACTTTTTCCGGTATAGAGGGACTTTTTATTAGTCTATACAGTACGTATTATACTAATTTATTCTTTATATATTTATATTCGTGTATAATTTTCTCTATTAGTTTCCGGAGTCCGGGGAAATAGAATATTCTTGCAATTTTTTCCCGTGTTTTTTCCACTTCCTAGTATCCGTGTACTAGTATACTATAGAATTCCTTAATAAGCTCTTTTTATAAGGTTTTAGGTATAAATATCTTATTCTATAAGGTGATAATACTGTCCTAGATTTCTCCGCGTTCCTAGTTTATAGGCTCTAGGCGCAAGCTCTGCCAGTTATAACCCGCTAAATCCCGGCTTTCTTAATCTACCTTCTATACTACCTTAATTTATCTATACTACTTATTATCCTTAGACCTATAAGCAACTGCTGCTTATATATAGTTAAATTTAAGGGTTCCTAGACTGGTTTTTTTAAGTATAGGTTGCCTAGTCTTCTTAGCTCTTTTTATATAGTCCGGCCTTCTGCTAAGTATATTTATATAAGTATTTTCAAATCTTTTCTAATATATAATCTTAAAATTAAAGGTTCCTAGTTTTTCTAACTATTTTTTCTATCTCCTATTTAACTCCTTAGTTATAGTAAAGTATATTAAATTCTTATAGTCTGTGTACACCTATACTATATATACTGCCCCTTTAAAGTAAACTTTTTACTACCTTAAACAATCCGACGGCGTTTTGGCTGCTGATTTTGGAGGGTTGTGACGCCGTTTTCTGAGGCTGACTTGCCACAAAACCTCCCTAACCGCGCCGGCACGGGCACGAGCGCACGTCCCCCTCGGGTTTCCTCTGTTAGTTAGCGTAGGCGCCAACAGTTAAAGGGATCCTGGAGCCCGTTTTATGTCCTGGACGCAGCGGCACGCCTGCGACCTCAGTCTATTCTTAACGCCCGCATCATGTCGACCCAAACTGAGGCCGCTCTGCCTGCGGCGTACTTAAACCCTTCTGCTCCTCGTCAGCAATGGATCCGCGCACAAGGCCCGCTCTTTCTTGTCTTTCCTCCGCTCTCTCTTGTCTTTCCTCCACCTGAAGCCGCGACTTCAGGACATCGCGCCCGTCTCAAACACACGCCGCACTGCTCGTTGACCAACCCTTGGGACTCCTACCCTCACGGCGAAGTGGCACCCGTACTCTGACCTTCGGGTTGTAGGCTCTGCCCCTGTGAGCTTGGGATACACAGCCTCTCCACGCGAAGAGGCCGTCCAGCCTCCCAATCGGCAGTGGCACGAGTAACCACAAGGCCTTTTTGCACGCCATCGGGAAGCAAAAAGTGTTTGGACAGCATCCGAAGCCGAGAATACTCGGCTCACCGCCACAACAGAAACCTGGTCACCGTTTACCACCACCTTGTTTAACACCGCTCTGCCACTACAGCAGATCAGCGTCTTCCTTCGTCAAGCTCTTTCGTCAAGCTCTTTCGTCAAGCTCTTTCGTCAAGCTCTTAGTTAACCTCTTCCTCATTGACATCTACCTTTATTAACCTCTACCTTTGTCGACCTCTACTATCGTCGACCTTCGTCGACCTTCGTCAACCTCTACCTCTGTCAACCTCTACCTCCGTCAACCTCTACCTCCGTCAACCTCTACCCTACCTTCGTCGACCTCTACGCACCAACATGCGCCATCGTCTATTGGTTGACGATTCGTCCGAGGCGAGCGAGTATGCGGAGTCTAACGTAGACGACGGTGTGGTGTCGGATACTGATCTGACCGACGTTGACACTTGTACCGACGAGGACGACGAGGATAGCAAGCAATGCAAAGGTATAGAGGATGGAGCATGGCTATCTTCTGACGAGGACCATCCGCCTGAGTACTACCTCCAACAGCTGGAAATATTCGACGATCAAGAGTACACAAAAGAGGATTACAAGGACGGCACTACTCGCCTGCTAGATCGCATGGAAGATCAGTGGAATCAGTAGGTCACCAATCTCCATACTCTAGTGTTAACCTGCGCTGGACTCAAGGATGCAACGCTGACAGCATAGATGCTGGATATACCTTGGAAAAGACAACCTCCGTTCCTATACGACTGTGTCCGTCTGCACACTATACACTTTCTTTGACTGGCTACTTAGTCAGCGCCGAGGGAAGGGAGGGAGGAAACGTCAGGGTACTAAGTATGCCAGCTCCCTTGGGACATACTGGAAGGTATATCGCCTAGTATATGAAAGAGCAACCAGTGGCAAGATAGATGGCAAAATGAACCGGAGCATGCACAAGGTGCTGAGAAAATTGGCTAAGAAGCACAACCTAAAGAAGGTAGGGCGAGATAAGGCCTGCATGTATGTGGAGGATCAGACCAAAGTGCTGCAAACAAACCTTACAACAACTGAAAAGAGATATCCTCACGGACGGTGTAGGATACAAGCCCAGATCTACTTACAGCTTGGTGGGTTTACGGCAAATCGGCCACAAGCTATCCTTGGGCTCCGCTATCGACACATACAGGTTACCCTGCTCCGGGATCCAGAGGGGGGGCCTCATCGGGTGTTGCTAGAGTTCACCTTCGAATTTACGAAGGAGTTCCTTGGGATAAAAGATATGTAAGTCTACAAGTCTTCCAGCTAATATCTATACATTTTTAAGAGAATGCTAATTTTGGCAAGGAACACCTTCCCTCTCCCTGAAATCATCTATGACGAATCCCTTATCTTCAGTCCACACGTCTCCCTCCTTGGGGTGCTTTTCCGCGATCAGGCGTTCGCAGCATACAATCTAATATCCGAAGAGGAATTAAGCAGGCTCTATATTCCACCAGGGCGCAATGAGCTACCATTACGCCTTAATAGCAAATTAGACGATATCCCGGTACTTCGGCAACCCGTGAGGACCCCGAACGGCTGGGCTATTTCTCCCAATCAGCCTCTTCAGTACTCCACGTTGCTGCCCTGGATTAGAGTACTAGGAGAGATTACGGGGTTTGCCCAAATCACCCGTCCCTATTCGTTGAGATATAATGGAGGGAAGGCCTTCAATGAGAATGGTAAGCTTAGCCTAAGCCGTCATTAGGAAGATGTAGAATTGATGCAATGTATAGGCAATGTCAGCGAGGCTATGCAAAACCTTATGATGACGCACCGCGATATCCGGACGTTCTTGAAACACTATCTCTCGCGAAAAATCACCGTAGATACACAAGCTGTTGTGCGAGGCATCCAGCCCCAAGACGCAATAATGCGAGCAGCTTGTACTATGAGTCGCTCAATCGATACCCGACGGCCACGACGGCTCACTCCGGAACAATCTGCATCAGTAAACGATCATCCTGCCGTTCAATACCTGCTCCAAGAACGAGAGAGACTTAAACGTACCCTCCGAAATGCCACAAAACATCCAAAGTATAAAGAGCTCAGTCGCAAAATCAATCGGGAAAGGCAGCGCCTGCGAGATGCCCTTCTTCAGGATGTCAAGGAACGTTGGGAGTACGAGCAACCCGTGCGTGATGTTGAGCAGCAGCTTGCCGGCATCGACGTTAAAACCGATATCGTCACAGTACAGCCTCAGTATGCTATGCTCCCGGCACAGAAAAAGCTGGTCGACGCTATTATGGCCCCGCCGGGAGTCACTCTGGAAGCAGAGATACGCCGGCGTAATAGAGCCATCCAAGCCGTCACGGAATATTGTGGGGTCGAGGAGGGCGGAATAAACCCTCTTCGAGCAAAGCGACGGAGCGGAAACGTTGCTCCGCCGGCCAAGAGCCAGTTAGAGCATGACGAAGAAGCACTAGAAACAGCAAAGGTGTCGGTGTACAAAGAGAAGAGGCCGAAGAGATGTTGGAAATGCATTGGCAATCCCAATCTGCCAATCGAAGATCGGATATACGAATTCAGCCGTGAAGGCGATCTCAGCAGACATTTCAAACGGAAGCACTTGAAATATATTATGGAAGGGGAGTCTCTTAGTTGCGAGCTTTGTCAGGTGCCCCTGGAAAACAAGATGCACTTGCAACGACATGGCCTAGAGGTCCACGGTACAGTTACCTAAGTATGGACTTCTCACTCTTTCTCCAGTAAGCTATAAGAACGCGATACTTTGTGTAGATTACGGCATTCTAAATTTAGCAACATTTTATATAAAAATCTCCCATGTATATAGAACTGGATTTGCGCTAGAGCAAAAACGGTAGCAGTTCTAATACAGGACAGGAGTACTTCCGCTTTTAGACTAGTGTAACTTCCCCTAAGTAGATATGGCACCCAATCTAGCTCACTTGGACGCTGGCGTTGTTAATCCGCTGGCGATTCTGATGCGCCAGCGTTATGGAGCCCATGTTGGCTCCCGGCGCTCATATTCCGCTGGCGATTCCAATGCGCCAGCGTTATAGGAAAGACCAGGACGCCGCATGCCTTAGCTGGAGAGGCTTGCATGAATGTCTGGGAGTGCCCGAGCCTTACGTTGGCGAAGATCTGTACTGGTGTAAAGAGCTCCAATTCGACTTCGTCATTCCAAGAGCCAAACCCCTATCAACACAAAGTTCAGAAGATGAACCAGATCCATAGCAGAGTTCTAAAGAATTACAAAGCAGATCGCGAGAAGCGTTCTCGTATGAGGCTGTCGGAGAGGTTCGGGAAGCTTGAGAAGGTCGTCGTGAGAATTGAACAGCTCGCGGGCGTGAACATGCCCAAGGCGACCACCCGGCTGAATGTCAGCCTTCACCTTCGCTTTCACTTCCCACCTTCACTCATCCCATTCAAACTATGGTTCGCGCCACTCCTCACACTTGCGTCACCTCTTTTTCCGTACGTCGCATCAAACCGCCAATGCCCTCTCAGCAGGCCAATGACACCTCCCTATCCTCTGCCCTCCTCTCCCAACTCCCGATGAGCATCACCCTCGACCCGCCCAAACGCCCAACCTAGACGTCCGAATAGATGCGGATACATTGCCTGAAGATAGACTTATAGGTATTATACCAAACCTATCCCCTTCTATCTTCGTATTGAGTGGGAGCTCACATGATTTGGATAGCAGGGTGGTTCTAACTGATATACCTCTGCTTGTGAGTGATTCTTATCTCCACGTGAGGATAAGATCACGTGTCTCTCCCATTTCACCACACGCGTGGCGTCGTCCCAAAGGAGACCAAGGTCTGCACTTGTGGCGACGTCACCCCTTGACAACGAGACCACAACGCGTAACGAATCGCCCTAAATCCTGCGAAAATCGAACCGCGCCAAAACTAGTCCTAAAACTCGTAGAAGCAGGTCTAATGTGACGCGGCAGAGCAATAGCCGTATGATATAACATGATGTGGGTGGGTATCGCCAAGTGAGATAGAGTAAATATATTGATGTTGTTGTAGCGATGGATCATTTCCCTTGCAGCATAAGTATAGCGAAATTCTCACGAAAAGTGTCACAAGTAGTATCTTTCATCAATCCAGAAGCGTTCAATTTGCTATCGCCTACAGCAGTCTTGCGCCCTAAAGCCCCTCCCATGCGACATATGTAGCCGGGAAGTGGAAGATATCCGCTAGTTGCCTGGACTTCGACGATATTGGTTTGTATTAAGAGGAAGGAGTACAACGCTTTAGGGCGTAATGGCACATTCCCACAGACGTAAAATAAGAGCTGAATAAACTAGTTTCAATTGCGAAAGCCCCCAAACAATGCGAGCAACCGAGCCATAACTAAGAGAAACCAAGCAGTATCGAAGAGAAGTACCCGAACCGCGGATGTCCCCAGAAACGCCTTCCTCGCGGTGGTTATGATTACGTCGGCAAGCTTCGATTTTGTAAACTCGCTCGACTCCATAGTCGAGAACATGAACTCGGGTATGCACCTGCACGACGACGTGTCCGACAGCATGGTCGAGGTCACCTGCACGGGCTCCGACGAAATAGACGAGATCCTTACTATCGTGAGGTCGATCGTGATGACGATAGAGAGCTTGGACAGGCGCATATGGACACGACCATCGTCGACCTCTCGATCATCTCCTCGGGGGATGGGTGCGCCGCATATGTAGCTTAGCTTCGTGTACGGGCCGTTGTCCATCGTGTCGATCACGGGAACAATGGTCGTCTCCCCATCTAGGACCGTGAAGGTGTAGCAGGAGTCCGTCTCGGGTACCATCGTGTGCCGCCAACCTCGAGCTGGCCCCGTGCTTTGTAGAGTCGATCCCCTCCTGGTACATAACCAATGTCATCTTGAAAAGCGCACACCAACAGGTACCAGGACCGGCGTTGGGAGGGGCAACGAGAAACGGCAGCTTGAGCTTGTCCGCATGTTCACTTACGGGCTCCCGATCCCGTGCTTGCCCATGGTAGTAGTGCTCACGGTCCCGCTGGCCGACCTATTCACCCACGTCTTCCAGTACGAGGGGTCGACCGCCGTCATGCCCATACCCCAGCTCTTCGGCTTCAGGATTGCGGTCTCGTAAGGGGCCCACCAGGGTGGGTGATCATGTCCTCAAGCGGCATCGTGGTGTACAACATGGAGTCGATCTCGGCCGCAGCACTGGCAAGACGGATCTCCCTGACCAACTTCTCGTAGAAGGAGCCATCCCTATTCAAGTACTCGCCCCAGAACCTGACAAGGGCTGCCTCCGCCCGCAGGATGTGAACTCCTCTTTAAAAGGAAGTTATGACCCGCTTATGCTGCGTCCTTAAAACTCAAACTCATATTTTCAAGTTGCTCTTTCTCCATCCCCAGACCAGAGTTTTCACGATGCCTGAGCCAGCCAGAAAGCAAGACTTGTATAAATTCGAACAGTCAAATGTTAAGCCCGAAAAGGGAAAAAATTGTATACAAACTTCGTGTAAATATATTGGCAAAGCGTACCCTAATAAGCCGGGAGCTCCGGCAGACAAAATAACTCGCGGCTTTCACGTTCCTCTGCAAGGAACTCAACCTGACCAGAAAAAGGAATAGAGGTACCGCAAAGACCGGACAATCCTTTTGTGCAAGACTAACATTCTGTAGGTCCAGCTCTAAAACCCCCAAAGCACTGAAGCTCAGAGATAGAACGATGGTCTAAATGGCAGTAAAGGCCTCTGCAAGGAAATCCGGGCTTTTGTCCCTGAGCAAGACGAGCGTGAGATGATATTTGGAAGGGGCTGCGAGATCCACCAAATCCCTGAGAAACACCGAGTCACTTCATATTCGTCCTAACAACCTCCAACCATGCCCACTTGCTTCCTTGTTTTGTTTACAGCTTTGACAAGCCATCCCTGTTATTGGTTAGTTGTTGATTGCAGCTATTCCACCGTTTACATACCATCCCTTTCAGCTTTTGGTAGACTTGATTCCTAGCAACCGAAGAATCTGTAAGATCAGTGTCTATATACGCATGAACAACACGAGCTTTTTCCCCAGGAGTGAAGGATTTTATGAGGTCTTCCATCCGGCCGTTGAATCTTGTTATTTTAGCTTCGTGAATAAAGATCGCCATAGCTAGATTTAGTTTCTGATTGAGCTCTTCCCTAAACATTTCTAGCTCGGACAGCCAATCTGCAGGCTTATTCCCAAGAAACTAGACAAAAAATATTAGTCGAGGAAAACTTTCTGGACTGACGGAGATCCACTTACGTTTGCTGGGATTTCGAAATCAGCAGGAGCAGGTGAAGCTGGCCAATTTGGATGTTCCCTTGCATAGTCGGAAGTTTTCCAAAGATGTTCAATGTCTTTCAGCTGCGAGGGAAGGGTGACTTGTCTGGTTGTTTGGGAGGCAGCACATATCGCGGCTTCTGCGCTGGAGGCTTGGTCAACCCGGACGTTGAAGTAATCATTACGAGGGCTGAGCGAAGTAATAGAAGAGGAGTCATCGTCAGAAGGAAGGCATCGTCCAGAATTGAATACAGTCTTGACAATGATATTCCATACGTCGTTGATCAAGCGGGAGGCTGGGTGCTGGAGATTCTGTTGGTTGTCGGGAGGTGAAGGAGTATAATAGCGATCCATTGGGCTTCAGCAGCTGCAGGAGGATTAACAGTGTGACAAAGGTGCAGGAAACAAATCAGGCAGAAAAATATGCAGAAGGCAGCCGGTGAGGAGTGAAGGACAGCGGCAAGGCAACGAGTTGAAGGACTGTCAGCTGAGTCGGGCGTAACTGCTTGATATAACATCCTCTCCCTTGTGCTGATATAGAATTGCAGGAAGCGTATCGGGACCCCAAGTCAGTTTCCAGTACGACAGAAAAATAATGAGCAGGGTTCTTCGGCCGCGAAAAGCAATTATCGCATTTCCATGAGACAGACCACTGTCTCTCCGCACTATTGCCTGCGGTATTACGTCGGTCAGACAAGCGGTGGTTATTTGGAAGGGTACAGGAACGTTACGTGTTAGGAAGTCAAACGATGCCTCCTTACAAATGAAGCATTCTTCTGCGGGTGATTAGGCTTAAGCGGGATGAATAAACGGCTGCGGGTCGGATTGCTGTTTGTAGACTGCTATCGAGTTACTGTGTGAGCCGCCGACTGAGATAACTCCAGGGGCTTGCCGACACTACACGATCAACTTGTTCACGACTGGAATCGACACCTTATTTATCCAACAGCTACTCAAGCCCGCCAGAGACTCAGGTTAAATTGATGTGAACTCTGATTGTATTCTCGTGGCCGTACGGGCCGAATATATACTATAGGAAATGGCCCACCACCTAGGTCTATCAGCTCAGCTGAATAGAGGCCAACTGAAAGGAATGGACCCAGCTGAGAGGACCCTGGTGTAGCTGAACAGGGGACCTCGCCACGCTGAGAAGGGGGGAGTGCCTGTACGTAGGTGACCGTGAACCGTATGAGTTGTTGATCCTAGGTTGTAGCTGTTACAACCTGAGTCAGAGCATAGGAAAATAAAAGTTAGACAGGGCCTCCAAGGTCCACCCCTAATTCCAGATCAGCTGTAACTGCGAACTGTTTTCGAACTCAGCAGCCCGAGAGATATCCCATTACGCCAGAACCGAACCCGCATTCGCTCAGACCTGCGCACTAGGTGGCGCGTGAAATAAATCTTGGTATCCGCAGTTTTTACACATCCTCAGTATCTTTAGTATGGAATCCTCCTCATAGAATGTTGTCGCACAATAACGAATGCTGTCTATTTCGAAGTTGGCACAGGGCTGGAACCGGTACAAAGCGGCGGAAGGACCGGAAGGACACCATGGTTGCGCTATGGAATTGGAACCTTGTTGTAGGTCGGCTCCAGAAAGTTCTGGTAGTCTGGACAGGTATGGCAGCTTATCCGGCTCTGGCTTAACAGTGGTATCCTCGCTGTTCCTCAAAGTTCCATTCAGCCAGCGGTCCCGCGTAATTTTCTCTTTCAGCCTCGCGTTCTCTTCCCGCAGCCTCGCGATCTCTTCCAGCCCCGCGATCTCTTGTAGTCCCGCTTTCTCTTGCACCCTCCCGTTCTCTTGCAGCAGCCTCGTGATCTCTTGCAGCAGCCTCGCGATCTCTTCCCGCAGCCCCACGTTCTCTTGCAAAAGGGTCCCCGCGGAAGAGAATTGGACATCCGTGTATAGCCCGCCGAGTTTCGTCTTGCAGTCGGCGTAACTGGCGTTGTAGACCGTGCTTTGCTGGATTGGGGAGGGCGCTTCAGTCTTAACTGCTGGAGTGGGTTCCATTATGGAGAAACTGCGGACGTCTCTTATAGTTTGTAGCTCATCCGAGCATACTACGGGGGCCATTGCCGCATCTGGAGGCTCCGATGACTCCCATATCGTGGCTGTTCCAGAACCTGGGAGGGTGGTTGTTGTCTCTGGCGAGAGCTGGGAGTGATTGTCCCGGCCTGGGTCAGTGTTCTGGGACCGGAGGTTGCCACTCCACGGCGGCAAGGCCAGGTTGGGCGGGACGTGGCTGGCAGTGGTAGCATTTGGGTTCGGGGAGGCGCCAATGGCAAAAGGGCTGGTGGAGGGGGCATTATTGGGCATGCTAAACGAGCTCTTCGGAGGTGGAATGGAGCGGCTAGGGAGCAACCTGGTTGTGGCATTGGTTGTGGCATCTGATAGCGCGCGATCGCGACCGGGGTACTGGCAGCTGTGGCTGCCGCGCGCGCATCTGCTGCAAGGGATCATGCGATCGCACCTGACCTTCCGCTGCGAGCACTGCACACAGGGGCGGCTGTCCCTGCACGGCTTCGAGGCCCTGCGCGACGAGCCCCTATGCGACGAGCCCCGCTCATGGATCTGCAGATGGCGGTCCAACACGTCCTTGCGCTTGAAGCCGGTCTGGCAGATGCGACACACGTGCTCGTTCCTGCTCGAGTGGTTCTTGCAATGGCGGTTCAGCTTCCCGATGGCACTGTAGCCGCGACTGCACTCGGGGCAGTAGACACGCGGCGAGCCGGCCGGCCCACTGTCGGTGCCCACGGCGGACGACGAATGGCGGTCCATGGTCCGGGATCGCTGTCTGTGTCTCTGTGAGCTTCTGTTGAAGCATCGGTTCTGCAATTAGGGATGCCCGAGAGTATCATCGGAGGGAGGGGAAGTACCTTTTGACCAGATCTCCGTTGTTCACGTGGCTTCGTGGGATTGTCCTGTCTCAATAGTACCGGATTGAGAAATTCGAATTTTGCTGTGAAGATATTAGGGCGAGGAAACTGAGGCTTAGAATTTCATACTTGTTTAAAGATCTCCCTATTACCCCTATGGCTATCTTCAACTTCCTAATAGTTTGGTCATGCAAGTGTAGAGAAACAGACGAGTAGAAAGACGCTAATGAAAGGGCCTCATAGTGCAGGCTGATGCAGGCAAAAAGAGCTCTGCCTCGCGGGAAGTGTAAGGCAAAGAGCGGCGGGTGAAAGCATACATGTATAGTCGGGCGCAACCAGATATATCAACATGGTACCCACTGTGCCGCAATTTAACGCCCTCCGTGCCACGCATTGACTCCAAGTCTCGACTCTTCATCACCAGAAGGCTGGCTGATCTCTATTAAGACATGAGCACTGCGCAAATACGGGTCACTTCACTCCCGAACATCCAGATTTGACCCGCGTCATAGCTTTCTGGGACAACGCATCTGGTGCTAATGCTCGCTTCTCGAACCACCACCCACATTTCGCCACGGACGCTTGCCAGGAATCGTATCAAGGTGGAGCTCGGCCGTATCGGGGTTCCAGCTCTCAATAATCGCTGTGAGTGTATCTATGGGGCCAGTCGGGGAAGGGCAGAAGGAGTCAAGGAAGTGTGAGGTGGTAGCGTGGCGTCTCCGTGCCTCTGAAATCCCGCGATAGCTTTAGCTGGGTACGCCAATTACCATCGCTGAGATATGCTGGAAAGCGCTCTGTGGCGAATGGCGGCCGCGGAGATAGCAGATTAAGATTGTGAATACTCAGAGGCTGTAGGGGGAGAGGAGTAAGCTTCCTATGTAATCTACGTCGTGGCAAGATTCACATTTTGTATTGCGTGGGGTTTCCTAAGAACCACTCGCCGGCCTTATTACTATCCTTGCGTTAGAAGGGGTCGCCGTGTGTAGGGTGCCAGTTGATTGGCTGGCGTAGTCCCCCATGGGCATCCGTCTGGACAAGGACTTCAGGACTTTTGGCCTCACGCGCGGGTTCAGCCAGCAGAGGATCATAACTTGAAAGTGGCGTGGATCGGACAGGAATCCGCGCGTTGCGGCCGCACGTTATCGCAAGCCAAATATTGGATGAGTTTACGATATTCGATGGTGAGGGGTCACCAGAGCAAGACAAGAGTGTTATAGGAGAACTAAGTGTTTATAGACTTTCGCTATCGCAAGCAAAGCCCGCATGCGCAACTAAGCCCATCCGGCACCCAATAGGAAGGTGAACAGTAAGGCAAACAGAGACTACCAGCAGACAGTGGTAACTCTATACTCAGCCCGGGTAGTCCTATCAGCTCGACGATATATTCTTTTCCAGACGTTCGTAATCTCGACTGTTTGCTCAATAGCTGTGGTAACCCAGATCTCATTCTATGAATAGTCAGATGGTTGTAAGCTATTATTAGGAGGCACATACGGGGGCTGACGTGGGCGTACGGGAAGTTTGAGGACGAGGAGCGACATGGCTTTGTTGCGGGTGGGACAAATGATCTGAACCCATGGTGTTGTTGTCGGGCTTGAAGAAGGCAACCGGTGTAGGAAGGAGGCGCAGAATGAATGAAAGCTGCAGAGGAGCCTGCAGGCAACAAGCGGAGTAGCTGTGGTTGAAGGCAAACGTGCATCCTCAGCCTCGCCGGGCGTAACCAGCTCTATATCACCATGTCGGTCCTCTCCGTGCCGCCTTCGGATCCCCTGGATCTATTGCGTTCAAGCCCTGGCTCTTTGACAACCGACCTGTCCCGGCATCCAATAATCGCCAAAGGGTTGAAGTGGCTGGCAATCTTTCACGTCCAGAATGCGCAAATCTAGTGCGGGCGACCAGGAGGCTTGCCAATCTCTACTGAGACATGGGCGGCATCATATCCGACAATACCGACCGCACTACCCGCGCCGCTTGCGCGTCACTTATCGATTTGGAACACAAAAGGAGAGTTAGAGAGGATGATGTGCGGGGATTTATGGCTTGAAGATCTACTGTGGCGTTCTTCGGTCTCGGTGTAAGCGAGGCTACATTTCCCAAAATCTCGGATTTTAGGAAATGTAGCCTGGCTTGAACCTTCTCTTCTTCCAGAGACCAACTCAGCCCGTCCATCAAAGCGCGCCAGGTTGCGGACAAGACAAGCAATGCTCGCTCTTAACGACGACATTCAGTTGCAGCGTTTACAAGTCGACTTCGGACAGCACTGCGCTACCATCCAAATAACGGCCACTCCATTTACAATACCAGATTTCCCAGGACAGAGGTTCCCGTCTCTCAATTGTACCTACACACTATGTTGTCAACAGGCGGATCAAATAGTTGCAGAACAACAAGTCCGTCAAGCTGCCCACACTTACGTACTAGAAAGCTTTTGTTACCACTGGGACTTTTCACAGAAATGGTAGGCAATATGAAAGTCATCGTATTGATGGACTGCTAACACCTAAGGGTTAGTTGTACTCTCTTAGATTCTCCGCCTTCATCGGATTCGGGCATCTCCTGTCACCAAGCAACACAACATGAAGAGCTTATTCGCTTCACAGATCGACCTGCGTCAATTGAGGACTTCTCCGGAGAGCGTGTTGGGAATGGTTCGCAGCCAGAGTCCCACCAAACTCTACGTCTCCCAGGCACTGGCGTGTACAGCAAATCCGATGGAACCGGGCTATTCTATCGGTTGAATCGATCGCAACCAGTTCGCAAACGCCAGAGGGCTTCTCATGCAGAAGCACATGACCCTGATACCAGCGCCGACAACGACTCTCCCGGAGATGGAGAGGAACTTCCAGGACGCCCTTCAAAGCAAAAGAAGGGATCGCCCCGGCCTTCGGATGTATTCAAGAGGGAGGATTGGTTTTTATTTGATGAAATGGTTAAGGGGGAGCCCGATTGGAATGCTGTTGTGGCGAGGTTCCATGCACATTTTGAGAAACATATTAGTGTAAAAACACTCCAGACGCGCTGGAGAAGGCTACAACAGAGGGGCATTGGAAATCCGGAGTTGCACCGCATAGCAGATACTATCACAAGGGAATCTTACATCAACACCGAGACTGAGAAAGGAATCAATACTTTCGTAAGTAACATCTGCAAAGGATTGAAGGAGAGATTGGAGAAGAACAGCAAGACAATCGACATACCGAAGGTACTCGAAGATGAGCCGCGGGAAGCAATTGAACTGGAGGGTTTACTTTTGGCCAGAGCAACCAGTATCGAGAATTCTGCTAAAGAAGAAGCGTGGCACTGTCGTTTCCTGGCGTCTTGTGTATATCCTGTTTGCAAATCTGATACCGAAAAGGTCAGTATTCAGCATGTTAGACCGCATCCAGTTGTATCGCTAACGTTTGGCTAGATAAACAGCACCGAGCGCGGCGAAGAACGCATCCACCTACCGGAGATATCTCCAACAAAGCGCCGTCAACCTATTATGGCAGAGATGCTTAACTCGATCGTTAATAAACTGCTCCCAAAATGGCGCTCGAAGGCCTACCTTATATACTCAGCCCTTGCAAGTTAGTGCCAGTTCCTAGACTCGACAAAGCAATTGTTGACACTGCTGCAGTAAGGAAATATTACTTTACCACTTTTGCAGAGTGGAGTAAAGAGAGGCGCAATAAAGTGGTACATGGAGTAGTAAAGCTGTTGGAGGATAGTCAAGTATTAGAGCCGGAGGTGGCTCCGATTGATCTACTGCTCGATCCTGTATTCACGATAAGCCAATTACTCCGCAGAAAGTTAGTCTACACACCGTTGAAGCTATTGCAAAACTAAGCCAGCTTGCAGATACTCCGATATTTCCGTCATTCTTGGACTTACCAACTCTAGCGAGACTTATATCACGGACAAGAAGGTGTTCCTCAGAAATCCATTCGTAGCTAGAGATTTACCAGTCAACCGTATTTCTGAGATCGATGATAACGCCTCCCTTACAGACAACACCTCTCCCAACAATACTGCAACGCCCGACAACGCCGCCGAAGGGAATCAAACGGTACCGCAGGAACAAAGCCTGGCGATAGAGAATGACTACCAACATGTGCCTCCTCTAGAGCATCCCCACTTAGCGGGCAACTCCACGGCACCAATATGTGTTGACTTACTGAATCAGGGAACAGGAGACACGCCGAATCGTGAGTGCTGCTGATAACGCTGTATAGAAACTGATACTAACATCCAGGGAGATGCATTCCAGCAGGCTGAGGGCCAAGTCTCCACAATGCGCTACTCTCAAATCGAATCATACCAAGGTGATTTCTTTTTATTTGGTTGGACTGAACGACCGCTAAGTACTAGCATAGGGCACGAGGAGAATGCATTCAGTGTTCCGAGGCCAGAGGGGCCCAACAACCAATTTATGCAGAGCAAGCAGCCGGCGAGTTCCAATTCAGCGCAACAAACACCTGAGATATCTTCCAACAATCAAAGAAGCGCAATTACAGGACAAGGCGGGCCAAATACAGATGCCACACTCGGTGAGACCTGGATACGTGAAAGTTCTCGATTGAACGACGCTAGTCTACTCGTCGACACCCTCGGCGACACCTGGACCGGTGATGGTTCTCAGCCGGACGTTGGCCTATTTGACGTTGGTCCACTCATGGATACCCGCGGCGACACCTGCGACA